ATTGGATGCCAATGGATGGTGCCCGGCACCCAGGGGTCCAGAGCGGCAGAGGCCCTTTTAGCCATCCCGGCTAGACCGTTGCGGCAAGCTGCAGACGCCATCCTCCCCGAATGCGTGACAGTGCACGCCGCACGGGGGCTGGATTTCGGTTAAGTTCGTCCTAAACCGGCTGACACTTAACGGCCTGTTTCAGTGGCAAGTCTTGCCAGTCCACCACCCACCTCGTAAGGCCGCTATCTCTGTACGTCCCGCTTCAGCCGCGCAGGGTCAGTTCTGCTACTACTGGCTGGAAATGATGCAGAGAGGCACAGCCCTGGGCAAATGCCACATGCTGTGGCCGAGGTCTCTGAAACTTCTCATTTGCTACACCTCTACGGATACCATCACCAGAGTCCTCATGATTGGTCCCTGGCATGCAGGTCTTGCTTGGGCAGGTTAACGCTTCCAAGGATGCCGATGCAGAACTCAACCGCCAGGTGGCCTCGCATTGTTATGCTCGTCAACACATAACACATATGACTCTATGATAGTCCCGAGCACTCCAATCCCGGCTATAGCCCTTCCAATCGCAGCTGCAAGTACGTAACACGCTGGCAAGCAGGATCCATCTGTCGGCGAGTGGATTCCTGGTGGGATTGCTACAGAATATGCGGAGTTGGTCTGCCAACTGCCCCTCGTCCAAAGGTGCGCGTTTCTGATTACAGGCAGACCTCCGTCCGTCCGTCGTTTCTGCGCCTGTCCACAGTTCGACGATGGCCTCGCCTTATCTTTCAGGATCCGACCCGCATCTACTACTACAGACTCCGTATGTGCTACCCACTCCCGAGCTCCGCGAGGTCGTTGTTGGGTGAGAGATAAGGCGCCTCGTCTCGGAGCTTTCCATAGCGAATCTCGCAGCATGATGTGCCGCGACTCTCAACTTCACGGTAGTCATCAGTACGCCTCCTATGCCTCCATATTACTCCCTGCGCCTTCACGGCACGGTCCTTTTGGCGGGGCCGGACCGGTTTGCCTGAAGTTGGCTTCTCGAGACGCCGAGACGGTCTAACTTCAGCTCGCAACCGCTTGAGGTTGATAATTCAGACACAGATCTCCTGAGACCTGGCTGTTCAACCCCTCTACCGGTGGGACTGTCGTCTTGTGTGGAGCATGAAATGGCATTCATTTTGATGTCTATATTCCCAGGTACTCCGTCACGAAACACCGGGTGCTGAATAGGTACCCAATATGGTCCATATGCCAGGGCTCTTGTGGGAACTCATATGTGACGAGGGCTTCTGAGCTACCTTGTCGGCGATGGACTCGTGCTGTCATCAAGCTGCACACCAAGGCTGGACGGTGCGTCCTTTGCAGAGCCTCGGATCGGGTGTCCCGCAAAACCTGAGAGGAGGACAGTATGGCTGCATGATTGTGCTTTGAGTCCGCTTGGGAAGATTTAACAGCAGTGTGATATTGTCACAATACCAAATCCCTCCAGGATGTGGTTACATCAGCATTTCCCGGCTCCAGAGCTTCCCGGCTGCAGGCTGATCTGATGGGAGAATCCAGTATCCTCAGCGACAGCCCGTTGTTGTGTACGGTCTGAAGGAGTATTCTCACACCAAGAGCACCTTGCCCTAACCTATCCAACTCCAGCCATCACTCAGCTTCGGATATGCTCTCACCTGCAAAGAACCAGCCTAGGAGTGGGCAGATGGGATGGGTTCTTGCATGGGTTATCACGTCGTTGACTCATCACTCTGCCCCTACTCTAGTCTTGCACCACTCTTGTACCACTCTTGCACCGGGGACTGCACAGGGTTCTGTCGCTTGAACCGGCGTTGTTTTGTGCTGCTGGACTATCCTAGGTCCCCACTGGCTCTTTACATTTGAATCCTGGAGGTTGATGCATATGGGTTCAGATACACTGGCCAGAACCCTGCCTTTATCGAACATGGTTCCATGGAGATGCAGTGTTGGTCTGCCGTCGAAATGAATTGCCCTGCGCGACCGGGATCCAAGGCAAAACTCTCCGCGTCTTACAAGGGTAGCACATGGCTAGTATCACAAATTGGCCATTTCATCTTCACGGATCGATTGCGTCGGGCGCCGGGGCCGGATCCCCTCTGGTGCACGGCAATACTGCGAACCCGGTGGCTGAGTATTACCATACTACCTACTCATGTGTAGATGGGTAACGTGGCCTTGCGGTCTCGGTTGTCGGTCGGAGGTTTGACTTCCCTGGGGGTGGAGGGTGGATGTTGACGAAGTGACAGGTACAGCATAATGCAGTGGCGAAGTTGTCAAGGCTGAACTTCAGCAGGAGCACGCCTGGAATCTGATCTTGTCGATCGTTCTGCCTGTTCTACTCATGGCTCGGGCAGGGGCAGTGGACGTTCGCTTCCGAGTCGATGACGCTTCGACTTTGCCGGCCAGTCATACGTTCATCTTGATTCGGCGCCGTGGCGGTAGGGCTCAATTGGCAGATTCCAGGTTGATTGGTTATCTCCTGCGATTTTCACATTTCACATTCAAGATTCAAGTTGATGGTCCCTTCCGAGATCCTCGGATTCCTGTAGGGGCAGGCTAGTCGCAGGCTTCCAGCACGGCTATGGCCAGTACGAAGGTGGTGTCGATGCCGGTGCCCTATAGCCTAGAACATTCCCCTGTGGACAACGGTCACCCCTGGGCAAGAAAGAGACTTCACCACCACCACCCCTCGCAGCGACAGAGTTTCACCCGCTCCACCACCACCGGCGCCGCCACCTTCGCCATCGCTGTTGTCGTCGTCCTCGGCCGGTAGCGTCCTTGGCCGCCGAGGGAAGCGTGCCTGATATTGATTAATTGACACAAACGAGCGATGTGCAGCTACTTAACAGTACTGTAATCCACTTTCTAAATCAAGATCCTATCACATCCCCAGTATTGACACGGCACACTAATCTCTCTCACTCTCTCTTTCTGTGTGTTTATATCCCTTGAACCTGGGGCCGGAAACCGGAGACCGGGGCCGGCGCGCGAGCTGGTTGAGGTTGGCTCGTGTCCAGGGGAAGGACTGCGGCCTGCAAGAAGCCAGCTCTGGACCTCGCTTATCCCGTATTCCAATTCCAATTCCAAATACTTTTAATCATCGGCACCCTTGCACAGCTGGACATGCCTGCGATGTCGTGCAGATATAGCCTCTCCTTGGCCTGTTCCACCCATATATACATGGACTCTGGGGGTGCCACACTGGCTTTCCGGCATCTTACTGGCATCAAGGGTCAAGGTTGCCATTTTTCTTCGCACACCGGCTCTGCCTTACAGACCTGTAGACTGCAGACTGCAGCCCGTCGCAGCCAGGGTTTTGTGTCTTGCTTTTCCGCCATCAGGGTCAGGGTCACGGTTGAGCCGTTCGACGCAGTTGTGCCCTACGGTGACATTAGGCTTGTCCAAGGTCTGTCTGCTTTGTCACTTGCTTCCGAGAGAGACGGTGTGTGGTGATGTGGCGTGGCTGAAAAAAGGGCGGGGGCGTGGGCGTGGCTACTTATGACGACTGCCTGCTTCGACTGACTTGACTACCTTGAACATATCAGATTGATGACCAGTTACCACTGTCAGCATGATTCATTTATGTTCATGCCCATGCTCATGCCCATGCCCACAACCACGATTCGAAGCGGGCCGCCTTGTCGTTGGACACGTCAAGACAGCTTAGGTGCTCTTCGCAGGCCCCTAGGTCAGAGCACAGGGGACTCCAAGGAGGCAAGCGAGCTCTGCTGTACCATGTACCTACTATCCGGGATACTTGGGGTGGGAAAAGCTGCTAGCTGCTGGCTACTAGCTGCTAGTAGGCGTCCTGAGAAGATGAGAAAATCCTTTGACCTTCAACGAGGGCAGGTAGGCAGGTAGGCAGGTAGGTAGGTGTTCGTTTCGGATGCTGTGTTCAATTCTTTCCGCGCTGCTGGCTCTGGCTCTGGCCGGGCTGAGGGTCGTCATGCCAGTTGCGGATACACATACACATGGGCCATGCATGGCAGTACAGATCCTCCGTCCGCCCTTTGGTAAGGTAGGCGAATCTGCTTGTTCTGGCTTCTGGCTTCTTTTTCTATATTTGGTCCAGAAATACAAGTCCACGCACGGATAGGATACACTTCCACACACATACTCCGTCGACAGCGCAGAACTGACTGATGACTGAGGTAACGCTAGCTGGCTGGTCGATCCTAGTCCTGGTCCTGGTCGCCCGGCTGTGGTTCAGTGTCCGTGGCGCAATTCCAACTGCAACTGCTTGATCCTTATTTGTTGGTTAGGTGGTTAGGTTGTCGAGTCTCAACCCGTAGAGTAGACTCAGACTCAGACCCAGACTCAGACTCAGTCCGCACTACAGGATCCATTGACGCTACTTCCGTCTCCCTACTTCCTACTTCCTCCTACATCATCCACTGCAGCGCAGCAGCAGGAGGAGGCCGAGGCCAAGGCCGTTGGCGTCGAGACCAAGCAATTACTAGGCTAGGTCCTAGGACGGGTAAAGGTAGAACACAAGAAAACAGGACGGACGGAAAAGGATAGAACACAGCAAAACAGGACGGACGGAAAAGGATACAATACAAGAAAACAGAACGGACAAAAAGATAGAACACAACAGAACAGGAAGGACGGAAGCATTGGTTTGGTTTGAACTCGTATCTTGGATTTTACCTTCGGCATGGCTGCTATGAAAAGGGAAAACACAACGCCCCAGACGAGAGAGGACGTGAGCGGCCGATGCCACCACCACCGTCTACTAGTAGCACGCAGCGAGAGCAAGACCAAGACACACTGCTGCGCCTGCTGCGCCTGCTGCGCCTGTAAGCGTAGAGGGTGAAACCCATGTCACAGTCACAAACTTGCTCGGCGTAGCATAGCATAGCAATACAAGGTAAGGTGGGTGGGCCCCAGCTTCGTACGGCTTCGCATTCGCACTGTAGATTCGGGCAGCAGGAATTTGGCCCCCATGCCACTCAAGCCCATGATTCCGTAACAAGAAAAGCAAAGAGGATCTAGTTCTCATGCAAGACGTCGGTGAACTTGTCGCCGACGCGCTCAGGCTTGGATTTTTCCACGGCCTGCTGACCCAGCTTCTCCTTGGAGTATGCGGACACGTAGGGGTTGAGGCGGAGAAGGACCTGTCTGTTGCGCAGCGGGTTCTTCTTCAGCACGGCGGTGCGCTTGGTGACGGCGTAGCCCTTGGGCTCCTTGAGCACGGACTGGACTTCGGAGCTGTTGATCAGGCGGGTGATGTCGGCGTTGCTGACCAGGTTGGACGGGAGCAAGAAGTCCTTCTTCAGCCCGGACGTCTCGGTGGTCGAGCCGTAGATGGTGTCGAGCGCGGCAAAGGCCGACGATGTCCAGATGATGAAGCGTCCCAGGTGGCCGCCGGGCGCCAGCTGCAACAGGTTCAGCGCGAAGACGGACGAGGTCTCGACGCCGGGGATGTTGCGGAATGCGCGCACCAGATCCTTGCCGTCGGTCTCGGGGTTGTACACCACCAACGGGCCGCGGCGTTGGCGATATCGGCGGTTTCGCAGCTTGCCCTTGCCGGCGCGCAGTTTCCGCGACTTCTGCACCTTGACCACGTCAGGGCCGGCGCCCACTGCCTTCAGCAGAGAAACGGCGGCAGATGTCTTGACCAGCGCGGTGCCTTCGAAGGCCTTGCTCGACACCACCAGAGGAACTTCAGGGGCGGTCGAGATGCGATGGCCGCGAGCCAACAGGAGGGCCGGCACGGAACTGGCTGCGACGGCGGAAACGGTTGCGAATCGCCTGTGGTGAAATACCTGTTAGTCCTATGCTTTCCTATGCCAATGCCATGGAAATGCCATAAAAATGCCACACCACTTCATCATGATCATCACCCTCTTGATTGCGTGTGTCGTCGAGGGGAGACAGGTGTAGGCAGCGATGGGTGGAGAGAGAGGGAGGAGGGAGATTCCATACTTCTGACCCAGGTTGATCTTCTGATGCCACTTCCTCCAGACCTTGGTGGGTGCGAACATACGACCAGATCGGCACTGGTTACCGAACGCTGCTTGTCCAGCTCTGTGTGTACCACCGCCCGAGACACGAGGGATACGTGCGACAGCTCGGCCTGCCTCTTTGTTAGACCATTTCTCTTCTCAATCAATCTTTTCTGGGGCATCCTCGACGCACCTGTTCCCCATGACTCGGCTGAAGTCTGCTCGCCGGCCTTCTCGCTCACTGCGTATGGCTGTCTCTTGTTCTTGGCAATGCCGGTGTGGACGGACCTTTTGAAGCTCTTGTCAGTTCCATCGTCCTTGGACCATCAGTGGGAGGGTTTCCCTTACTGCACGATATCAGGTCGGATGGGTGCGTTGAAGACGGCGGGCAGGGGGTGCGTTTCACCGCTGCTGGAGCCATCTGCGCCCAGGATGCCGACGGTAGGACGACTCGACATCTTGACTGCGGGTGGGAGGAGTTGTTGTGCGGAAGATGAGAAGGTGAAAATCGGTCGATTGGGTACAGTGTCGAAGAAGTCAAGTCGTCAAGTCAAGTCGTCAAGTCAAGTCGTCTTTCCACCCACGGCGAACTTGCGTGCGAAAATTAGTCTGTGTGGATGGACTAGGCCCGATCGGGGCTGAAATCTTGGCGCATCGCAAGCCTTGGCATCTGCACTCTGGCCTTTCTACATGTAGTTCCCAACATCGTACTCGTACCACTTCCTTTACCATCTGCAAATCAGATACTCTGGCTTTTTATTTTTGGACATGATTTTCAGCGTTCTGCATGTTCGGAGGAGAGTTCTGCACTTCTCCTGCTGAAGTGGTGCGAAGGTGGCGGAGGCAAAACCCCCCAGCACCAGTGCTGAATCGACATCCGATTCTGTGTATAGGTATGTTGCTACGCCTTCGGCCTTCTTGTGCTACTTGAGGATGTCTATCCTCCATCTCCATTCTCTACTGGAACACTAGGTCGATAACACAAAACGGGAACGGTAAGAGACTGAAAGGGAGGATTTCAGCAGCAGTAGCCGCACATGTCACAGGATGGACATCCAAGCTACCATACCGTTGTCAATTCGAGCTGGGGGCACCTAGCTGGATTGCCCATGTCCAGCGTAGTTCCTGAAATGGAACATTTTCTTGTCCCTCTGTCCAGCGGCAAACCCTCTGGCGAAAGCCACTTGAAATGAGCGTGTTTACTGGGAAGCATTTCTGCTGTATCAACCTAGCTCACTACATGAGATATAAGGACACCGGGAATGTGGTTGGCACTAGAAAAACAAACTAAACGGCCTGTGTAACGTGCCAGTGCAGCAAAGGCTGACATTTGACTCATGGACAGTCCTGGCCAGGGCCGGTGAAAGCCATATGTCGGCAATCAAGAATGCCCATCTCATGCCAGTTCATCGAGATGAGATGATTTTGCTCGCACTCGTATCATTGTTTGACAACCTATTCTGGCCTTGAATCCGACCACTTTCCTAGCTGAAGATTCCCACATGCTATTCCCATTTCCTTACTGACCGTAGGCTGCTATGGCCGATTTTCTTTAACAGATCGTCACCACTCTCACTATCTGACCCTCGACAAGCTCATGACTTCTCTGCTTGACTTTTCGTTCAGACATCAATCGAGTCAACAACGACGCCCTTGACCCAGTCGTATTGCATGAGCCGCGCAACCTCCTGGGCCGATTCGTGGCTCACGAGCGCGCTGACGAGGTACAAACTAGCATCGATGCCACTGACCGTGCCTCCGGTCGTGATGACCCGCATGCCGCCGAGCTTCATGCTCTGGCGACGGACGAGGCTCTCACGGCGGACATTCGACTCCTTGCGGGCAAGACTGCCCTTGCGAGCGGTCGAGCCCTTGCGGCCCTTCTTGAACACGTACGGGTTCTCTTCCAGGTCCTCGCCCAGGTCGAATCGAGCATTGTTCACCACGTATCGCTCTTCCATGACGTCGGTGCGTTCGCCCATGTCGCGAGCCGCAGCGTCCTGGCATTCTTTCTCCAACTTGATGTAGAAATCTGGATGTGTGGTGGCGCCGAGCCCCTCCAGAAGACCCTGGTGCGCGAGCCACAACGCCGCAGTGTCGATGGCCAGCAGGGTACGCTCACGTGCCGGATCGGCCGTTTGCAATTCGGCAAAGTCCTTGATCAAGAGTGTTGGCTCCGCCTTTTGCTTGAGGATCTCTGTCGCGTTACCGCCTGGAACGACCAGGACATCGAACTCCTTCAATCGCTTGTGTGCTTCCTTGAACGAGATCTGTGCGGACAAGGTCACGCCCTGCGCAGTCAGAACATGCTCTTGCGGGCCGGCAAAGGTGATGTCAAAGGCTTTGGTCTCTGTTCATGTAGATGTTAGTGACTTGTGACTGGTGGGAGACGGACGAGAGGCCAAGATTGACATACCCGGATCGTTAGAGTTGTGTTGGGCATGGGTCAGGACTTGAAGGGGACCGGTAAAGTCAAGCAGGTTCACGTTGTCGTGTGTGGTGATGAGCACCTGGATGGGCTCGTCGACGTCATTTTCTCGAATCGCACTCATCTTGACGTCTTGGGCTGTGGTGTGGTATGAACAATAACAATTTCCTGGCGATTATGTAGTTCAAGGGGTCAAGGGGTCAAGAGGGAAAGGCGTTTCGAACGAGAAAGCTGGGTTGATCCAACAAGGGTGAGTGGCGGTGTGTAGGTGTGTAGCGTTTTGGTTGAGAACGGTGGTGTGAAGGTGAAAGGAACAGCACGGCGGTGGCAGTCAGGGTCAGGTGAGAGACAGGTTGGCCTCTAGAGTGACAGTCTGCTGTGAGCCCGAGTCCCTCGTCCTGATCCCTGCGGAGACCCCGCGATTGCAGTGCCAAATCGTGGGGTACAATACACTACAGAGTATAGTACATGTACTCAGTAGCAGTCACGACGAGGACGGAGCACTGCCAATGTGTGCTACGAACAGGTTCTACATGACAGATCTTAGAGCATCACACAAGATGCAGTTGATTGTTGCATTCTCTTTTCTTCTTCGCCGACATAAGATTGGAAGGCCGGAACTTTGAACTCGGGCCGAAGCACAAAGAGTTCAGGGTGGCCGTTCGGGACAGGAGCATTCTAGGCCCGCTCATGGTCGCAGAAATGTGCTTCGGACTCATTCAATATTAATGGCAAAGAATGGTATCGTTGAGAACATGTTCTCGTCAGTATAGAAGCCCTGATTATGTTTCCAACCCGTGCTTTAACTCAACTGGTGGCGACGAGTGTGTCGAAAAAACTACCATCTCAACCTGTACCGTGTCCTCCTGTTGCCGCTGTAGCTAGCAAGGCATTACTATGGGGCTCGGGGCCGCCACGGTATCGCTTTTGCTTCCGGGATGGGGATTCGAGGTCGATTGACTATCGTGTGATGCACCTCTGTTGGGGAGACTCGGTCAAGGTCCAGAATCAGGCACAGATGCTGAATTGGAAGCACATATGTTCCTTTGTCGAATGCCCCTCGACAAGGTCTAAGTAGACTGTGAAATGTAGCAAGAACTTATGATCACGTCCTAACACATACTACCTTGGGTACCTAACATGTACGGATACTTGCTCAATCATTAATGCTGCGGAAGTTGACCATACGTTCACGAAGCCTTTACTGTGCACCCCGAGCGTGGGCATGTCCCCGTCGTTGGCTTCTGCTAATTTGTAATTTGTAGAGCCCGGGAGGTGGGAGTTGCAGCAGTCAAAAGGCCTAACTAGGCCTTGGCCCCTGCTCCATCGGTGCATGCTCTTCAGGCTGCTGGAAATGATCCAATCCGCACTAAACTGTGGTAACCTTATCAATGGCGGGCCAGAGCGGCGAAGAGGAGAACGCAGTGGGCACCCAACGGTGCCTGGGACGCTAATCGTTAGTAGGTCTGGAGACGACGCCATGCGCCCAGAGGCAACAGAAAGGTAAGACGGACGAACTACGCCTAGGTACCTCGAGGTGCCCAGCAACTTGCGAGCCAGATCCTCTTCTTGGTCAACCCGCAACTAAGGTCGCAAACTAATAAGCCCATATCTCCGTTTTCTTGCTCTCCTTCTCATACTCTGTACATATCCTTCACTGCAGGTTTAACTTCTCTTTCGATTCTCTTACGCAGTTCTTTTCTTCTTCGCTCGGTCCAGGTGGTTCCACAAGAGCGGGCTATTCCTTTATCTCGGATTCGCAATCATGCATTTCTCGACACTTGTTCTGCTTCCCTTGTTGGTCGCGGCCGACCAGCAGGCTTTGAAAGATAAGGCCGCAGGATGGTTGGAAAAAGCCAAGGCCTACATCCCCAGCGGACCTCCGCCCAGCTTGAACCTGAACCCTATCGACGTCGGCGCAGCCAAGGTCGAACCAAAAGTCGTCGAGAGAATCAACATCCGGAACTGGGAGCGCAAACTGTCGCCCAAGCCTGACACCGAGGAGGAATGGCTGGTCCTTTTTACCGGTGGCAACAAGACATGCTTTGGCCGATGTGACACCGTGAACCAAAAATGGGCTGTAAGTGCAAGACATACTCCGAAGGCGTTGTGTGAGGTCTAACATGGACCTTTTTGTTATTTAGGAATCCACTCCTCTCCTAGCTGCGCTGCCTCAGCCCGCGGGATCGCCTGCCCTTCATCTTGGCTCGGTCGACTGTGACAAGGAGCAAGTCCTATGCACCGGGTGGGCGGCCAACTTACCGGCCGTGTACCATTTCAGCGTGCCCAAGAAGTCGGAGCCGCAAGCCAAAGCTCCCTTGCATATCGTCCCCTTGAACATGACCACTGTCACGGTGGACGATATTGTTTCCGTCGCCGCTGCATCCAAGGCCCGTTACCTCGAATACCCGGAGTACACCGGGTTCCTGCACCCTTTTGATGGCTGGGTAGCCAAGCTCAGCCTCCTGCAGCCCCTTGGCTACGTCTTGTGGGGATTCGGTAGCATGCCTAGCTGGTTGATGATGATTATCATCAGTTTCGTCTCGAGACAGATCATGAGTCGCAGGATGACGGGCGGACAGCGCGCCCCGGCTGGCGCCCCGGCCCAGGCTCCCGCTCAACAAGCGCAAACGCCGACCAGGCCTGCCCAGGCCGCAGGCGCAGCGCCCAAGTCCGGTGGAGGGAGAAAAAGGAAGTGAACTCGGGTTGAAGTGTGGCGAGGAGACAGTAATGGCTGGATGCCGGAAAAATCGGGGGCCGGGGGAAATGCGTTCTTACAGACTCGAATCTTGTTTCGCTTCAAGTTGCAGAAGCCAGGATCCTAGCTGATCATAGACTGGCGGTACATAATTTGCTACAATGTCGACTATAGCATTCCAAATGCCGTTGGGAGATGGGATCGCTTGCTCAATTGTACTCCATCCGTTCGCATCTCTCAGCACAGGTCGCGATCTGTCGTGTCTCTTTTCTAGTATCACAATACAATCCTCTGGCTATTAACCCGGCCCCTTTTCAGGCAGGCCCCTCTCGTCCGCCCACAGCATCGCTTTCGTGCTCTTTCGTAATCTCCACGCCGAGCTCTTTCTTCAACAGGTCAGTGAGACCGCTCCCGTCGCGCAAGTACACCCACCGCCCACCGGCACCGTCGTCGCCGACGTCGACGGTTGATTCCTCTTTCTCATGTTGTCCCGAGCCAGACCCAACCCAATCGAACCGCTTCGGACCGGAGATGGGGCTCGACAGCCAGATCTGCTTGTTAGGCGGTTGCTTGTTGATCACGTATGTGCCAAATTGTGGATGAGTGATAGTGAGAACACCGGCCTACCAACGCAAGCAAGGGTCAGTTGTTGAGCAATGTGATTCTACAAGGCTTACAGAAAGTGGAAGACAAGTAACACGGGGTGGTTTCAGTGCGATCTTGTCATGCATGGTTGCAGTACGTACCGAGAACTCGACTTCCACACCATCGCTGTTTGCCTCGCTGTATTCCTCCACCGAAAGCACCAGGCTGTCAAGATACTGGTCCGCTAGTTCGTGGTATTCACCGTCCGAGATGTGCGCCGCGCTCAAGCTGCCGCTGGTGGTCTCGGTCTTGGGTGGCTCCGGGTTGGCGCTGTCGGGTTGGAGGCCCTTCGAGGCCGATCTCGAAGTCGAGAACGGTGCTGCGGAGGCTTGAGGGGATCGGGCGCGAAAGAGCGGTCGGGGTAGGGGTATAGAGGCCTTGGTCTCGAAAGTCGACAGTGGCAGAAGAGCCCGTCGTGTTGACGATGGAGCTGTGCCGTGGACGAGTTTGAGGGTGTGCGCTCGCGGCGAGCGGAGTAGATTGCTTGCTTTCATGGTGGTATGGCCAGATTGCAGGAGTGCTCGAGACGATAGGGGGAGTAAAGATTGGGAAGAGCAGTCGGAGGAGTCTAAAGACCTTTGCAGAAACGATGATTTGGGTGTATGCTGAAGTATGTCAAGTCGGTTACTGGTGCTTGATACCGGGGGGTTTCGAGGTTTCGAGGTTCCGCCAAAATGACGACAAAGTCCCAATGCTTCGGCCGACAGGGATCTCGGAGGCACATCATTGGTGGATGCTAGTAAGGCACATAGTAGCTAAGGTTCTCGTGCACATTAAATGCATACTACAGAGCACAGTGCCGTAACGGCATCCAACGGGTGCATACCATCATTAAGGAACAAGTCTCGCTTGCGCGGAATAAGTATCACCAGTGCGTCTTCGACTCCCTAACCCTATACATATACATATACACCTCAATGCCGCTGCCAGTTCCGGTCTGCAAGTCCGGATTCTTCAGGTTCTTCCTCCCTCATAAACTTTCGGGCGCATGACACAAACTGGTCTCAGATCCAGTCTAAGTTTCGAATATCTTTCTGATAGGTGATGTTGAGACCATCCATGGAGTGAACGAAGTCTCGCCAATTCTTGCCTGAAGCCCCATACTGCCGGGTTTGAACGTGACGAGGATTGTGACGAGTGATGTGCCGTTCGAAGGTTCATATATGCCCTCTTCTGCTCGAAGCTCAGATGCTAAGGTAGAACCACTGCTATCCAGGTCCTTTCCATGGCATCAATGCCAATCTAGCTGCATGGCGGTGCCGTTCATGGTGTTGTGACTCTCGAGGTTGGTTGCCAAGTAGAAGCAGGTTTGAATGGTCGTCGGTGCTAAATGAAGACCAATTTGTAATTTAAAGGGCGCTTCGAGTTTGATTGATATCTTCACGGCGACGTCTCACCACCTTTGGTGAGGGCATCGACGTCCCAGCTTCACGCAGACGCTAAGGCGTTTGTAAAACAGGGCCGCCTCTAATCAGTGAAGGGCGCAAACCGCATTACTTCAGTGATCAAAAGTCTTGTTTCTTTCTCATATCTTCCGCCCTCGATTCGACATAGAAACCTGCGTCGGGAACTCTTTCTTGATGCACCTCCTCTTTTGTCAATGGTTTGTCCACTTCTGAGACGGCAACTAGCTCCTTGACTTTCATGATCTGACCAGCGACCGATGGTGTGACAGGGTGGAAAACGGTTGCCATCCGCTTGCGCAGACCGAGAGCTTTTAGGACATTGCCAGACTTTGCCGGCAGGCCAATGGCTGACCGGATTAGGGTGATGCGGAAATAGGACATGGCTAGGGCGATATCGAGTAATGCGCAGTGTGTGTAGAAATTGAGGGAACGCTGAGCTGTTGCAGGTTTCGACCGAACCCTCCGAGCTGGAACTGATGGCAGGATGCTAAGATGCAGGAACAGGGAGTTTACGAAAACCCGGGCCCCGAAGAAACGCGCAAAGGGAGCTAGCTTTTTTAGGCGGTTCAGTTCGGAGTACGCGCCCATGAAGCGCTGCGCGTGGTACCTGGAGACTGACGCCGCAGTTCACAGATCAGTAGAACCGTACAACAAGCACATCAAGGTCGTATTGGTTTGATGTTTACTGTCCCAGCCTCCTTCAGAAACCGTCGGCCTTGGACCCTTCCATGTATTCGCTGATGGAACAGGGTATCAGATAGCACGTCTTGCCCTTGAGTCGCCAGGACCGCTTCCTCTTCGACGCTACTTTCGACTCCGTTATGACTATGGCCACGAGCGCAAACGCCATCGGAGGCATACCACGTATACAAGATGCGCTCCGTACCCCGGAAGACCTCGAGAAAATTGCAGGCTTGAAAGCAGAAATCAATCGCAAGAAGGGCGATGCCGATGCCAGATTGCGAGAAGGACTGAAAGAGCATTTGGATACTACACAGAATGGGATGTCCACTCTCGCGGAAGGACAAAAGCTCGTGGGGCAAATCAGAGAGGAGATGAAGAGCATTCATGATCTCTGCGAGCAGGCGCAAGCCATTCGCAGGAACTTTCCCCAGCTCGATTACCTTGCCAGGGTTCATCGCAATTTCGAGGCAACGCGTGCTATGCAAGCGGGCCTGGATAGTTTTGAGAAGGACTGCGCCCATGTACAGAGACTCCTGGAAGACGATGAGACTAATCTGGAGGAACAGTCCAATCTTCTCGAGGCGCACATGCGTTTGACACGGTTGCGCGATTTCCGAGACGAAGCACTGGACCAAATCCGGAGAGGGAGGGACTCGAGCTTGGAGCAGACACTTCTCGACTGGTTCCAACCGCTTGACAGTGTCATTGAGATCTTTGATGATCACCTTGGCCAGATCTGCCTGAATCTCATCGAGCTGGTCCAGCAGGATAATACTGGCATCATTGTCCGCCTTGCCATTGTCATTGCATCAGAAGAGAAGAATGATGACCGAGTGCGAGCCCTGCAAGACGCGCAGAAGGATCACCAAGACCTCGTCAGCAAGTTCACGTCGTTTACCATCGGACCTAAAACCATTCGCGGATACAAAGAGAAATTTCTCCGGGCCATCGAGGCCGTGGCGCAAGCGAAATTCGAACAGACAGGCGAAGATTTCCAGGCCGATCCCTCCAGACTTGAGAAACAAACCAAGTGGTTTTTCAATGACCTGTTCATATGCAAACAAGGAATGCAAAACCTCTTCCCCAAGAAATGGAAGATCTTCCAGACATACGTCGACATCTACCACAAGCAAATGCACGATTTTCTCATTTCATTTGTGGACGCGGAAGATCTCCGACCGCCGCAAATGCTGGGGATCGTGCACTACGTAGATGTTTATTACAGCAAGATGAACAAACTGGGCGTTTCGCCGGCCCAGTTAAAGCCACATGTCCTAGATTCGCGTGAGGGTGACCTGATCCGCGAGTACAGAAACATCATCACCAAAGCTCTCAATTCTTGGATGGACAGGATGTACATCAGCGACCGAAAGAACTTTTCATCGAGAGCCCCGGACGCCATCGAGCAAGACCCAGAAGGACATTTCCGAACCAAGACCCTTGGCGATATGTGGCGGATGTTACACGAGCAAGCTGTAGCAGCAGGCGATTCGGAGCGCGAAGACGTTGTGGAAGGTGTGATGATTGCAATGTTTAGCGCCTTGAAGTCACGCCAGCAACAATGGGAGAAACTCATCGACGAAGAAGTAGACCGATACAAAAACCCAACGCCAGAGCAACTTGAGATGCTGCAGCCACTTCAGGATTGGCTGCTCGCCATCGCAAACGATCAGATTGCTTGTGTGGACGACGCCGCCGCAGATGTGATTGACGAAGACCCGACCGCTCAGAAAGGCTATCTAACTCGATTCCGCGAAGACTTTGCCAAACTACCTACACCTCCGTCGGCCAAGTTCATGTCCACCAACGGCACCAGCGAGTTAGATGCTCTTCGGGATGGCTATGTCGATCTGGCCACCCACTGTATCAATTCTTTTGTCCAGTTGATCTTCCGCGTCGACTTCCGCTCGATTTTGACCGAGTTCTTCGTCTCTGGGAAGTGGTACGAGCAGGCTGCGATGAAAAGGATCACCACGACCTTTGATGATTATATCGGAGACTACAGTTCAACATTACATCCATCACTCCTGGACATTTTGATCGAGGAGCTTTCAGATGCTCTGTTGGTGAATTACTTGACGTCGATTCGGACCAACCGCGGGGTCAAGTTTAGGCGAGGTGAACCTTTCGCTGCTAAGTTCAGGGATGATGTCCTTGCCGCCTTTGCCTTCTTCGAGAAATATCCCGAAAGCTTCAATGAAACCATCAAACCCAAGTGGAAGGTTGTCAACTTCACAGTCCAGTTCCTCGAAGCGGACAAAAACGACGTGGTGGGAGTGTATGAACAATTCAAGCGGGAGTTCTGGGATCTGCAACTGAGCTGGGTGGAAGGAGTTCTCAAAACTCGAGACGACTGGGACCGCAGCATGATCACGGCAGTCAAAAGGGCGGCGGCCAGCACTTATGCGGAACGAGGTATGGACACGATTATGGGAAGAGTCAAGTAAACGGATGTTTCACCACAGATTATTCAGCACAAGCTTCTTGCGGGCAAGCTTGACCCTCTTCTGTTGCATCATGGGTGCATTGGAGAGTCGGCCACAGACACCGATAGGCCATCAGGACTGCCTGGCTATAGCCTTACAGCTGACCGTCAATGTCTCGAATCGATTGGGATTGCCCTTTACTAGTCAATGTCTCGAATCGATTAGCATTGCCCTTTACTAGCCCAGCCCAACGCAGGAAGACAGATCAATCCGACGGTACTTAACCCAGCGTTTGGTCATGACCCAAATCCGACATGGAGCGTGCGCGGCACAGGTATTTGTTTTTTGCAACTCCGGCGGTTCAAGCATCAAGCCAGTTTCTTACTGGAGTGTCTCCCGCGTTCGACTTCAGGTGCAATCAATGGAGTATCTCCCGCGTTTCGACTCCCGGCGCAATCAACAGAAAGCAAGAGCCCTGCTCTAGTTGGGTTGTCACAGCAAACAAAGCAGTCAGAGTTGAGGGCAAGAATGGAATAGAATGGAATGGCCAAGTTAACTAGGTAACTTGACTGGTTGGTGGAGAAACTGGTGGTTCCAAACTCGAAGCCCGAAACGGATGTATGGTATGGGGAACTCATAAGAGTGTACTCCGTAGTGTAGAGCGGATACTGTATGGCAAGTGCTAGGGCCTGCGTTTGAATACTGGATACTAGAGAGAATACTGGATACAGACAGATATGTACACATGTCGCGTCTCATCTCATCTATACAACAGGACAGGACGCTCGCTCACGACAGATCAGATCAGACGCTATTTTGAATCCAGAGACTGAGCAGCCAGATCAGATCGAATCGAATCGAATCGAATGCAATGCAATGCTAGAATTAAATCAACAGGCCGGCAACGGCAACCGCCACACATGCCGCCACGCTCCATACCATACCTGGCAACTCGGTCGGTGCCGCACCTCCGGTGTACGTGGCCGGAGAGACTGGCGAGGCAGGGACAGATCCTGATCCTGACGCCGCGGCGGGCGCCAACCAGCCGCTGTTACTTGGTGGTGTGGTCGAGGCCGAGGCTGAGCTCGTGGCAACGGGAGCGACGACCGACTCCAGAGAGATGGTTGTTGGCGCCGGCGCACTGACGATGGTCTCGGTGGTTCCGCTTCCGCCGCTGGTCAGGGTGAGGGTGATGGCGCCGGTCTTGGTGGAAAGCTGGGCAGCTTCGACGGGGACGACGGTGTGGGTCTGGACGGCGGTGGCGGTCGGGATGGGGATGGTCAGCGTCACGGTGGTCAGGGTTTCGGCGCACGCCGAGCACACGGTCACGGTGGTGGTGAAGCCGGTGGGAACTCCGTTGGGTCCCGTAGGCCAAACGAAAGGAGTGGCTGTGGCGGTGGGCGCGGCCTCCGTGACGGTGATGGTCGTGGTCAGGGTGAATGGCAGCGTGGTGAAGCCGGTGGGACAGATGTCAATGTAGGACGTCACCCACACGGTTGTGGTGTAGTCGGGCCCAATGGTCACGGGAGCACTGGTGGTGGTGGGCGCGGTCGTTGTCGTCCAGTCTTCCCAGGCGAACGGAGTGGTGGTTGCGGTCGATGCCGAGGTCGAGATGGGACCAACAACAGCACTTGATGAGCTGGTCGTGGTCCAGTCAGCCCACGTCCCGCCGATGGCGGTAGAGGTCGAGGTCGAGGTCGAGACGGTGGTGCTTCCTCCGATGGGACCGACATCGTTGCCGGAAGTGGTGGTGGTCGAAGACGTGGTTGACGCTGCTGGGCTGGTGGTGCTTGTGGTGGTGCTGCCGCCAATTGGTCCAACCTCGTTGCTCGAAGTGGTGGTGCTGATCGTGCTAGAGCTGCCTGAAGTTGAGGTTGAGCCACCGATGGGACCGACTTCGTTGCTGGTGGTGGTGGTGATGGTGGTACTGGAAGTGCTTGAGTTTGTCCATGTCCAAGAGGTGGTGGGGAAGCTGTATGGGGGGGTAGTCGTCGTCGTTGGGACGGCGACGGTGGTGGTGGTAGTGGTAGTGGTGGTAGTGGTGACTGGAGCTTCGGTAGTCGTGGTGGTGGTAGTGACTGGAGCTTCAGTAGTCGTGGTGGTCGTCGTGACTGGAGCTTCGGTCGTAGTCGTCGTCGTCGTCGTCGGGACAGCGACGGTGGTGGTGGTGGTAGTGGTGACTGGAGCTTCAGTAGTCGTGGTGGTGAGCGTGGTGCTGGTGACCGTGGTAGTGGACGATGTAGTGGTAGTTACCACAGGGGCGCAAGACAACTCGCCGAACAGATCCTTGATGTTTTGAGCATAGCTCTTCCCATTGATCTGGTTGTTGGCCGAGTAGGTGGCTTCCCACAGCATGACACCGCCAAAGATGGATTGATAGGTGCTGCTGCAGGCATATGCCTCGATCAAGGCCTTGGCCTCGGTCAGGTCCAGGTAGTCTTGGGAATGGGCAGCGTCGGTGGATGCTGGGAGACCGACGAACAGCTTCACATTGGGATTCTTAGAGTAGGTCTGAAGCCAGCTGGCCCAGCCAAATGAGATGTCGGTTGCCGTGTTCAATGACCCAGTGGTGAAGAGAGATGCGGCGGAGCATTGATCGGTGTTGTAATATTGGACGAACCTAGCCCATGTCAGTAGCTTCTCACCAACCTGGAGGGGGACAGATGCCCATACACATAGTCAAATTCGGCGTTTTGGATGGCATCGGCCAAGTGAGCATCGGGGACGATACACTGCGGGGCGGAAGAAATGTAGTATTGCTTCGGTTGGCCGACGAAAAGGCTTCTCAGTTCCGTGACCAAGTCGGCGTAACCGAAGGGGCCGCCGGATTCAATGTCCAGATCGAACCCGTCCACCACTACATCGACGCCGAATGGTCGGGGATAGAGGGTTTGGGTGGTGTCTTGAGGGGGACCGTATGCTCCCCACAGAAAGTCGGCAAAGTCTTTGGCTGATTGGGATGAGGCGATGAAGTTTCCGGGACTGTCGCCACCGATAGAGACGAGGATCTTCTTGCCCAGTGCCTGACAGACGGGAATGTCTTCTGCGATCTGCCAACAGCTGGTGAACATCTCGGTCTGGGTGCCATCCGGGGCGACCCAATACGGACTGCCACAGGCATTGCCATAGTTAGTTGCTGGATATCCATTGTTGGCGCCCGCCTGGTCGGGGAAGACGTTGACGAAACCAATCGGGATGACATCTATGGTGGTATCCTGGCAGAAATCGGCCAGTCTTTGCTGGCCGGGTCCTTGGCCCTATATTCACCATGAGAGTCAGCGCCCAAGACACACCACACGCCACACACCACACCCCCTCCCCGCGATGATCGGTTGCTGGTCATCTGGTTCTTACTTACCCAGTACACGGAAAGACTGGGGGTGGAGAAAGCCCGTTTGGAAGGTCTTGATCGGGTTTCGAGGATGGGTGAAGCGATTGTACAAGAAAAGAGCGTAAGTGCCGCCAGCAAGCTGGCAGTTAAACCGGTCGGAGCCATGGTGAGGGTGGACGAGGAAGTCGTGCCAAAAAGAAAGACTGAAATGTGGGAAAAGGATAGAACCTGGGCTGGGGCTTCCACAACGAAAGGAGTGACTGGGCAAAAGAGGCCCGTAGAGCAGAAAATGAAGGTCTGGAAGGACTGGACGCAAGCAAAAGCTTGCAGCGTAAAGCAAAGGAAAGGACCGTGGGTAAAAGGAAGGTGAGGGTACAGAGGAACAGAGCGAAAGGGAAAACAGGGAGGAGAGGGAGAAAAGCACAAGTCAGAAAGAGGCCATATGAAGGAAGCTTAGTGAGTAGTGAGCACCGCGACTGGCCTGGACACAGTTGGAGTTGGATGCTGGATGCTGGATGCTGGATGCTGGATGGTCGGATGACAGCATCTCTCCACATGGTCGCTGGTGGTCAGTCCATCTGGAACACACTTGCGTATACTGATGGATTCGGGTAGAGATTGGACTAACAATGGGATGTACTTTTGGGGCCAAGGCGACAATCGACAGTAGTAGGCCATGAGCACTCGGGATAGCCTCTGTATTGACTCTGTATTGACTCTGTATAGCAGTAGTACTCTGTGGTATCTCTTCATCCTGCGGCAGTCTCGGCCTCGCCTGTTTGTCCTGACCCGACTCAGGAGTAGTGTGCATGATGGGATGGGTCTCGCGAAACGTGCTCCGGACCGTAGGTGTCAAGGGACGCGTGAGGTGTACTCCGTACTAGTCGGAACATGGACTTGTTTGCCCTTCTAAACTGCTGACTTGACTTCTGTGGTCCTGGCGCCGGGGGATGTCGAAATACGGGATACTACGTAGCAGTAGTGACTCGACTCTGTGAGGAGCAGAGTTGCAGCGGCTCTGGAGCGGTGTCAACTTCGGTTCGCGCGTGATGGGACTCGACAATCTCAATCTCCAGAGCTGGGGGCCTGCAAGGTCTGGCAAGGTCTGCGAGGGCTGCAAGGCACAGCATGCGCCCATGCGGAGTGCAACAGACGCCGTCGATTGGAGGCTGAGTCGAGCGACCCTTCAACCATCCTGTCAGGGGTAGCTTCTTGCCTCTTTGGGCCTAGGCAGCCGTACAAGCTTCCTTAGCGCGCCGTTCAGGGGCTTAGGCCCGATGGAGGCGCCAGCCTCAATTATTAATTACTGCATCAACACCAACATCAAACCGCCCACTGGGACCTGGCACCTGGCACCTGGGACGCCCACAGCCACAGCCTTAGGCCACTGCCCGGAGCGCCGTGAGATCTGTGGCGACGCTTGCCCGCCCTGGGTTGACAGCCACAGCCACCTTCACCGTTGCGCCGTCGCCATCGCCCTCGCCCTCGCCCGGCCTGGCCCCGAGGTCGAGGTCTGCCATGTATATCGCAAGGCTGGGATGGGCGAGGCCCTGGCCCTTACTCCGTGCTCCGTCCCAGTATTCCTGATGCCACCGTCCAGGCTCGGACTTGAGGTGACTGTCAACGGAGAAAGGTGCGTCCTGAGTATTGTTGTAGTAACATTTGATTGCGAGGCTCAGATTGCGCTCCACCACATCGAGCTAGACACGATTAGTATTAGGTAGGCCTGTTGACCAAACACCCAACACCCCCGTGTCGCGTCTCTTGTTTCTGAGAGGCGGATTTCATGCCTCTGTTACTGTTACAGTAGTGACGCTGCTAAGCAAGATCGGAATAGAATAGCAATTCCCTCCCTATGGTTGAATACGTAACCAGGACTTTTAGCCGACAGCCCATTCTGCCCTGAACCCTGAACTTCAGTCCCTGTTCCCCTTGAGACTGGGTAAATTGAAATCAACCATATGGAGCGACGTCACAGTTCCAAGTTCTGTCCACCGTAACGGCCTCAATGCCAGCCTCCGTACCACCTGCACTCCAGCTTCACAGCCCAGAAGGAGGTCTAAAGTCACACACTGTCCGTCTTCTTCCCACCCAGGTCAGAGACATCCACGCATCCATCGGTGCTTCCTGTAATCACGCATATACATGCAGTGGCTCTCGACGTCCCGAACCGTCGTCTAGGAATCCGGCGCCTGCTTCTCCGACATGACTGACTCATGGACAACATTTTCACTGCTGGTTTCGCTGCTAACTTCCTTTATCGGACCATGGAATCGCTTGCGGGCACGAAGGAAGTAGTTGACCGCGGCAATGACCATGACCCCCACGAAAACAGGAGAGGCGTAGTTCATGTTCTGGCTGGTGACGGGCAGGATTGGCGGGAACGGCAGGAAAATGATGAGGAAGAGGCAGAACACAACCGACAGGATGTTGATGGCCAGACCGAACCGGCCCAGCGTCCACGGTCCAAATCGGATCGGATTGTCCGTGCTGAATCGACGCATCGCAAACAAGACCGTAGGAATGGCGTAGGAGAAATAGAAGCCCAGCGTCGTCAACGAGATCAAGGCGTTGAACGCAGTCGTTGACCCGATGTTGATCAAGGAGAGCAGCGAGACGGAAACAAAGATCGCGAGCACCGAATTGGTCGGGCACTTGTTCCACGCCGTGAGGTGGGAGAAGAAGCCTGAGAACGGCAGGCCCTTGTCACGGGAGAACGCCCAGATCAGTCGCGAGACCGAGGCCATACACCCAAACAGGTTCATGGAAAACACCAGGATGACGGCGGTCATCATGGCCGTGACCGCCTTCTGGTTGCGGGTCGCTTGCAGGAAAACAGCGATGATCGGATATCCGGTGGGGGTCGCAAACACGGCATCGGTATCGGTGATGGCGTACAGGATGGTCAAGATATACGCGAAGGCGGCCGTCCCGTTGATCACCACCGACCAGATCATGGCTCGCGGCACATTCAAGGGCGCATCGTAGGCCTCTTCGCTCATGTGGACGACTGCGTCCACACCGGCCAGAGCAAATGCCGGGGTCAGGAACCCGAGGCAGAAGCTGACGCCGTCGCTGCTCCAGCCACCGTCGTTGATCAGCGTAGCCCAGACGTCGCGATTGCTCGACTTATCGCTGGTCGCGAGGATGGTAATCATGACAATGAAGAAAAACAGCACGTGTAGAACCCCTCCCAAGGTCTCCCAGAGAGGCAACAGCTTCTTCCCAAGGGTGTTGCCGAGAGCGGCAATCCCAGCGAATGCAATCATAATCAAGGTCGCATGCCATCTTTCCGCCTGATACCCGGAGTAGTTGAGGATGGCGACCCCTTGGATCATGGTAGCGATCAGGTAGCAGACCGACGCCACGGCTGCAACCCAGCCAGTAATGGTGATCCAGCCCTGGATGTAGCTGATGAGGGCGCGCCACTCGAGCGGCGAGTGCTCGGCGCTCCAATGATACTGCGCTCCAGCAATTGGTGAGCTGAGAATCTCCGTTAGCCACGACACGAACTCTTGAGTGCAACCACCCGCAACAACGTACATAGAGGCCATTTCGGCCAAAGAAGCTGCAATGCACAGCGTGCCAAACACAGACACGATGAAGCCGTATACCACAGAAGCAGGCCCGCCATTAGTGTATGCCCCAGCGAACAAGGCACTGGTGGCTTCCCAGGTGCACAATGTCGTCGCTGACATCCCCAGCAGTGCCCAGAAGTTCCATTCTCGCTAGATCCAGCAGTTAGAGACCAAGCACGAGCATCACTTGGTCAGCACACGTACTTTCAGCACCTGTTTCTTGCCGGCAGCTTCCAATGCTGCCGCGTCTGAAGTATACACTGCCATGCTGACGACAATGCACGACTGTGAAGGGAAAGCACATATAAAGGGAGTGGAACGGAGAGATGGAAGAAGAGCCGTGGTTAAGGAGAGATAAAAACCCCTACTTGCTTCTTGAAGGCGGCTTCCGTCCCTCTGCTGGGAGATGTAGGGGTGTACGCCTAGGCGTCGAAGCGAAACAAGGCATAGTTTGCGCTTAGCTGAGAGTGGCAGCTGCGAGATAGCAACCAGTGACCAGTTCCCGCTTCCACCATCATCGCATTGTTTTTGTTAGCATTCTAAACGTTGATACAACAAAGGCGTTGCATTTCCCAAGGGTTGCTTGTCCCCTTGTGGCGGGGCTGCTGGGGTCGGAAGGGATGGGGGCGCACATCCGGTAGACACATCACAAGTTCCTCGACTCCCTTCCGCCAATGGTGAGCTAAAGTTTGTAGCCCATCACCACGGTGCATATGGTAGTGCTTGGGAATGCGCCACCTGTTTCGGGGCCGGTGCCGCTAGATGATAAATGCCGGTCAAGACTTACCTGAGGTATGCCTGCAGGGACTAATGAGCTTGTTGAGCCCTCTTGTTCTTGAACCAAAATGCCGTATGTCGCTCTGATAGGACTCCAATCTTCGTTGTTGGTGCCTTTCCTATATTTTTGGTGAAGAGGATGCCCCTGGCAGAAGACTAGCCCGACTTTTCGGATGGAGAATAGGTTGAATAGATACGAGGGGTCGAAGAGCGCACATGGTGTCATTTCGAGCGAAACGAGCCATAGATTGCTGCTTGTCCGGGCACTCCCAAACTAGAGTACGGAGTACAGTAGTCCCTGCTGGAAATCCCCAATGGCGTTCGACTCCGACCACTCAATAACATGTGCGTTGTAACGTAGGCAAGCCATGGGTGCATACATGCAACTTTGTCACGCACCTAGAAGAAGGGCCCTGCACAATGAGCGGGCCCGATGGCTCATGAAGCGAAGATCACACCGCCTTGACATACTCCGTACTACCGTACTTCAAGGTCGAAGGAGGATTCCTCAGAAACGTGGCAGACAAATGAAGCGAGGGTGAGGGCGATCTGAGAACCTCCAAACTCCACTGTGAGGCCTGTCGTCGATGGGGATACAGTATCCGTACTCCAGATGGGGCATCCGTACTCCGTACACAGATGCTGAGACCCCGCTGGCTGAGCCCATGGGGACGAGACCATGCCGCACACACTTGCCTGGACACCGTGGCCGCACTCGAGGACAGGGTTAAAGTGCCACAGAGTCGTGGCCCAATCATGCCCACTGTAAAGGGCGCAGGCGCTCATGGAGGGTCTGCGAACCGGGGTCAGAGACATTAAACGGCAAGCTGTCGCTAATTAACGCCTCCAACGGAGGGAGTATCCGTACTCCGTGGAATGAATGATATCGCCATGCTTTGAGCTTGTCCTTTCTTGAAAAAGAAAGCCACTGCTACTGTCAAGGCGACGGGCAAGATGACAAGATGGGAGGGAATTCTGGAGACACGCGCTCGCGCTCGCCGGAGAAAAGACCCTCCGTCCCGGCCTCTCACCGCCTTGGCATCTTCCGCGGCAGAATTAATTTCTGAACGCGCCCAAACTTGAAGACTACGAGTAGACCTCCATCTGCAGACAAGACGAATCGCACGATCTAAAACATCAAGTCTAGATCAGCGCAAATATTGGAAAAGATGACAGCACCTGTAGACGATGCCGCCGTGGTCTTTGCGGAACTTGGAGACCTGGAAAAAGAGTTTGCGCAAGTCGAACTCGACGCCTGTATGTAGCATCCCAGAATGGGCATCTTGTCTCTATGTCGCTAACCTTTTCGTTCCAGTGCGAAGAAAGGAGTACGCTTTGAAACCTCTCTATTCCAAGCGTGAGACGCTGCTCAACAGCGTGCCTGACTTCTGGCCCACAGTCTTTGGGAATGGCCCGGAAGAAATCCAACAGTTTCTATCACCCGACGACCTTGCACTCATCTCTGTTATCACCTCGTTCTCCGTCGAGCGATACCAGATCGAGTCTGAAACTGCAGGAGAGCCGCGCAGCCTGCGGTTTACGTTCGAATTTGCCGAGAACGAGTTCATTGAGGACCGCAAAGTGGTCAAGGAGTTTGAGTACAAGCCTCGAGAGGATGGCCCCGGCAGTCTGGTGTCTCGACCAGTTCTGATCAAATGGAAAGGCAAGAAGAAGGACGTCACACATGGCTTGCTCGGCGCTGCTGTTGAGCTTTATGCCGCGGAGGAAGCCCTGAGGCTGAAGAATGGTGAGACGGAAATCGACATTGTGGAGCGGGAGTCGCTGTGGCAGCATGAAAAGCTGCGAGAGCAGCTGGTCAAGCTGGATGAAAGCCCTGAGCTAGAACCGAGCTTCTTTAACTGGTTTGGCTTTCGTGGGGCCGTAAAGACCGCATATCCCAAGAAGGCGGGGGAGGACAGAGCCAATGGTGCCGAGGACGATGAGGACGAAGACGAAGAGCCAATGTTGGAAGTCGAAATCTTCCCTGCCGGTGAGGAGTTTGCGATTGCGCTCGCGGAAGAAGTGTGGCCCGACGCGATGGACTACTTCAGTAAGAGGCATCCTTCCGCAAACTACCAAATCTGTGAGACTGACCTTCGTCTAGTGTCTGCTCAAGAGGAATCTTCATCCTCATCAGAAGTCAACGGCATTCTCGTTGATGATGGTGAAGACTCGTCGGAAGATGACGATGTGCCGGAGTTGGTCGAAGGAGAAATCGCACCGGAGGTTGAAGCAGAGGATGCGAGGCCACGCAAACGCCAACGCAACGTCTGAGTAGCTGGTCCTCGGCTTAGCTGACCAGGATTTGTCGCAATGTAACACCTGACCGTCCAAATGTAGTTTTGAGAGCGGGATGCCGTTGAGGATCCTCGCTCGACAACCTTGCATGCCCACCTCTGTCGGCGCGTTGCAATGTGTTTCCTTTTGTTCACAAGATAATAACCAAAATCAACAAGATGATCAAAATGACAATCAACACTCCAATGCAGCAACTGCTGACGTTGTCCTCGTTCTTTCTGATCACCTCTCCCACTTTTCTTACTCCAACACTTAGCTTGCCGCCCACGCGGTCAGCCAACGTGTCAACTTCGTCCAGCAAATGACCCTGCTCTTCTAGTTCGCGCCCCATATCCTCCGCCTGTCCACGGAGGACGCCGACCGACTGAAACACGCCGTCAAGCTGTTCATCCTGCTCAGCCATGATGGTTGCCTGCTGCTGCGCCTCGAACGCACCATACGGGTCACCCTCGGTGTCGGAGTCGTCGCCATCCTCGAAGGTGGCCGGCGCCGGGAGCCTGCCCGATCTGGCGGGGGTAGGTCCAGCAATATGGGAATCTGCAGTGACGCCCTCGAGCTCGCGGCGCATGCCCTCGACCTCGTCACCGACATCCTTGACGAATTGTCTTCGTCGCTGAACTTCTGCAACGTCAAGACCGAATCGGTAGGGATCAGATTCGGCGGCAGATACAGACTCAAGTAGGTCTGCCAAGTCGGTAGTCAAGGTTTCAAGGTTGGCCTGCAAGTCGGCATGGGACTGCCGCAGTTCGGGCGATGTAGCGGATGTCGAGAGGGTGCGAATGCGGAGGTACGAGGAGAAGAGATGGCGCGTAGATTGAAGTGTCGATTGCACGTCCCTTTGCAGAGCAAGAGCAAGTCAGCTGTTGGGCCTTCGAACAAAGGATATGTGTGCAAAGTGAGAGTGGTAGGATGTTGGAACTCACGTTTGAACTTCAAGGAAGGGATCCTCAGATTGAGGATCCGCCATGGTCTCAACTGTTTGAAGCCTCTTTAGACTCCTCGGCGCTCAAGCGCAGCTCCTGGGGCACTACTGCATCATCGTAGTTGCGGCGATGTGTGTATATCGAGGGGAATGTGAGGAGGATGAAGCCTGGCTGCCACCCTAGCCAACGTGGTTCAAAGTTGTGGAACCGTCCAATGTCATCGGAGGCTATTCGCCGAGCCTTACTCCGTACTCCGTACACGACGGATATTATAACTATATACTATACAGACACAATGCCAGTCTCAAGGCTATCCCGGCGCAGAGAGCATAGTGTATCTCAGCTGCCACAATTGCACTCAGGTGGAACTCGTAGCTACTTGTACAGCGTACCCATGGTCCTTGCCATAGAGTACCAGGGCATATCTATGAACCTATTCACCACCGCTTACTCCTTGCCAGCCGGGGCAGTTGCAACCTCATTGTACTGCGTCCCGTGGAGCTGATCATACATCTCGAGGCCTCGTCTGGGTTGACCATCTGCATTCTCGCGGAGTATCTTCAGACTCTGCTCGATTGTACTGGTCGCCCTTTTCAGTTGTGCTGTAAGTTGCTTTCCAAGAGAAGACTTTTTGATAGAGTCGAGCTCCAAGGTTAACTTGATCGCACTCTGCAGCGGCAAGAGGTCCTCAAGCACGGTGTTCTCCAAAGTGCGCGTTTCAATCTTGCCCGTCCCGGTTGGCGGCTTGACTGAGCCGGCATGAGAACCTGCTGATGCAAGGTGGAGCATCTTTGTCGCGTAGTTTGCGGCCTTGGCCACATCGGAATCCAATCCATTGACTGCCTTTGCTGCTGCGAGCTCCGTCAACACGCTCGCAACCAGAGGCGACTTTCGAGAATCGACCTCATCCTCCTTGAGCTTTGTGGCGCCGTGCAACTCATCTTCGAGCATTCGCGCCACCCTTTCGGCTCGTCGAGACGCCAATTCCAGCTCATCGCCTTTGAAGTCCGCAAGAGCAGCACGAGTGTGAAGGCCAAGCATCAATTCTCTTGCTACACCCTTCTTCGACAGCCTCAAACCAGTCTCATCTGCCTTCTCTGCGCAAAGGATTATTATGCGTTCTTTGCCCATTTCGCTCGCTTTTCTTGTGATCTTTTCGAAGAAGAATGTGGGGATTGTCTCTTTTGCCAGGACCATTCCGGTGAGAAAAGGGGGCAAATTCTTCCAGGCGGCATCGCTATTCGTATTGCTTAGAATGTCTAAGATCGCCCGCAAAGACTTTTTCTTGTTTGGCTTATCGTAGAAGTTCATCGGCTCCAGTTTGATCTCTTCATCGTTGGACATGGTGACAGTGACCCCGGGTTCGTTGATGAGCGTCTGGTGCCGTGAGGGTTTGTAGATGAGAGCTCGGTGATGATCCTGCAGTGCGGCAGGCATGAAGACCTTTTGCCGCCATGATAGTAGTAGTTCGTCGAATTCTGAAGAGGGCGTAGAGCTAAAAGAGGGTATTACTTCAGTGCTGTTAGCTGCATGATTTCAACTTTGTCCCGAGAATGTTCGAGGTACCTTTGGATCTTGCGAGACTGGTACTGAATGATCGTGTTCCCTGTGAAGCATGTCGGACACCTTGCCGACAACTCCGACAAATATACAGAACAGGCTGCCGTGTTGACGCCATATCTGACTTGTCAACGTGCTGGAACGGCGAGACGTTGTACCGTGACTATATGTATTTCTCACTCCATAACTTGAAGCGCATGGGGCGGCATAAAAAGTGCCCGTTGCACCTTGCCAAAGCAGGTAGTCTAATCATGCCGCTTTACTAAGCAGCCTCTGAGAACCTCAACGCTTGCGTGCCCGGTCACTAACAATACCTAGTAGGTGCCTAGGTAGGTAATTAAAGGGAGACTTCCTTTTTCTTTTCCAGGATGGAATTTTGAACGGAGTTGACGCAGTTACTCTGCACCGGAGTTTGAAATAATGTCCGTACCAACGATCGACTTGCGCAAGGCTGAGGAACCCTCCAGCCGTGGTCAGTCGCAGGAGGACATACGCCATGCTTTGATTGACGTGGGCTTTCTTTATCTGTCAAATCATGGCATTGACGAGGCTATCATTCAGGACCTCGTGAACATTCTTCCAGATCTGTTTGCCTTGCCCGAGAACGTGAAGGAATCTGTGGCCCTGGTGCAGTCTCCTCATTTTCTCGGCTACAGCAAATTTGGAGCGGAGATCACTGCTCGAGTTCAGGACCAGAGGGAGCAATTCGAGCTTGCAAATGATTTGCCTGACAAACGCAGCCTCAACCCTGCCCTCCCTTTGTACACGAGGCTCCAAGGTCCTAACCAATGGCTCCAAACGGACGCTGTCCCAAGGTTTCGCGAGATAGTCGAGTCGTACATCACAGCCCTGCAAGACTTGGCCCTTCGGTTCCTACGGGTGGCAACAGAAGCTTTGGACCTACCACCTGACAGCCTTGTGGGCTTTACTGGCCCACAAGATCGTCTCAAACTGGTACATTACAGACCGTCTCCAGATGCCACGTTCGACGCTCAATCACAAGGCGTGGGCCCGCACAAGGATAGTTCCGGCTGGATGACCTTTCTTCTTCAGGCGTCAGATCCCACTATCAAAGGCCTTCAAGTTCTCTCCAAGGATGGGGCTTGGCTCGACGTCCCGCCGGTTCCAGGTACTTTGGTGGTCAACATGGGCCAGGCATTCGAAGTGGTCACTAATGGGGTGTGCAAAGCAACTACACACCGTGTCCTGCTCCCTCCCGGAGACTATGACAGGTACAGCGTGCCGTTCTTTCAAGGCGTCAAACCGGATTTGACGAAGCAAGATCTCAAGACGCTATGGGAGCACTTTGACAACAAAAGGTGGAATACTAGAGAGTCGGAAGAGGGTCAACGCATTGACAGCCCATTTTTGCGGGCAAAATATGATACCTGGGGGGAGGCACAATTGCGGACCAAGATTCGAAGCCACCGAGACGTTGGCAAAAGGCATTATGCTCAGGTGTTTGAAAAGTACATCAGTGATGATTGAAATGTTAGATTTTTTGAAAGCCCCCTTGGCTCAGGCAATGACAACGTCCTTGCTAGTATCCAGCTCTTCAAATCTCCTCAAGTCCATCTCGCCCTCTAGCAGCGGCTTGACATAGGGATCAAAGGTTTTCCAGTACGGATTTTCCAAGTGGTATTTCTGGCTGCTCTCTTTCTCATATCGTTCAACAATGGTAAAGTCTCGTTCGTCGTGGACAGACTGCATGACAAACCAAGAGATGGTCTCCTTGTCCTTCGAATACACCTGGGATGCTTCGATGAGCTTGTCTTTGAGCTTTTGAACCACTGTTGGGTCGGAGGATTTTGCACGCATGTGCACGACGATAGTGTAGACCATTTGGGAGGGGTGGACGCGCTGATCAGATCCGGCTCTCGTAACAATAGTAATGGACCGGCTTGTGGCGTGCTCACTGGTTGAGAAGATGATGGGAGGATGTAAGTACTCGTACCTACCTTCTGTTCGGCGTTTGTGCCCATCCACGTTTGGCCTTTGCTATTTCCCCGCCTGGCTGCTTATTGCGTTTGCACTGGAGTAGGTGCCAACAATGGTTATGCCAGACAGCTTCACTTACCGCCAGTTTAGTAGCCCGTTGCCGCACTTGAGTGGAAAATGTATTTGTAATGACTCGATTCTGTCGATGGGTTCTTGCTGAGACGATGCTCGGCGTGTCATCCCTGCACGTGGTGGAGCCGTCCTCTGTTTATGACGCTCGTCGTCCAGTTATTTCGTCTTCCTCCGCCAGGTACGCTGTACTTTACACAACGTTGACAAACGCAGCGTCGGCTAGATTGTGGTGCTCGATGGCTGCTTTTCTACCTTATGTATCTCGGTTGCAGCAAGCATATTCGCATCTTGAATATCTTGGCCTTGGAGCATTGGTGGGGATCGAGATATTCAGGTGAAACGGCTTGATACCTGACATGAAGTTTGCAAAGTACGTCAGCATCCTCATGGTGCATTGTATCCGTCACCGTAACGCGCTGACCACTACAGGGAATTGGAGGATGAAGCCGTTCCAGAGTGGAGGGTCAAGTATCTGGACTACAAGGCAAGCCTCAGAATGTACAACCCTCATGTGGACTTATCAACTAATTTGTACCAGCAAGGGAAGAAGAAAATCAAGGCCATTTCAAGAGCCCTGCGAAATCTCAACCGGACGCCTGGTTCTCCGGTCCGGCCTGCTTTACTTCCCGAAGACAACTTAGAAAGAATCCCCTTTACTCACTATGACTTCTACCGACCGCGGCCGACTACCACTCAAACTACTCGATCGCTGCCTGAGGTGGAAGGGATCGAGCGGGAGCGAGCTGAAGATCCATACCAACGGCCTGAAACTGCACAGGCAAGCCGGACTTTGTTCGCGCATTCGCCTCCTATCCTCGTCCCCCACACACAAGGTGCAAGTGACGCGCCAACGCCGGAGAGAAGACCATTACATGATGACCATGGATACACGTCTAGCCGAAGACGGATGAAGAACTACGGGAGCATTGTCGGCACTCCATCACCAGAGGAGACGCCTGGACAATTTGCGGCCCTTGAATTGCCAGATCCTGCGCTCACACCGACTCGAACTCGAATCGACACTGACGAAGGAATACCGCCCGCTGTCGATGGTCTCCATCTACCCGAGGCGGCGCAGGTACCCTCCGCTCCTGATCCCTATCATGTCGGTGAAACCACCTCACCTCACAAACACAATATTGGGGGAAGTCTTACCAAAGCCATGTTCAAGCGCCGACACGCCGACAAGAGTCAATCAATAGCTGGTACGAAGCCGAATACACATCCCCGTTCTAGGCTCAGGAGGTTCTTCTCCGCGTATCCTTTAGACGAGCCCGGGGCGAGTGATGTTCAGCTTGAAGCCTACAGAGATCTCGATGGCAAACAGGCCGATTTCTTTACGTTCTTAGACAAGGAGCTGGAGAAGATCGAATCGTTCTACAAAATGAAAGAGGAGGAGGCGACAGACCGTTTAGGGATTCTTCGGAATCAATTACACGAGATGAGAGATCGCAGACTAGGGGAGATACTGGAAACGCAGAAGGCCATGGAAACCTCTGAGCAACCTGCTGGGGGTGTCGGGTTGCCTTCGAATGATCAGTCGAGAACCTCGAGCAAGGAGAACGCGTACCCCAACGGCAACGGTTCAGCCTTCATCAAGAAACCCATTGGGGAGGCTCTAGGGCGTCGAACCGCCATCGGTAAGACCTCACAAGCGATGCAGCAACTGAGTTCTCCTCCCGGCCCTAAGGCACGGAGGTGGATCAAGGATGCCAATCAAGACTACGTTCGACACAAGCGTCCAAACGACGTCCCATATAGATTCGCGAAGAGACGGCTCAAGCAGGCATTGCAAGAGTACTACCGAGGGTTGGAGTTACTCAAATCTTACGCCTTGTTAAACCGCACCGCTTTTCGCAAGATAAACAAGAAGTACGACAAGCTCGTACAGGCCAGACCAACGCTTCAATACATGTCGGAGAAGGTGAACAATGCTTATTTCGTACAAAGCGACGTGGTCGACAACCACCTCATTGCGGTCGAAGATCTATATGCTCGATACTTTGAACGTGGAAACCACAAGATGGCTGTCAGAAAGCTTCGATCCCGGTCAGGAGTCGGCGACCAGTCAGGAACCACTTTCCGTAATGGCCTCTATGTTGCAGCAGGCACTTGCTTTGGCATATCCGGACTCGTTCAAGGTGCGAAGCTACTGTTCGACCAGGATCCAACAATATCGACAAATACGAGCTACTTGCTGCAGCTCTATGCCGGCTACTTCCTCGGCCTGCTTCTGTTTCTTCTATTTTGTCTTGACTGCCGAATCTGGACCCAGGCACATATCAACTACGTTTTTGTATTCGAGTTCGACACTCGGCATGTCCTCGACTGGCGGCAATTGTCCGAACTGCCATGCTTCTTTTTGTTTCTGAATGGGTTGTTCCTCTACATCAATTTTCAACAAGCCCCTGGCGCTGGGTTCTACCTTTACTGGCCAGTCGTGCTAATCGCTATCACACTGATCATGATGGTCCTTCCGTTCAAGGCTCTGTACTACAACGCAAGGAGATGGTGGGGGTATTCGAACTGGAGACTTCTGCTTGCTGGCCTCTACCCTGTGGAGTTTCGGGACTTTTACTTAGGTGACATGTACTGCTCCGAGACTTATGCTATGGGGCAGATTGAAGTCTTCTTCTGTCTCTACGTCAACGACTGGAACAATCCGGTGCAATGCAACTCGAGCCACTCCCGTCTGCTGGGCTTTTTCAGCGCCCTTCCGGCCATATGGCGTTCTTTCCAATGTCTACGCCGATACTATGATACACGCAACTGGTTCCCTCATCTGGCCAACTTTGTCAAATACCTCGGCAACATTTCTTACTATATGACATTGTCGCTCTATCGCATTGAGATGAATAGCCGGTTCAGAGCGGTGTTCATCACAGTTGCCGCTGTCAATGGTGTCTACGCTTCCTTTTGGGACGTGTTCATGGACTTCAGTCTCGGAAACCCGTGGGCTAAGCATCCATTCCTACGCGACCAACTTGCGTACAAGCAAGTCTGGGTCTACTACGTGGCGATGATATTAGACGTCGTGCTTAGACAACAATGGATCCTGTACGCGATTTTCACGAGTGACGTGCAGCACTCGGCGTTCATGTCCTTCTTTGTCAATCTGGCCGAAGTCCTCCGCAGAGGCATGTGGTCTTTGTTCCGTGTCGAGAACGAACACTGCAACAATGTGGGCAAGTTCCGCGCCTCAAGGGACATCCCATTGCCCTACGACATTCCCGAGTCTCCTGGAGTGCCATCCAAGACCTCCTCGTCACTTGCTCGAAGGAGACAAAACCCAACTCTCCTAGGTGAGGAGCCAGCCCAGCCCGACTTGCACCACACAACCGGAATCGACGTTGAGGAAACTGCGGTGACCGTCTCGCCGTCACTCCGCCGCCGGAGGACATCGACGTCTTTGACACCGCGCATGACACCACGCACCCCGGGAATGCGTGCCTTGCAACGCGTGGGCACGGTGATCGCGGCCGCACACGCACAAGATTTTGAGAAGCGCCGTAGACCCGAGGTGGAAGGAGCCGAAGGGGCAGGCGACGGAAGTCTGGATGCTGGCGGTAGCAGTGACGACGATGACGACGATGACGACGTCGTCGCCGAGGACGATGGTGGAGACGAAGAGCTTGCGGAGCTTCAACGTCAGGAGCGACAGGAACGGGAGATGGATGATCGAGAGATTGCAGAAGTTGACCGGCTGACAAGTCAAGCGAGGGATAGCGGTAGTTAAGCGACGTACGTCGGGATATTTCGTTCTCTTACTTGATCTTTCTCTCCTCTTTACTAGCTCTGAGCATACCAACACCCAAGATATGCGACAATGCAGGAGGTGCGGCGGACTCGAGCTGGGTTTAGACGACCACAGCCCGAAGCATTATAGCAGAGCAGGGGGCAGGACTCGACGCCACTCAACGAGGAACAAGTGACGGAGCGAGTGGACGAGTGGACAGAGGACCGAGTGGACGAACGAACGAACGAACGAACGAATGAATGAATGGTTAATGACCGGCCTTAGGCTTGAGTGGATTTACGTACGCTGGAGTTGAAGCTGTCTGGCGCAATGGGAAGGGGAGTGGCACAGTGGTAGAGATAAATACCCGAGGTAAAAGACAGCAATAATTGCATTGAGTTGAGTTGAGGTGGATTGGATTGGATTGAACTTGGTGTTGTTAATTGATAGTGGTGGTGGTGGTTTTAGTGGTAAGGTAGTTATGATTGTATATAAATACATATTTCTTCTGCTGTTCCAGCCGACATTTCGCCCTCTTCTCCTTCTCCTTCTCGTCCACACAGCCACCAGCCACCATCCACCATCCACTAATATGACTATCTATCTATCTACTCCGTACAAGTGGGATCCTAGTAGGGGACAGGAGGGGTGAAGACAACAGGTAGGTAAGTAGGTAGCTATCACATTCAAGCTTGGTATGAGGAACTAAGAATAAGGAAGGGTAGATCAGGATCAGGTGCGTCTCTTATTCAGAAGTGCTGTTCTTGATCTCGACCTCAATCTCGACCTCAATCTCGACCTCAATCTCGACCTCAATCTCGACCTCAATCTCGACCTCAATCTCAATCTCACTCTCATCATTTGACTTCTACGTCCAAGTGCTGATCGGTGAGAATTCCTCTCAACCAACGATGTTCCATTTTCATCACAAATGCAGGCGAGGCGACCGGGAACCTAACAGAACAGCAAATCCCCCCATTGCCTTCAAATTTACAAGTCTACCAATGTTTAACCGTACGACACCTGCGGCTCTGGCTCGCCTGGGGCCAGGAAGTTCGTGTCGGGGTTGCCGGTCTTCTTTGCAGCCGAGCAGCGCGCCATGGTCGGTGAACTGTGGCATCAAAACGTTAGCATGATATTCTGACACGAACCGTGTCCCCCGTTCCAAAAATCATTCTGGGCCAGAGTGCGGCTTACCTTCGCGAAATGACATCCGTCAAATAAAAGTCTTTGATCGGCAGCTCGAACGGCTTGCCCGAGGTTTTAGCGCCCTTGTTTGCATCCACCAGTTGCACTTTACTCAGGCTGGATAGAGTAGTTGGTTCCAGAGTGTCGTAGCGTCGCAGGGCGGGACTGATCTCTTCGAGACGGTCTCGTAGAACTTCGAGATCGTCGTAGGGTAGAGGGACACCCAGGAACTCGGACGCCGCGCGGATGATCTTCCAGTCTGTTCTTGCGGCGCCAGGTAATGAAACCGCGGTCCGTGTGACTTGAACCCGGCCTTCGGTGTTGACGTAGGTGCCCGACTTCTCAGTGTACGCTGCGCCAGGGAGGACGACATCGGCCAGTTGGGCACCAGTCTCGCCGTGGTGGCCTTGGTAGATGACAAATGCATCTTTCGGAATATCTGCCTCGGTAATCTCGTCTGCGCCCAGCAGCCACACTATCTTGGGGGTCGTCTGCGCCACTTTGGTTGACGGAGTGGTGAAGCCGACTTCGTAAGCGCCAGCTCGTGACGCCGCACGCTGGAGGACATTGTAGCCCTGCCATTCGGGGGTGATGAAGTTGGCTTGGTTCTTGTCGACAAAGCTGCCGACTGTCTCAAAGATGGCGGCAGCGTCAGGATGTTCAGCAACAGCACTACCCACAATGATGATGGGTTTCTTTGCCGTGGACAGCTTCTTGCCAAAGTCGCCGGAGAGAACTTTCTTCACGGCTGCAGCATCGGTACCGAGGTGGTCGTACTGGAAAGTGCTTTCGAAGGCTTCTCCGATGTAGCCGATTTCAACAGGCGCTCGCAGCCATTGCTTTCGGATTCTGGCGTTCAAAACAGCAGCTTCCCATCGTGGGTTGCTGCCGATGATGAGGATAGCATCTGCGTCCTCGACACCGGTAATCTTGGAATTAAACAGGTAGTTGGCTCGGATATCCACACCGTGGGCGATCGGGGCACTGCCACCGGGTTGATCGAGGGCAAGATTCTCCGAGTTCAATCGATTGGCCAGGTCTTTCAGCGCAACCAGGGACTCGGTTTCAATGAGGTGTCCGGCGATGGCCTTGAATTCATTTTCGGCAGGCTTCAGTCTGTTGAATGCATCGCCAATCTCGGTAAGCGCCTGCTCCCAGGTGGCGGGCAAGAATTTATCATCTTTCCGGATCAAAGGGGTGGTTAATCTTTGTGTTTTCAACCCGTCCAGCGCAAATCGTGTCTTGTCATCAATCCACTCCTCGTTGACGTCGTCGTTCAACCTGGGCAAGATGCGTTTGACTTCCAGACCCCTGGCGTCCACCCGGATGTTGGAGCCCAACGCGTTCAGAACATCGATCGATTCGAACTTGGTGAGTTCCCAAGGCCGATAGCTGAAAGCTCCCGGCTTGGTGAGTAAAGCCCCAACTGGGCACAAGTCGGCCACGTTGCCCGAGAGTTCTGTATCAAGGTTCTTTTCCAGATATGTGCCGATTTCCAGACTGTTGCCTCTACCCGTAGAGCCCAGCTCCGGCGCGCCGGCAATCTCGTTGGCGAAGCGAACACATCTCGTGCAGTGGATACACCTGTTCATCGAAGTTTTGATCAATGGTCCAATATTCTTGTCTTCGACTGCGCGCTTGCCCGAGACCTCGTGGAAGCGACCCCGGTCGGCGCCGTATCTCATTGACTGATCTTGTAAATCGCACTGACCACCTTGGTCGCAGATGGGACAATCTAGAGGATGGTTGGCGAGCAGAAACTCCATGATACCTTCTCTTGCTTTGTGTGTCATGGGCGAGTTGGTCTTGACAACCATGCCGGGCTGGACGGGCCATGCACAGGAGGCCACGGGCTTTGGGACTCGTTCGACTTCGACTAGACACATACGACAATTACCGGCAATAAGGAGTTTTCTAGACAAGAACCCTGGTCAGTGGCAGGCTAACACGTCAATGGATGCGGACGGGTCGGCGTACTCATGGTAGCAAAATCGGGGAATTGTGACACCGGCCTTCTCACAGGCCTGGATCAAAGCTGACCCGGCCTCTATCGACACCTTCTTGCCGTCAATTGTGAGTTCGACCTCGGCGGGCCGTCGTGCAGACGAGGTGAAGGTCCGGGTCGTCTTTCGGGATAGAGAGCAAGTCCTGGAGCGCGCAGCGGCGCGAAGAAGCTGAGACCGCATCTTGACAGGCCGAACTGGTCTCAGCTACGATTGCTTGAACGTGGTGGGAGGAGTGTGGCGTCGACAATGAGCTCCCGACTGTTGAGTGCAGGCCAGCTCCTCGATGTTTCTTTGATCACTGTCTCGCAAACCCCGATTGTGCCGCCTGTGATTGGCTGTAAGGAAACTTGGCGCCTTCCCTATCCAGTAGCATTCTGCCGCCGCTTTAATGGAGATTTTGTGGGCACGTTCTATTCTCTACAGAACAAGCACTGCACTTCAGCTACGTTGGACAATACTAGATGGGGGCTGGAATGGGTGACGGCAGCTTAATCAATGCCTTGCTTCCAATAAGGTGATATCTTGTTAATCATCCACGACGTTCAGATCTTGATCGAGCTCATCAAACGGCCCAGTGTGCGGCCGGGCCAATACCAAACAACGAGCACGAAACACCACACTTGCACTCATGAGTCAATCTGACAAGAATCTGTACCCCGGAGAGGGATCGTCGGCATGAAGGAGTCTCTTTACGACGTGCCAATAACTTTTCATCGCCCTCCACGCATATAAATCCCCAGAACTGCGATCCTCTACAACTCTCCACCACCAATACCATCCGCACATTCGGCGTGGTTCCTCCACATCCATTCCTGCTGCCTCGTATAGTTGTTCCCAGTTTTCTGGGCGCTCTGCCACTGGGATAACCTCCCATAAGATTTGGCACAGATGCAGACGCGACACAGCCCAGTATACAAGTGTGTGCATGTCGCATTTGAAGCAGCTCCTGTCGGTCAGGGGGAACAGCATGCAGGTGTGTAGGCACGGGTTCCCGTGTGTGGCCGCGCTCGGGTCTTGAGCTCGAATAGGCTCCCGCCTCTGTGTAGGCTCATTTGTCGCTGTTGGCGTTGGCGTTGTTGTTGGGAAGCGCTCAGGTAGTCGTCGACGTGGCCGAGGAGGGATGGCGGTTTCCCCCTCGTCGCTATCTCCCCTAACGATGGAGATAGAGCGTCGTGGTGCTTGCCTGCAGGGGTGATACATGGCCAGTCGTTGAGAAGACCGCAGGCGGTTGAGGACCACAGAAATGTCTACCTCAATGTCGCTGCTTTCGGGGTTGACGCCCAAGCCACCACCACCGTCGTCGTCGTCGTCGTCGTCGTCTATATCAGACTCCGAAGTGCCGCTGGTGTCATCCTCACAATCATCCCTATCCTCGTCATAGTCGCCCACGATAGAAGGAGATAGCGCATCGTCATCATCATATTCATCTTCGCCGTTAGCAGTGGCGCTCTGCACATGAGCAACCACGACTTCCGGGTGGACACTGTTGTATTTTGTTACAGAAGGCATCTTGATCCAGCGGCAGCAAATAGCAATAGAGGCTCTGTCGAAGAAGTGTTTTGAGACGAGGTGAGGTACGGGATGGGATGTGTTCTACAATTGGCGTTTGAGTCGGAGGTACTGGCGCAGAAAGGCGTGAGTAAAGGCCAGGATTCCTGCTATCCAGTTCGAATTGCGTTGCAAGTGAGGGATGAGCCGTTCAAATGCGAGAGGAGCGTTTACGCTGCAGGTGGAATACACAGGGGCCGAGGACCTTCACTTCCCTTCGCGGGGGAGTATTCCTACCTTCTGGAGGGCCTGCTTGTCGAGCCGGTGGGCGATATCCTCTCAGGAAATCTCTGCGCCCTCGAGGAATTCGGTTCCGATAAAGCACTGGGAAAACATGCCCTCAGCAGGCTAGCACGCGAACTGTCGGCGTTCCACTGAAAAGACTGTAGAACCCAACATCTAAGCTGCCTACCTCTCTTTTGCGTGGATGCATCTTAAAATGGCAGAGATATTCAAGGCCCGAAGAAGCGGAATTGCAGGAGATTCCCTCCTCAGGGTAATGCTTTGCCAGGGCAGAAACAGAGTCAGTGGCCACGATGCGTCGATGTCTCGGTCCTGATCCATACCGAACTCCGGACAAATACTGGAGTGGTGGAGCTCAACCGGACTTTGGTGAAAGCTTACTTGCATGGAGAAAGTTGACATCGAAGCCATGGAGCATTGCTCTGTGGTCGGAGCGCCAGCCTCTGGGCACTCTGGGCATGCTGATTGGCTGGTCTGTACCTGACAAGGCTGGGGCCTTGTCTCGTAGAAGGTTTAGTGCTGGAAACGCTGTACGACTTGAGCCTCACAAAGCGCACCCTCTCCCTGAAATCCTTTGCTGCTTCAAGATGCTCACCTTTGTCGGGAAGTTACAGGATAAGCGGAAGGCAGATGATCGTTCACTTTCCCTCTCAAAGACCTGCCTCATTGTAGCCGGCCAACTTTAGAGGGGGGGAAAGTGCTAGTAGGGTAAAATATAGAAACTCGGGCGTCGGCGGTGTCATTCAAAGTCAATTTTGGAGTAAGATGCGATCTCTCGGTACTGGTGGAGAGAGCTGAGGACCACCACTTATCCCTCAAATGTGCCCAAATGTGCCCCATTCGCCGTACAGTAGGATTTGATTTTGAGACTGTGGGTGTGTCGACCTGTTGCCGGCCTTAGGAAAGCTTCTTCGACCCCAAACGGCCCGTAAGGTGACGGACTGCAGGAGTCGAGTGAGAAGGAACTGCCTTCAGCAAGACGCCACCAAAACTAAGTACATCGAGACGGTATAGGGCGCCGAGAGAGCGAGCGTAAATTTCAGATAGAATAGTACCTTTTGTACAGGGGATCTTTTTCTCCCTCCGCGAGTTGTCGCCAGTCGTACTCTAAAGACTTGGCCAGGTCTGTGGCCACGGACTCTCCTCCGTGGAAGTGCGCGACGAACGCCAGCGTCACGTCCATGCCTGCACTGATGCCGGCAGAGCTCCAGATTTCGATCGGCACAGTGCCTACTGCTTCCGATGGCAGGCTTCGAATCCACCTTGCACCATACTGCCATGACACCCCTGGATTACGTTGTGCCACAAAGTCGTATCGCTGCATATTAGTGGTGGCTCTCCGGCCCTTGAGCAGGCCTGACTGCGCTAAGATATCCGATCCAGTGCAGACGGTGATGATTGCGGTGCTGATATGCGGGGCAATGTTCGGCAGGAAGTCGTACAGGCTTTGCACATTCAATGTCTTGCTGCCATCAGGGTGGAGCCGGTTCAGGCGTGTGCCTATCCCACCGGGGATGAGAAGTACGTCAGCCTTTGCCTTGCCTGACTTGGCCGCCGCAAGATAGTCTGCAAACGTGGTGTCCGGCTGCAAATACTGATTGAAACTAGCGTTTACTCGGCCTGGGATCTGTGAGGAGTGTGCTTGCAGATCGAAGGTCCAGTTGGCAGAGGACAGGGCAATCGGTTTGACGGGGACAGGGTCAGACGTCTCGGCGACGATGGTCAAACTAAGCTGGGAGTTTTCAGAACTCTCAGAAAGCTCATTGAGTATGTCGAGTGGACCGGCCAGGTCGAGCAGCTGGAACCCGGGAAATATCGCCAGCACATATTGAGTGGGTGGAGCAGCCATATTGTTGATTGTAAACTAGCAGTCGGGCTCTGGACTGCGTGAAGCTGCGGTCGATGGAGAGCAGATCAGCATTCTCCTCGCATGGCGAAGGACGTGCACTTTATGCGTCGTTATACTGCCGTCGTAGGGCTATAGCGGGTTGTGGCAGGGCGCAGCCAAGTCTCGGCTTACATGCCTCTTATGGACAAGGCTTGCCGTCCTAACTCCGTAGTGCAGGCCTCCCCATGCCCATGCCCATGGGGATGTCTCTTTCTAACAAATAAATTCCCGAGGTCGACCCATTCAACAGGCGAGCCAAAATATCTCCAGAGTTTGGTACATATACGTACTACGTACGTATGGGTTTAGAGTGGTTTCCTCTGTTGCAACTGATGGCCGTTCAGTTGCGCGTTTCTTTTCTTCTTTCAAGTCGTCAGCATGCAATATGTGCGGAAATAATGAGAGCCATGACCTGTATCTCCGACAAATGACGTCTTCGAAACCTGATAGGTTAGGTAGGTAGGTACCTTAGTACTAGTAGTGCCTAAAGTGTGAGGTATGGGCCGAGGTGTGAGGCCTGTAAGTGCACCTGGGCAGTCATGTTTCGGTCATTTCTCGTGGATGGAGGTGCGATCCTCCTATTTCTTTTCTGTCATTTCATGTAATGACGATATTGTATCCAGACCTTAGCCCTAGCACCTTAGGTCAGGTAGTGGGGTGCCTAACGCAATACGGTACTCCGTAGTACTACGTATTTGCCACGGGCGCGGGCGAAAGAGCCAAGAGGCGAGCGGGTTAGCTATTTTCTCTCTTTCAGTGAGTCTTTCGTCCTCCTTCCACCTGACTCTACACCACGAATCACGAATGATATCCTCCTCCTGGCCGCGCTTGCGCCTGGCTACTGAGGCCTGAGCCTGGGTTTTGCTTTGGCTACGAACCCAGTGACTCCCGCCGATGCCCGCGCCACAGCCACAACCACAACCTCAACCTGGGCGACTGACTGCCTGGCTGCCTGACCCGTCCGGTGTGAGTCTGGTAGAGGCGTTCAGGTTCCGCCACACCACGCCATGCTCTCTCCTCCTCCCTCCTCCCTCCTGCGCCGCTCACCAAATCAACGATCAACGTCGCTGCTCGAAGGTTCAGCCGTTTGCCTGGCGTTTTGCCCCCCCGTAGTTTCTACCTTACCCACCAGAATGACGCATCTTTTGATGCCTCCCAATGCGCGCATTATCCCTGCACTCACTGCACGCTCTCTGCCTGCGCATCTTCACACCCTTTCTTTTCTGCCGGCACCCCCATTGTGATCGCGCATTGTCCATTGGGAGTATTCTGAATAGTGACAATAGCCTCAATAGCCTTGAATGGGCTTCCGGGCACAATACAAACAGGGCATTATTGATCCCGTCCATTCATCCATTCATCCCGCTACCCCATCTCTCCTACAAGTATTCCACCCTTCGTACCATCTAACCATCACATCTACCAAAGTTTATTCTATTTGTTACCTTCGCTCGGTCACCGAAACCAAAGACATTGACGCTCTAGGTCCCCTCGATTCTCCACCTTTGTTGGGCCGTCCCAGACGGAAACTCAGTCTACCCGAGAAGACCAAGATCGACTCCCCGTCGGCATTGGTGGCGAGCAACTGTTCAAAGGCCTCCGGAGGCTGCTTCTCCCTCAAAACCATCCTACCTCTTTCCACCACCCTCAACTCGCCTGCTCAAGAGTTGGAAAGGCAATATCGCATGCGATGAGTGAAGGACATCACGAACATCTTCTTACTACCATGCACTCCGTTGCAGAGCAACGAGCCACTCTTACGACATCAGATATGGACGAGAAAGTCTCACAACAAGGCAACGCCATTGACGGCAAATCTGGCCCCAAATCACAAGTTCACCAACATCTTCCTACGACCACGCACTCCGTCGCAGAGCAGCGAGCCACTCTTACAACATCAGATATGGACGAGCAAGTCTCGCAACAATCCAATGCCATTGACGGCAAACCTGGCCCTAAACCACAAGTCAATGTTGCAACTATTCAGACCATAACGCCGCCACTCTTTGACCACAATCTCGGACCAGATCAAGTTGAATTCGAGCGTGCCACTCCCCCGGCCGTTCAGCAGGCCGACACTGAGCCAGTCGTACAAATTCGGCCTCCTCCATCGCCTGCCCCCACATCATCGCCTGTCCTCTCATCATCGACCGAGGCACAGGCCTCGTCACGAACCCCTTCTCCGTTGCCATCCTCCTCAGGGTCTGACGCCGATGTTCTGGAAGCCAGAGCTGCTGGAGAGTTCTTTATTCCAACCTCCGCCGATGTTCTGGAAGCCAGAGATGCTGGAGAGTTCTTTATTCCAACCTCCGCCGATGTTGTGGAAGCCAGAGATGCTGGAGAGTCGTCCATTCCAGCTCCCGCCGATATTGGTACGGTCGGGCCAGCATCCATTCCGCCCCCAAACCCTCCGATCCCTATCTCAAAACTGGTCCTTAGTGACTGCATACCCATTAGTTGGAGAGATATCGAGACGTTGTGGAAGGTGCTCTCCGAAAGAGATGTCAGCGCAGAGACAGTATTCCCTGATGGCGAACTACTTGTACTGCCGAAAAGCCGTTTCTGGGACGAGGACTATCGAGTAGTTCGACCCGCCAACTTCATGCGCCGACTGAAGCATCTTCTGGGATATCACATTCCAGGGGCAACACCGGAATACGGCTTTGAGACCGTCGATACTTTTCAATGCAATAGTCGGGGTCCCTGGTACATAGTAAGGCAAATGGCCATTTACGGGCTGCTAGAAAACTTTCCATCTGGCACCCTGGACGTGGTGTACGCTATTCGCGAGATCTGCTTCAATGGACAGCCACATGATCTCGAACAACCCGGTCTACTGCCAGATCCGCAACAAGATGGCAAGCCAACACGCCGCGGCAAGAAATCCAGGGCTCAACCTCAGCAACAAAATGACAAGCCAGCTCCCTCCAGCAAGAATTCCAAGGCTCAACCTCCGCAGACTTCGCCGAAAACAAAGCCGGCCGAAAATTCAAACCGACCGACTACCCGTCAAACTGCCAAGTCCTCCTTAAAGCTGACCGAGCCAGTCCAACCGCAAGTCATCGAGCCAGCCCATGCGCAAGAGGCTCAGCGAGTCCAGGTGCAAGACGCCAAACCCATTGTGGCGCCGACAAAGAAAGCTACGGCCACGCCGCCGGCCAGATCACAGAAGCGAAAACAAGAAGACGAAGACTTCGTCAAGCCTGCGCCCAAGAAGGCACGAAACAGCCGACAAGCCTATGATGAAACCAGCAAGAAAGCATCTCCGAGTGAAATCTTCGCCCGACGCGTCAAGAGTGCGCTAAACGCTCGTTCTCTCGAGAAGAACAACTATGCGGTGTTTGGAGACGCGATTCTACCCGACAATCAGTCTTCATTAGACCTAGCAACCCCCGTTCTCAAACATGCCGTACAAGTTGCCAATCAGCTCGAAGACCTGGGCGACGCCATCGGTCTCAATCCTCGGGAAGTTGCGGTTTGCAAAGAGCTGGCCATCACCTGCGACACGTACCGCTGTCAGAAGGCGCGTTTTTTCCTCGGCCTGGAAATCTTCGTCGAGTACAACCATCAGGCACTGAAGGACGGCAGCTCGGACTTCAAGATATGGAATGTCGGCAAGTCGCAATGCCAGCTGTTCAATAACATTGATGTCAACAAGTCCAGTGATTTATATCAGGCATTTGAGTCATGGGGATGGGTGGAGCCCATGGGGAAGAAGGATCCCAGCACGAAGAACTGGACTATTTCGACAAACTACCTTGGACGTTTCCCGGAGAGTCATCGTCGCAGGCTGATGGAAGAGGTCGCCAAATGGGAAGCCGAGAATGTTCCGAACGCGGGAAAGTGTTATGCGAAGGTTTGAATGATCTCGGACTGAGATCAGACGTTACGAACAAGGAAGAAAGGGTTATAAATTGCCACAAAAGTACGGAGTACACGGGGAGAAATATGTCATCGAAAATGATGCATCTACGAGGACAATACCCATATGAATAGCAAGGTGTTGGAGGCCGGAAATGGGAAGTTCTCATGGTCTTTTTGTATCACTCATTACCAGGATACCCAGATCACAGATCACCGATCACTTTTTTTCATCATATCAAAAGCAAATCAGGGCATGTGGAGGTGTGGTTAATTCAGCCTCATCGAGAGGAGATGGCAGAGACGAAGTCAAAGGAGGTCAAAGCCAGGATGTAATATTCATATCTAGAAAATGGAAAATAGCCAGTCCAACTGCTCCGTCTCCGTCCGCTCCGCTCTGCTACATCGTCTTTTTCTTCAATCCTTGCTTTCCACCCGTCATGGTCATGGCCCTGATGTCGTTTTGACCGTCTCACTCTGCCTCGCGGGCTCTCGCTGCAGTCTAGCGCTCGAAGCGAAGAGGAGCTCGCATCGCATCACATCACATCACTTACCCGAACAAAAAAGAACAAGAACGAACAGCTAAGCTGATTGAATATTGTATTGGGTAGGTGTGGTCATCTGGCGGGCGACTCTTTACGCCTGTCGAAATCCTCGTCTGTCAGCCAGTAGTACTACTCTGTAGCGATTGCGATGAGTCAGTCCAAGACCGAGAACAGTCATGACTCACGACCATGCCGGTTCCATTCAGGAAGGTCGAGGACTATCAGCTATTAGGTAGGTAGGTATAACTCTTTCAACATCAGCAAGGCCAGCCAAGATTCCTCATCCTAAGAGAACATTTGATAGTTCTTTGGGTTATGAGCGGTGACGGTGAATATGTTTGTTGAGTGAGAAATGTAATCAAACTTGAGACTTTGGGCTGACCGTGTATAGGAAGGGGAGCCTGAGTCTGCTAGGATCGAAGCGAAGTCGGGTAATCACCTGGAAATATTGCAATATGAGGATACAGCCTCCCACTTAGAGAGAACAGACGTGGACGAAGGACTGAGCTCTACCGGCGAAAATGACCCCTGGCACTGTGGACTGGAAACAATATAGCTATCTGCAACGGTCCAGCTCGTACATGTGCCTCTTGGACGATATAATGTGCTCACCTGGACGTGGAAGACAACTGACGTGCGGAGGGAGAAAAAGGGTTGACAATTCGAAAGAGTTCTTGAGGAGACTGGCGTAGACGAAATGTGGGGGATTTTGTTGACTCAGCGGGCCGGTACAAACGGGACGGCACTGGTGTCTGCTTGCAGAGCACTTGCAACAAGATTGGCGGTTGCGTCTCACACGGCATGTAGTTGAAGGCTGTCATATTCCAGCGTAACAGACAATGTCGGCATGCACATGCAATCCGGCTTCTTTTGCATCTCCTGAGAGGAGTCGTAGTCAGTGTCATATTGCGTGCCCCGGCTCTGGTCAACGGCCAAACGGCCCACTAACGGTACCATTTTCGCTCTAAGGCTGACTTGGCGAGGGTGGAAGGAAACGCATTGGAGCGAAACGAGGCCTAAGCTGTGTCTGTGTCATCTTGGACCGCAGCCATCCCAGGGTACGACATACGCCTCCCGGGGTGGAACTCATCCCACCAGCAGATGGACGGCCTCGGGTCAGGGCTGGCTGAACAGTATTCTGCAGTTTGCATGAAGGAGACTCTTACCAGGGTCGGCCTACCGACGTGGCAGAAGGTTGTGGCGAGTTGCAAGTCGAGAACAAACACAATGTACACCAGGTTGCCCGCATCGAGTATCCTTTCTTCTGAAAAGCGAATGTCCTCGCATTAGCTGGATGATCGTGCCGAAAGCTCTGCAACCTGTGTGGGGAGTGCTGAATCAAGTGAACCATATGCTGATCTCTGGACCTTAGCTTGAGGGTGTGCTGTTGCTGTCTGGTCCCGGACGGGGCTATGCATACACCGCCCTTACAGAGGATGGCAACACATCTAGAGCGCAGACCCGAGCTTCATGCCCCAAACACTCTGCTTCGCACCAGTGTTGAACCCACATATACAAATGAGTGACACTGGAAAGTGTGCACCATTCCTTCACGCACGCGGAACAGGGGTTGACCAACCGCAAGCATTGACGTCCTTTCAGTGATTCCGCCAGGCTTTTGCCACTGCCAGCCGACCGATCACAAAGGTATGCTCATTCAACCTGCTGAACTTTCAGATCGGTATCCCAGACCTCGACGGCGGGAGCCACAGTGTGCATGTCTGGACAGGTCTAAAAGTCGTTGGGGGCAGGTTGTTTCGTCTGAAGTCGGAGTTGGATCATTGGCTGCCACCTAGGAGCCAATGAAAACGGACTTGCCAAAACCTAGCCACTTAAACGATCTGGACCCTTAGACACAGGAGCACAAGACGAGGTTGCCTGGGCAGCAATTGAGCTGTGCCCCAAAGTTGTGAAACGGCTTTTCGTTCGAAGGACAAGTGCAGGTCATCCTCAGTGGGAAAAACGGCTCCATTTCCGATCTTTGGCGATGGGAGAGAGCGAAGCTGTCGTGCGTGCTGTCCTCGCTCTTTGCTCTACGACATGCATCGGAAATAGATAGGCTCGGCGATATCGTCGAAGGGCGAGCCTGCAAGTATCAAGCTGAGACCGCGGTCCGCACCAAGGCAAGAGGCCGAAATCCAGGTGAGAAGCCTTCGAGCTCAGGGAAGGCCGGACGAGGAAAAGCGGCACGCACCTGGCGAAGCGAGCATATCTATTAGTGGCCGAATGGGACCTGATTGGTAAATGATTGACCAGGCGTTGCTCTTGTGTGAGGAAGAGGACGCACGGCAAGACTCGTCGTGTAACGTGGATGTGGGCTGTTCCTGTGCTCGCACCACTGGACTTTGACATGGTATCCGTCCACGTGGCAGGAACCAATGACGAATCCCACCAGATTCATGTGGATGCATTACCAAGGTATAGGACGTGCCATCTATTGCCAAAGTCGACCGCCAAAGTGACAGAAATGACAGGTAGAGTGCAGTTGTCTGCCACATGGACACCGTGGAAGATGTTGATTCTCAGTCGACAGGCGCTCCACGGATGGGGGTCTAGACACTCCTGTTCACGAGGCAGGACATGTGCTGATTGCTTGCTCGACTAGTACGTAGGCGCTTGAGCAAACTTTGACATTTGGCAGGCATTGGCCGAAAAGTAGTACTCCGAAAATCCAGCCAAGCTGCTAAGACATTGAGCCTGAGGATACCCGGGGTGGGAGGGGTCAAGGGTCGAGATGCTGGCTGTTCGTAGGCTGTTGCTGCATGTCAGTGTGTTGTGTCTGCTCCGCCTCTTGGATCGCCCCCCAACAGCGTCCATCCACCCATCTGCCTTCGGCATGAAATCGAGAGAGGAGAGAGGGTATCTTTCAGTACGAGGATCAACCTGGAAAAGAGCTGGCAACAATCTGTCGGCTCAATGCAGTTCAGCATGCAAGCATCAAGCATGGTGTCTTCCCGAGAAGCGCTGTGTTCAGGAGAGGAAGGGTGGATGAGCAGAGCAAGTGCTGTGTCGTGTCGTGTCGTGTGTACGGAGTGCTCTGTAGAGGTACAACTTGGAGTCGCTGCGCTGTTCGACCCCGCCGCTGCAGGGGCTACACGTGACCTCGGCCGCATCAATTCTTTCGCCGAAGCTCCGATGCGGCGCAGCCTGTTTCAACCACCAGCTCAAGCGTGCATGATGTTTGTTATCCAGATCAAACAAGCAAACATCCATCGCTTACCTTGCTGCCTAGTGGCTGCTCTACTCCCTGGAGCCGATCTCTTCCTCGGTGACTACCCCATCGCCTCTCCAGCTGCGCTTCCTTCGGTGCGGGCTGGCTGAGGTTTGACTGTCGCGATAATGTATTCGCCATGTATCCCTGAGCTCCGGACGTTACACGAACCTGAATCCCCTTGCCCAATACGACAACGTGGAGGATCAAAACTGGGAGCAGCCCTTGTTGGCTCGAGCGCCCTCTCGAGACACAGGGTAGGTTAGTCTTACTGAGCTGCTCACTCAGGACTAGACGTCCCGTACGAGACCGGGGCTATCCTTCCCTGCGCCTGATTGCTGTGAAAGCAAAGCCCGCTGAAGTTCTGCATCCCAAACATGCCGATCCACTACGGAAAGGAGCGGTCAGTGGTTGGGCTTTGGACGATTTGACCTGCGCCGCTCGAGGCCCTTCTGACCTGCTAGATCCATCGGCGCCCTCCGGAATCGCCAATGTACCTGCTGCCAAAAACAAGGCCACCCTTGGTCTGCAGATTCGCGAAGATTGGCCTTCAAGCCACATTCGTCTTCAGGCTGTCAAGTCCGTCTCGCTTCGTACATACACGACTATGTCAGGTAGCAACGCAAACATGCCGTGCAGACTGCAGGCCCATCTCCAGGGGGCTAGAGCAAGCAATAACGGGGCGATCCGCGGCCGGATCGAGCAGCTCGGCAAGGCGAGGAGCAAAGAGCACGGCAAGTGGAATCCATCCGGCGCAGAGTTCTGTCGGCCATTCCTGGGCAAGGCCTGGATTGACGCAACCTCGCCACCACCACCGTTGTTACCGGCGTCTGGTGTCTGCTTGTGCATACAGGCAAGGCCTTTCCCCTGCCCTTTTCTGCTCTCCATCTTCGTCCCGTCCACTCCCCGCTCTATCTCGTTCCCACAACCGAAGCTCATCCTTTGTCTACCCGTTTGCCAATCTCTTATCGCATCTCCACAGGACCTAGACAACGGGCCTCGCATCCTGGTCGTTCAATAGTCGTCTGCAGGGATCTTTCCCTCCCACTCCCAACCCTGGACCACGCTGTCGAATATCAAGCACGCACCTTGCCGTAGACAAACTCTGGACATATTATCTCACTTTCTGCTCTATCCTCGATCCCATTTCAGAAACTAGGCGACCATTTGGCGTGAAAATCTCATCACTCGTCATTTTCTGAGACGTGTCTTTCCTATTTCCGGCCCTAATCCTTTGGCACTCGGCCACCCCTGGGCTTCCCCTGGTGTTTGCTTTCTTTCAGATAGGAGTGACCCGTGTCGCGCAGCAAGCAGAGTGTATATCAACAACGCCGACCCGCGAACTTGTCAGATTTCTTCTTCTCTGACAGCCGTGACAGCTTCAAGACTTTAAACTGTCCCCTGTGTTCACCCGCCGAGTCCTCGTTTCACTGGTCTTTTCTGAACGGTTGCACTTCCAAGAATGACCGACTATGCGCCACGAAGCAGTCAGGATTACAATACCTTCTTTCCAAATCCGCATGTCGCCATACCACAGTATTCGAATGGCAACGGCCTCAGCTACCTCTATGGTAATGGTCAAGTTCAGTATCAGACCGTGAGCGCTCCTTGTGCAGCGTACTCAACGACCTACGCACCGAGTCAAGGCACGCTTTCACACTCCATCTATATGCCAACTGGCCCCGGACTCTCCCTCCAATATCCCGTCTCGAGCAGCAGAGTTCCTACACTGCCATCTCAATCTCGGGCTCTTCCACGCACCACCTACTACGCCACGGCATCGTCCAATCACCGCAGCGCACCTCAACACCCGCGTCTCGCTCCTCCCCGAGATTACATCCAGATGGACGGCACAGAATGTCAAGACTCTCCCAATGAGGATACAATGCTTTCAGAACCGGTGATGCCCCCCTTGGAAGGCTATCCCGACGTGCAGGAGTTTGATGAATTGATGAAGCGGTAATACCCCACTGAAGCCGTCTGCCATGGCGGCGCTTGAGCCGGTCGGGCCCTGACTGTGGAGATATTAGATACGTCCAGGACCTTTCTCCCAAGAAGCAAGACAAGGCCTTGATCCATGCTCGTAGAGCCGCCAATATCAGACATGTTCTGATCGACAAGAAGACCACTTCCATCGAGTCGGCGCAGTTTCGGTAAGCGGTGGCTTTACCATTGGGGAACGACCAGACCAGGTGCTGTCTGTGGAGTGGCTAACACCGTTGCAGCTTTTGGGTCAAGAAGATGTTCACACTCCAGCCCGCGGATGGAAAGGCACCCGAAGTGAGTAGAGTGGCTTGACCAGGAGGCCACGACTAATTCGTTGTGGCAGTTACGGAAGATCTGCCACGAGGGCAAACCGGTGGCTGTACGCGAGAAGCTGTTCAAGATTCTGACCAAGGCGCATAAACAATGCCAGCATGGTGGTCGTGATAAGACCTCTGCGCAAGTGAGGCGTGTCTATTCATGGTTCGAAGAGGTTGCCGAGTGACGCCATTGAGCACTACTGACTCTGCCATCCAGGGTCCCCAAGGAACTTATCTCCAGATTTGTCAAACTATGTCCGACTTGTCAGGTCAGAAGAGGCACCAGTCGCAACTCGCCGCCCGATTCAGAGAAGAGCCCAGAGGCACGAATGGAGGCGCAGTCGCCAGACGCGATGTCGGTCACGAAGTCCAGAAAGAATTCAATGGCAAATCGACAGCCCAACCACAACGTCAGTTTGCCCTTACAGACGGCAGGATTCCACAGCAGCTCGAATTTTCAACTGCAAAACCGCTGGATGGCGCCGCTACAGCCTCAGTCAGCTGAAACACATGGCACCAACGCCATCTCCTCCGGTGGAAATCTCAACGCTCACGAATCCTACAACACCATGCCCCCAATGCCTATGAATTGTACGAACGCCACCCCGTCCGGAATGACTTATTCGACCGTCACTTCCTTCGGAAATAACTCGACCCCTTCATCTGCCTATAGTTCGGATTCTCTATCGCAAGCCCATCATGGGCATGTAACAACAAACAACAACTATATCGTCAAAACTGGGCATCACTACATGTAATTTTTGGCATACGGTGTGTGCTAGAGATCCGATCCGACATTCACCTTGCTCCACCACATTTTGGGCCCTGTACGTATGAATGGCTGACGAACTGTCAGGTGTGTCAAGTTTTTGGATGACAAGCAGGAATGTCGAGATCGTTGAGTATAAGACGAGAAAAAGAGTTCCAACTGAGACGGCGACAATGGTACTGCCCACATGGCGGTAGTAACCTTGGTATATTTCGGTACCATGGGATTGTAACTGGGCAATCCCAGTCTTGGGTGATGCATTTGGTGGGTTTCGGCAAGGACTTGGGGGAATCAGGAAAAGCACTATTTACGATGATGACCAACGCACTACTCTTACCGAGAGCAGGACGAGAGATTTCGATTGTTTGGATTGGGTTCGGCGTGAACCCTGGGGCTTCACTGTAGACAGCATGACCTGGAAGCTGGAAGCTGTCAGCTGGAAACGATCGGGTACGGAAACGACGGTTAGATCGGGACCTAGGTAGAAAGGAGGAGATTCGGGAGAAGACAACATTGGTTGGTGTTTGGTGTGTAAGCCACACCGCAGTGTGGTTGAATTGGAGTGCGATTGGCCGTCCGAATCTCTCAGTGGCATTTACTATCAGGAAGTTCAAGTTCGCTCCACCAGCGACTGCATGGACTCTGTACAGAGTGCTCGGTGTTGCAGGGTACATGTACTGCATTGCCCGTGTACGTAGGGGATGCAGAGTATCCTGTGGTTCAAGTTGACTTTTGAGCCGGTTCTTGGCAGTCTATGCTGTAAAGAAACTAGTTACTTTAGTAGTGTGTTGACCAGGCTTAGGGCCCCTAAGCTTTTGGTGCCAGGCTTAGGGGCTTAGGGGCCTTCACGTGTCCGGAGTACTAGGGGGGAGCAAAGGGGAGCCAAGTCGCGCTGATCTTGCCTGCGCTTCTCCGAAAACTATCACAGTAATAATTACTAGGTAGTTGAACAGCCTGGCCACGCCGCATCCTCCAAACATTCCACTTTCTTCCCACTCGTCCAACTTCAACACCTCGCCAGCTCCAGCTCCAGCTCCAGCTCCCTTGGCCGCTATTCTACTTACCTGCCTGTCTCTCCTCCTTCTCGTCTTTGTCCAGTCCTTTCGCCCGCCTGCTTGCCCGCTGTCAGGGCCATTTCCGCGCCTCGCAGCATCCGGCTGCCAACACCCTGCCCAGCATGAACATCTTCCGGTTACTAGGTATGCATGCCAATACATGTCGCGTTTTGATCGCTGGCGCGAGGAGGCTGGCCCTGATACTGACATTGTCTTCAGCGGACTTGTCCCACCTTTTCTCAATCTTCATTCTCCTTCATAAAATGAGAGTCTCAAACGTACGAGCCTCCCTCCGCCTCCACCCGTGGGTGTCCCTCAACACGCCCTAGCTGACGCGACTCTCCTGGGTAGTCATGTGCAGGCATATCATTCAAGTCGCAGGCTCTATACTTCCTGGTCTACTTGACTCGCTATCTCGGTGCGCATCCTTCGCCCTGGCTACCCGAACATTTCACTCTGACCTCCGAGCAGACCTATTCTGGACCTTCACCGACAGCGCATGGAACACCATCTTCAAGATCATCTTTCTTTGCTCTTCCGCATATACCCTGTATGTCATGCTGAATGACTACAAACCCACCCATGATCCGAACCTCGACACCTTTCGCGTCTCCTACCTGACGGGCGGATCCGCTCTCCTCGCCATTCTTTTTCCCTACAGGTACAGCGTCTCAGAGATCCTGTGGGCCTTCTCGATTTGGCTGGAGAGTGTGGCCATTCTACCCCAGCTGTTCATGTTGCAAAGAACTGGCGAGGCGGAGACCATTACGACACATTATTTGTTCGCCCTGGGCATATACCGAGCATTGTACATCCCCAATTGGATCTACAGGTGGCTCGCCGAGGGATATGTCGACCCCATAGCCGTGATTGCCGGGATCATCCAGACAGTCTTGTACTCCGACTTCTTCTGGGTCTACTACACCAAGTACGCACTTTTGTCGAACCTGCCGAGCGTGTACTCGCCCATGCTAACGAAGATATACAGAGTTCTCCAGGGAAAGAGCTTCAAGCTTCCTGTCTGATTGTCAGATCCCAACGCACACACATTCACACACACACAAGACCAGTCATCGTAATTGTGTCGGCGCGAACACCAAATATCTACCTTTTGAAGGGAGCGACTTTGCGGAATGAACACAGACAAAGCTGATGCACTTCTACTTGTCCTAATCAGAGGGGACGTCACGTAGCATAAGGCACGTGTGTCATGGCCATATCACTCGTCTTGCATAGCGTTGGGCTCTTGTAGGACTGGACTGAATCGGGACTTGCTGCCAGCATCTCGCTCTGTCTCTCTCACACTGGCACATACAGTGGATGACGCCAAGCATGGCTCGTCAGGGAAACACAACAAGACGACCGGTCTCCGGACGATCGTGGCGAGACGGGACTTGAAGTGCTCTACGATAGCGACGGCGGTTGTAAGTCATGCTCACCACTGGGCATACTATGACTGGCCACCAACTGCGCGTTGGCGGTGCGGCGGTGTGGTGAGAAGAAAAGCAGCATTCCGCTCTAGTCAAGATAGATTCTCCGCCGTGGACGGACAATAGGTGAAAAGGAAACGGAGAGCAGATGACACAATGAGCTGAGACTCCCGAGAGCGCATCAAGTCCATGTCTGCCCGGCAGCTCCGCAACTGGTCCCAGAATGTGTGGTACTTGGTCTGGTGCTCGACAAGTATCAAGTCATATAGAGATTTGGACGTTAGATATCCTGATGGTCATTTTATGACGAACAAGTCAACCATCCCCTTAAGGGATATGTATAGTATACGCTATGTAAGGGAGAGATTATGTACGCGTGGCCCATGCCAGATCCGTCCCGCTCATGCTATAATACGTACTGCAATCTAAGTGCATTCTTCGTCAAAGCGTCAATGTCAAGCCAGAACGCCATGCAAGTCTTTGACCCAAACATCAAATTGATAACCAGGTAGAGCAAGAAATAGACCAAAAGAATGCCAATCTGTTTGCCCAGAGAGGATGAAAAATAAGATAGATGGTGCACCAATCCAGCCTTTCCCACCGGAAAACGACAGATCCGCAGACCTGAGATGCAAGCCCATCGAAGTGTAGGCGGAGGATCACCAGTTCCGCTGTGTGCCAACAACGGCGAGCACAATGGCGACGACGCATACCACAATGCCGACAATGCACATCCAGCGGTTCAAGTTGCGCCACCACCGCGCGTTCTGCCACCTGAGTTCGGCGGCACCAGCGAGCTGGCGCTCTAGGCGTAACTTATCGACGACGTTCATAGGCTCCCACTCCGAGACGGCCGGGTATTGCTGCGAGATTGAGCCCCGCTGTGGCTGCGGTTGCAATTGAGCTTCCTGCATGGTGGTGGAGGAGACCGCTTTCTCTATGTCTTCCATGGACGCGGGCCGCCTGGGTAGAGGCAAGAAGGCGGCAACAAACCATACCAATGGAAACAGGAAGCCTGTAGTAAAGCACGCGATTTGAGCTGTCCGCAGATCTGCCCTTGACCACCAAGGCCGACCGGACTCGTCGATGATGCTGGGTGCAGTCCAGCGCGATTTGATGTTGAATGGATACCCGAATCCTCGGGACTCGGTGGAGCCGGTGTTCAATCGATGGTCATGGTGTAGATGTGGAGATGAGGCCCAGCGGTGGGTGCCGCGGTGTACATTGGGATGATAGATCATAGATTGGTTCTGCGACTCGGATCGGCTGATGCTGTACCCATAACTAGCGGCGCGGATGTGGTGGTGGTGGACAATGTAGCTTGACCCCCGGCCATCCTCGGACGGCTGTTCGTGGATCTCAATCATACCCGCCCAATGCGCCCGAGGGTCTAGCGGTGGAAGAGGCGCCGAAACGGAGCGGCCGTGGTTGATAGGGCTGTGGAGAGGCAGGTCTGGCTGACGCCGAGAGCCCAAAGCAGCGGCGGCTGTCGCACGTCCGCGTACTGGGTTTGATACGAGCGGGCCGACCCCGGGGAGACCATGGGACTTCCGCGCCTCGATCATTGGACGTGTCTTTGGTCGAATCAGTCCATGTAGACGCCCTGCCATGGCTTGGTGGACACGAATTCGGCTGGGGCTGTTGTTAGATCTCGAGGTCTCAGGTCGAGGTAATGCAGGAAAGGGCAGAGACTGAGTGCTGCCGGGTGCGGCCAAATGATGCAAGTTCAAATTCGAAGCGCTGGCGTAAACATACGGGAAGGGATCCCTGTAGAGGCCAGAATAATACCTTCGGGCCCAGGTAGGTACCGGAACAGCCACGTTGCTCGTTGTACTCCCAGAGGATGATGGACGAAGAGACGGTGAAATGAAACTGTTGTGTCGTGACAGCGTAAATGACCTCATTGAATTAATCCTGGATAGAGAGGAATTTGGAGAACCGATGTAGCTACCGCTACGGGCATGTCGAAGGGGAGGCGATCTGTACGTGTATTCGTCGGTGGGAAGGGCCGAAACTGCATCCGTCGCCTCACGGGAGTCAACTCCATAAAGGTCAGAGTAAGAGTCAGAGTCTCGGACGATTCGGATTTGAGATTGGTTCGCGGAACGGTTGTTGATGATGAACGTCGAAGCTGGAGCTAGATCGTCTGAATTGAGATACTCATCAAGGTCGTCTGGGACGAATGATGCCTCGCTCGCCGGCCTTGTCCTCGCCCAAGAACCTTCGGAAGGAACGGCTGATAATCTGGATGCGTACCTGGAGCCTGAGACCTCCGTGGACATGGACCTTGAAATTCGTTTTGGCACAACTAGTCCAGCCTGCTGGCTTGTAGGAGGAGCACGGACAATGGGATACTGAATGCGAGGTGGACTCGAACTAAGAGCCGCTTGAAGACTTGCATGTGTCTCGGCGAGGGAGCTGCTATCAGAGCTGGGCTCATCCCTACCCAGTACTCGAACCACCGGGCTCGACTCATCGATGGAGTCAGTGTGGCGGAGGCTCTGCGACACCGAAGAAGGATTGGGCCGTTCCTGAGAAGAGATGCTACTAGGTATAGCAGATGTAGGAATATACCGGTCAACGGGCGGGCTTGATGCCAATGGGTTCCTTGCACCAATCCTTTCTGAAAAGGAGTGACTCCCTCCGGTGCCCGACCTTTTCCTCTTCCTTGATGACGTCGACGAAGATCGTGTTCCTGCAAAATAGGATGGCGGTTCAGGCCGTGATGCCAGTGGGGACGAGGTTCCTAGTTTAACGACGTTTGGACTGGATGACTGGTCGGAAGTCTGAAACTGCTCAAGACTAGAGGTATGGCCCAAGCGGATCACATTCGGGCTCGAAGAGCTGTTCTCGGCAGAGTCTGTGCTAGGGTTCTCCTCGAAAGGCTCCAGGCCAGGGCTCGTCAAGTCTTTGAAGGCTGGAGGTCTTGGACTCGACGAGACACCTAGTACTCTATAATTGGGGCTTGAGGTAGCCGCAGTCTTCTCAGCCAGTGAGGTGAAGGAGGTTCGGGACGACAATCTTCTCGCTTTACGACTCCCAGCAGGCAGAGAAGGCAATAATGCCAAATCATCTGAAGAGATTTTCCTCAGTGACTCCCATGTGTATGCACCAGACAGACTCTCACTAGAGCTGAGACTTCGCAATCGAGAAGAGCTGGCGGTAGCAGGTCGGAGTGGAGGCGATGTCGCTGTTGAAGGACAGGAAACCTCTCCAGCCTGAGCTTCATAAAGATCACGTAGTGCCTTGACGGATCGTTTCAGCTTCACTGTGGGCTGCGCCACTCCTCGCAGACTTCTATGAGCATCGTTGCTTCTTCCTGCTTCGCCCTGAAATGGAAATGCTAGAGCATCACCAATCGAACCTGGACGGGTCCTCTTCTTCTTGATCGAGCTTGGAAGGAGGACGTGGGCCGGTTTCGTAGGGAACGGTGTGGTGTTGTAGACGCTGGATATCTCCGGGTCTGACAGAGCATCTTTGGACAAGCGCGAGGAGATTTCGTTGGCTTGAGATGGTGTCCTTTCTTGCAGGGGAGTTCTTTTGGGTGCGGTCCGCTTCGGTGATCTCTGCTTCACCGACGAAGGGGACGAGAACATTGCTATCTCATCGTAAATGGCGGCTCATTCCCGGACAGTTCACGACTTATGAGGGATTCGTCGGGATGTTTCGTACGCTGCGGTGGTCGAGCAAGCGTGTGTTGGTAGAGGAAAGAGCGACTGAGGGTGAGGCTGTGCAGAATCAACAAAGCTCGAAGCTCGCAGGTGTCAAAAAGTCATCCGAGAGCATCGTGGCATGAAGCGACTGGGATGACGACGGGGCCGAGGTGCATATGCACGCTGCAGGGCGAGTTAAATTTGTCTGATGCGCGGATGAGTGACGGGAGGCGTCGGATTTGACAGCTGGTGCTGGAGATTGCCTTTGGTGTGTGCCGGAATGCTCAATATTTTGGTTCCTCCCAAAGTATGTGTATGTTGTATGTGCGGCCAACACTTGTCTGGGGGGAGAGTCGCTGCGCTGTCTCCAGACAATGCTGTTGTTCTCAGACATCTGCTCTATCTTGGAGGCCCGGGCCTCGACATCATCAGGAGAGAACAATGCTGGCCTTGGGCTTAGGCCCCTAACCCTTAGCCCGGCACATCGATAGCGCTGGACTGGCGAATGGGTACTGGTATTGCGCCGGCTCCAGTAAATTTGCCAGAGGCGCAGTTTCCATCTCCGTGTGTCAAGGAGTAGGAGTCGCGTTGCGTCTTGAATCGCGTGGGAAATGTTGGGGACAAAATTCGCCTATTGGTGGGTGAGCATCGCGAAAGAAACGCGTCAATTTGGCTGCGACCAGGGGGGTGGCTTTCCGATGAGAGCAGCGGAGCAAGATCTCCTGGTTGTCTCCAGCTTGGTAGATTACGACGTGGCGGTGGGTTTACTACCGTAGTAGTAGTGATGGTTGGTCTGTGGGTTGGGAAATTCCAATATGCAAGATTGAACTGCAGCACGTATGCCAGATGGTTGCCCGGAAGAAAGGGCGGTCAGGTCACGCTGCACTGTGCTGCCTGCGCTGTGAGAGAAGGGATCCCTACCTTAGGTACCCGACACACTCGATTTGTAGGCGGCGCAGGCATGTAACCGCCTAACGCACTCCTCAAACAGCGCACAATCTCGTCGTCGTCTCGACTTGGACTCTCCCTCCAGTCGCCTACCAACAACTAACAACTCCCCCTTTCTCAGCATCCTTCCCGCTGCCAGACTGCGGCCGTATCTCTAAAGCTAAATTGTTCTGTGTCCGGGGGCTGCCTCATATGCGGGCTTTCACCACTTGCCGCTCTTCACAATGGCTCCTATCGATGTATTGTCCAAACTGAGGGCTGCGTATTTCGGGCGTCAAGGTATGTTGTCCGGAGCCATTGATATTGGCCCACGATCTCTCCATGCCCTGGCACCTGAAACTAGTCTTTCGACCTCCCTTGGCCCTCCGCTGACCTACTGGACACTGGACAATTTCTCTCCTTTCTCTGCCCCAAATCTTCTCGTGGATCCTGTCTACTCCGTACTCCGTGCTCTAACCTCTATCGATAAGCTGCTGATCTAGAATGACCACAGACAAAGAGGAACCTATCATCTCGACTGCGACCGCGACCATTCTCTCGGTAGGTTGATACGTCTTCATCCCGATTCCCTCCCCTGTATTCTGACTGTTCTGTAACCAGGTCGCCTTCACGTTGGTCTATGTGGTTCCTTTCTACTTGTCCGCATCAACGCGACCGTCGCCCAGGCTGAACCGGGATGCACCGTCTGTAATCCGCGCTCGCGTCCGCACCGTAACGGTGGCCTGCATTCTGGCCTCCTCGGCAACACTCTATTTACTTGTTGTGACGGCAAGATTGACGGTCATTGACGCACTCCACCTTCTGGGCTGGTGGCCTATTCAACTGATCGACGTGGCCAAGTGCTGTGCACTGACCCTCCTCCTCTACACTGGGCCTCTGTTCGAAAAGATCTTTATCGAGGGGGAAGTGGATGATTTTCGTCGAGGGCGCAAGATCTTTGAATCCCTGAGTAGCTGGCAAGGCTATCGAAACTACGTGGCTGGCCCTATTACCGAAGAAATCATCTTTCGCTCCGTGTTGGTCCCCTTGCACATGCTTGCAAAGGTGTCACCGGCCAGGATCGTCTTTTTGACGCCGTTGTATTTCGGAATCGCTCATGCTCATCACTTCTATGAATTTACATTGACTCATCCTCACACGCCACTGGCCCCAGCTCTCCTGCGTACAGTCTTCCAATTCGGCTATACCACACTTTTTGGCTGGTTTGCGGATTTCATTTACCTGCGCTCTGGCTCACTCTACGCCTGTATTATCATTCACGCTTTTTGCAATTGGGTCGGACTTCCTCGGTTCTGGGGTCGTGTGAAACGGACAGAATATTACCCTCTCTCGCCTGTGGCAATCCGAGGGAAAGACGACACGGATGCAGTTCAACCAGGTGGGAAGGAAAGGCGACTGGGTCTCCAGTGGACGGTTACCTACTATGTGTTGTTATTGGCTGGCGCCTACGCCTTCTATGCTGGGTTGTGGCCGTTGACAGACTCCTCACTGGCTTTCGTCCAATTCGGAGGGGCGGAGAAGTCGAAGAAGTCATGGGTAAAGCTATAGACGGGGATGAGCCTCAGGAATAGCATCTTCCGGTATCCGCATCCGTACTATGAAAACATTGTTTTATCAGGGGGTTGGAGCAAGGCCAGCCGTTTGCCGTAGGTCGCAAGGCCAGCCGTTTGCCGTAGGTCGCAAGGCTTATGTCCGAGCCAATGGAGGTAATGCCGAGCTCAGAAAATACATAGACGGATATATCTCCAAACCACTGCATCATCGACACTTGCCTTTTGTCTCTCCGCGCATTCGCATTCTCTCCCCCACCCAGCAGAGTCAGGAGTCCCAAATTACATGCGATATCCCTCACCGATCCCATGCCTCACTTGAGGCCATCTATACCTCTGTTAGCTGCCCAACCCGGTAGATCTAGCACTCGAGCCGTTGCCCGCGCCATCCTCGACTCTCGCACGCCTCCATTTCCCGTCACACCGACATGTCCAGGCCCAACATGTGCCTGTTCAACCATGCCAGCAGGTCTGGATATCGAGCGCACATATAACCTAAATGGCACGATGTCACCGTATGCCCAGCATCTCATCATCTCCACCGGTCGGTCGGACTGGACCAGCAGGATCGAAGATGAAAGAGACACTGCTGTGTGGGGACGGTTCACTGCAGAAATAAAGGCAGTACTGGGGCGTGGAGGAGAATTTCATGACGTACGTAACGCTCATACCCTCAGGCCTGCTCTAGACACATGAGAAAGAAGATGAAGCCGGAACCTAGCAAAGAACCCCAAAGCTATAACTGGACTGCTAGACACGACACGGGACGGCTGACTTACACCAGCGCTGATATCTAGCCATTCAACAACATCATCATCAGCACATCGTCATTTAAGCCGTGGCAATTGGCTAAGCGCGACGTCCTCATGCAGAGACAGACCGGTAAAGATCAGGTTGTCAGCGTGCAAGCACAAAGCGAAGTGGACGCGCTTCTGTTCCCCGCCTTCCTACATGTGCGAGGGCTCAACCTCGATGCAGACCCTGACCTCTTGAGGAAATTTGTCCGGTCTTCTCTGCTGCCTGAACCCGATCGGTTGCATCCAATCTACAGTGACCTGTCGGACTCGGAGCGACGAGCTAAGACTCGCGACGTGGGCGCCGGGCGATTTCTCGTGCGGCCGTCGGTCGAAGCGCCCACGATCCTCATCTGCAGCCATGGACAGCGTGATAGCAGATGCGGGATTCTTGGGCCATTACTCCACGCCGAGTTTGCACGGTACATGGACCAGCGGCAGGTCGACGAGCGAGGCGTGCGACTTGTCCCGCGCACCGGCGAGTTTATACGGCGAGATGATGCTCCCCGAGGATCTTCCATCGAAGCGTCTACGGGTGCGGGTTCGGGTACGAGTGCGGACGAAGACGATGGTGTGTCCTCGCAATTGTCACGGTCTCCGTCCTCATCTTCGCCCGACCCGACCAAACATATCGATAAAAGAATCAACGTCAACGTCGGCATGCTCTCCCACGTCGGCGGCCACAAATGGGCCGGCAATGTGATTCTATACATTCCGCCGACCTTCGCCTCCCATCGACCTTCTTCTGCTTCCTCGTCGTCCTCATCGCGCGCCCGATCCTCGCTTTCGAATCTCTACCCGCGCCCACACCCCTTGGCCGGCATGGGGATCTGGTACGGCCGCGTCGAACCACGCCATGTCGAGGGGATTGTCGAACAGACTCTGATGCAGGGAAAAGTCATCCGGGAGTTGTTCCGCGGCGGCGTATCGACGACCGGGGAGATCTTGAGGCTGTAACAACAGACCGTTGTGCTTACAGCTGACACTCCGTTCTTGGTGGAAGGCTTACAGTACGCTCGGAAACGTTCAAGCAGTATTTCCCACCTACTACCTACTGGACGCGTGGGCAGGTTATCTGAATGAAAGCCTGCCATGGCTGAAAGCATGTACATGACAGCGCGCTCCTGGCGGACCTGGAGAGATTCGGATACCACGTTGAACGTTGAACGTCGAGCGTCATATGCCACCCCACCCTACCAGAAGGGTGGTGATCTGTATTTCAAACTAGGGTTGAAAAGTTCCTTGTTCCTTGTTCTCTATCACAGGGCTCAGGGGCCTGGGGCCCACCCTGACTACGGAATATATAGATAAATCGTGGAGATCTGTAGATGAGGCTGGGGAATGCTTCTCAATATATCTCAACACTGTACACTATACACTGTACTCTGTACTAGTAGTCCATGCAACCACCTACTATCCATCCGTACAGACTCTACAATCGACTATGTTGGACGTGCTCAACAAAGCTAGGGCTCGCATGCCGGTCCCGACAGGACACTCTCGTGTAATTACATTCTTTTCTTCGTGAAATCGTGAAATCGTGCATCGTGCATCATAGCTAGATCAAGTCTAAAGAATGCATCACCGACCATGACCATGACCCTAACCCCTTCGCCTCAGCTCCTGAACAGCGACCAAATCGAACTCATCATCAAGCTCGTCGCTGTCCCATTCATCCTCCTGATCCTGGATTGCAAGTTGGAGGAACCGCTCGAGGCCCATGGCTCGCACAGGTCCGGGCTGCTGGCCTCCGCCGCGCGCCCCCGGGTGGTTGCCTTGGCCCGGCGCAGCTAAGGGTAGGATGGGAGCAGCTCCGTCGGGCTGTGGAGGAGGACGCTGATCAAATTGCCCATCGCCTGCACGGAGAGCGTTGTTAGGTGCTTGGTGCCGAGCCCGAGCCCGAGCCTGATCATGCCCATGGGCCTGGGCATGGCCTCCTCTCACCGCGCGTGCGGGCTCGTTAATCATATTTCGCTGGCGGTTTCCTTGCTGGCCCCCGCCTCCTCTTCGTCTCGCTCGGGGTGGGTTTGGCACAGCCTGGGGTGCAGGTGCAGCGGCTCTGGGCTGTTCCGGAAGCTCTATCCACTGGGGAATCTGAGCACCAGGACGCGCAAAGTTCACGATCTCGATACGCATGTTTCTGTTCCGTCGCTGGCCCGGGGCTGGCTCTTCGTCATCGGAAGATCCCTCGTCCGCAAAGGGGCGATGGCCTCGAAACGCATTGAAATTCTCGGGTGGAAGGTCATCGTCATCTGAGTCGGCATCCGAATCGACCTCTGCCTCCCAGTCAGGGAGTTCCAAGTTATTGTGGGCCCCCTGGGGATCAACTCCTTCGCCATCACCTGCTTCGAGGACCCAAAGCCGCATGTAGCATGGGCTCTTTTCGTCGTTGAAATGTCGGTATGGATTGTCGGGCATCAGGTATGACGAACAGAGATAGCAGAAATGAGTCTTGCACTTGAAGCAGATCATGTGGTTACAACCCATGGCCTTCTGGCAGGGGGCGTTGCAAGTGGGACACCCTGTAGAGTACTTCTGCATGTAAGCCAGCGAAGCGGCTTCTTCCTCGTTGAGTTCCTGTTGACGTCGCGGGCTGCACCGGGCAAGTTCGCCGTGCCAGCCTTTGCGGCAGACGCAGCAGAACGCAAAGTCGCAGTCCTCACAGACGGCGAGACGCTCGGACATGGGAAGAAATTCCAGGTCGGCCTTCTTTGTCTTCTTGTCGGGAGGAACCTGGGGTGCGTCTCCATCCAACTCGGACTCCGAACTCTCGTCAACCATGTCGCCCATGAGATCAACAGGTTTGGGATGCTTCTTGGACCGTGCTGCCCCTTGACACCATTGCCGAGGGCAGTAGATGGTATTCTTGTCCGCCTCGAGTCGCTTCTTCCGTTTGAGGCGCACGTATCTTTGCACCAACTCTTGTTCGATGGGAATCTGCAGTAGTTCACTCGGATTGAGTGTCCGATCTTGTTTCCGTCTCCTCAGCAGCCGCCCATCTGCCCCGATTCTCCGGGAATCAGCGTCGCCGCAAGTCGGCGACAAGCATTTGACATTATCGACATCACCTTCTGTGATGCAGCTCTTGTAAAAGTCCTGTAAGCAAGCCACACAAAACACATGCCCGCACTGCAAGAGTCTGTGGCAGTTGCTACCCTTCTTTGGCTCCAAACAGATTCCGCAATCGAAAGTCTCTTTCTCGAATATCTCTTGCTTCGTCTTCAGGTCAAAATCGAGCAATGCCAGTTTCAGGTCGCTGGGAACTTGCACGTCGGCCTCTCTTGCCAGCCCGAAGGCTTGTTCTGCCTCTTGTTGAACATGATCAATATATGTGTAGACCACCTGGTCGTGCCCAAGCTCTTCCCACAGCCTAGCACAGTCCTCCCTTAACCTATTGAGCACGGAACTTGACAGCCAGGGAGGGGTGACAGATATTGAGATTACTGGAGGTTTGACGGCAGGGTAACCTTCGGGTAGGGTAATCCGGAGGGCGACAGGCGGGAGATGGGAGAGTTCGTGGGCATCGAGCAGAGCCGGCTGCTGCACTTGCACTTGTGAATCGATATTCACATTAACCCCATTCTGTTCGGTGGAAGATGGTGGCTTGGGTAGTGCGGGTGGCACCCCGTCCGTCGCAGGCGCGAAAAGAATGCGTAGAGGTATAACCGGGGTCACCGAGAGTTCAAGGGTTGCAGTATATGGGTCTTGAGCATCGACAATAAGTTCTGGGTAGATGGCCGCGATGGAAGCGAGCTCGATCGTCCTCTCATCGTCTTCCGCAGCAGGGTCATCCATCTTGCATTCTGTACGACGAGTACGGTGGTGGCAAGTCGCTTGGATATGATTAGGTGCAATAGAAACCGAGTGGATGTTACACCAAAAACAAGGGCAAGGCCACTGGGAGTTGACGACGAACACAAGGATCAAAATTATGGCTTTCGGGGATTCAAGAGTCCAGAAGTAAATAATGTCCTGTGTATCCTTGTACCGGCGGCGAATGTTGGAGTCGGCGAGTCAGAAAAAAAAGGATGGAGTCATCATTTATCATTATCAGCAGGGGTCTTGCCCGCGCCACCACTACCACTGCATTTGTCCTTCATCTAATTAAGCCTGACCCAGCAATTCACATTCACTGCCGTGCTGTTCTCGTGAGGCTTGATCATGGACCAGTTCGATGATCCTGCTGTCGCCTCCTTCTCGCTCACCCACGTTCGCTACGTATGTCAGTATCTAGCATGCTTTGTGCCGTTCGACCTCCGACTGATGCGTCGTAGAATCCCAACGACCCCTTATCATACCTCTCCGCATGGCTTGCTTTGGTCCCACAAGGTCTCTGTATCGTCTATGTGACCTTGATATGGGCTTCGCGGGAAGTCGAAGTGTCTCTTATGTTTGCGGGTCAAATGGCGTGTGAAGCTCTCAATTTCGGGCTCAAACGGTTGATCCGCGAAGAAAGACCGCGACGTATGCCGCTTGGATTCCGCTTTCGAGAAACATGGATGCTAACCATCTCAGAAATGTACGGGAAGGGCTATGGCATGCCGTCTTCACATTCGCAATTCGCCGCATTCTTTGCTGTCTCAGTCAGTTTGTTCTTGCTCTTCCGGCACGTGCCTACACCCTCGACCAGTTATTCGCCCTCGACATTGTCCGAACGACTCCTCCTCTCATTCCTCGCGTGTGTGGGTGCTGGAGCGGTGGCGGCCAGTCGGGTCTACCTGAACTACCACACGCCCAGGCAAGTCTGTGTGGGCGCGGCTGCCGGGGTCATCTTTGCCATCGTGTGGTTTCTGTTCACGACTTATTTGCGTCGATATGGCTGGGTAGACTGGGCCCTGGATACGTCCTTGTCGCGCCACCTCCGGTTTAGGGATTTGATCACCACGGAAGATCTTCAAGATGCTGGTTGGGGGAGATGGGAGTCACGGCGAAAAGCGAGGCGGGGGATCAAGGCGAATGACACGGCCACGGGCAAGAAGGGCAGATGAGGTGTGCATTACTACTGCGCAGATCTGAGTCTAAGGAGCCTGAGGGAATATCATGTCGCTACAGTGCTGGATCATAGTCACCTACTACATAAGGTATCTACCTATAGTACTGATATGCCTGGCGCCACCTACACTACTGCACTACTGCACAACTGCACTACTGCACTACGACCATTATGCTCCTCTGTATCTGTACTGTAAGGTATGACAGCACCAACGGCAGGTGCTCTAATTAGCAAGACCTTACCTAGGTGCTTACTAAGACTTGTAAGGACGTCGAAGTGCGTTGACGCGCTCACGAGACGCGTCGTATATACATCATACGGAGTACTTTGTACAATACGCGTCATATATAGTCTAACGAGTCTTCGGATCTCGTTATAACAAGTACCATTGATATGGGAGCACCTGATTGACTAACTAAGGCCATGCTCGGTAATGCTCCATATGCGCTGATTAGGCGCATTTGAGGGCGTGAAAGCGCAGATTGCAAACCTCTCTCGGTCCGATCCATAACAATCCAATTCGTTTCTGGCGATGAATGGATGGTCGATCGGCCTTTCCAAGTCATCAGGTAGAGCGATTTGCAGAGACATTCATTCTGAATCCACCACGCCCGAAATGACCTAGGAAACAGAGATAGCTCCGTCATTTTGGATGTACTATCCCTTTTGCCTGGCGGCAATTGTGTCCAAAAGAACCTCCCTTGGCTTATCGGCAGCTTGTGCTACGGGCTGTAGTTCTAAGGAACATACTGGAACCCACGCAAGCCATCAATGGGTCCGATCTTTCCCTCTCTGAGCAATCTGTTTTTGCGCTTGAAGTGGAAGGTCATCAAGGCCAGCACACCAATGTACAGGAACTGGAAACCAAGTGTCGCCCTGGCGAGTGAGTCAGTCAGTCAAAGTCTTGACAAGCATGTGATGTGATGTTGCACATACCACATTCCTGGGATGTATTTGGGAGCATCCTGAGACCTGAAAATGGTACTTCCCGTGATCCCCCCTGCTGCGCCAATCGTGATCATGGCCGCTGTGATGACACCTTTCTTGCTCGGATGGCTGGTGTTGTTCTCGGCATAGCTGAGGTTCGATATACTGCCAGTCATTAGAAACACCATGACAAACGCTCGAGCCTGCAGATGGTACTTACACATTCGATTGTGCTCCATATGTCGCAAGGAAAAGCCTGTCGTGTCGTGGTCAGTGGAACGGTTTTTGTGCACAAGAGGCCGGGTTCACAAACCCAAAAAGTCGAACACCCGGCGGGGGTGCATAGAGTACTATGAGCAATCCGACAATGCTGGATACAGTTATCAGAATGAGCCTTTTTCACTTTCATTTTCATTTTCATTTTGTTCCCTGGAGACACTAGGCCAAGACTTACGTGTTCAATGCCTGAAATAGGTGAATTCTGTTGCACCAGTCAGTCAGTTGTTGAAAACATTCAGTTCGACGGAGAGAGCTTACGGCCACCGTGTGCGGTACCTGTCAGATATGAAGGCCATTATGATCGACACGATGATACAGAAGACCTGCGCACCCGGTTAGCTGATCTCTTTTTCTTGGGCCGGTGGCCAGGACAGAAGAAGCTCGGGACTAAGGCACTGACCCAAGGTGGACTAGTCAGCAATAGCGTGGTTGACTGATCGTATCCCAGCGCACCACTGAGGATGACGGGCGTAAAATATGAAACGGAGTAGACGCTTGATGCACTGATGTAGTACATCAAACAACTTCAAGCACAGTCAGGGTAAACGTTCCCGAGGTCTCTCGAGGGTGGGAGGTTGCTTACAAGGCCCCAACCTTCCAATCTAGCAACATGCGGAATGCCTGCTTTACATTCACGTGCTCGTACTCCTCGCCCCCTGCTTCCAGGGCGACGCGTTTCAGAGCAATATGGCGCTGTCTATCAGACAACCATCGTGAGTGTTCGGGAACTTGATCGTCCATGTTAGTCCACAAGCAATTCACCGCACTTTGCATCTGGGTCCACTTACATTCCCCGAGAGTGAAAAATGCTATGAAGCCAGCAAGGACGGTGGCCAATCCCTCAACAATGTAGATCCATCTCCAGCCTTGGCTGTAAACTCCGGAGCCGACGCTGATCTTGGAGAGTGCGTACGCGAACTGTAGGAGATTAGTGATGATGTTGGAGACTTGGAGACTTTGAATCCAGGGATTCCGGAATCCAACATACGATCCCGCCAAAAGCATTCGTTACCAGCGAACTCATGTAAAATATGGTGATGCGGCGCGCCATCTCGAATTTCGTATACCAGGCCGAGAGTAAGAAGATAGCGCCGGGTAGCACTAGAGATAGATTGGTTGATTTCAGACCAAGCACACAGCAGCAGCAGCCTGGGAGAGGGAAAGGTAGAGCTTACGTCCGGCTTCGAAGGCGCCCAAGAGGAGCCTCAGAACGGCCATGACCACCCAGCTATGGATGAATCCCATGCCGATGATGACCGCTCCCCAACCGATAATGAGCCCAGTCAACCAATACCTCGCGCCGAAACGGCGAATGAGGAGATTGGATGGAAGCTCGAAAATCGCATAGGTCACAAAGAACAGGAGAAGAGAGATTGAATATCGCGCCCCTGGGGTCTTGAGTCAGTTTTCATCCTGTAGTGGAATCTGCTCTGGTGGATGGTGCTTACCAACTTCCATGTCGAGATCAGTCTTCATACCGGCAACATAGGCAGCGGATATGTTGACCCGGTCGAGGAGCGAGAGACCCATGATCACGCAAAGCATGGGTAGGAGATGCCAATCAATCTGTTTTCTGTGTGGCAGACAAATGTTAATTCAATGGGCCTGGGCCACTGCTTTGAAGCTTGTTGGACTCACTCACACCAGTGATCGCTCCTCGGCGGGAGTCCAGTCCTTGCCGTCAGTTTCCAGATCAGCGGCCGACTTTTGTTCATGTTTGTCGCGTTCAGCCTCCTCGACCTGCGAGATCTCAGCGTCGTCCTTGTCCATGGTGGTTGTTTTGTTGTCGACGGGGACCTCGGTCATGAAATCGATGGCTGGCAGTGTTTTAACTACCACAGCCAGTGCAGGGTCAAATCACAGGTCCTCTGCACGATTCTCAACTTGAAGTGATTGAGAGGATTTTTTTAGACGAGAACAATGCCCGGAGCAGGGGACATGTTTATCTGAAAGATTTGCGGGGTGAAATCATGCACACTGCTACTAGTCAACCCCGGATGACCGGGGAATGAAGGGGAAAGTATTCTTGTGCCTTGCTTGGCCTAATTGAATTGAATCAGACATCTCGCCAGCTACTGTGAGTTCCTTTCACAGATTGCTCCGAAGCGTATACCAAGAGTACTCCGTACATCAATTCGGCCGCAAAGAGACCCACTTGGCTCTCGGCTCAAATTGTACTGGACTGCATTGGAACGACATGCGAGGCTGCAGATTCCAAGGTCTTCGGCTCGGCACAAATGAGATGCATGTGGGTTTTGGCGAAGATAGGAGAGACCGTCGAGCCACGTGAAGCTAACTCCACCTCCACCAGTGCCCTTTGGGATAATGATGTTTATAGCGGACAGCCTGTCGCCGTCGACACACAGACGGACTGTCGCGGGGATGGATGCGACCAGGAGGGTCAGCTGGATAGGTTGTGCATGTGCATCCCTTTACGGAATCTTTCCAGCACACTGTTTCCGGACATACAACTGTGCCCGAACGGAACAACCGGTCGAATACACTCTGAAGGTTCCATTTTCTCGAGGACCGAGTACTGTACCATGCCTGATGCATGTATGTTGTTTGCCTGGAACCAAGGATCGCCGTGTTTCCTTGAGGTGGAATGTTATATTGTATGACTGCCTGAACTGACCATAGTTTGCATAAAAGCTCGACTAGAAACATCTGACAGCTGGGCTTACAGTCCAGACGGCTTTCCATTCGACTCTGCCTGTCTTGCATAGTCTACTCCCTTCCAAGACGATCCTGACATAGCGTTGCTTATTCCTTTCCTGGTCCAAGTATCCCGGCCTCACCAACAACCAAACTGTCTGTTCCAACACTCCCACTTTCTTCCAGTTCTTAAGCCATGGCCACATGCATGGTGGTGGGTCCTTCCTTGGACGGCCGGCCGGCGTCTGATCCGGCGACTTGTTTATCTTCGTCCTCCAGATTGGCATCCGCCAGATGTGCAGCAACGGATTTTCCAAAGAGCGCATCGATCTCTTCCAAGGGCAATCCGTTGGCCTGTGAAGCATTCATGTTAGGATATGTGGGTTGATATGGGGAAAGGCGAACAAAACAGGGGTTGGAGGGACTATCATACCTCGGGCAGGAAGAAATAGATGTGAATAGTATGCGCAATGCCAAGGCAGATGAAGACCAGATAGTATTTCCATCCGATGGTCGCTGTGGCGGTGGGAGCCAGCTCCAGCCAAAGCACATCCATGAGGAAGATGGCCGAGATAGAGTACGATGTGGCCTCGCTGCGGAGGTGCGAGGGAAAGATTTCCGTCACGGCAGTAAATTGATTCACATCAATCAGTGCCCCATACCTACCACCACGCAAAACCATTTGTCAGTACTAAGAATGAACTGGCCCACGCCAAACTAATCCAGGTCTCCGGGACCAGGCTGGACTTACGCAATCACATAGAGATAAAGGAAGGCGACTGCGGCAGCAGCAATCCCCTTGGACTCGTCGGTGCTATATTTGGCGATGAGACCAGTCGCAACGGCGAACATGGACATGTTGAGGATGAAACCCCACACTAAAATACACAGACAGATGGTCAGCCTGTGGCATGTTTTTACCATTTCCCATTTTCCTCGAGATGGCACATGGATAGGTAGGTCATCAGGGGTGGCTGGAGGTGGGAGGATGGATTCAACTGACATAAGCCTCTCCGGCGGCCGATCTTGTCGCTACAATAAGCCCCGGCAAAGTTTGCTATGGCCGCGAGGGTATTGTAGATGGCGCTGAGCATCAACGCCATCTGGTTGTCGAGTCCGAGAGACCGGTACAGCAGGACGGTATAGTTGTTGATGACCAGTGTTCCGTTGTTCTGGCCGCCTGCCATGATCAGGAAGGCTAGGATAAATCTTTTCCGGTACGTTTTGGCGGTGAACAGTTGCCATTTGCCGTCTTGTGCCAGGACCGCCGCATCGGCCGCTTGCTGACGCTGGATCAGGGCTAGTTCTCGTCGAGCGAAGTGGTCATCCGGGTCATGGGGATCGTGATGGAGCTTGCGAAGGATGGCGTATGCTTGCTCGCCACGGTCTCGCTGGACGAGCCATCGAGGGCTTTCAGGGACTGAATATTTCGAGAAAGTCAGCTAGTGAACTGGACTGTACTGTTTCCGCAACGCCACGGGGTACACCCATCCAGATTTCGCCGCCGGCCACTTACTGAAGAATGTCCCGGTCATCAGGACCAGGCCGAGAAGCCCGAGCACGGCATTGGGGAATCTCCAGGAGAAGGTCGTGCTCGGAGCGTGATAGCAGCCAAATCTGAATGAAGCCGGCCTGGTCAGTTTCCAAGCCCAACTCTCATAGTGCCGTACACAGTAGGCCTTCCAGTGGCGCGCACCACGTCTACTCACCCAATCCATCCCGCCAACAAGTAGCCAGTATTGATAAAACTTCCATGGGCGCCGGTCATCATACCACGAGAGCGTGGCGGCGAGACCTCTGCGTAGTAGGTTGGCATGGCAGCAAGGGTGTTTCCTGCTGCGAGACCAGTGATGACGCGTGCGACGAGGTACTGAGTTAAGCAGGTCAGCGTCGCGAAGGAAGCATGGGAAAATAAGCATAAGAGGGAGAAGAATCACGAGAATCAATCATCATGACGATGATGCCAAACATACCATTGGAACATTGACCGATCCTGCCTGAATCGCCGCACCCACGATCCCCAGCACGGCCGCGAAGCGGAAGCCATTCAGGCGCCCGAATCTATCGGCAGTCCAGCCAGAGATCAGAGTGCCAAAGAAGCCACCGGCAAAGAAAACTCCATTGATGGCGCCGATGATGGTGTTCGTATGCGAGTAGCCGGGGTCAGTCGGGTCTGCAACGAGCGACAAGGACGCGTAGAAGGTGGGTTGGCCCAAGGTGGTGGTGACGACGGCCAAGGCAAACCCTGAAAACAGGGAGCCTGTCGCAGCGAACAAGATGGTCTATAGCCAGTGATAACAAGAACAATAAGCAAGGTCATGTCTGAAGTGGAAATCAAGCTCGATGAGGAATGCCCTTACGAGGGTATTGTATCTTGTATATGTCTCCATTGCGGAGCCGACAGACCTGTCGAGGCACGTGGAATAGGTATTGAAAGGTGACTTTCAAGCAGTGGGCATCAATACTGGGGAGCTCCAGTTTGGACTTGGAAGATAGATGCAAGGCAGCCATTCAGTCAACATCTGTGGCTCTTGCTAATTATATATCGTTCCCTTCTGTCTTCTGTCGTTCCCCGTACCCCTTACCCCGTACAGACAGTAGGCTGTTCGCCATGAAGATATGGGGCCCCGACACGGAGATGGATACCGAATCCTCAGGGATGAAGGGGCGAAGAGGGGAAACATGGATGGTCCATCTAGGGTCCAGAGCATGGTGTGTCTGACAACTATCTAACTTCTGCGTGGCGGCCTTCTTGACTTGTGTTGGGATTCTGGGCCGTTCGAGCCTTGTTGTTTTTCTCCCGACACTGCAGCCGAGAGAGTACCTATACTGTACTGTCCCTGGTCCCGGAGTTGGATGGACTTAGGGGCTGCGCACCAAGATATGACCCCACCACTCCCGTTCCTATTGGCTATGTCATGAACCGACGATTTCAGCCGAGCCGAGATGGGAAAGTAGCCAGTGTGACCTGTGACCAGCATCCCGCCAAGTGTCAGTCCGGCAGGGCGGGTCGTAGTCACAGACCGGGGAAGGTGACCAGAGCGGGGGAGGCAGCTCGTCAGTCCTTCTCGTGCGAGTGATGGTTGGTTGACGATAAGGTCAGTGTAAATAAGTAGAGAGCAAGGCGAGAGCCCAGTAGAAAGACACGACCATCCATAAGTGATTCGGAAACCTCCGAGTCTGTGTTATATCGCCAAACAACCTTGTGCTTCTAATCTCGTCTCCGATTCATCACTGACTACTGACAAAATGGTCGACTTTGATTCCCTGCCGGATTTTGACTCGTTACCGCCGGTAGAGGGGATGCCCCAAGGATGTGCATGGGGGCTTTTCGACCGCGATGGGCAAAAGGATTACCTGGGATGCTTGAACTTGCTGACGCTGCGGGTCAAGAAGGAGGCTCTCACGGAGGCTCGCGAGGGAGTCTCGATTTCTCTCAATTGGCCCCTCAATGCCATCAAGACGCCGGGCTTTGGGCGACGAGCTACGGAACATACAGTGATTGACGCCCTAGAAGGTCCATTCAAGACTCACGGATTTGATGACGAAGTGGCCTTCAACACCCAAGGGTCGAGCCAGTGGGACAGCTTGGCCCATTGGGGCCATCAGTCGACAGGATTATACTATAACGGATCGAAACCAACCAAAGCGAACTTGGTGCAGGACACGACTGATGAAGCCGACAAGAGCCTCCCGACTCTAAACCACTGGCACGAACATGGTTGTATGGTCGGACGAGGTGTGCTCTTGGATTATAAGGCTTACGCTCACGCTCGGGGAATCGTCTACGACTGCTTCGACTCGCACGCCATCACAGTGGCCGATTTGGAGGCCGTGGCCGCGTATCAACAGACCACCTTCAAGTATGGGGATATCCTCATCGTCCGGACTGGCTTCACCGACGAACTGGGCGCCGCTACCGCAGAGGAGCAGGTCAAAATGCTGGGAACCCACAAGACCGTGGGCGTGGCAGGCAACATCGACACGGCCCGGTGGCTCTGGAATCATCACTTTTCGGCCGTGGCCGGTGATACTATTGCTTTTGAAGTTTTCCCTGCTATGGTCGAGGAAGCTGGAGGTATTCGCCAAGGGAGCATGTCAGAAATGGGTATGTGGTGCTTTCTCCAATCACTCTTTCCTCCCCTTTCCAAGTCCTGCTTTGGCCACCCGGACTCTTCACTGCCCTGTATTTCCTTGTGAATTTGGAACCACTCTAGAGAAAAAGAACATGTCTGACTTTGTCTGGCGTCTACCCGCGCACATGCAGTCTTGCACAAGTATCTCCTGACCTTCTTTGGGATGTATATCGGCGAACTCTGGGATCTCAAAGCGCTGGGTGAGTACTGCGCAAAGACGAAACGCTACGAATTTCTCCTCTCCTCGGTCCCGCTTAACATGCCTGGGTTGGTGGGCTCGCCTCCCAACGCCGTTGCAATCTTCTGAGTCCAGAATGCCAACGTTCCCGAGTGTAGATGTTAAGTCATGTAGATAGATGCCTTGCCGGTCACTGCCTTGCTGGCTCAGTAATTTACGTTTGGGGCTTGTATGAGATTAACTGTGCCTGTACTTTGTGACTTTTCAATATCGATTCTTTGTGTGGCATAACGGGATATCCACGGACTCCTGATAAATAATGGAATGGTCTGGCTTCGGCCATCTCGAAGCGTGGTTGCTACTGTAGAACCCCACGGGGCCAAAGTCTTGATGGATTGCTTGACGGTGGAGTCTGCGCACTCCGCAAACAGGGCCGGGCCAGCATTTACAGTGGAGAAAGAAGAAGGCCTCTCGGCTCAATCGTTGGACCCCCTTTCGGATCAATCTAGATTGTGTACAGCCCAGCTCCTGCCTACGAGGTCTTAACGCGGGGAGTGGTTTGACACGTGCAAAGTCGTGGTGTGGTACATCTATTGGTCATTGACATAGCCATGGCCCTTTCATGGTCATTCTAGACGGTCGAAAATCCCATCCTTCTCTACACTGCCAGTCCTTGAGGGTGTCACAATTCTGACCACTAGATCGTGGCGAGTATATGAGATTGCCAGCCTGAGCCAGCAGAAAACCATGGCCGAGATCAAGTTCGACGAGTCAATCTTTGCGGGCCTGAAGGGGAAGATCGTGGTCATTACAGGTATCTCGACTCCTTTCCCCAACTCCTGTTCAACGCTAGACTTGGGAGCACGCTCGACTGACTTACAACTCGCCATCTTAAAGGTGGCAGTAGCGGCATTGGGCTCGCGGCCGCCAAGTTCTTCTCTCAGCAGGGCGCGTATGTGGTTTCAGCGGATCTCAATCCGCCGCCTGAAGAGATTGCCAACGTCACTTTCCGCAAGGTCGATCTCACCAAGTGGGATGAGCAGTACGACCTATTCGAATGGGTCGTCAAGACCTACAGCCGACTTGACATTGCCTTTCTGAACGCCGGGGTCGGCGAGATCGAGAGCGTCTTCGTCGACGAAGTCGATGGTCAAGGCCGGCTCAAAGAGCCCAAATACTCGGTTCTCGCGGTGAATCTGATTGCGCCCATCAGTGGATTCAAGATTGCGGTTCATTTTATGAAGAAGCAAGCAGAGGGTGGAAGTGTAGTCATTACCGGGAGCGGAAAGAGTAAGTGTTTTACCTCTACCCCCTTTCCAGCAGCCAACGGAAAGCTGTTATAGCCAACGGAAAACTCTCACAGACAGCGTTCAGGTACTGAGGTAGCTAACTGTTCCCTTTTTTAGGCTTTAATGGAGTGGGAGGCACACCTATGTATGCGGTGGCGAAACACGGCGTAAGTCCAAGACCCTGGGAATGGGAACCGTTCCAATCTACTCTGCTCGATAGATGAACAGTGTTCGTCTCCTAACACAACATATAACATCTAGCTCCTCGGCTTGATTCGAACCTTGCGAAACGACATTCCAACAAAGTACAAGATCCGTCTCAACCTCGTCTGCCCGTTCTGGACGGACACGGGCATCATCCCGCCGGAGGAACGCGAAAAGATCGTCTCGGCCAAAACTTGCATGCAACCCGCCGATGTCCCCGCCAAGGCGGCGGCGTTTGTGTCGCTCAACCCGGAATACCAGGGCAGGGTCGTGTATGCGGCGTGCGGGAAGTACTTTGACGTTGAGTCGGGCTTCCAACTCACGCGCCCAGTCTGGCTCGGCGCGAAGAACCACCTTGACCGGCTGTCCTGGGAGGAGGATCCTGCAGCATTGGCTTTCAAAACCAAGTTTGAGTAGAGAAGGCAATTTAGGGGGTATTGGTCAGACCAAGTTTAAGTAGAGACGACTCTGTAGGAGGTATTGGGCTAATCAGGCTAGCTTAGCTCACACAGCTGTTGAGACTCTTTCTTTGCTAGTTTGGATGCTACAGTACCTCACTTTTATATTTCCAAGCTGGAACAAGCCCAGTCAAGTATGTGTCGTGACGTGCAAAGCAGAATAGGGCGTGGGCTCAAATTTCGAAGCGGGCTCGATAAAAAACACCGGACAAAGGCTCTCATCATACTTAGACACTTGAGGATAAAATAAAGCCGATGCTAAACGAAGGAATGTGGTAAACATAACTTGAATCGTCTAGGGCTCTCGAGCTGTCTAACTTAGGCATTCCCAGCCTTGTTCTTTAACCAGAAGGCTGATATAAGCACACCTATATATATAGTCTGGCCTCCCCATATCCCTTTGATAGAGAACATGGAATATTGAATTCAACCTTTAACACGAGCGAGTTGCCAAAATTGCTGGACTGACTGGACATGAACTGGGTCATTTTTCGACCTTCCTTTCTCGACCTTTCATAGAATGACTGGTCGGGCGACCATGCCAGTTGCGCGAAAGCAAAGAAGCAACCCCTCCCTCACAAAGGAGCAACCCCCTTCCAGTGTCAAACAATGCTTCATTTCTCCAGCGGAGTTTGGTGCTGCGCTATCTCATACACCTGGCGGTCGAATAGATCATTAGGAAACAGGGCGTCGAGGTTATTGGTGACACTACAATTGAAGAAGGAGCTGAAGTCGGGCATGGAGGCAAAGTCACTCAAGTAAGCGTCGTTCAGAGTGAAGCCTGGGCCAAGGGGGCTGCCGATGTTGGCGGTGGCGGTGGTGGCACCACTCTCTTCGACGTGGTCCAATCGCATCGTATGGCCATTGGTATGGGGATGGGGACTCCCCGTCCCTGGGTCGGGACTCTGCCATCGAGAGGCACGGGGAAGTTTGCGCAGAGGGAAAAAGTCCTTCTGGGCCAGAATCTTGAACAGGGAGCAAGCCCATGAAGACGCCGGGCTCAGGTGCTGTTCCATTTCTTCGAGGATCATGATGCCCAGGTCGTATTTGTTGGTGGCGATCCGATCGACTCGGCCTTCCTCGCGCGCTTCTTTGATCAGTTCCGCATACGTGACCATCGCTCCGAAGATGGGCGTATTCCTAGGTGAGAAATTTCAGTCAAGAGAACCTTAGTCTGCTCTCGGACAAAGGACAGAATGTTAGTCCGCCCTCAACAGTCAAGACAGACCTTAGTCTCCTCAACAGTCAAGACACAATCTTAGTCTGCCATCGGCAGTCAAGGACAAGACACAACAGACAAGAAACAAGAAACAAGAGCACAGCTCGACGGACATACACATAAGTGGGCGAGTATCTCAGACAGTCCAGCTCCAGCAGCTCCTCGTAGATACCGAGTGTCCTGGCCGCGGCCCGCGTCGTCTCAGCCTTGACCTCGCACAGGCTCTGAGAGACGTCGGGCTCGCACGCCTGACGCTTGGCGAAATGTTTTCGCAGATATCGACACGCGATGGATAAGGTCCTCTCCGTGCTCAACTGCAGGAACATGATCCAACGTTGCTCGGCGCGGTCTGGACCATCAGCGTGGTGGGCTCCTGTACCGAAGTGTTGCGAGAGATAGTTCGACAGCTCGGTTCGAAGCGCGTTGATCTCACTTTGACATGCACGCAGCGCTTTGATGGCCGCTTCATCACCCAGGGCATGATCGAGGCCGATGGCGATTGTCCGGTCCACTGGCCATGCGACACGGCGGTTAGTTCATCGGACCCTAAAACAACAAAAACATGTTCAGACCACACCCTCTTCGAGTTTCCCCTCTTCAGGGGAGTGGGATGATTAGATTAAACACAAAAAGGAATGCCAAATGCCAAATCTGTCACTTACGCAAAGCCGCCTGGCGAGCAGTCTTGATGGCATAGAAGACGTGTGTATCCGAGTGTTTGGTGAGGTCCAGGGCCTGGTCGTCTCGAATGCCAGAGGAGACGGAAATGCCAGGAGATGGATCTTGTCGCTCGTAAAAGTCGGCCTCGGTCAGCTCCTCGACATCAATATCCCTGCTGTTGATCGTGATTGGCCGGCCCATGGCGGCCGAGATATTGCAATCCCTACTCTGGTCTGACTTAGATCGGCAATAGTGGACGCTTGATGGAATCACTCACATAGACAGTCCAGAAGATCCTTCTCCATAGCGATCTTTCCCGGGGTCCGAGGCGGGCAGCTGCAGGAACCGCTTTATGAAGGCCCATGGTAAGAGCCAAATTGGCGCAACACGAGATCCAGTACTTGGCTCCTTTTTCCTCGCTGAAGTCGGACCACCAAGAACTGATAAACAGAAGGGTTTGGATGATCTTGAGTTGGTGGTATTCGCAGTTGAGTGCGTACAGTGCAGTGGCACGATCGTAGAAATACTCTTGTGACTGGCGAACTGAGTCGAACCCAGCCATGGCCAACGATTCTTTCGGAACATACTGAGATGCGGCAAAGAAAATTGCATGCAGCAACATGGGCGACGTGATCTGCCTGTCACATAATTGTTCGTACATTTTGCCCAACTCGTACCGGTCGATGGCGGGGAAGGTCGGCAGCACATGCGTTCCAAAGGCGGAAAGGAAGTCGCCCGCGATGGGTGTGTCGGGAAAGGACAAGACATTCTTGAGTCGGGTGAGGTAGAACACATCCACGGGCGAGATGTGAGCGAAGACAGTGTCGCCGCAGGTCGCGGGTTGGAGTGTCTTCAGCTCCCAGCGAGCAGACGGACAGGGAGTAAATGGAAACACCTCGTGCGTAAACGCAACGCCCGTTGAGTCTTGAATCTCCGACCCACGCCGACGGCTACGCCGGTTGAAGTGTCGATGGCCGGTCATGTGCGGGAGAAAGGAATGGTGTAATGTGTCCCCCGAGTACACAAAGCACCTGGAGGGCGGAACTTCTGTCACGGTGGCGCTGTCCCCGCGTGGCACGGAAGGCTGTGGTTTCTCTGAGGTTTCGGAGTCGACCACATGCTGTCGCGAAGCGTACCCGACCGCTACTAGAGGACTGCTCCATACATCTTGGTTGTCGAACCCGCTGACCGTGGCAGTAGCACAGCCAGTTGAAGACTTGCCTCCAGAACATACCGAGTGGGCGGTAGGAGGATCTGCCAGGTGGAATAACTGGTGAGGAGGACCATTGTGGGTTTGCTGGGTGGCATTGAGATTGTGGTTGTCCACGCCATTCACATCAATGTTGAGTGACGGTTGCGAGCCTGGGTTCAGATCCAAGACCCCAACTGGAGGCTCCGAGTCTTGAAGGCGGTGAACAGCAGAGTGGCTTTGTGCCTGGGTGGCCCGGTCTCGCTCATGGCCAGCCTCCGGAGCATTCAGTTTCTGGCGTTTGCGATATTGCCTTTTGCCAGGTTCCCAATTGTCAGCTTTCTCATTGCTGGTGTTCTGGTATGGGCATATTGGCATCACCCACCTTCGCCGCTCGGGGACAAGTTCACACGCAACATCAATCAAATCACAATAGGAGCATCGGTCTCCGCTTCCAGGGACCACGTCGCAGCGAACCTTGCGGGCATGGCAACGCATGCAAGCTCTTGCTGCCCGACTTGCACGAGGAGCCGATCGATTTGAATTGTTCTTCTCCACTGATTCCATGGCGAGCACCTGGGCCGCTGTACGGTCGGAAGCGGCTCTCGTCTGGGACAGTTTCAGTGGGAAAAAGGAGGTGTGGGTGACTTGGGCCGACCGAAAGAGAGAAAACCGGCTGAATCCAAGTTACAGTACGGAGTATGCGGCAAAATCTATAGCTGCGGTCGATGAAATTTCGGCCCGAGGAACATCACACCTGTCACTATCAGCATGGGGGAACTCTCGTTTCTGGAGCTTAGGACTTAGACCTAAGGGCTTAGGGGCCTAAGGCGCAGGCAATGTTAGTTCTAGGCACGAATCCGGGGAGTATGTAACAGTCTGGGGAGTGTGGAGGAGGCTTAGGGCTAAGGGGCGGAGGAGGCCCACTCGGGCTTCACGCCGCAGAAGAGCTAGGTTTAGGAGGTTTATGTGACAGCACAAAACTTGTACAGTAGTAATTACATACAATTATTGTTGCCTCGAATGGGCTTGGACCATTTGGGGTGGACACTGGACAGTACATACCTCCCACGGGGAAGGCTAGGAGGACACAAGCCATGGTCCATTACTGGACGCTGAATCGACCTGAGAAATTACAGTATAGATCTCTTCTGTTATCACAGCGCCAGTATAGTCCATCCAAGTTCAGGATATGAGGCGGAAGAGAAATTTTGACCTCGTGGTCAGAACAATGTCAAATCAATCATGTACTGTAGATGCTCGCTGCTTGTCTCCAGGACAACCTCCTATCGTGCTCGCACGATGGTCACGACATGCGGCTTCTGTTCTGTCCAAAATACACACAACTATCTTCATTCGGTCACTGATGGGCCCGTCAATCTATGACTGGTGTTGAGGACGATTTCCTGCCACTTCTTGAGGAAGTCGCCCTCCTTGTAGTCATCGTGGTCCACGTCCAAATATCCCAGCGGAGCCCACATGCGAGGCACAATGGCCAGTGATCGCCCTAGATTCTGGCCGTTAGTAAATCCAAGGATGGGTGCATACTCGCTTTCTCTCGCACAGTAAGAGTTAAGGAGTGGCGAGGAGAATAAGAGAACTGCACCTGACAACATCGACTCTTCAGCAATGTGGGATTTAACGACGTACCGTAGACAGTGGTGTCAACACAGATCCTTATGAGAGCTCGGGCAGCGTCGTCTATGGATGCAAAGACGGCTCCTTTGCTTGTGATGCGTTCTGCAACTGCATCACTGATGATGTCTGTCTTGATATACCTGCATCAGGGAAGCTTCGTTAACATGACAACGACTGGCCGGAATGAATCAAAGGGGGAAAAACTCGTACCAAGGCGCAATGTAGTTGACTCGGGTTCCGTGCTGCCAACAAGTTCTCCGGAGGCACCTCATGGTTCCACGAAGTCCAAACTTGGATGCATTATACTGTGGCGATCCAGGTTGGTCGACATATCCAGCAAGGCTGCCTTGGAGGACTAACGTTGAGTCGCTCTTTTCGCCCAAGGTCGTCGCAGCATGGTACTGCTTCCGGAAGTAGAACAGCGCCAATTTAATGGTATACATGACTCCGATCAGATTAATGTTCAAGATCTTAAGATCCGGTTTCTCTGGGACTGATGCCGATGCTGATGAGGGTAATGAGCCTCAGCCTTGACATTCTAACAGCGGTCAATCTCGGTACATATCACCTACCGGGATCTTCCACAAAGACTGGGTCTTGACCACTGATGCCTGCATTTGCCACGACAATGTCGATGCGTCCCGAGGGAGACTTGTTGATGGTCTCCGTAAACATCTTGACTTGATCGTCCCACGAGGTGACATCGCAATGCGACACCCAAACCTGTCTGCTCAAAGGTCGAGCATAGCATCATGAGTTAGGAGGCTTTCCCTAGATACATGAAAGCTTGAGTGCAAGGCCATGTCCCTTGTTTCGCTTTGCCGTCGGGAACATGGCCTGGTGGAGGGAATTGGTCTCACTCACCCAGGGTATGAAGACGCAAGCTGTTCAGCACGTTGCTTATCCAGGTCACCAATCATCACATAGGCACTGTGACAAGCTTGTCAGCGGACCGTGCGGTATTGAGCATGGCAAGCGTGAGGACGAAAGTCAGAAGGGAGCGAGTCGAAAGTGGATGAGGATTTGGCCTCTCCAAGGAACAACCTCCCTCGAGGAAGACTGTGGTCCGCTTCGACAGCCCATCCTACGTACCCTGCGTCCGCGAGAGCTTTGGTATAGACTGCCCCGATCCCGTTGGCCCCTACAGAGATGAAATAACATGAGCAGCCACTCACTCAGTCCCATGGACTGCGCAGATTGAAGAGCATACCTCCCGTGATAACTGCCGTCTTGCCTTTGACCTTGGAAGGGTCGGACTCGATGCTGCAGTCGATGGCGTCTGGGAAGAGATGAGGGTGAGCCATCGTGGCAAGAGAGAGCTGGTGACTGCTAACTGTCCCACACGTGCGTGCTATCGAAGGATGAAGATTGCCACGCAGAGTGACCTGCAACAAATACTCTTTCTTAGCTAGAGATGTCGGCAGGGTATGAACAAGCAGTAGGAAGTGCCAGTGTACAAGATATGGATAGTCCTCTAACAAACGAGTCGTACTTCTTCTGCTTACATTGATTGTAATGAACCCCGCAACCTCGGTCCTCTGGGTTCTGGCGCTTTAGTCCTAAAGCTGGCCCAAATGGAGGCGGATGGCAGGGAGTTGTTCGGCTCCGGAGTGATGTGACGCTAGCGGTGGTAGAGGGCAGTCTTCAGCCGTGCTCTGGATCCCCCAATGATTCATCAAAGTCTCGGTTTAGGCGCGTGATATGTTTGTTGGCTGGCTGGCTGAACCAGTATCAGCCCTTTATATCGAGTAACACCTCAGCCGACGACGTTGTTAGAGACTCTGATCTACGCATGTTTCAAACGCTTTTGTTCATACTGCTTAAATAATGGTTCACGCATAAGTGGCCAATGCTACAATCACTATGGAACTTGAATGATGGTCGGGATTTGCTAGAGTAGATTTTGGGTAAAGTCGACTATACTTTGCCAACCACTTGCAGTGACCTCGACGGACGATGCATCAAACAGTGTGAACCCATGCGGGGCACCAGGTACGAAGCGTAAGACTGCTTGGTTGCCAGCTCGCAACCACCGAAAGTGCATCAGGACCGTGTCGTCGACCAAGGCGTCCTCGGTACCGACAAGGAATAGAGCTGGACAGAGCCCGGCCAAGTCGTTGTAGGCGGGCGACACTGCTCTGTCCTTGCGGTCCTCTAATGATAAGCCTGGGAGGTAGGCGGCAAAAAACCGCTCGGAATCTTCCAAGCTGAGAACTGGGGTAGAGTTTGGGGCGAGCTTTAATGAAGGGAGAATCGATAAATCATAGCAGCCATAGCTCAAGAGGGCTCCCTTGATGCCGTTTGCCTTCCCCTGTTCCTTGAGGTGAAGCAATGCCAGCACGGATAGCGTGGCTCCTGCAGACTGAAGGACATATCAGCCATTATCGCCGAAGCAAGGAGATAGAAGGCGACGAGAAGGTAGGGTTGGTATCTTACCTCGCCGCCGATGAACCACAGATCGGCGTTTAGCTATGAACGTAAATCAGTCGATCAGCAAGTCGTCCCAGGGATAAAGAAGGTCTCAGGTGCACTCTTACTGTCGCTTGAGCGTTCACTGTTAGCCAATCGACCACATCCTCACAATCTTCACGTGCGGCGGGATAGATATGCTCGGGGGCCAGTCGATATTCCACAGAGAGGAGCAGTAGGCCAGTCTGGTCTGCAATGTGGCTCAAGAGACGATCCTGGCTGAGCAGCAAAGGATTAGTCGATGGTGACCGCGGCAGGGGAACGGTGGAACGGTGTTGATCTAAACGGACCCTTGGGCTGTGCCTAAAACCCATCCACCTCCATGGATGTGAAGGAATATGCCCTGAGGCCGGACAGATGCATTGGATGGCTTGATGAGGCGGCAATTGATCCTTCTGCCGGCCTCACGTGACGGCACCTCGACGTTGGTCGCACTGGCATTGAGCGTGTATGGAGGAAAGACCGTCTGGCCCTTCGCCCGCATCTCGCGGTAGACCTGGGCGCCGACCTGGGAGTTGTTAGGCCTGCCCCTGGATCATGACACGAAGAAGCTGAATGCAGCCCAAGATCTCCTAGTCACCCTACCTTCCACCATTTCTCGTCTTTCTCGGCTGCCGAGATTACGTCGCGGTTCAGCTGTGCGGTTTGGGCGCTCGTGCTGGCAGGGTCAAAGGCTTTCAAATCATAGACACAATCCGAGGGGATCATGCCCTTCAGCGGTGCTGCCATCGTATCGACCAGTCCCGGTGGTATGGGATTGGGATTGGCTTCCGCGTGCGTGCTGAGCTCTGTAAGTCCACAGCAAGGAGGATCGTGAATGAGCCTTGATCTAACGACTCGACTTGTAGCAGAAGATGGGTGCATGCTGCTGATAGGGACAGTTTCGCCGAATTGTCCAAGTGGAGACTCGAGAGATGGGGTTCCACCCTTCAGCATCAGCACTCAATTGATCCATCATTTTTAACTAGATGTCGGTCGGCTGTTGCTCATCCTCGCCGAACGGCTGCGGCCCGGATGAAACTTACCCCAGAAAACCCCAAGTTCCCGGTTGAATATCTTTCGGCCAGCTCTTCGGATGAATTCATCACGTGAGGTGTTGTACCACCCACCCCCCTTGGTGCCCTGGCACTGTGCACCCGCCTGACATTACCATGGCTATGTAAGACAACATTGGAGAAGAGTGAAGGGAGAAGAAGACTGACCTTTTGTCTGTGTATAGAGCTTGTCTCTTAGCCAAGTCTCAGCTGGTCACCGCGATTGCCTGCCTCGCGCACCTTTTAGAAAATCGGGTATCATTTTGAATAGATATTTGTTACTTGTTACCGCAATGGCTCCTGGTCTCCTCAAGGACGAGCTTCGAGCGGAGCATGCCGACGACGTGCTGGAAACTGTTGCTGAGTATGCGAAACAGGTCCCCAAGGCAGATGAGACAGGCTACGTGATCCCCGACACATATCTTGGAGCCCGGCGGCCCATCAAAGTCCTGGTGATCGGGTTTGGTGCAGCAGCCATCAACATTGTCCATGCAATCGGTCAACGCAAAGACAACAACGTGGTCATTCAATGCTACGAAAAAAATGACGAGGTCGGGGGCACGTGGTATGAGAACAAGTACGTATTGACCCCGTCGCCCACTGTCCGTGGGTATTCTTCTCATCGGCAACGATTGACGTGCGATCATGGTCAGGTATCCCGGCTGTGCGTGTGATATTGTAAGTCTCGATAGCCATGATGACTCTTGAATCAAGGATCTGACCACCGTGCAAAAAGCCAGCCGTGAACTATATGTTCTCGTGGCACTCCAAGCCTGACTGGACTAGTTAGTAAGTCGTGCCCTTTGTTGGTCTTCTTTTCTTTGCACGAGAGACACACGCTGACGACCGGGGGTGATGCAGTTACGCCACGTCCCAAGAGATCTTGGGATACTTCAAAGACATAGTGGAGAAGCATGGCATGCAACAGTATGTCAAACTGAGACACGCTGTCTCCGGTGCCTGGTGGAACGGGGAGACTGGCAAATGGAGAATCAAAATCGTTCCTGATGGCAACCAAGATGCGGCTTTTTATGACGAGGGCGAGGTTCTCATCAATGCCACCGGTGTTCTCAAGTACGTTCACTCCAGCTGGTTGTATATGAACTGTGGCATTTTTGTCGTCGCGCCGGGGGGACAAACAAGGCTGACCCACGAGTTTAGCAACTGGAAATGGCCTGCTGTTCCTGGAGTGGAGAAGTTCCAAAACAAAGTGCACAGTGCCGCGTGGGACGACAGCGTGGATCTGGATGATAAGGTGGTCGGTATCATTGGCAATGGCTCCAGCGCTGTCCAAATCATTCCCGCCATCTTTCCTCGTGAGTATCAGCCCACCCTCGAAGAAGGATATTTTGTGACCTACCAACCAACCATACTGAATTGAACGCATTGACCAGGGATCAAAAAGATAATATCTTACCAACGGTCGTCGACTTGGATCACCGCCGGCTTTGCGCAAAAGTACGCTGGCGAGAATGGGGCCAACTTCAACTGTAAGGAAGACCCGGAAGACGCACGCCTCTCAGAGTCATCAAGGCTGACACGCACGGGGAATAGACACCGAAGACCAAAAGAAAGAGTTTGCCGCAGATCCAGCAAAGTATCTGGAATATCGCAAATTGGTCGAGGAAGAGCTCAACCAAAGATTCAAGTTTGTGAGTCCACCGTTTTGTCAGCCAGAGATTGTCCACGAGCGACCGTCTCGATCTGTCTCTCTACTCTCCCACACACCGAACCAGCTGACTCTTTCGGTTCAATTAGATCATCAATGGCTCGGCAGAGCAGGCAGAAGCACTGGCGGTGAGTTATGATAGCCAGGAGACGCGCTTGGCCTTCCGATTGAAAGTCTGCTGTGTTATCATGACTGACATGATCTCCAGTATGCCCGGCTTGAAATGGGACGGAAACTACAAGGACGCGAAGACCTGATCTCGAAGATGGTCCCAACCAATTACGCAGTGGGCTGTAGGGTAAGTCCGCGGATGAATCAAAAGGAGAATGAATGCATTCTCTCTGTATGCACGAGGAGTTCCGATACTGACTTCGGCTACTTGCGGCAGCGTCCCACGCCGGGCAATGGCTATCTAGAATGCCTGACCAACCAAGAGAAATGTGAAGTCACATTCGCTCCTATCAAGGAGATCACGGAAGAAGGGATCGTGACCACCGACGGCGTCCTACGCAAGGTTGACGTGCTCGTTTGTGCCACGGGCTTCGACGTCTCCTTCAGGCCTCGATATCCCATTGTCGGCCAAGGTAGCATCGACTTGAGGGACGCCTGGAAAGAACAGCCCTACACCTATCTCAGCGCTACTGTGCCAGACTTTCCCAACTACTTTAGTATGGCCTTTCCTCGTACACCTGACACCTGGGCCACTTACTGATCATCCGTGCCTTTTGTCTAGTGATCAATGGCCCATTCGGTCCCTATGGGCACGGCTCTATCTTGCCCGTCATCGAGATCATTACACGGTACCTGGAGAGATTTGTGGAAAAATTGCAGACGGAGAATGTCAAGTCTTTCGCCCCTAAGATGGACGCGGTGGAAGACTTCCGCCGACACCGAGAGCTCTTTCTCAAACGCACAGCATGGAGCTCGCCTTGCCGGTCCTGGTTCAAGGGTGGCAAGGTCGATGGGCCGATCATGATGTGGCCAGGGAGTCGACTTCACTTTTTCGAAGCAATGGCAAAACCACGTTATGAGGTATACGAAGAAGCCATCTCCATCTCCTTTCTCTCCTTCCCCTTCCGCTTCCTTTCCTTCTTCGTCATGACTAGGAACCTCCACTGACTTGATCCGATAGGACTACAACTGGGAATACAGAGACACCAACCGATTTTCGTACTTTGGCAACGGCTTCTCGCAGAGGGAGGTGGACGGCAGCGACATTTCTTGGTACATCAACGGAGTGTAGGACCTAGGATCTGAGGCACAATGAAGGGGTGAAAGGATCTCTGTTGAGGCCTCAGAGGGCCCTGGAGTCTTCGAGGTCAACGCTATGACAATAGGGATGGATGGAGTGACTACTACTGCCAACAAAGAGGATCTGGCAATACTCGTATCCTCGTATCTGACGAGTATCGTCACGGTAGTTCGCTTATTACAATGGTTCAAGTTGATAACGCACCATGCCAAGCCGCCATTATCGCAATGCTGTCCAGGACGATCACGTGCAACTATCACGTGCCATGATCTTCCCCTGAAACCAAGGCTAGGCCGGAAACAGGTCTAGTGCACCGGGAGAGCGTCATGGCAACCTTCCGCTGCATAAAATCGCGTATTACTCTTCTTTATTATTAGCAGTTGCCGCCCAAGTGCCTCCCATTTCCGGACCATCCGAACCATGAGACAGTTCCATTCATCAGCAATCCCACAGCCGCAGTTTGTTGTCTGCAACTCTCCTCGACTGGATCCTTCTATCTTGTCCTCCTCTATCCATCAGTTCATCCATCCATCCATCTCTCCATCTCCATCTCCATCTCCCTGACACTCCTCTGATCCTCACCTATTGCAATACGGCCACGCCACCATGTACCTGACTTCCGCGCTGGTCGCCAGTGCTCTGGCCTTGCGCGCCTCAGCATTCCTTGTACCCCTCGAGGTCTCAAACGCGGCAGAACAGGCCAAATCCGAACTCGCCGCCCTCCTCACCAAGACAGGTCGTACTGTTGACCTCGACTGCCCTGGATGTCCTTTCTTCGGCATTGAGGACACCACAAAACTTCAATACAATGTTGAGACCAAAATAGTAAGCACGTGCCCACATCTCCGGGGCGACACCATGCTGATGCCTCTCTCTTGCTAGCATCTCGAGTTCAACGTTGGCTCCAACCAAGATCTGACCATCAATGGGCGCCCCATCATACCGACCAACCCGGACACTCCATCCCTTGTTGCAGCTCCTCAAATAAGAGCGGAAGATGGAGAACAAACCGCCCCGATCCCCCTCGACTTCGCGTATGAGAAACTACCACCGGTGACGTCGGCCGAGGAACCCGACAAAACCATTCTGCCCTTCAGACTCACCATTGTAGGTCTGAACATGCATCCGGTCACCGTTGACAGCCTGGCCATCGACATACTGCAAACCCCGGATCATACTTCTGTTGTCCGCATCACCAATATCCCGTTCGAAGACACTCCGGGTGCTACCACATGTGACACATCTTCAAACTGGTCCCTTTGCCGTCTGCGGGCCATTGTTGCTGCGCGCATTCAATCCATCGTGGATGCTGCAAGGGCACACGCTCATGGTGCCAAGGGTTGGGTCAGCGGCAAAGGTTGCAAGGGCAAGAAGTTCGGAAAGGAAGGCGTACATCATAAACATGGACACGGGCACCACATGGGAGGCCATCACCACCGTCACCACCGCCTCCACCGCCTTGGACGCATGATGCACAAGACTCTTCGTTTCTTCGTCATTCCTGCCCTACTTGGCGTCATTGGCGGCCTGATGGCCAGTGCTATCGGTATGCTCGTGGGCCAGTCGATCTCCTACCTCTGGATCAGATTCCACCGCAACGGTCACCGCCGTCACGCGGACGTTCAGGTGGTTGAGATTGTCGTTGATGAGGACGAGAAGGACGCATTACTGATTGACGGTGAACTCCCTCCCCCGCCACAGTACGAGGATGTGGAAGCCAATGCCGAAGGAGTCAAAAGTGACGAGAAGCATTGAGAAACAAACCCTCAACAGATTCTGGAAGACATGGCTCAGAAAACCACTAGAGAAAGAAGACCGACAGACGGAGGTCAAGCACAACACATTTATGAGATACCCTAAGCATTGCAGGTGTTATTACGCGGGCGGTTGAAGAGTTGGGAACGAAGGTACCTCGGCGACAAGGTGGAATACCTTTCGGGTTTGACGCTACTGGCGCACAACCTCGATTTACGATGGAAGCCTCTCACGATTTTGCCACCGAAGCGGAGCTGTTATCATTGAATATTGTTTTGGATTGTATCGACGAACCTGACTCGCCATATCTACCACCGAGTCTCGGAGACCTTGCCAGCCTTTCTTCCGTGAGTGCCCAGTTCCAGCTGGGGCTCCGGGTAAAGTTGCCAAAGGGGCAAGCGGTCGTGGTAAACGAGGTCTTGATAACAAGGAGTTCGGGGACGTTGATGTAGTGTACAACAGAAACAAGGGCAATGCTATGAAACAATCAACCAAATTAGTCAAACCAATAAACAAAGACACAAGACACCATGGAAATCTTGATTATTTCGTTCCTCGTAGTGCCCGGCCTGTCCGTCTGCTGGTAGCTGTATGGCGTGGAACGGGGACGGGAACTACTAGGTAGGAACATGGAACTGGCCAATGCTTGTATATTGTGCCATGCATGACTAAGCTAAACTTGCAACACTACATCCTTTCCGGCCGATACTAGTTCTTAGACTGGCGGGGACTGATAATAGTACCTTACAGGATACTACCTAGGTAGCCGCCCACATCTGAAGCCAGTTCGCGAGGTCGAACTTGATAATATCCAGCTGTCTCTGAATCCCCGGGGAGAAACCCCAGTAACACGGCCCCCCGGGCTCGTACCCAGAGCTGTACCAGCGTTGTTGTGCGACATTCTTGTTTCTTGGATGGGAGTGGGTGGGCTGGTGTCCCCGCTTTGACGTCGGTGAATTGTCTGTGTTGCTTTCTACGTCTTCGGGTTCTGAGGACGCTGCCGGAGGATGGATTTCCGATGATACCGGCTTGGAAGAAGAACAAGGAGAGGAGGAGGACTCCTTGAGCGAGCTCCTCCGCTGGGAGACCGCATTTTCACATCTCGACTTGGCTTCAAGGTCAGAGGCACACGTAGGATCGTTACCAGCGTCGCCGGCCTCAGTATAATATGATGTCTGAGTGTGAACGTGCGTGCTATGATTTGCAACGTCTGCTTTCCAACGAGGAAGAAAGGAAGCACAATATGACATGAATAGCTGAAACAAAGACTGCTGACGCTTGCTTTGGGATGGAGCGACAACCATCGATTTGGATGTCGGTGCTGGTTCTGGTTGGGGTTCTGATTTTGATTGAGGTGGCCCACTGGCAAGTCTGGCTTCAGGCTTGCATGTGACGGTCCCTTCCGCCTCCTCCACCTCTAGCATTGAGGTTGTGGCTGAAGCTGCCCAAGGAGAAAAAGAGCGAGGATGGTTTATCTGCGGCTGCTCATCATGTTCCAATTTGCATGGCAATGGCACGGCTGACTTGCCCATGCTGGTCGGGACAATCAATCGGGGCTGGAATTGCGTGAGCACCGTAGTACACGTACAATCTCTTGTCTGTCGGTCTCTCAGTGCACACCACGGAATCCTTGTGGTATGGGAGTTTGTGCTGCACGTGCCGACGTTCAGCGTGGAGGCCAGTGGTCCTCGTCCGAGCACAAAAAGTGCCAACGCTACGTATGCCACAAAGATAAGCAAGAGCAGTTGTTGGGGGCTTCGGTCAACATATCCACTGAGAGATGAGCTTGTGCAATAGAATGTAGGAGTGCAAGATGGCCTGCTCTCATATTGGGCCCGAGCATCGCCTTCTCGCTCTGCTGTCGGAGACGCCTCTTCTTCTTGCCAGGTCGTCGAGACTATTGCGGCTGCCCCCCAGGTGAACTGGATCTCCTTTCCTGCTCCCCGGGATGTCTTCCCAGTCATCACAGGGTCATCCTCAAATTCGAGTTCGCGCTCGGTAGGCTCAGGTCCGCTTTCACTTGCAGAATCGCGGATCTGACTCCCATCGTCGTCTGAAACTTGCTCAAGACCATCAAGGATGTCGGTGAACGACATGACCGGAGAGATCGATGGAGTGGTCACGGCCTTGGAGGATTCGCTGGATATGCTCTCAGTGCGGCGTTCATATATGGGAAGCTGTTTGAGGATCTTGATACCTTTGGAGATGATAGAGTCTGTCGTCGACTCAGACACGAAGTTTGTCTGTGTTTCTGCAGCCTGGGCCGATGCACGGCGACAAGAGCTGAGAAAGGTTCCTGATTCTCGGGTACCCCGGCTTTGTAGGTCGTTTGCAACCCCGGCGACATTCTCCGTCGAATTGCTGAGATTCGGGAAGAGGTGTATCTCAGTCACCTGGCGGGTCGAAGTTGGACTGGGAGAGCCGCTTCCCAAAGCCGCGATCCAGGCCCCCCCAATAGGGTCGAGACGACTGTAATCCTTCATCTGGTCTGAGTAGTCCGAACCAATGAGCGTCGACCCACCGAGCGTCGACCCACCGGGAGAATCATCTCCAACCATCATTATCCACCTTCCAACCTTGACATCTGGAGGCGACCTCGACGTCGATCTCATGCGGAGCCGTTCTTCCACAGAAAGCGGATTGTGAAGTGGCTCGACTGACTGATGCTGCGGCGATATGGATCTTCGCTGACGCAGCCCGGGTGTTTGATGGCACTCGACGGCACTGCTAGTGGCTGCGCTGTCCTGGGCCTTCTCGGAGTGTGGTGAGCGCGATGGTGAAGTCAGCCTGTCTTCACCGACTACATCTGAGGGCGGAATGGAACTTCGCGGAGGCGGGCCTCTGGTCGAGCTGCTCTGAAAGGCATTGGGTTTTGTTTTGATGGGAGCCAGGTTCCCGGCTGTCCCCCGTGATCTCTCGCTTATGCTGGTCCGACGGCGTTGATTCTCGCTTTGCGCGGTGTCGGCCAAGGCCGAACCCGCGTCGTTGTCTAGATCCACATGATGACTTGAAGGTGACAAGGTGATTGATGGCCCTGCTGTTTCGGAAACAGGTCGGCCTTTGTGAAGTGGCGATGTTTCCTCCAAGAGCTCTAGGCCCTGACCGACAATGCTAATCTCGCTGCCGCTGGACTTCAGTTGATGTGGTTGGACATCGGCACCTTGGCCAGCCTGCGGCTGTGGATTGGCCTCTACAGGCACCTGTGTACTTCCCTCCCTCGACTCTCGAGTCGCGTTTTCAGAGGGGGAATACTGCGGCTCATCCTCAACTTTACCCAGTGCTCCGTCACGAATGGTCTCTTCCTCTTGACCTCGGTCAAGGATACCCTGGATCCTCAATGGCTCTGGCCGGCTTGGGCTATCCAACGAGAGCTGTGCATAATACTGGTCAGAAAGAGGCCTCGACAATACTAATCCTGACAGGTTGATGCGCTTTTGAAGGTCTGCAATTTCAAGGGACAGGCGAGACGGACCAGGAGAAGCGTCTCCGTAGTCAGGCGTGATCCACTCTAGTGGTTCGGGATTGGACACTGTTGAAGCACCAGCATGAGAGGAGGCGCCGCGCTGGGACGATTGCCATGACTGACGGGATGACGCGGGTGACCTTGGCCAGTTCGAGCGAATGGAAGCTGTTGAGTTCGTATTTCTCGGAGGAAGGTGTCTAAAGGTCGCGCTCCTGGGTGAGTTGGCCAGGCTGTGAAATGAGGAAGGAAGAGTCGCCAAAGGAGAAGCGAGAAAGTCGGCCAGGGCTTGGTGTTGCACGAATGGCGATGTCGACAGGTGCTGAAAGGCGTGACGCTTGGATAGAAGCTCCATCAAGCGTCTATCACAGAACCGGATTTGGTCCTCGTCTCTTTGAATCTGTTCTGAACGTGCCTTGTCAATCCAGTTACGACACTCCCTCATCTCTTCAAGCGTCCTCTTGTATTCCTCCTTGGTAGCTTGTAATTTGGTTTCTGATTCCTCACTCCTCAGCCTGTATTCTTCGAGCTTCTTGGTAAGGTTCGCAATCTCTTCTTCCTTTGCTCGGCACATTCCTTGACACTCCGTTTGTGCATTCTTTGCGTCGGTCGCTTCCTTTTCGAAGCCTTTTTTGGTGCGCTCGATCTGCACATTTCGGCACTTCAGCTCCTCCAGCTCTTCTCGGATTGTGTTGAGTGCCTGGTGAAAAATGTTCGCAGTTTCGGCCAGAAAGGCGACCTCCTGCTGTCTCCTGCGACAGAGGTCCTCTGCTTCAGATAGCTTCTGAGGATAGTCTTCCAATTCCTCCCTTTGCTTTAGATAATCTTGCTCGAGAAGATCCATTTTCTTGAGCAATTCCTCATGTTGCATTTGCAGCCACTCCTTTTCAGCGAGCAGCTGTCCATATTTGACTCGCAATTCTTCGTTCGGTATTTGCTCCTCACTCGGAGTAACAGCCTCCGCCATGTCTCCCTGCCTTTCCCGAGCGAGCTCTGGTGTGGGTGGTGCCGCAGTCTGGCTGTTTATGGCTATCGGTGCCTCCACGGTGTCGCTGAGCGCCTCTTCTGATTCTCGCTTTTGGTCCGCAGCAGCCTTAAGTAACGGAGAGGCCTTCGCAATAATCGTTTCATAGATGCTGCTATTCACGCTTGAGATCGGAGGGGTTTTGCGTGGAGGGCTGACTTCAGCACGTTTACCCACGGCTCGTGAAAGGTTCAACTTAGGGGAAGAGATGAAGAGCCCCAAACCACGCACTTCTCGGAGGTCACCAGGATCTTCATCTTCCACAAGGCTTTGTTGGTCCAAGTCGGGGCTAGTTGAGGTCGGATCCATTTTGCGAAATCGTGGCCGGTCTAAAAGTCAACTGAGAGAGTAGTGACTCTCGCCCGAACTTCGTGGGAGTTATAGGTAGCTTGTAAGTGCATCGACTTCGACCACGGCTGGCTATAGAGCACTGCCCTTCTTCTAGTTCACGGAGAGAGGGTTTCAGATGCATCCTTTGACGTGGTCGGCTACATGTGAGACTGAAGTGAACAAAGAAACATTTGCGATCGGACACGCACTGAGAGGGCCAATGGAGTCGAGGATGGCGCAACCGGTTTCGGATATTCTGTAGCCTTGAAGTCTGCCGCCTGTGAACAAAGAACGACACGGACCACGCGAGCATTCCACATCTTTGTAGCAACCGGCAGTGAAGAATGGAGCACGTAGTTACCCTGCTCTCGGAGGTTGGAGTGGTTAGGCCGTGCCACCGACGTCCTGGCTGGATGATCTCCTGGACAGCAGTTCCAAGCAAGGAATACAGGCAACATCGGACGTCCAGAATGTTCAGGATGCATTTTTACAGTGATTATGGTATGTAAAGCCCCGGCCGCTATGCAATCTCGAGTGAAGAGCAGAATCGTTAGGTCTCCAAAGTAAAGGTCTAGTCGACATAGCCACCGACTGGCGGCCCTGGTTTCCCTTTCTGAAGGATATCGTCAACGTCGACCTGGACTGGTGGTCGCTTGCGCCGGTCCTTGCAGCCAATCTGGACAACCTTTTGCTTCCCCGTGTCGTCCACTACCAGTGCGGTGAGTTTGCCGCCCCTCGCACAGCCAGTGTCGAGGCCTTTCGAGTACTTTTGCATTTGCAAGCCCAGTTTGGCGTCATGGCCGTAGATGACGGTGGTCTGTCCTTCACCGGCTCTCGATTTGCCCCCGCTCTTGAGTCGTGCAAACCGTTCGCGTGCTGGAATAAGCCGTTGGTATCTGTTCCACAACTTGTACCACGGCACACTTCCTTCGCGCTCGTGCTTCTTTGACGGCACATGAGTGGCGAGATCGATGACTCGCATGTTCATCACCGAAGCTGGGTCCTGGTTGTCGAGAGCAAGCCCCGGAACGAGACCGGCGTGTACCACCACGGCCTCACCAGCAAAGGCTTTCAACTGTCCCACACGAAGTATGACAGGACAAGACTTGAGCCAGGCGAGTTGTTCGGAATTGAGCGACTTTGCTAACTTTCTTTCTTCGTCATCGGCCTTCAAGGATGTCTGCTGCGTGTGTTCGGATCCTTGTTGATCCTTGTTCTTCGACTCTAAGGTATTCGACTGAAGCTCGTCTGCGACCAAAAGCAGTCGATCATCGTGATTGCCACGTACGCAAGAAGCCTTGTAGCCGCGCAGAAGGTCAATCACTCCAGGTGAGTCCGGACCTTTGTTGACAATATCCCCAACGGCTATCAAGTGGTCTGTTACCGGATCGAACTTCAATTTTTTCAGCAGTTGCTCCAACTCTTCTCGGCAGCCATGAATGTCTCCGACAAACACCAGTCTCTTCTTGTTTGATAATTCTCCTCTTTCATCCAATAAGCCGGGGACAAGACTGCGATCAAGAGTCTGTAGGTGTGTCATGTCAGAGAATCGAGGTCGAATATTGACTCCAAATACACCGGCATTGGCCGCCGAGTCCGCGTGTTTGTTGAGTGACGACCATGTTGCTCTCTCTTCCTGCAGAAAGGGCGCAATGATCTTGGTCCACAGCACAATCGACGAAACAGTCATGACCACTAGCAACAGCAAAAGTCGTCGGAACTTCGGCGCTCTGATCACGGCAATCGATCTGTCCACCAAGATTTCGACCCTGTCCAAGAAGGTATCGCCCACGAAATGGGGTGAATTTGGAGTGTCATAGCCTGGGGTATTGCGCCATTCGTTCGTACAATATTCGATCAGAGGCTTACGAAGACGTTGGCCGGAGCGGAACGCTGGCAGCTGTATGTCGGGCATCGTGGCCTCAAGGCCTTGACCATGTGGTCTTATCTCTTAACCAAGCTGAGCCCCTGCCTTTCACCTCATCGATGGAGCCTAGTTTTGAGATTCAGGCTGGGCTATTTGTCTGCACATGCGGGCAAGAGGTCCGTTCACGCTTCGGTTGGAGAGATCGATCCGTAACAAGGTAGGATCCTGGGAGGAGAGGATGTGGCGGCAAAAGTGACTCTGCCCCGGGATATGATATGGCGGGCTCGTGTGGCTCTCTAAGCTGATATGCAATCCATACCCGAGGCTTCCGCGAGGGATAGGAGGAACTGATCGTGGACAGGACTTTATGCAAAGGAAGAATACACGGAGGAGAGCAGAAGGGGAGAAATTTCAGTGATAAGTGAGATGATGCACTACTAGATACACAATGCCCAGCTCAGCCGCGCAAGCCGCAGCAGGGCCAGGGGGCTTGGGAGGCTTATCTCAGGCCCAACGGCTCCTAATAAGGCTAAGGGCCCTGTCAGCGCGGGATCTGCAAAGCCGCCGCCAGCAGCGCCAAGTGAGTGACACGTCGCCTATGCCCTCTACCGGGCATCTACCAGGGTGTTGAATGGTGCCAGCAGCAGGACGGAGCACCGTCTTATGTATCTTGCATGCATCAGCCACGTTTTGTTGATCACCACTGCACGCGTCCTATAGGAGGCCCCTGTGAATTCTAGGGGGCAGAGACGAGCCTGGAGAAATGACGCAGTCGCAGACTACGGACTATTAATGTGTGCATTGTCCCAGACAAACTGCAAGCCTGTGTCGGATGTGCATCTCAGATACTAGCCACCATCCTCCGTCGCATTTCTGACCCCTGTGCTAATTCTAGGCAGTCCTCCAGTTCACAGGGCCAAGCCTGTAATAACCAGACCCAAGCATCCTAGTCCATACATGCCGAGATGCAGTCCGTTGGCGCCATTGCTGGAAGAGCCGGTCGCCAAAGCCGGTGCAGATGCACCAGTCGCTGCGCTGCCTCCTGCACCTGGATTAGCCTTTGATACGGACAAGAGGCCGGCCTTGAAGACAAAACTTACTTGATGCCGCTGAGCCACCGGTTGTACTCGCAGCACTTCCTCCAGATGTGACAGTCCCGGAACCAGGGCTGGCTGTCGCACTTGGGGCAGGCGTTCCGGTGGACAGGAAGTACGAACTGATGCATGATGCCTGGCAACTGGCATATTGCTCTGTCTCGGATTGGGTGCCATTGCCTTGCGGGCATTGAGCAGCGCAGTCGGTGGTCGCATTCGCCTGAAGTTGACTTGGACACGGTACGTTGACACAGGCAGCTTGACAGCAGACGTCAGCAGAACCACCTGTATGTTATCCCTCTTTATTAATGTTCCAGACTTCACAACAACGTTTCTCTACTCACATTTCTGCAAGCATCTCGTCTGCGCATCAAGCGTCGGGGAGGAGGAAGCAACACTGGTGGCGCTGCTGCTGGTCAAGCTCAAGTCTTGCGCGGCCACCAGGGCGACAATGCCGAAAGTGATCAAAGAACGGAAGAAGCGCATTTCAATGAAGGATGAAACCCTTGCAAGGGGCTAAACACCAGGCTTGAGGGCGGTAGAGTTAGTTCGAAAAGGGAGGGATCGAAGCCAACGTGGCGGAAAGGACTGAGGATAGGCCGAAAACGAATGTATATCAGTCGTAGACTGTGGAAACGAATGTTACGGCACACAGGCCAGTATGGAAGCAAAGAAAGGTTCGCGAAACAGGATGCGACCAAGGACTTATGTGCTGGGAATGGTAGAAGTAAATACTCCGTACAATGGGCGCTGTGCGAGGCTACATGGGCCCCTTTGCGGAGGGTGACGACTAGAACGAGCCAATGTCGCCAGGATTCCCCTTCGACAAGGATTTGATCCATTTAGGTCAGGACTGTGGTCTGCTCTTGGTGCTTTTCTAACGTCCAATGTTGCATACTCACAGGAAATTGTCGCTTATGAGCCCCAGTCGGATGTTAGTCTTTGAGTCTCAGGCAACACCGCGGCTGACCCTGATTTGATCATCACCGACCTGGCTGAGACACGCTTAGGGGCTCGCGCAACAATCCGCGCGGTTTCTTTGGTGTGCGCCCTCGTCCTCAAAATATGCTGGAGTTGTCTCTGCTGTAAACATTAATGGCGGTGGTGTAAACATTAATGGCGGTGGAGATAATAACAAAGATCACTCGTCTCTGGAGAACTCCGGCAGGTCATCGAATAGAACTGTGCTTAGGATAGTACAGAGTACGGAGGACTACAGTAGGTAAGCCCAATTGAAGAAGTCCTAGTCACGTGACCACGCGCACTTTCGCGTTGGACGTGTCATTATCGCGTAGCGCGTTTTCGCGTCACTCTCCAAAGCCCGAAGTTGTCCGTTGATGCGTTACGAAGAGCTTCGTATGAATCTTAGAGCCATTATGGATTTCATCGACGACGAAGCCGAGGCCAGCTCCACCGAGGAGGTGCTGGTACCAAGCTCCCAGACCGATGATCATCCTCGACCGCGAAAACGAGCTCGCCTCAAGGGCCGAGGTCGTGATGCCTCAGTTGATGAAGAGTATGATCTTCCATCCAGTGAACCAGCCGACGCAGCAGGTGACGACGAAGATGATCAGCTAAATCACAAGTCCAAATACGAAGCCCGTATCCACGTACCTCTGTGTGACGATCGTCAAACTGATACCTTTGTAACTCAATTAACTCAGCAGTGGTCCAGTCCTTCCAGGATCAGAGGCCCGAGATGGATGAAGCCTCGTCAAGATTTTGATGCTACCCCTTCCAGGCAGCAGACAGATCCTCAGTCCAGAACCTCAGAGCCACATGCCCAAACGTCCTTCCAAGCCGATGAATTCGAGGATGATGACGATGACGTCGCTTTGCTAGAAGCTCTGGAAGCTGCTGTCAATGCTCCAGCCGGCGGTTCACGGGCTGAAGATACAAGGCAGAGTTTCGAGTCCAATCGGATACCTCCTCCACGTTCTTCGCTACAAAGAACGCCGTCATTCCGCCAGACCACTTTGCATGGACTTCATACCACACCACAGGAGCCTCCGAGGACACAGACCCAAGGCCGAGCCCACAATTGGCCACTGGCAAACAGAAATGAACCTCCGACCCATCACAGAATCAATCGAGACGCCATGGGCACCTGGGTCTATCCCATCAATCTGGGTAGGATCAGAGACTACCAATACACCATTGTCCACAAGGGCCTGTTCCACAACCTCCTTGTTGCCCTCCCTACTGGCCTAGGAAAGACATTTATTGCTGCCACCGTCATGCTGAATTGGTTCAGATGGACTGAGAATGCGCAGATTATCTTTGTGGCTCCTACAAAACCGCTTGTGTCCCAACAAGTCGACGCATGTTTCCATATCGCCGGGATCCCACGGTCGCAGACCACCATGCTCACAGGAGAGGTTCCACCGGCCATCCGGGCCGAGGAATGGCAAAACAAACGAGTCTTTTTCATGACACCCCAGACTCTGATCAACGACCTCAGAAATGGCATGTGTGATCCCAAAAAGATTGTCCTCGTCGTGGTTGATGAAGCACATAAAGCCACAGGAAACTACGCCTATGTCGAAGTGGTCAGGTTTCTAAGGCGGTTCAACTCAAGTTTCCGCGTCCTCGCGTTGACCGCAACGCCAGGAGCGTCTGTGGAGGCTGTCCAGGCGGTAATTGACGGTCTTGGGATCGCTAGAGTCGAGATCAGGACGGAGGACTCTCTCGACATCCGTGAGTTTGTCCACAGTCGAGAGACCGAGACGGAAATATTTGACAATTCCGACGAAATGACAATGTCACTGAAACTGTTTTCGGCCGCGGTCCAGCCCTTGATGAATAAACTCAACTCCCAAAACGCATACTGGGGGAAAGATCCAGAGCGGATCACCCTGTATGGTCTGAAGATGGCCATGGACCAGTGGAGAGTGTCGGAAGCGGGCAGACGGGCGCCTGCCGGCGTCAAGGGAATGGTGCAAGGGATCTTTGCCGTGCTGATGAGTATGGCGCACAATCTCGAGCTCCTCAAATATCATGGCATTGGTCCCTTCTATCACAAAATGAAAGTGTTCGCGGATGAGGCTTCCGGTGGGGGGAAATACGCCAAACAGGTGGCCAAGGACGAGAACTTTCTGAAACTGATGAACCGACTCAGGGGCTGGATCAACAATCCCGAGTTTGTGGGACATCCCAAACTGTCGTATCTGAAGACGGTGGTTTTGAACCATTTCATGGATGCCGGAGAAGGACAGGGCAGCGCCACCCAACCGTCGAGCACCCGAATCATGGTTTTCGCGCATTATCGGGACAGTGCCGAGGAGATTGTGAGAGTACTCAACAGACATGGTCCTATAGTCAGAGCACACGTCTTTGTCGGGCAATCTGGCACAAAGGGATCCGAGGGGATGGGCCAAAAGACCCAGCTGGACATCATCCAAAAGTTCAAGGCTGGAACGTACAATACGATTGTGGCCACGTCAATTGGCGAAGAAGGCCTTGATATTGGCGAGGTAGACTTGATCATCTGTTACGACAGCTCCAAGTCTCCTATTCGCATGCTACAACGCATGGGCCGCACAGGCCGGAAGAGAGCGGGCCGAATCGTGTTGCTACTGATGCGTGGTAAGGAGGAACAGGATTACCGCCAAGCAAAAGACAACTATCAGACGATGCAGGACAAGATCGCAAAGGGGAAAGACTTCCAGTTTCACGAAGACGAGTCGCCCAGGATCGTGCCCAAAGACATCAGTCCCGTGGTTGACAAACGCGCAGTCGAGATTCCGATCGAGAACACGCAGAACACGCCATTGGTGCCTAATCGACGCAAGGCCAGGAACCTCAAGAAGCCGGCTAAGAAATTCAACATGCCCGACGGAGTCCAAACCGGCTTCACATTCCTCGGGAAGGGGAAAAAGACCCAAGAAAAGGTCAAGAAAGCAAGCCCAGGGAGAAAGATTGACAGAGAAGTTGCCGTGCTGCCGCCTCTGCACGAAGTTGTGCTGACGGCAGAGGAAGAAGAGCAGCTGGACCTACGATATGTGCGACTGGCCGGGCTACAAGACGAGTTCATCCAGCACATCAGACTTGGTGCGTTTCCGGAGCAACAACAAAGCCTGGGAAAGACAAACGCAATCAAGCATTCTAGAGCCACCACATTACTTGTGAAGGCTTTCCAGGCTATGCGGGAACCGGGCAAGGACTGGGAGCGTCCTTGGGACTACGGTGATGTCGAGCAATGGGATAGAGGAGACCAGTCAAGTCCGAACGTGGATCGTGCCAAACACGTCTCCGAACACAGTATGAAAAGATCGCGTGGCTTGATGAAACCTCGGAGGTCTGAACAGAGGTCCCGCGTCTTGGGAAATTCAAGAGAGAAGACACAAGCGCGGACTCGCCTTCATTCGGCTGGCAAGACATCACGTCCACTACCAACCATACACTCATCCAGTCCTACAAGGTCAACCTTGAGCAGTAGTCGATACGGTGACAACGACAGCTTTATCGACGATGACGATGACAGCAACGACAAGAGGGCCAATCACGCCGCATCGTCAAGCGAAGATGAACCGTCGCCCTCCCTGCCTGATCTGTCCCCTATGCCGGAGAAGCGAGTCTTCCTGTCCCAGCAAAGCAGTAACTATGACCAAGACTTCCCGGATCTTGAAGCCATTCTCGGCGACACGACCAAGTCGTTCAAGACGGCAGCCCCGGAAATCCGCCTTTCTACCGCGCTGAGAGGTAATCGGGCACGACGAGTCTTGGACAGCGATGACGACGATTGAGCGGTGACTAGACGAGGATGACTGAGCAGTGACTGGATCGATCTTGCCCTGACATGGGAGCCATTCAAAGCTACGATGACCAGCTGGCCATTCAGAGCTACAAAGACCAACTGCCCATTCACGAAGAGGGGATCCTGAGCCACGGGGTCGGGGTTTTGGGTGGCCACAGGGTCCGGGTCCTGGGTAGCGACGAGGACCATTGAACAGAATGGGTTGATAGTGTGTCAAAGACGAGGCAAGGTCGATTCTTCCAAGCGACCATGGAGATCGAAAGGGTGTCGTCGACTCCCACTCCCCTCTAACAGCACGACGGGAAACCCCCTATTTGGGTACGAGTACAGGTCGATGGCTGTCCAGGATACTTCTTCTCTCAGCCGTCGAACAGAAGGACCAGGATGTGTCACTAATAGGCCAAACCTAAACACACCATGGATGTGTTTTCGATCGAGAGAAAATACAGTATCTCACTGTTGCAATACTAGTCGTCAGCTAAAGGAATTGGAAAATGAAACGGAGACGGAAATGGAAACTAGAACAGACACCCACGCACGCTCCAGTATCGGCTTTCTATGCATGTCGAACGTTTGATTAAGTGTTTGCACTTTCGCAATTCGTGAGATCTCGAACGTTTGATTAACTATTTGCACTGGCGCAATTCAATTCGTGAGATCGCCCGCCCATGATCAACAAACAGCCTTGACAGTATCTGTGTAGATATCAACCTTGGAGGATTTGTGCAGCTCCAATACTGTCCCGTTGTCCAAATCAAGCCTCAAACATCGGTCCAGGACCACTCGAATCATATGAATCATGGTCTCTTGTTCCTCCACTCCTTTGGACCTTCAGAGGGCCTTGGCGGGCTCGGGTCAAGGGACTATACTACCGACACGGACCATATCGGCCGACAGAGAGCCTCGCAGGCCTTCCAGCATCCCAGAAGCAGCGGTCAGACGTGCACAAGTCAGTTGCGCCCCATTTCCATTCTAAGCACGACAAGCTCAAAGGAATTTGAACGAAGCAGTGGCTTGCAATTGTCCCGAGACAAACAAACCGGACCTGTATGGATGCATACTGGATGGTCAATTTGCTGATGCTGGATCAAGAGGATCATTGTAGCCCGGCAGTTCCAGAGATGAGATGATAATGGGCATACGCCCGGCGCTGAGTCTTATTTTCTGTCATCAACCTCCTCAAGGACCCTTCCAGATACCGGGTATGGGGATGACTTGTATCGACTGTCTTAGCCACTTGTCCACATCTGCCAGGGTTCGAGCGACCTCCTTCCATCGACGCCTTACCCAATGTTCCACCCTGCGATCTTTATAGCCCTTCCACCTTGCCCACAGGATGAACAGTAATACCAGGCCAGCATCCATCAAAAGCTGTCTGACAAACCCCCAGGCCAGCCATTTCATCCAGGCAGACATGCGATAGAAGAGTCTTCGCCGCCTAGACGTCAATGAAGGAGAGAATGATGACGATGACAGGAGGTGATTTGCTGATAGTTGTTCACGTAACGCGGCAACTTCGGTCGACAGATTCCGTAAATGTGATTCAATCTGGTGCCTCCATTCGGATTCCGTCACAGGCGGTTGTGTCGTGGGAGGAGGGTCGATCACGGCACCTGTCTCGGGATCCACCTCTTCCCCTTCCACAACACCATCGCTATCGCGCTGGGAAACAGGCGAGAGGACGCGCAGCCGATTTGGGTCGGAGTTCAGTCTGCTTAAAACCCCACTGCCTTCCGCTGTGAGACTGACACCAGGCGGTATGCTGCCAAAACTCTTTGTCTGTTTCAGCCCTGCTCGTTCAAGCCGCCTGGTGGGCGAATCCGCGTCTTCGTCCTCGGAACTCCCGCTTTGGCTTCGTATCTGGTTCCAGACGAATTCCAGTTCCGACACCAATTCGCGAGCTTCCTGCGTCCCACTTGCATATTCTTTCATGGTCTCGATCAACGTGCTGATATACCGTCTCTTGGCTTCTGTCCGTGACATTCCAGCGCAACTATGCCAGGCATCCCACTTCTCAATCTCGGCTTCGGCTTCGCGGATTCGAAGGTCGCGGGAGGCATAGCGATGGACATTGTTCGATCTGGAATTGTTTGGATCGGGAGACACGGTAGGCAGCGTCGGACGGGGCAATATAGACTCGACGTCTCCCTCCATGGACTGTTTGTACAGGCCATAGAGCCGTAGACGAGCAGATGGAGGCGGTCGTGAGGACCCGGTTCGCGGTAGTCGACGGACGGTGGCTAGAGCGTGAACGAACACGCGATCTACAGGTTGAGCCGGTCAGAAGACAGACGGTAAGCAATAGACTTGTATTCAGCATACCGACGGAGTCAGACATGGCACCGGTCACGCCTCGACCGAGCAGTCCGCCTGCGGATGGTGGCCACAACTCCTCCTCGGACGTGGGATCAAGGGGCACGCAACGGTGTCATGGATGGGCTGGAGCCGATGTGATGCTGTGGAGAATCGGCTATCGCACTCGCTTGGGGATGTCCGGGCTAGGTAGATGGCTTGGAGAGCAGGGCAAACACCATATTCTGGTCGTTGAGAGGAAGCGGGATATCAATGTGGGTGGAGGGTGTATGGTGTACGGTGGCCGATAGCGGGAATGGGATTCTCTTTCAACCACCGCCGTGAGTATTGACTCTGTCGGTGGCATCTGCTCCCGCAACTGCCAACTGCGGCTTTCGGTCTCGATGGCGAAAGGGGCCTCGGCCTTGGCATTGGCTCCGGTGAAGCATGACACGCAGTTTGATACTCCGTCTGAACACGTCGCTGGCACCCCGCTGCGTACCTATATGTAGGTAGGAGATCTCCACGACAGTCGAGCACAGTACCACGATGCCCATGGCTATTATACTACATACACAGCTGGAATTCAACTACTCTCAGTCTCGCTTGCTCACCACCAGAGGAGCCTGCTCACTCTCCACGCTTGGCTGTCCGCACGCCCACACCCCCAGTTGTCTCGGAGTCTCCGCTGATCTCAGTGCTCTCTTTCACAGCCCCGCCGGGCGACTCCGGAGTGTGATGTGTCTCCTGCCTAGATTTTTGATTTGTTGCTTCCCCCTTTGCCGCATACCTGCTCAGGTCTCCGTACTTGACTTCCTTCAGAGCACTTTCGTGGGATGCGTTTAGCTGCACGCGTGGTACTGCTGACTGTGACAATTGTCCTTTTTGCGCGGCTTCTAGAGCTTCCATTCATCGGTGTGCACAGAGACACCATTTCATTCCACTTTTGACTCCAGACTTTTTCAGATTGTTCCCTCTTGAGTCCGTGAAGTCGAGGAATTCCTGGGTCACGGTCGCTGCGACAGAATGGTTGCCTTTGTCTTCGGGCCCGGTTCTGCAGTATCCGTCCCGATAGAAACCTGTTGGAGGGTCTGTGGACAGGATACCTAGTTGACCACCAGCCACTGGAATCGTTTAGATTAGCCCCAGGGAGAACAGCCACGGAATGGCTGAGGTCAGAGAAATACTCACCATTCTTGTTCTTCATCATCTCCCTTGTATTGCTGCCCATTTTGGCTGTCGCAAGTCACTCACACTTGAAGCGATTAGTAGTCCTGCAACTTTGCTGAGCGTTTATGAAGTCAGGGGATCTGACCGCATAATGTTCAATGTTAAAACATCTCACAAAGCGATTCAGGAACATCCGCTGCATCACTTTCTGATGGGATCTCGAAGACACGGTCCCGTCGAATCATGACGTCCTTGATCCCCTTACATCACCACTGACCTCTGACTTCGGTCCTCGTCCGCAGTTGTTGGAAGCCGATTGGTACCTACCAAGATGCGTCTAAGAGGCTTCCAGTACGAAACATCGAAGAAGGGAGCATTTTACGGAGCATTGGGTGTAATAACGGAGGGTCTTGAGTTCGCTCGGAGATGAGAGGCAGATCTGATGGGTAGGAGATGTGTGATAAGATAGTAAGATCAGATCAAAGTCCCGTGACTGCGCAGAAGCCTCTGCCAGGGAAGCTGCAAGGTTGAAAGAAGCCTTCTCAAACACTCGCTCTCGCAACCATCATCAGCAACGAGGCAGCAATTGCATGGAGTAGACCTCGAGCAGAAAGCAGAATTGTCGGTGCAACTTTGCTCTTTTTCCTGAAGTTGGACTCTCCCCGCGGAATATTGGAGAACCGGACAGGTCACTACAACAGCCTCAGTCGAGCGGTTGGACGTCAACCACGTCTCGCCAGCTCATCAATGTCTGGTCAGTCAGCGGTAATCAAAGGAAGGGCGTATCTAATATGAAAAGCAGCGGTCGAGTCACTTCCACCTCCACCTGATACCCGCAACAGCCGAAGGATGCCACGGGGAGATGCGCCACTCTCCGGCGGATCCAAAAGAGCGGCTTTGTCCTGCTAGCATTAGTCTGCCGTCGCCGTTTGCCGTGTCTTTTTGGAGTACATCGGATACGGCAAAATGACGCCAAATCTTGATCGCCGCATCGTACCCACCAGCGGCAAAATGTAACAAAACTGACTCCTTCCCGGGTCTCCCTACTCACCCTATATCCTCCTGTGACGAGCTGAAGACAGGTTTTGCAGCATTGCGCAAATTCCGGGGTTGAACAGCTGTTGTCATGGTGAACCAGCACGGTGCTCAAGACACAGATACACGGCATGACGACTCACATATCCGAGGATGTTCCCTCAAGCACTCAAGATGTCCCTATATCTAACACCCCGAATTTCCACGCGACGAGACACTCGATTGACTCTCAAGACATTGAATACCGCTATTTGACCTTTCAGTCAGATCTCCCGTTGACCCCGGTTTTTCCACCTGATTTCAAAGGGCAAATACCACCATGCCCGAATTTGCGTGACTACGACGATCCTTTCAGCTGGTCACTGACTCGCAAGAGAGTGATGACATACCTTTCTTGTTCAGTCAACGTTACAGCTGCCTACTCAGCGGGCGCCTACGCGTCAACAGCCAGCGTGCTCACCAGTAAATGGAGTGTGTCACATGTCGCCTATAACGTCGGCATTACCATCTTTTGCTTGGGGTTTGGCCTGGCACCCATGGTGTTGGCCCCCTTCTCGGAGATCAATGGGAGGAGGCCCGTATTTATCGCAACCGGATTGCTGTTTGTTATTTGCCAGCTCGGATGTGCTCTCACCGACTCGTTTGCGGGAATGTTGGTAGCTCGACTCTTCTTAGGCATAGGCGGCTCAACTTTTTCGACGATGGTGGGAGGTATTCTGGCAGATGTCTGGGTAACAGCCGACCGGAACACTCCTATGGTCCTGTTCACCGCAGCAACCATGTTCGGAACCGGCCTCGGGCCTCTGGTGAGCGGCCTTGTCGCACAGCATTTGTCGTGGCGATGGGTCTTCTGGATCCAAGTCATCACCAGCGGCACCCTGGTCTCACTGGTGACGATCTTCTTCAAGGAAACACGAGGCAGTATCATCCTGAGCCGAAAGGCGAGGTTGCTCAACAAATGGTATGAAAAGCTCGAAGATGCAGGCGCTCTGGGAATGGAAGTCAACGACAGTGACCCCGAGAAGAATGGGCAGACGGCTCTCCGCATTCGTTGGAGAGTCAAGACAGACGAAGACCGATCTTCTCTGGGCACAATGATCGCAGTGTCCCTATACCGACCATTCCATATGTTATTCACCGAGCCAGTGGTGTTCTGGTTCAGCTTGTGGGTTGCATTCTCCTGGGCCGTTCTATATCTCCAGTTTGGTTCCATCCCACTCGTCTTCGCGGCCAACCACGGATTTACCCTCGAACAGACGGGAGCCGTCTTCAGTGCCGTCGCTATCGGTGGTATCGTCTCGGCCTTCCTCAGCATCTTCCAAGAAAAGTGGGCGGTGAGGCATTACCCTCTCAAGATCAGCGGCAGTCCAGAGGGAAGACTCTCCTTCGCTTGCATCGAATCGGCTCTGATGCCAATCGGGCTGTTTTGGTTTGGCTGGACGTGCTATTCCTCCATCCACTGGATCGTCCCTACATTGGCCATCGGCGTCGCCACCATGGGCATTTTCAGCATTTATCTGGCCACCTTCAATTATACGGCTGACGTCTACCACGTCTACGCTAGTTCTGCTCTCGCTGCCTCTGGACTGTGTCGGAACCTGTTGGGAGGCATTTTCCCACTGATCGATGTCCAGATGTTTGACGGACTGGGTTTCCAGGCCGCAAGCAGTCTTTTGGGAGGCATCGGTGCAGCTTTGACGTTGGTGCCATGGGTTTTGGCTTTCTATGGTCCTCGGATTAGAGCCAGAAGCAAGATCGCCAGCTCCTTCACACCACCTTGAATTGAATCCGTCCTGAGACACGTAGGAGAGGGTTCTTAGTATATACGCCCGCACTCTGCTAGTCTGTCAATACCATTACATAGATATAGATATACTGCTTAGGTCGGCGGCTGTTTGTGGCTATGACTATGACACATGAATGCACATATCAACGATCTTTTACTTTCACCGCGGAATAGTGACACAGCGTAAACGGTCATCCTTACCATCGAATTTAAGCAATCAGCGAGTAGTGACAACTGACGAGTGACAAGTGAAAAGTGAAAAGTGAAAAATCCGAGTTGTTGACGATAAAAGCAAAGCAGGGACCGAAGGAACACGATTTTGAGGATGCGCCACTCTTTTTTTCTCATTGTTTTTGTCTAGTTACCACCGTGACGACAAGGGCCTAGTATCCCGCCCCTCCTCGAGAGGCAGGCGACCCAAGTCTCAGCGGTGCCGGTGGAAGAAAAAAGCAAAACAAGCCCGATTGTAAGGTATCTGTACTCAAACACATTGCCCACGCTTTTGGTGGTTCCGGTTCGCCGACGCTGGCCCCTGGCCCCGACGCTGAATCCCGACGCTGATAGACTCCGACAACCGCCTCCAGTAACCATGCCGTACACACCCTTCAGGTGGATGCCCAAACTCCGTCCAAACGCCGTCAAAATGCAAAATCATGCCGATCGTGAGACAAGCTTCCGGCCTTCACTTGTATTGCTCCGGCAGGTAGGCGCCAGCGGCCAGCACCAGGTTCATGTTGGTGAACTTGGTCAGGTAGACGTGGCTGTGCTTGGTCAGAAAGGCCGAGATCTGGTCATTGCTGACCCCGGCTTCCTTGCCACGCTTCTTGTGGCCGCCAGTAGCACCCACCCCGGGTGCGCCACCAGCGGAGCCTGAAGCCAAGCTGATGTTGGGGGTTGGCACCGCCGCGTTACCCGCGTTGGTGCCGTCTGATTTGCCTGCGGCTCCGGCAGCGCCGGTGCCGTCGGGTTTGGCGGTTGGAGGTGCAGCCTCCTTGGCCGGCCCAGTCACGTCCCATGCGCGAACGGTGCAGTCTTGGCCGCCGGAAACCAGAACCGTGGATTCGGTGCTCCAGGTCAACGACCAGATGCCACCCTTGCCGTGGCCCCGCAGCTTCTTGAGGAGCCGACCCGGGCCGAGATCCCATATCAGGATCAGGCCAGTTTCGTCCGCCGATGCGAGCAGCTTGCCGTTGCGACTGCATGCCAGTGAGGTGATCATGGCGGTGTGGCCGGTGAACATGCGCACAGCATTGCCGTTGGTGACGGACCACATGCGCACAGTCTTGTCAGATGAGGCGGTGAAGACGTAGGTGGAGTTGGGGTGCCATGCGACACAGTCGACGTCGTCGTCGTGACCGGCAAGGAGGCGGACTTGGCGGATCTTGTCGGTGAGCCAAACTCGAGCCGTCTTGTCTGCTCCGCAACTTGCAAAGTAGTGCCCGAATGGGCCCCATTTCACATCCCAGACCGGACCAACGTGGCCTCGGTATATGACGATGCAGGCGAACGCCTCGAGATTCCAGAGACGGATGGTGCCGTCGCCACCGCAAGAGAGAAGCCATTTGGAATGGGAGTCGGCGGCGTTGGGGTCTGCTCGGTATGCTGCCGGGGCGAAAGCGACACTGAAGACTGGACCGGAGTGACCGATGAGGCGTCGGGAGTTCTGCTTTTGTCCGCCAACTTCTGGTCCCAGTGCCGAGCCGTCCAAGGTCCAAACACGGATGATAGAGGCATAAAACCCGGCGGCGACGAGGTTCGAGTCACCGGAGATATCCATACAATTGATGCCATCGTGGGTGTTGTGGAAAGTGTACATGACGACACTAAGGCCGGGACCGACGCCGCCAGTGCGTGAATCAATCTTCAACCGGTCACGAACTTCACGGACCTTCTGGACTTCAATAGCAACGTCGCGTGCGGTAGATGGGGGGAATGGGATTTCGGCTCGGCTGGGGCCTTCATCTTCATCTTCCTGTTTGATATTGAGTCTCTCGTGAGCCTGAACAAGAGATTCCTGGCCGGCCTTTGGGGGCACTTCCAAGTCGAGATCCATGAGGTCACCACGCACGTCTTCTTCGAGGTCTTTCTCCATGGGAAGTTTGCCTAGCTTGAGATTGGCAAGGTTGTTACCCACGTTGGGGTCGGTGGAAGAAATGGCGTTGCCTGGACGATGACCAGGGATCCCTTCATCCTCAGCAGGCATGTCTTGATCTTCCTTGCTGCGTTGTATGACGGCCGCAAAACTGAACCGGTCATCTGCAGCACGGTCGACCTCACGCAGGTCAAGGTTATTCTGGACAATGCCGAGAAACATCTTGAAGCCGGCATCGGGGAGACTCTCGAGAAAGCCCATGAAGGCCGTAAACGCGTGGTGGGTGAGGCTCAGACGATACCGATTCTCCCGATACAGCTTAGCAACCTTGTCCTCTCCATGTTCGGGGAGGGTGATGAATTGAAGGCCTCGCAAGTCATATTCATGCTCTTTCTTGAAATCCTCCGAGAATTTCTGGAACAGACGCGCTGCTTCCTTGGGATAGAATTGTTTCACCAGTTCGAGGTAAGAGTAGACAAAGATCGGCCAAAGGAGTCTCTTGACTTCAGCTTTGTATGTGTCAAGAACGTCATCAGTCCATGCCCTCAAACGGGAATAAAATTCGAAAAAGCGAGGAGGCCCAGCAGGGGTAGGTTTGAGGTCTGCGTCTTTTGGAATTTCTTGATTGGCAGATTCCGCTCGGAGGGTGGCTTCAGTTCGATGGTAGCCTTTCTTTGCGAGATAGTCGATGACCTGGTCGAACTGTTAGCTTTCATCCGACCAGTTGTAATTTCTCGCGAAAGAAAAACATGCAATAGAGTTTTCAGATCGACCCGAAGCTTTGACTGAAGCTGAAAAGGGCGGGCTCTTGGGTTCTTCCTCGATATCCTCCACGTATGCGTAGGGAGCGTAGGGGTTGACGGGCGGTGCCGCAGGTTGTGGGATCATATCTGCTGCTGGTGGACTGGGAGGAATACTAGTTGTTGGACAACTAGGAGGTTGGTTGATGGAAGGCGGCAAACTCCCTGGTGCATTCAATCGGAAGGCATGCACCGAGGACTGCGGTACAAAGGGTGGTGCTTGGACCAGAACATTTTCTGGTGCACCTGTGGGGTCTGGTGTACTGCCCCCAGAGTTTGAAGGTCCAGTTACTCCTTGCGAGGGCTGTTGAGAAGCCATGATCAAGACACAAGGAGGACAGGTGAGGGATGGTGATGAAATATAGTTGAAGTTGTAGTGAGGTGGGAAGATGAGAGATTTGCTCGAGAGGTGCAGATAAATCATCTGTCGTGGGCAGAAAGTTGATCCCACGATGAAAGACTTGGCTGTCGTGAAAAAAGGCGAGAAGGCGCTGCGGCCAACTGAAGCTGTGTGGTGTTGGAAACGAGACATTGCTCGTGAGGTGCTTGCAAGACCATTCTCGCGACGGGGAGCCGTCACGACAAAATATATTTTGGCGCCGCAACCTTCGCGAAACAAGACAAGACAAAGCAGTAAGAACGCGACATGCGATAACTTACAATTTGGTTCAGATTTTGCTGTGTCATACCACCACCACTCCCCCCAGATGCAGGAGGAGGAGGTGCAGAAGGACCAGATGAAGACCCATTAGCAGTGCCATTTGGGTTGTGGTTTGTTGAAGGTGAAGGTCCAGTAGGTCCATTACTTGGGTTTCCTGGCCCCAGATTGGGCGCCGCTTGCCCAGACATGATTACGCTTTGTTCATGCAAGGAAGATGGTGTCAGGGATGAAAGACTTTGGTTGGAAGACTACTGACTTGCTGGACAGTAGGAGAGAAAGGTGAGCGACGCGACGGTTGTTGTGATGGTAAGAAGTGAAAAGAAGTTCAGAAGTTCAGATCAGGTCTTGAAGTGAAATACCGCGAAGGCGGCGACAAGGCCATGCTCGCCAAGATTTGATATCACGCTAGCCATGTTTGGACAGAAGCTCGGGAGACTTGCCTGAGAGGGATGATGCCTTCTAACAGGGCGTCTGTATTGGCACTACGAGGTATCAGCTATCAGCTCTATGAGACCCAGGCTGGACAACCCCTGGAGTGGCTGGACAACAGTGGCTGGATATGGAAACATCTTCCTCCAAGAAGAGAAAGAGCCAACTTGATTTGAGAGATGGATGTTGACTCCCCAGCCCCATCGCCCCCAGGGCCGCCGCCTTCGTCCCTTACACCTGCGAATCGCATCGCTGAATTGAACCAAATCGACCACTCTATCTCTACCCTACTCTCGGCGGCCTCGGATGCAGTCGGAATCTTGTCCAACTCGCCTACCTCGGAAGCACAGCGAAATGAGCTGAAGACCCTGGAGTCTGCGCGCAGTGCTTTCACAGCCGCCGCCGAAATCTACTTCTCAACCCTTTCCTCGATCGAGGTTCGATTGCGGCGTCAAGTCTACGCTTTAGAAGAGGCCGAACTCATCAGACCAGGCAACGACAGGGATGCAAAAAGAGGTCGCGCGTTGGGCGGAGATTCTGGATTGACAAGAGTTGGGGGAGGGCCTCTCGATCCTAGCTGGCTGAATGCAAGGGCCACGGACAAGGTTGGGACCAGCATGAGACGAGAGCTTCTGGCTCAAGCGCGGGAATTCGTCGAACGAGTAGCACAGCCGTCACGGAATGGCAATGTCTCAAGTAAAGAGTCGGAAGTTGGGGAAACCAAGGACAGAGATGAGCAAGAGTCCGGCTGAAACCACGCAGGGACGGACTCAAAGACAAGGACAGAGTCCAGATCTCTGCTCATGCCTTTGGAATAATACTGGAGGGGCTGCGATGGCGCTATTGGCTCGCATGCATGCAGACCATGCAAATGTTGACCTCCCAGCCGCTAGACGGATATGACCTGTTGGTTACAGCGCCAGAAAACCAAAGGACCAGGGGGTCTAAACTAGCGGGTAAACACCATCGGTGGGTTTTAGGATTGACAAGCCGAATCAAGCTGAGTGAATGCGCAGGTAAGGCCTACTCTTACTCTAGAAGGTCGGCCTCAGATTGTGTAACTGGGCCGAATTTGATACTATGCAAGCTTAGAATACGGGACATAGAGGAGTCAATATCGAGTGAAGTCCCATGACCTCTCACATGTCGTGGCCAGTTGGACGCTGTCTGCCAGTGGCAAGGTCGGTAGGAAGAATTCGCTCCCTGTAATGCATGTATTTGATAAATGGCAAGAGCCTTGATGTCTACGCTCCGCCAATTAGAACGCAGCTTGGCAAGAGTTCCCCGGTGGCATCAAGTTCAAGTTCCAGTTGGGGGCTACAACTTGTCTATCTCTCCCTCTGTGACCTCGCCTGCCTCCATTTCTCCTCCCTCTTCCTCCCCCACGGCGGCTGGTTCATGTTCAGCCGATGGAGGACTTGGACTTGACAATTGGTCCGACCACTGTGTCTCCGTTCATCGCTCAAGTCTGAAGTCGAACTCCCGCTTCCGGCTCCATGGCCTCCGACTCCGATCCGCAGAAAGCACCACCACCACCACAACAACTGTTTGTCAGAGCCGACGAGGTCGATGCGGGAACCTCAATACTCTCTCCCAGTAGGGAACTGCCACTGAGCGCACTGAACCCTTCCAATGCTGCTCCGCCAGGGCCAGGGCCACTCCGTCCTGTTTTACGGCGGGAAGGATCAGCGCCCCCACCTCCTCCTCCGCCATCCCAGCCGCCACCAGCTCCTCCCGCTCAAACAGATCCCACTGATTCCTTAAGTCTACCTCAACTAAGGCAGCTGGTGGCACAATTTCCGAAGACAGAGCAGAGAGCGTACGCTTTTCAGTATAGGGACACCGGTAGTTTCGAATCCGAAATTGACGAATGGTTTCACTATACGGAACTCGAGCAAGACCGAGATTACCTTCTAGATTCTCTCGAAGCCTTTGAGCAGAGATGGAAGTTCTTCTGTGAGGCACAAGGTATCCCCGAGGAGACTACCTGGATCACCACAGACCAAGCCCAACGACTTCATTTTGTCCGCGATCTGGTCCAGGACCTCAAAGATGACGACTACGTCAGCCGTGTGGCAGCGCTCTCCTGCATCTACTACATCCTCACTGGAGCTTGGAGTAGTACTTCTGGCTTAGAAGCAAAAGAACGGGCAGCCGAAGACGAATCTCACGCCCACACAGAAAATGATTGGGCCAATGCCGTTCAAGTTCAGTGGATCCATAAAGGAGCGGACATTGTCCATCTGAGCTCTATTATGCCTCAGCTGTATACCTGTCTGATCCAAGCTGCAAAGACTCGCGACTCGACCCATCCTCCGCCGACGGCAGATGGTGAAGAGCCCAGCGAGGTCGCGTTCGGTGAAAACGAATATCAAGAACTCGGCCTGTGCCTTTCCTGTTTCTATCTATTGATTGAATCCGCCAGAGTCCGGAGCAGCACCAAGGTTGGCCTCGATATACGTCAGACGATCTCGTCTCTACAACCCAACTTCCTGGTCTTCCTTGCTGGTATGATCTCGCGGCTGCGATGGGACGACTCCTACAACATACCTCTCATGCATGCGCTGCAATTGTTTTGGAAATCGCTGCTTCTGGTGTTCGGAGATGTGACGGAACGTCTTGAAAAGGTCAAAAGTGTCTTGCAACCACGAATCGAACGGTTCTCGGCCGATGCAGCTCATCCGGTACTTACAGCATCTCCGTTGGATTATCACCTGTTCCGACAAGAAATTACGTCGAAATATCCCGCTTACAACCCACCATTGCCTCTCATACCCTTGGAAGCCGACCAGAAGACGATGCTGCCCCTGCTGCCGCAGCATTCGTCGAGACCAGACACATTTTCGGGGGTTCCAGACCAAGGAGGCGGCGGTGCAGGCACTCACCGATCTATATTCCATCAACCTGTGCACATCGCCACGCCGGCACCCTCTCCTCCACCCTCACCCATTGGACCTGGTGGGAAAGCTGCTAAGAAACAGAACTACCAGACCAACCAGAATTTTCCGTTCCTGTACCCCCCGCTGGACGACTCGAGCAACACGATCGGCGGCAAAGGGTCGACAGAACTCCAAGATTTGATGGTCGGAAAAAAGTGGGATGGCAGCGATGTTCCCCGCTCGATCATCGAGGCAGGAGAGTTGTTTGCCAGTCGAATGAGAATGACACGGGCAATGCGTCAGCTTTGGAGGGAGCGTGACTTGTTCATGAAATACGAGAGAGGCTGGACCGGCGATATGACTCAAGTTTGGGACAGGGACGAGACTGGCGAACAACCGACCGAAGAGGAGAAAGAGATCGACCGTTTGGACGATCCGGATCTTCGAGATCGCATGCACGCAGTCGAAGACTTCTTTCAGAAAGCTTTGCCAGACTTGCAATCCCTGGTTATTGTGATGATGAAAGTCATGCTCACAAACGTTCAGGATATTGCCGTCCGGAATGGCGGGTTTCAGGACCCGTTGCAGCAAGGTGGCCTCAACCGCACCAAATCGAATCCTAACATGGCTCAGAACCAATCACTACCTATCCCCCCTCCGCCGCCTCCGCCAGAGGACATGGCACTCGAGGACCTGGATAACGTCCGGTCGCGCGAGATCAGCCAGAAGGCAGTGTCGGGCGCGATTTTCTTGATGTCAAAGTGGTTTAAGGTTTCTCACGTCTTGAAATTTGAGTACCTGACTCAACTCCTTTTGGATTCTAACTACGTACAACTCACCTTGAAATACTTTGCGCATCAGAACCTGGAGGATCTCGTCGCATTTAGGTATGATCGTGATGACCTGAGTTTCTGGCACTATTGCCACGTCCATTCGGATCATCCACCGCTTTCTCCCACGAGTCCGGACGAAAGATCCGAGACATCCAGTGTGGACGAAGCCGTTCCACCGCCCATTCCGCGCCATCGAAGATCCCCAACCAACATGTCTGATGCCCAGCCAGCCTTGGAACAGGGTCTTGCACAACAGCTGCCTTCCGATGCCCAACATCCTTCGGTCGACGAGCTTGGAAACCCGCTGGGGCCGCTTCCCACCACTCCCATCACAACCTACTCGTTTCGCCAGTTCCAGACCGCAATCCATCTCCTCCGAATACTGCAGAAAGTCACCAGAGGCAAGTCCCACCGCATCTTATTTCTGGTGCAGTTCAAATCGTCTCAAATCCTTCGCCGCATCCTCCGAGTTCCGGACCCGACCTTGCGCCTGTATGTGCTGAAACTCTTCAAATCTCAAGTTCCCTACTGTGGTAGAAAATGGCGACAGAGCAATATGCGAGTCATCACGGCGATATATCTCCACTGCAGACCTGAGTTGAGGGACGAATGGCTGGCTGGCATGCACGATGCTAATGTCGAAGGTGAAGTTGACGAGGCCGTCCCGTTGGAATGGGCGCTGCGGGGCTTGACATTCTGGTGGCAGCAACGCACGTATCCAGGTGTAACGAGGCGTGGAAAACGAGGTGGGAAATCTGGGAGCAAGAAAACTGAGCCGAAATCATCCCAGGCGCTAGACAAGATCTCGCCCACCGCAGCAGCAGCAGCAGCAGCAGCAGGTACTCCAGAAGATTCTGCTTTCGATATCGACGACCTTCTCGATGCCGACATGCTCGAATCACGTCTGGGGGATCCGGATGATGACGAAGAAGAAGGAGGTCAAGAAATCGACGATGACGAGCGCGATTTCTTCCAACGTGAGCTCGACGCCATAGGATGGGGTCTGGCTGGACTGCGACTGACGGATGGCTCTGAGGATGTGGCATTTGGCGAGGAGGCTCTAGGTGTCAACGGGGCCGGAGGGTATCCCGTCGCCAATGGCATATCGGGTGCTGAGTACGGTGGAGCAGGACTCGGCACGCCACTGACACCCATACCACAATCACAACCTCAGCCTCAGCCTCAATGGATCGTGGCGGATGCAGCCTCGCTCGAGCATTGGCAGAACAGTTAGGAACCGTTGCAAACCGAGCGAGCATCGGGCGAGTGGGGAGGAGAAGGAGATGAACAGATGAACAGGGCACCTGTCAATCTTGATCGATGGGTGCCCGAGGCATGAGACGGGATAACAGATGCAGCGAGTTGAAGAAGAAGAAGAAGCAGAAGTATGCGAGAGAGGCCGATGCATCGGAAGAGAGAAAGAGAGAAAGAATCATGTTATGACGGGATGACAGTCTTGGACCCGATACAGAGTATTCCAAGAGACCAGGCCCGCGTTTGTGATAACGGCTACCTTGCATGTTTGGCTGCTGCTTGCACCGAAAGGGCATATGGGTATGGTTATGGTATGTTGACATGAGCACGAGGCCATCCAAAGGTAGCCATTGGCATGAAGTAGTACAGCATAGCGAGTTCAGGCAATCCAATCAAAGACGTCCAGCTGTTTATCGTTTGTTTTCCAGCTCGCTCTCGACTATCTATAGAGCGGTAGAGAGTTTTCCTTCTCGATAGCAGTACGAGTACGAATACGAGGAGTATTTGCGACTCGATTTCGGACCGAGTAGAACGCTGCGGCAAGGGAAGGGGAGGGGTTCCCTTGCCTCCAACCGGTCTCGGGCCGACATACATGTAGTTTCTTGAGGCCAGGGCAATGCAATGCAATGCACTGCACGACAGGTCTAGGTTCTGCTAAAGACTGAACCTGAACCTGAAGCATGCCCGAGTCTACGGAAGGTCAATTGGCAGACCTTACCTGCCGCGTCCATTCAATCATGTATGTATTCCGTAAGCAAAAGCGAAATAGAAATAGACATAGCCGTCTGTCTGTCTGTCTGCTGAGCACTGGGTATTGAGGTTTCTTGGACAATCAATGGAGCAGTGTCGTTAAGAGTCTTTTATTATATCTCTTGATGGAAAAGCTCTCTTCTTCAAGTAAGCTTAACAGGGCATGCCGGACTACGTCTTTAGATTCTCCGTCTTTACAGGCCTGCGCCTGTCCGGCCCTGGTCTTACTAGTTTATGGTTTGCTCCCGCCCAACGCCAATGCCAATGTCAACGCCAATGCCAGTCCCTGCAGGATATACTGGGATGATTGTGATTTCTTGGGATCGTCACAACTTCGAACTCGGCCGCTTCTTCTTGGACCCCCCGACACCAGTGACCTCGGCCCCAGAGAGGATGAAGTCGGGATAGTCGAAGCCCTGGCCGGGACCGCCGCCATAGGTGCGCCATGCGCCGCCGTCGACGACCAGCGTCTGGGCAGTGACAAAGTTGGCGGCATCACTGAACAAGTAGACCGTGGCATCAGCAATCTCTTTGATCTGACCCCACCGGTCGAGCGGGATGCCTTTGCCAGGGTACGAGCCCGGCTCGGGCTGCTTCGCCAGTCGATCCATGCCTTCGGTGCCGCCGATGGGCCCTGGTGCAATGACGTTGGATGTGACGCCTAAGGGACCGTATTCGATGGCCACGTTGTTTGAGAGGGCGTCCACGCCGGCCTTGGCCACCGCGACGTGCGTTTGTAGCGGGAGACCGGTGTAGTGGATCGTGGCGGAGATGTAGACGATGCGGCCGCTGGGGCCGGCAGTGGCATGTTTGGGAAGGGAAGACTTCGAGTTATGTTTCTTCGCCGATGCCACCAGGTGCGGCAGGGCCAGTTTGGTGACGTTGTAAGAGCCAAGCACGTCGATGTCGATGACGCTTTTGAACGCGTTGGGCGACAGTTGCGCGAGAGGCGCCAGGAAGTTGCCTGCTGCGCCGGCACTACGTCGCAGAAGGGAAAAGGAGATGGTCAGGCTCGTGTATCTAAGGTAGTGAAGGACAAAGGAGGAGTGAAAGGGGCGATGGCCGCGCACTCGGCCATCGTTGTCGCAGCTTCACATACATGAGGAAATCAATCCCGCCCAGTTCCCTGACGCATGTGTCGATCGCCTGTTGCAGACTCTCAACACTGCGGACGTCCACGGCCCCGATTCCCAGCACTCGGCTCCCCGGGCGCGCCGTTGCTATGTCCTTGGCCACCCTCTCCGTCTTTTCTACATTGCGGCCCACGATACAGGCGTCGGCGCCCAGGTGGACGAGGGCCCGGACCTGGGCTGAGCAGATGGAGCCATTGCCGCCCGTGCAGAAGACCACTTTGCCGGCGAACAGGCCGTCCTTCCATACGTTGGACAGGTACTCGTGTTTTTCGAGAGGCATGGCTGTGGGTATGGTTGGGAGTGAGCAGTGAGGACGGGAGCGACGGGTCAGATCGACGGTGGTGGGATGGAGAGGTCAAGCAGGGTACGGAGTAGAGAGGACCAGGATCAATCAAGGTGGAAGAAGACGACGCATTGGCGAGCTGAATATTATATTGACCTTGCACCAGGAGAAGTCAGTAACGGCCGTAAACCGGTCCAAACAGAAATGTCAATGATGGTTGGTGTCAGCGTTGTTGTGAGTCTCGGTTGTTGTCTGCGTCCGTGGGGAAGATCCCGACATACCGAGGCAGGGATACGGACATGGATACCACGATTACTATGCAATGATATTTGGAGAGGAGCTTCGCGACCATTAACAGTCTGCTTTCTCAATATCTACCAGGTATCCAGGGTCCCATGTCCTCCTCTTAGATCAAACGTCAGCAAGCTGTCCTCAAGTATTCAGATGTCGGGTTCCCTGTGTCGGATTTCATTTTATTCTTGTTTCTCCTACGTATGTCCTTGATAGCTTCAACTACTTGTACCAGAGCAAGTATAAAGCAAGGCCACTCTGCATGGAGAATGTGTGTGAGTGAAAAAGAATCTTGAATCCGCGCTTCCCAAGCCGAATCAGCGTTTCTTCCGTCCGATTTATGGTCATGGTAGCCAGGAAGATGAGAGGATTGGTGGAGTAGAGCGAGTTGAGAGGAGATATCAGATACAAAAAGTGTTTTTTGGACGTGTTGCAGTGCCCATCGTTTGCGCTGGTTGTGTAGATGTCCCGCAGGGTACAGCATCCGGCATCTGCACCGTAGCCATCTCCCTCGCTATTGCTGTTCGTAAACCCTTGTTATGATCGTTTTGTGATGCTGTGTCGTAGGGCCGGCCGGAACACTTCCACCCTCTCTCCCTCTCTGCCAGTTGAACCCGAGCCTTACACCCAGAAACCAGACAAGCAGCCCCAGCACACCCTTCACTCAGCAGACTTCTTATTATCTTTGCGCCGCAGCCTGAATTTTGTAAAAGAACCAGCTTTGACAGCGCCAAAAAGACTTTCGTTTAAGCCCCATCGCCCCAGATTCCAACCACACCCATGGCAAAGCCTAGACCAGCAATCAAACCCCGGACCTGCTGGATCTTGCGCTCTCTGGTCATTTCCAGCTCGACTTTCTCTCCGTTAACCTGATCCTCGCTTTCGTGAGACTCGATCTCAATATATCCGCTGTCCGAACCTCCGGGGCTGGGTACTCTGACCGGGGCTATCTTTCCTTTGCGCGAGCGGCCGCCGACTCTCGGAAACCTTGACAATCCGTTGTACCAATACTCAACGCCTTGGCCGCCAATAAAGGCCACGAGAGCGGTGTAGAGCAGATAAGGATGGCGGCCGCGCGGAGAGGCCAAGGTGAAGGCGGTCAGGAGCGAGAGCGAGGAGATGGAAGCCAAGGTCAGGATCTGCCGGGTTGACTTGGTCTGGATGGCGGTGAGAGTGCGGGAAGCCAAGGTGGCAGAAGGGAGCAGCGCAAGCGATGGGAGGGTTATGCTGGTGAGAGTATAGGATGTTCCCTGGTACGAACGGTCAGATGAGGATGAACCTGATTCTACACTTTGGTAGTACGTACAGTCAGGAGACCCAGGGAAATGGTCCCCACAAACTTGGTGATGCTTATCGGGCAAGGCATCTTTGTGTCTGAAAGGATATAGCTTGTTATATTTTGCGAGTTGATGCGATGTGGCGGGAGACGAAAGCTTCGGGCTTCTGGCTGTCGCAACGAAGGACAGTCTGCGATCTGCTTTTGAGCAATGAGCGGAGTGGTATTACGCTCTAGACGGCATGCAAAGCTGTGGCATTGACAGTATTAGTGGTGGCAAGGAATCCATCCGTTTCTGGAGGAGAGCGAGGACAAGTGCAAAGATGACGAGGAGAAGACAGCAGGAATAGTACTGAGTAAGGAAGGGATACACGATACACCTATCGCCTGCGGTGCCTGGCCTGCCCTTTCGTCGCCCAATCCGGTCCCGCGCATTATTCCAGTCTGCGGTGTGCTTCTGCCTGCGACGTCACAACTACAACTCCCCCTCCACCATCACCACCACCGTAGTCGAGGACGGAGTCGGAGTACTCGTACAAGAGTCCTGTATGTACCCCAGTCTACACAGGGTACTATACCTATTAGATACCTAGTAGTTGCCTGCCACGCTCACTGCACAGGAGGCTGCCTTTGTACTCAGCGCCCGTACAGTCTTCAGCAGATCCCTGACAAGACGTCGATGTCGGCATCCAAGAAGCCGAGTAACGAGTATTTCTGCGCCGCCCCAGACTGCTCTGCACGAAACGCGAGTGCATTTGGCGGCAGCTCGAACCTTCGAACCATCCAGACTCCTTTGGTAAAATGCCAATATCCCATTCTGTGCGTTGCCTTCTAGCCGTTTAACTCCCTCGTTCAAACTTATTCATCTGATCCCCCAATCCTCTGATCTCATTCACCTACGCCCTTGTAATAGCATCTTGCAATCCTCAACTCCAAGTCTGCCGCCAGTCCGGCCAGGCCTGGCGACACGACACCTCAGATGCGTGCTACAGCGGTCTCGACCTGATGAACACGATCCGGGTACTTCAGGGTATCGTGCTCTCGACCCCAACATCGAAAGGGACAATCGTTCCTGCGAGTTGTAGATCACGGCGCTGCTTTTCCTGGACTGAGCCGGATACAGCGTGTCAGGTCGTCTATCGCCCTTGATCCAGGTCTCGGTAACCGGATTGTGTACCCCAAATTCAGCTGCAGGTATCTCCGCTTTTGTCACTTTTGCTGTCCTGAATTTGTTGTATCAACCAGTGTATGCCTCAAACTGGACCGCTCCTCCATGGACGGGACGCATCTTGGTGCAGGAGCTAAGGGATGGTGAGTCTGCTGTTGTGCAGTGTAACCGCTAGAACCAGAATAGCTAGATGGAGTCGTGCTCGTATCGCTTTCCTGGGTACTAGGACTGCATGCAGCAGGCAACTGGCCTTGGTCATGATATTTCTGCTGCTGCGCTTGTGAATCTGATTCAGGAATAGCACCCCTTGGTCTCTGATCGTGGGCCCAAGTCAGCATCAAGAATCGTGGACGTTTCGATGGTGCCGGCTTAGGGATATTCTCGGTCGCACCAGCGTGACCTTGCTTAATGTCCATCTGCCTAAGCTCGACTCGTGGAACGATGCTTTGGAGGTTGTCCGAGATTTTTTCCACAAGCAAGGGCAAATAGCGAGACGAGCCGCCGCGGAGCTGAGAAATAAGGCCCAGGAACTGATTCAGGCACTCCACCGGTGTTTCACCCTCGATATTTGCTGAAGGCTCCAGAGGCACATAGGAAATTATGTCAGTCAGCGTACAAGCTACATCGAACAGCTTCTCGATCAATCCGATCCCATGGACTTCCATGGAGTTTAAAGATATGTGCCGTACATCTTGGATCAAATCTCTTGCCACCTGTACCGGGAACTTGAACGTCAAGGACGGATCTGGTGAGCTCGATGATAAACGTCCGCTGGCGATAGAGAGTTGCCAGACCATGATGCGCAACCAGTGCAAGGTAATCTTGATGTCGACCACTTGGCTTTCCGTTGTCTCGAGCTGACTGGGCAGCGTACTGCTAAGCTGGTGTTGCAGCTGCGAAAGCCAGACTGCCGTACACTTGCCTTTTGCCTTATTCCACAGGGTCATAAATGTGTCGTCAATGTAACGGAAAAGACTCGCAAGGTGCAGGAACCCCGATATGATTTGTTCTTCGGCCGCTCCTTGGGCGGTTGGCAGATCGATGGTAGCATGCAGACTTAGGGGACGATGTCTTTCTATTGCGTACGCCCTTTCTGTGACCAGTAACAACCAGTACATTCTTCTTTTGTACGAGTTTTCGACGGGATCACCAGCCAAATACGAGGATTCCTCGTGCATGTTTAAGATCTGAGCCAGCGTGGCGGCTTCGCGCAAATGGAACCAGCACATATTCTGCTCCTCAAGGCTGAAATAGCAGCTGAACAAAAAGAAGGAGATCTGGACTGAGCTCAATGTGGGTGATCCAATATAGTTGATCGATTTTCGTACACGGGTGATGTCTTCTAGAAGCATGTTCGTGTAGGCAAAGCGGTTCTCTGGAGGCTCACCATCGTAGTAACCGCCCGGCGCAACGGCGAGATTCACACCAGGCTGCACCATGACAAATGCACAAATGGACGCTGTGAGACAGTACACTTCAGAGTCGGTGGCAAGTCGAGTCGAAATGGTCTCTGCTAAGGTTTGCCGGTCGAGAATGCAGGCTGTCGTGTGCATGTTTGTGAAGTAGAAACCAACGTAGTTCTTGATCGTCCCCGTGGAGAGTAGGGCGGGCTGCCATGTTGAAGACGTAGACGTCGGTGGATTGATGAAGTCGAAAGTAGCCGGCTCTGGGTCGCGGTTCGGCGTCGGCTTTGGCTTGGAAGGACTCATCTGCTGTTGAATAGGTCGAGACTGTGAAGTGCGGTTTCTGGCCCTATTTCTTCGGGACACAGCAATATATGTGCATTTGTGGCCTGCCTGGCAGCAATTGTGACATGGTTGGCCTTCCGAACATCGTGTTTTCCGTCGATGGCATGCATCACAGGCTCTCTTAAGTGGCACCGCGGCCATCTTGGACAATCACCGACTGGCCCGCAAGGATGAGCTAATTGCATATGAAGGGAGTGGTTCTCGACGAAATCAAATGAAGTTATGGTCACTTTGGAGGCCAGGTTTGTCCCGGATGGAATCACCATGCTCTCTTCATGCCGCGCAGGTCAAAGATGAAGGCCACTGCCCCTGAAGGTGCCAGACCATGAACTGTCCATGAGAGCAAAAGGTAGAGTTTTGGTGGGCGGTCACTCGAGAAGGTCGTTGGATCGGATAAGCAACTGGCGGCGCCAGTCTCCTCTCTCGCAAGCCCCGCGATCATCGCCATGGCACTTAGGCAAGGGCAGGCTTTCGAGGACGGGCCAACCATGGGCCAACGGGCAGGGTACAGGGGTTGTTGTCACCTCAGCTGAGGATAAGGAGGATGCTGTTGGGCAAAAAATAGAACGTGGCAGGCGGCAAGTGACAAGGATGCCTACCGCCATGGCGTCGCACACCGCAAGAACTCCAGCTGAGAGCAAAGCTCTGGATTCTCTTACAGGTGTTTTACTCGATCGGCGTTGCGAGAGCTCAGAGTCTACAGGGTGTAATATCAAGTCATTGGCTCCCTCTGAAGATGGGTGGGTACATCTACTGATCATGCCGTCGCCAGTAAGCAAGCGTCCGATATCTGCTTCGCCTTTGGCTGTACAATATCCGAAATCATGACGGGCAGCCCCCCTTATCACTATATCGGAGGAAAGTCCCCCGGTGTCACACATCTGTGACGAGCTCTCCAACGCCGATAATTCTTCTGTTGTCTTGATGGAGATCATTGAGCCCGAGATCGAAGGCATGCGTTCAACGTCTTCAGTGGAGAGCAGCCAACGAGATCGCAACAGCTGAAGCTTCACTCAGACGGCAAGCATGGATTCAAAGTCTGGACAACAGGCAGTCTGCTATGTTGACTCCTAGGTCCGCACGAAATGCAAATCTCACAGCCTTGCAAGAACATCATTTACCGCCCATGCTGGATATGACGTCTCTTTGCGCCTGTCGCTCCTGGTTGACGCCGGTCAATGCTGCCACGCTTCGAAGGTCGCCCACAACGTCCTTTGCTTTCCCGAAATACACTTCTTGCAGCATATTTCTCATCTTGCCCTCCATATCCTCGACGAGTCGACCAATATTGCACACATGACCTCCATCCTTCCCTTGCCCACCCACATTTTCCACCACAAGGTCTGCCTCGACCTGCCTGGTCATGCTTCCGGCTAGTTTCAACGAGCCGACCGACTCGCCTTCTCGACCCAAGTGCAGGATCACGGTACTGGTCAACTTGTAGTGACAGGTCCGTCCACTGCCTCGTCTCTCGTCGACTTCAAAGACATGTATGCTGTCCCACCCGGCGTCTTTTGCCATACTCTTCTTTAATAGGACCACTCCTGCGAACCCATCGTCAAGATCCCACAGGTACACACTGCCAGTGCCGCCTTCGTAGTACATTTGTCTGTAAACGTCGAATGCAGTATTGGCCTCCACTTCCATCTTTCTCACTCGATCGCTGGGGTAGGTTGCGTCGTCAAGCGGTGGATCGAATTCATTGCTCCAAGGACTTCGGTATGAGTCTCCATCTCGGTTGTAGTCACATAGTAAGTAGTCGCGGCCTGTCTTCTTGCACCTCGCCGACGTCAAAGGCTGGTCGACAGAGGAGAGCAGGTCCTCGGTCAGGTCAGGAACGAGGGTGGTGATTGCATTGAGGTTGTCGGATACTTCAAGTGGAGATAGTCTTCGGAGGAGGTCTCTGAAAATCAAAGATCCGGAATTAGTCGTGAGGCCTCATGCGGCAGGTCGACTCGAAACAAGACGGCATTGTTTGGTTGAAGCTGGGGCTGAGGGGATGGATCACTCACAATGCCGCGTCGAATTGTGCCTCGCTTGCCATTTTGCAGGCTGAGATCAGCAAATCTTCCTGGTGCAACTGCTGGCGAAGTATGTGGTTTCTCGTATCAGGACAAAAGTGCTGTTAGCAGATGCAGACAGTAGGTGGAAGTGGTGGGTGGAGTTGTGAAGCTGTGGGGTTGATGCCGCAGTTTCACTGTCCTTGACCCGGCCAACCTGCTACTGTACCATATCAATTGCCCTTGATCACGCTGGACGGGCCCACGCATCAATTGACTGCTATTATATAGAGGCGAGGAAGACTTGCTAGCACTTTGGCCGTCCCTACTGATGGTGATTGCATAGTCCTTGGATGCGGCGTTTTCAATCTCCATGACTTCAAACACCAACTATTGCGCATCCCAGTTTGCTTTCACAACACCAACTCTACATTTCGACCCTCAGTAGTGTTGTTACAGCTCTCCATGTAGGGTTGTGAGATGGGACCTATGTTTGTATTGTACAAGAAACCCTCGTTCTGACGTTTCCGAACAGATTGGTTTCGTTTCATGTCATTTCTTCGAATCGGTGGACGAGGGCCCTTGAGCCAGATCTCCTATCCATCGCAGTGCATTCAACTTGTGGAAGAGCCAGTTTCAATTCCTCTGCTCTTTCCACTTCATCAGCGTGAGTTCATAGCTCAAACCAGCATCGCTCCGACAGCGATTCTTCGTTTCCTTGTCATCTGCACCGTGGGAAAAGCGCCTGTCTTTTTGCCACGTCTAACGCCGGCCGAGACAAGACCATGCTGAAAGGTCCACCACAAGTCAAAACACGTATACGCCATCGCTGTTTGTGCAACACATCATTCCCAGACCGTCAATCCGCTTCAGGCCTATGACTGTGCAGCAGGCTGGTCGGCCGCATCTTGACCCTGCCCTTGGCCTTGGCCACCACGTCCTCGATTTCCTCGATATCCATTGTTTCCAAATCCTCGATTGTAGCCACCACGGTAGGTGCCACCATACGGTCGTCCTCGCCCATACCCACCTCCTCTGCCTCGTCCACGGAAACCAGAGTCGACATTTGCCTGTCCAAAAGTCTCAATATTCTTCCTAAACTCTTCACTTCGTACCTGTCTAGCAATGGCCCGTCCATCATGTCCTTCTCCACGATCTCTGGCTTCGGACGAGATATTATCGAAGAATGAAGTGGACTTGTTGTATCCTACTCCAGAAGCAGACAAGTTATCCTTTCTTTCTAGCGCGTCGGTTGATTTATCTTCACCCAATTCAGCGGGACCGTTCTCATCCGCTCCGACAACAGGTGGAGATCCCGATGCGATTGCCTCTTTGACCAGGTCTTCCTTTTTGAATTTGGCGTTTGCGGATTCGAAGTCGAAATCAGAATTGGGAATCTCCATCTTCTTGGGTCCTCCACCACCACGTGGATAATTGCCACCTCGGGTGCCTCGGATTCCTCCTCTCCCACCGCGGGCTGTGCCATTAGCGGTGCCAGATGTCGACATTTCAGCCACTCTCTTGGACAATGCATCTATAGCTTGTGCTGATGACGTAGACTTGCCCTGTGCCGTTGTCGCCTGGGGATTGAGTTTCGCCATAGCCGCTGCAACGGCCTCCTTCGCTTGCCGAGCCGCATCGTCCATCGCAGCTTGAGAGGGAACTGGTTTCGAAGATTTGGCTGCAGAAGCCCCATCGGTCGACGTAACGGCTGCAGATTGGACTGGGGGTGTGAAAGATTTTTGATTGACCTGGAATGGCACTGCTGGTATAACTCGATTGACCTTTGGACCCGTAGGTGCAGGGGCTGACGGTGGTGCTGCAGCAGTTGGTGGAGCGGCTTTATCGGCATTTCCTGCTGTGGTGGGTTTTGCTTGAGGAGGGACAGGGGCTTGTGCATCTTTGGAGGGTGCAGAGGGTACAGAGGGTGCAGGCTTTGCAGCCTTGTTGTCGGGTAATTCTGAAGTCAGGGTTGAGGATGGAGCAGAAGAGCGTACATTGGGCTCTGGGGCTTGTTGCGGAGGTGCTGAGTGTTGAGGAATGTTCCGTTGGCCAGGGGGTCCAATGGGAGGTGGAGGAAGCTGGAAAGGCCCTGGACCGGGCCCTGGACCAGGACCAGGTGGGAAGCCTTGACCGCCAGGGGGACCAAAGTATCCGGGAGGTGGAGGACCGTACGGTGGGAAGCCTGGTCCGGGACCAAAGCCTGCTGGAGGAGGACCATAACCCCGACCAAACTGACCGGGAGGAGGGTAAAAGCCACCAAAGCCAGGATGAGGAGGATAGCCCGGAGGCGAAAAAGGACCATCTCGTGGTGGACCATCGAGTGGTGGGCCCGGTCGAGAAGCATTCTAGGTTGTCGCATAGAGTAAGCTATAGCTCAACGCAAGCGAAATGGGAGCAATATGAGGCTGGGGGAGAGTCATAATATCAGAAGGAAGGCAACGGAAAATATCAACACGGCTTTGCGCATTCAGAACAGGTCTGTGAATTTACATCCGAAATATTTCATCATTTGAATGACGGCAGGTAAGGAGAGTCCAACATACCAGTATGGCGGGATCATTGGGCATGGCTGGAGGCGGAGAGGGTTGTGATTGCTCTTCCTCAGCAATCTTGATGTCTTTGACATCGCTTCCTCGGAAGATAATGAAGCCATATTTCTGTTGCGAAGGAGGGACGAATTTTTCGACTTTGCGATCTTCTGTACCGAAGGAATAGACATTTTCCAAGGCGATGGTGGACTGCTCAGGATTGATTTCGTGGAGAGTACCGACGTATCTGTAGGCGCGAAGCTGTCAGCGCGAGATGCTGCTGTGCCAGAGAAGGAGTACAACACCTACCGAATTTCACTTTTGGAGATGAGGTTGAACCGCTGGCCAATGAGGTGGTCCATGTCCATAACAGGCGCAAAGCAAGCGCAGGAAAAGAAGGAACTATTGTTACATGAAGAAGTAGTTGCAGGGAAGGAAAGTGAGGTGGAACGCGTTGGTGTTGTGGGTGGATTGAGAGGTGTGAAAAGAAAGAGGAAGAAATTGAGGCCGCGACAAGAATTGAAGGTCACGGTGGCTTGAGTTTAGCTGTTATTATTACCTACCGCAGCTGCGGTCAGTGCGAGATGACAAGCTGCATCTTGCCGTGCCTTGCTTCACCGTGGTCTCCTGCAGGTGCGGTCTATATGCTCGCCTTTAATTTCGGCGCCCTCTACCAGTAAACGGTGAACGTGCTAACATATTCCTTCCTGCGCGATGGCGTGAGTTTCGACCGGCAACAGTTCACGAGATCATGACCTTCCCCGGCACCTCAAACCAGGCAGGAAACTATTTCCAGACAGAGTGAGTCTGCGGTGGCCGGGCGTCGAGACCCAGTGAACTGATTCTGTTCTCCCAGCACTTCCTTGGCCGATTATGATCGAAAACTCCGCAAGGCTGCCAATACCCTCGGCAACCCAGTCAAATTCTCCTCCAAGTTATTAGATGTCGAAGTCAATTACTACTATGATCCGGCTGGGGATGTAGTCTTCGTTGCTGAGGCTGGAGGCTCGGTCAGCGGTCTACGGCTTTCCACCAATGAAGTATCGTCCACTCCCCAAGGACCTCAGGCACCATTAACCAGCCTTGCTTGCCATGCCAGCAAGAATACGCTAGACCCGTTCACAACCATGCACATCTTTGCTGGCTGCTGGGATAAGTCAATATGGAAGTACACGTTCCGATTTGCCGATGAAACGCCACAGGGACGACAAGTCACCGAACTTACGTCTTTTCCTGCCCATAGGGATTTCATCAAATGCGTCGTGGTTGCTCGCACACCCGACAAGCAAGACATTCTGATTTCGGGGGGCGCTGACGGAGATGTACGATTCTGGACCTTGGACGGTCAACCTTTGGGTTGGCTCAAGCCTGGTTGCCGGGGGATTGAATGCATCGCCCTCGACCCACTTTCTGATCCCGACTCACCTGTGGTGATGTTTTCCACCTCCAAACAGGAGATTTTCTTCTTTTCATTGCCGGACTCAAATCAGATGACACCAGACAACCTGAAATTGTCGACACCTATCATAGTACACGAGACAAGCGTTTACAAGTTACACTTTGACGAGGATGGAGATCTATGGACGGCATCTGCAGATAAAACTGCCAAGCATCTCTCCAGAAATGCCAAATGGAATGTCGACACGACCTTGCCGCATCCGGACTATGTGCGGGATGTGGTTACTCACGATACCTACGGTTGGGTGATAACAGCCTGCCGCGATGAGGAGATTCGGGTATGGAACAAAGCAACTGGACACCTTCATCATCTATTCACCGGACACTATGAGGAGGTGACACGGCTATGTCTGACAGGCGACTTACTTATCAGCGTGAGCATCGACGCGACCCTACGTAGATGGAGCCTTGCGCCTGCAGACCTGGCGAAGGCTGTACAGGAGGCTAAGAACCCCAAATTACTCACTGATGAGCCCGAGCCCGTGAATGATTTGCCGATGCTGACAGAGGAGGAAGAAGCCGAACTACAGGCATTGATGGAGACGGAGGAGGAGGAGGTGCTGGAAAGGATGGCGAGGGACGAGCAGTAAGCACTAAGGGCGGTCACTACTGCTCCGTACTACGGCGGAGCAGTCGACACTCTGTTAGCCGTAGCCTTATCACAGCCCAATCACGTGCCTGCCCCCACAGATTAGATAAGCATTTGGCTGATATGCAGTGATATGAGCTCATCGCTGATTCGCTCCTCCGCCACTTCCCGCTTTTTCCATTCGCAATCTAGCATTCTGCTTCTTTCTGCGATGAGGATAGGAAAATCTCTGCTGTTGGCCAAACCATCCTCCTTGATCAGTCATCGATCTGCCCATCTGAATAGTCCACGAGCCATTCTCAGGAACCGATCTATTATCAGCGCTTTGCCAACTTTTCTGCGTTAGCCGGTCTTTGCCGATCCCTTGGGGAAGACTTTTCAAAGCCTTGCACCGATCCGCCCGACGCTTTATCCCGCGACTGGCTTGCTCGAGTCTTGGCCCTTCATAACTCTATTCATCTTCTTGACCGAACTTGCTGGAGATCTGTGGTCTCCACTGCTCATTCGCTCCGATGGTCGACGAGGAGGCTGAACTCGTATTGCAAAATGCCCTGGCAAACAGCCCATCGCCTTATGTGAGATTCTCTGGTGAGCATGGTGGTCACAGCTAACACAATATAGCTTCGGGCGCACAAGGACAATCCGGTAGCGTGGCAAGAATGGTCAGAAAAGAGCATTTCTTTAGCAAAACGAGGCCAGCGCCTCATCTTTCTCAGTATCGGCTATAATGCCTGCCACTGTAAGCAATCCCTACAATCAGGTTTGCTCAAGCTCACATTTCATGTAAAGGGTGTCATGTGATGGAACGAGAATGCTTCAGCTCCCCGGAAGTCGCCTCTATCCTCAACAAGTCATTCATACCCATCAAAGTCGACCGAGAAAGTCGACCGGATCTGGACGACATCTATATGAGCTATGTCACCGCCACGACGGGATCTGGAGGGTGGCCATTGAATGTGTTTCTCACCCCTGATCTCAAGCCTGTATTCGGCGGTACCTATTGGCCTGGTCCATCACCAACCACGAACCTTCGGCGAACAACTTCTCAGGATGAGGTCCCCGTGACTTTCCTAGACATTCTACGCAAGATGCTTGAAATCTGGACGACTCAGCGTGAACGATGTCTCCAGTCTTCCTCCGACATCACGGCTCAACTACTCGCTTTCGCAGCAGAAGGAATCCATTCTCAGTCCTCGGAAATAGTCCGCGGTGCCGAATCAGCGCAGTCGGAGGAACCGGAACCCATCGAACTCGACCTGCTTGACGACGCTCTGAATCATTTCATAGCTCGCTATGACTCGCTTCACGGCGGGTTCAGCGCGAGTCCAAACGCCTCGAAGTTTCCCACTCCCTCCAACCTCACATTTCTGCTCCGGATCGGCGCGGCGATCGCACAACCTTCAACCCACACGCGTTTTGGCTTTTTCAGCCCCGTGCCAGGGATCCTCGGGCGAGACTCATGCCTCAACGCCGCCTCGATGGCCATCCACACCCTACTTGCCATGTCGCGCTCGGGACTGCGAGACCAACTAGGCTATGGGTTTCACCGGTACAGTGTCACGCCCGACTGGAATCTTCCTCACTTCGAGAAGATGATGTGCGACAACGCTCAGTTACTCGGCTGTTATTGCGATGCCTGGGCTCTTGGTCGCGACCCCGAGATACTCGGTACCATCTACAACTTGGTCGAATACCTTACAAACCCGGAATCTCCCATCGTCCGACCGGGCGGCGGCTGGTATTCCAGTGAAGACGCCGATTCTCGTCCGACCTTGAGCACATTGACCAATGGAGTGACCGACGACAAGAAGGAAGGAGCATTCTACGTCTGGACATCCAAGGAACTGGCCTCTATACTTGGCGAACAAGACGCAGCCATCATCGCGCGCCACTTTGGAGTCAAATCGGACGGCAACGTTCCCGCGCAGCATGACCTGCACGACGAGTTTCTGTCCCAAAACGTCCTACATATCCAAGCCACGCCATCTGTGCTGGCCAAAGAGTTTGGGCTTTCAGAGGACGAGATTGTCCGCGTCATCAAAAGCGGTCGGGCCAAACTGGCCGAGTACCGGAAAGCCAAACGCGAGGCTCCGACGGTCGACACCAAGACCATCGTCTCGTGGAACGGGCTTGCAATTGCAGCTCTCGCGCGGGCAGCCAACACCCTCGCCACTATCGACAAGCACCGCGCAGCACGGTGTCAAGAAGCGGCTGAACGTGCCGCCGCGTTCGTCCACCAGGAACTGTACGACACTGCGACCGGCAAGTTGGTCCGGATTCTCGGCAACAACTCCAGCCCGGACAGTAATGGTGCATTCGTCGACGACTACGCATACATGACCTTGGCAACCCTGGCCCTGTACGACCTGACACTATCGCAGCCGTATCTCGACTGGGCTGTCAAATTGCAGGGCTATCTCGACGCACACTTCGTGGCCGATGGTACGGGCGGTTACTACCAGGCGGAGCCGTCCGCTGAGCAGATCATCCGGCTCAAACCTGGGACGGACAATTCTCTACCATCGCCCAACGGCGTCATCTGCACCAATCTTCTATACTTGTCGTCGTACCTGCTGGACAAGCGGACCGAATATGTCGCCAAAGCGCGGGCCGTACTCGGCGCATTCGCCGTGGAAATCATCCAACACCCCTTTCTCTACGTCAGTCTGCTCTCGGGTGTGGTCATGGAGCAGGTCGGCGTCAAGACCATCATCGCGCCCATGACCACGCGCGATAGCCAGCTCAGGAAACTCAAGGGCTGGGGCCGGACGGTCGTCAGGGGCCTCGTACAGGATGTCATGATTTGTACGGCTGAGGGCGTCTGTCGGCCGCTCAAGCAGAGTGACCTAGATGACGTCGATGAAGCCGAAGCCGAAGCAGAGGCTGGACCTTGAATCCGATCATGTTGCTCGGTGACGGGCGCACGCACTGGCATTGGCACAGGACAGCAGTTGTTGGCTCTGCTTGAAGGCCCTAGGGTAGGTATATGGATATGACTGAATGGGATGGGGTTGCGCACGTGGGACGAGGCTAGATAGGCCTTCTTTCGGCGTTATATACCTGCGGTCTGGAGGAGTCTAATATGTCGAACAGTAAGCGTTGCTCTGGCATGGCTATGCTTTACAATTCACGGCTTCGTGTTGTTCGTCGTCGATACTATATTTGTATTTCAGACAATGTCAAATCTTGTCTTTGATCTTCTTGTCGTCTAGCAAACCAACACATCTGATAGCACGCTCACCAGTCCGAAGTGTGCTCCTCTCCGACGACTGGGTCCGCAGCGGAGCATTAAAGTAATCTGGGTAGAAGCCAGAACATTCCCAATCCACGATCCCAACGACGTTGAAGTGATTGTCTACAAGTATATTTTATTGGCCAAGATCATTGTGGACAAAGACGTTTCTTTTTCGACCAAGACGATTTCCAAGGGGCCTACTGATGGGATTCAAGCTACTCCCACGGACGAGTAGGAGGAATAACGCTGCCGGTTCTATTAAAGAGCCCACATTGCGGGACCTTAAACTATAGAGCTGGGGAAGGATAAATTGTGTGGTGTGATATATTCATCGACCGCCTCAGTAGGCTGCTCTTTACCCGGCCTGATTTTAGAAAGAGGTGTTCCGTATACGCGCTCCATTTTCAGTTGGTAAGTGCTTTTACTATGCTCCTGAACTCGCGGACTTTCGGAATAGGCATCGTAGTGTTTTCTCGAATGAACGCGAGCGCCGCATGATCATTCTGAAGCCGCTCGGAACACTGGACCCACAGGTCACCAAGAGACCAGAGACCAGAGACCTCCCGTACGCTACCTAGATCCCCTGGACAGCTGATAGAAGACTCGTCCAGGGACTCATGCTGCCTTTGCTCTCAACTCCTCAGGCGTGTCTTCCTGATTATCCCACCTGCCTTCCTTGAAAGCCTCCACCTCATTCAAATTCTCCCAGACTTTCCAAGTCTGCGGAAATTGCCCCTTGATGTCGACTCCAAACCTGAGAGCGCCATCGACCGCCGGCGCCAGCACACAGTCCGCAATGGTCAACTCGTCGCCGACACTATACATCCCGGCGGATTCTCTCAGGAGGCCCTCATACGCATAGAAGCCTAGTGTCATGAAATGAGATTGCCACACCTGGGCCTCGACGTCGAGAGGCTCGATGAACCTCAACACTCGGAGGTTCGTGACGGGTTGAATGTCGCAGGCCACAATGTCCACCAACTCTCTCACCCTGGCACGTCCAACGGCGTCTCCGATACCGGGTATCAGTCTCGGTAGGTCCGGTGTGGTCTCTTCGAGGTATTCAAGAATCGCAATCGACTGCCGGATCTTGGTTACGATGTCTCCTGACTTCGCGTCCGTCACGATCAGCGTGGGCACCGACTCACTCGGGTTCAAGGCCGTGTACTCTGAGCCGTGCTGCTCGCCCTTGACCAGGTGGATGTATCTGTATTCGAGTGGGATTCCCTTGATGTGCGCGGCGATGCGGATCCGCGCTGAGCATGACGACCGGAAGTAGGTGTATAGCGTATACTTGTGTTTGTGTTTGACCTCTCCGGACATGCTCGAGTAGCTCTCGCTAATCGGATCCAACCTCACGGAATCGACGCTGTGGAATCTCGTCAAGACTAAGGGTATTGCAAGGCTCGTCGAACTCGATTTGCCTGGCTGGATGGTGGACGTGCGCCGAAGCAAAGAGTGCAAACGAGAGTCGAAGCCGATCGATGATGAAGAAAATGCAGCTGTTTCTCCATGCTCCTCTCACCCACCTCTGTCCAACACGCGGCAGCTGACCGCACGGCCACATCTTACACACATATGTATGACCCAACATCCACGAAGCAGCGCGGAAACAGAGGACGGGATATGGTGTTTTCCCCGCGGGCAGTGCGGAGCCGATTCCGTGGCATCGAATACGCGCATTCGGAACCAGTGGACTGCAAGAGGGCAGGCCGCTGAGTACGGTGTGTGCCCGCAGACGCCCTGGACCGCCTGGCGTGCGTGTTCCTGTGCCTCCCAGACCCGGGTGAGTTCGTGCCTCGAGAGAGTTTGAGTTTCGCAGTCATTGAAAGGTTTCCGCAGATCTAGGTACGTAGTGCCACCAGTCCGGATACGTACCTAATTAATTAGAGGGAAAATTGGTCAATGCACGTGACCTTGGACCCCATTGGACGTCTGATCTGCGGGGAGAGGCCCGCATTGAAGGCGAGAGAGATGCGATGACGAGAAAAAGATGCGGGCTAACATCACATCATTGCTGGCTGCACGGTGCAGCCCTCACCCCCGGCTTCCTACTGATGATAGACTTTCATTCCCCTCTCATCTTGTCTTGCCTCTATACAACCTCGTCGGTCCGACGGTAAGCTCAATTTTATTGTTGGCTTAACTTACAATGTCCGCTCGCGAAGTCCGCATAGGCTACGTGCCGGAACACTACCTTCTCCCTCTGCACTTCTGCAACAAACACAACCTCTTTCCCTCCTCAATACGCGTGAGGTTGATACCTTTCCCATCCGGCACGGGGCACATGATCACATCTCTACGCTCCAACGAGATCGACCTAGCAATCGGGTTGACAGAAGGATGGGTCGCTGGGCTCTTGAATCCGGGCACGTACACTCAATCGGCAGAAGAGAAAGGATACTCAATAGTCGGATCGTGGGTGTCTACGCCACTGCGGTGGGCGATTGTCACTGGCCGCAACCGACCTGACATCAACTCCGTCGACGACCTCAAAAACCATCGTCGCGTGGGTGTCAGCCGGATAGGAAGTGGAAGTCATGTCATGGCCTTCGTGCTCGCGCAGCAAGAAGGCTGGCTGGATCAGGCAGGGGTCTCCAAGTCGGAAGGGTTGGCGATCGTGCCACTGGGTCCGTTCAAAGATCTCCGCGACGGCGTGACAAACTCGTCGGCGGACTTCTTCATGTGGGAACAATTCACGACCAAGCCATATTTCGATGGAGAAGACACGCCCCTCAAAAAGATTGGCGAGATCTACACGCCCTGGCCGAGCTGGCATATTGCCGCGTCCCTATCTACTTTCCCCAACCCTGCCAGTGATGATACGCTAAAGCAGATCTTTGAATCGCTGGATCTCGGAATCAAAGCCTTCAATGCGGATCCAGATGCCGGCATCCGCATGCTCGGTACCGGGGAGGCAGGATGCCACTATTCTGAGGAAGATGGGAGAGAGTGGCTGAAGGATGTGCGATTCGTGCAGGGTACGAGAGGTGTCGACCCTGCTGTGATGAGCGGAGTGGTGGATGTGTTGAAGACAGCCGGAGTCATTGGTGGCGAAGTCGTCGTCAAAGATGGGGACGGAGTCGTGGGTATCGCGAGGTAGAGATGAGGAAGCTGCTACAAAAAGCAATAAAAGGCTGTATCGGCAGCCATCAAACATGAAACGCTGAGTCCTGAGACCTAAGACCAATGGCACCCTGCTACCCTTACCTTGATACCTAGTAGTCTTCCTTCTGAACCACAGTTGACATTTCGAATTTCGATCGAACCAGCAAGGTCTTGGAGATCAGTCCATTCGTCGAAGTGGCAGTGCCTGATACGAGAGTTTCAAGAGGTGCACAGGGCCGACAACGAGGCAAGGCGACCAAACTGCCAAACGAGATCCGCATAATAGACACAGCGAGCAGGTCGAGTTTCGTTCAATGGAAGAGGATTTCTATGGTGTCGAGCACTCCCAACCGAGACTCACTCATCACTATATCAGAGCATCTTACACCCGCCTCAAGTCCCGATCCATCCTCGACGAACGTTTCCTACGGTACATGCGCAATAGTATCCGTTGCCCTCCTCCGATGGTCTCTTGTTTTCGGCGTGGTGATCAAATGGGGGTTTTGTCAAGTCCAACTAGCAGAGGGCTAGGGAACAACAGACGGTATTTCGGGTTGGCTTTGTTCAATATCATGTCTGGGGCCATAGCAGTAGTGCGCATTCGTAGAAAATGGCGGTTACATGCTCTATTGTTCGCTTAGGTACCTAGTAGTCAGTGGTCAATGATCAAATACTGCCACTACATAACACTAGCACTACTCCCAGGGTTCGTCAATCTTAAGGCGTACGTCTTGATAACCCCCGTCCCCATCAGCTGCTAGATGCTATATCTCCACCAGCATGCTGTATTAGGAATATTGAGATTTTGTTCTCTTTCGCCACTTGACCCGATAATGTTGTGAAATATGTGCAGAACTTTGCGCCCAATGCCAATCACGCTCTTCGTGTCTCAACGGGCATCGGGCAATATATCTTGGATTGCGGTGGGAAAGGGAAATGAGGAATCCCCAAGGCAAATATTGACTTTTCATCATCCAACTGTCCAAGGAGTTCTTCCATAGCCCATATAGCCTCGTTGGTGGTATGATATGTTAACGTCGTCTTCCTCTTTAACTGCAGCCTGCATATGCAACGAGCCATTTCCGCTGAGCCTCATGCGTCATGGTGGCACATTCCTCCCTGCTTGAATATCTGGGGTGACGGAGAACGGCGGTCGATCTGGGCGTTGGAGATACTGTAGGTCTTCTCCGTTCCTGCGGGTACAGTACGAATAGGTGGATGGGATCGTTTCAGTGGGGATTGCCCGGGAAGCTATCATCAGTCAGCCTTGCGAACTATCAAACCATCTACTGCATCCTGAAAGGAAAGATGTTTTTCATCCGGCTTTGGGTGGGCTAGAAACAAGCGATATTAGTAGTTAGGGGTGGAATCCATATCATATGATGCGACACTCATGGTAGAGCTCGTGTCTTGGTGAAAAGAATGCATACAAGGAGGGAGGTGGGAAGCGTTTTGTGAAGCTTAATCCATTGAGTGCTGGTCCTCCACTACCAACGACCGACCTTTATTCGGTGATTGCATCTGCGCCCACCACTCGCTCGTGCCCCCAACCCTTCTCCCTCGACCCCTTCTCACCAGCCTGAAGTTGAGCCTGCTGCTAGTTTCTGTGGCATCTTGACAAATTTCCTTTGCCGCTTCACCCTCATCCGGTTGATCGAAATCAATTGTGGCCCTTCCATATCTTTGATGTGTGTTCAGTCTTCCAGTTGGGCAAAAATGTCCATTCCACCATGTGACTCCGGATCAGGGTTGCAATAACGTCGTGCCCTGGTCTTGCCCATGCCCATGACCTTGACTTTGACCTTGACTTTGCCCATGCCCATAACCTCGACTCTGCGCTTGACTTTGCCCCTGACCTTGCCCTTGACCTTGACCTTGACCTTCCTCGGGACCTCCCTCAGTCTCTACCTCCAGCTTTGAACCATAACAACATGCGGGCGAGCGTACTGGGTTTTTGTAATAATCAGGAATGCTAAGTTGGTACCCTTCATCCCGGTTTCCACCTGCTGCTGTTGCACGTCTTTTTGGCTGGTTTCTGCATCTGACGTTAGAAGTTGCACTCCAGAAGATATAGGGGCACACTCACTTGCAGAGACCAGAACTTCGCCGATAGGACTTGAATTCTTTATCGAAGGTTTTGGATCTCAGCCTGTAAACCTTCATTTTGTTCTTGAAAGAAGGCGGATTTCCGTTGGGTCCGTGCTAGGACTTCTGTCGTCTGTGTCAGCGCTTGCTGCAAGATTGATCCCAGTAAGCCACCACGGCAAACGGTATAAACGTCAGGAGAACCACTTCGGCCCGAAGAGTTGAAGGAATTCCCAAGAACGCGAGAAAGATTGATCCCAGTAAACCACCACGGTAAACCGGCCAAGCACCTAGGGAAACACTTTCAGCCCGAAGACTTGAAGGGTTTCCAAAGACACGAGAAAAATTGATCCTAGTAAACCACCACGGTTACCAGGCCTTGCAAGTATCTAGAGAAATACTTCAGTCCGAAGACTTGTAAGTATTTCCAAAGACACGACAGACTGTGATCCGGTAAACCACCACGGCTACCGGGTCGAGCACCTAGGGAAACACTTCAGCCATAAGTGTTTCCAAAGACACCACAGAAAGAAAGGTTGATCCGGTAAACCACCACGGTTACCAGGCCAAGGATCTAGGGAAACACTTCAACCACGAGTGTTTCCAAAGACACCACAGATAGAAAGTCTGATGCTGGTAGACCACCACGGTAAACCAGGCCAAACATCTGAAGGAACCACTTTCAGCCCGAAGACTTAAAGTGTTTCCAAAGACACGACAGACAAAAATGTTAATTCCAGTAAAACCCGGGTCAAACATCTAGAGAAGCCAATCGGACCCGAAGACCCAAAGTACTCCTAAAGACGCAATAAATAAAAATATTAATTCCGGTAAACCATCACGGTAACCGGGCCAAACAGTGACCCGAAGGACGTTAAACGAGACTAAATAAATAAATAAACCGGGCCAAACATCTAGAGAAACACTTTCAGCCCGAAGACTTAAAGTGTCTCTAAAGACGAGAGAGAGAAGTGGCAGAGCCAGAAAGATGAGTCCCGGTAAACGGGGTGAGACGTCAGAGGAAACAGGAGTAGCCCGAAGACCTGCAACATTTCCAATGTACGCGAGAGACAAAAAAGTTCGTTCTGGTAAACCGCCACGGTAAACCAGGCCTAACGCCAGAGGAACCACTTCAGGTCCGAAGACCTAAAGTAATTCCAAAGAACGTGAGAGACAACGGGAAACACTTTAGCCCGAAGGCTTGAAGTGTTTCCAAAGATGGAGGGCGGAGAGGAGGAAGAAAGAGATGAAAAGTAGAGATTAGAAAACGCGTCTATTTATGTTTGTTCTACTACTGTTTGTGTGACATTGCTTGGCGGCACTGGCGTGAAGGGATATATCGTTTGAGTTGGGGGTGGCCACCACATCCAAAGTCTTCCCGGTCTGGCGAGGCTGATACATTGACTGGGAGGCAGTATAAAAACCGACCTCTAATAGCAACTTCGACCTCGTCCTGATTGATCTCCCTCTCCTAACTAGGCCTACTAGCTCACTACCTATACGGCACCCTAGAAACTGGGTAGAGAGAAGAGGAAGAGAGTTCACATGGCCAAATACTAGGAGGGAAGTTGCAGAACTTGATACCTGAGTTTCAAGAGGCAGGCAGGCCGATTGTCACGGTTCGAGCTGGTGCCTCGATTGGCGCTTATTCGTCCTGGCACCATTGTTGATGGCCAGTCAGAAGGAGTGGAGGAGAGGAACGATTGGAGCAAAGGATGTGGAGAAAGGGTGGATTGTCGACTTCAAGACGAAAGCCTGGCCACGAACGCTGGAGGACACCCTGAGATACTGTGTGTCTATGTCTGGCTTATGGTCTTGTATCGAAGCCACACAGGAAAGATCACCCCACCAGAACCGGTGACACTCATTTGTGGGACATACTTCACAGCTGCGGCCGCCATCCTCAACAAGGAGGACGTCGTATCATTTCGAGAGGACGTTGGGTTGCTGGAACGCCGTTGTCGGCGAGGGCGAGAAACAGTAACAGTGCTTGATTTGCGTTGGTATCACAACATCACTCTTTCGCCATCCTTGAACAAAGATCCTGTCGACGACCATGCGAATTATTACCTGGCGGTTTTCGAGTCGTTAAGCCGTTTAGGTCTTGTGGATGCCATCATGCAGAAGGAATCTGAAGGGCCGACAACGTCTTTGAGACAATTACTGACGACTTCAGACTCTGCAAAGACAACTCGAAAGCAAATGTTAGCCGTGCTCCTTTCAGTGGACGATGCGATGATTCACGCGTGCATCACTCGTCAGGTGGCGCGTCATGCTCACATGCGCAGCCATCCGACGAAGCACGAGTTGAAGGAGAACATGGAGCTTGCCGCCAACATCCCAGGCCAGTATATCAGCATAATATGCGACAAGATTGGATTGCCGATGACTAACAGACAGTGCGCCCAGGTCGTCGATGATATTGCACTCTACCTACGTGGCGGTCCGGACAGCGATAAGATTGCCGTTGCAATTGATATGGTGCAGACCACCCAATCATGGCCAATTACACGAACGCATGAAGGTCTGAGAAAATATACTGACTTCACGAAAGTGACCGTCTACAACACCTGCGAGAAAGACCTCGCTCATCGTTCCATTGTCGACAGGTTCTTGACAGATCTTCGTCCCCAAATACAAGACGGCCCCGACTACGATAAACCTCGACCAGTTCCGTTCGTCGAAGTCGGCTTTTCCGACCAAATCTACTTAAGACTACAGCAGCACTCGAGTCATACCAACTCCAATTATCTCATGAATCTATTCCATGCTGCCGTTGAGAACAGGTTTGGTGGTATATTCAAACTACATCAAGAGGTCCTGTCATTGTGCTCGGAACCCGCCGACGCCTGGCTAGGTGAGATCGCGTTCACACAGCTGTGCAAGGGATATGTCACCGAAGCCTCAGGGTTTAGTCACTCCGGAGCCGGGCTTTCCATTGGCAATTTCTATGAAAGGCTCCCAGCCGAGATATGGGATACAATGTATTTACACGGAGCCCGGACGGAGAAAATCGAACGGAATTTGCAAAAAGAGGAAGAGATAGCTCGAGTTCGACACTTTGCTGAACCTGGAGCGCACCAGCGATTCGAAGATGAAATCTTGAAAGACATCGAAAGTGTCGAACAGATATCACGAACATTACAATCATTGGAGGAATTACGGCAGATAGACCAGGAGATCAAGGAATTGTTGGAGTCGACGTGACACTATGTCATCGGTCAGAATTGCGAACGAGAGAGGCTTGTCATTCAGAGAGAAGTTTTCCATCCGGCTTTAGATGGGCTAGAAACAAGCATATGTCACATTCTGTAGATATGAGGAAGTACGGGTGAATCCATATGATGCTACATTCTCGCTGGATCTCGTGTCTTATTGAAACGAATACATACAAAGAGGGATATTGGAAGTGTCTTGTGAAACTCATACTGTTTATTGAAGATCAGTTGTTGCCCTCCCACATATTTCATTTGTGTTTAGTCTTCACTTTGGGCAAAAGGCCTTAATCTACCGCGTGGACCAAAGTTGAAAGACGTCGTGTCCTGACCTTGCCCTTGACCGACCGCCTGGGTAGAGAATGTCGTATCATAACTTCGCTTTCTGATGGCGTGACCCTGAGCTTGGGTAGGCACGGACTGTTGCTGCCGTGCGGATGCTGTAGCCTCCTGTGCCAGTTTGTGTTCAGGGAATATCTGATACGATGCCTGGTAAGCCGCAAGAGTCTCTAGGAGTCTAGGGCGTACTCTTGTGGCGAAGCGAGATCGATCCTCTGCCAGACGCAACATGGTCTGCATCTCTACCTCGATGATACCCACATTGTCATCCAACATCCCTAAAAGGATTTTGTGGAAGTCTTGATTGTCGGACAGCTGTTTCTGAAGATCCTTGTTGGCATCTTGGGCGTCGGACAATTGTTTTTGAAGTTCCTCAAACTCGGCGCGGGTTGGAGCACCATCACGACCCTTTTCAAAGTCTTCGACACTTGGGGCTCTCAGTCCTTGTCTGAGACTTTGTATGTCCGCCATCAAATTATCATTTTGTTCTTGATAGAAGGCGGATGTCCGTTGGCTCTGCGCCAGCATTTGTTCCAGCGCTTTGACTTCGTCTTTGAGGATTTGGATTTGGGCGGCGTCAGAAGTCGACATGACGAAAGATTTGGTTCCCAGAAACTAGGTAAACGTCCCGGAATCTCTGCTCGTCCGAAGACTCGCAGTAATTCCGATGACGGAAGAGAGGTGAGGGCAAAGAAGAGTTTGTCGCTGCCAGAAGCACGCAGGCAAACGCGAACAAGAGGCGAGAGGAGGCCTATCGTGAGACGTGATCAGCTTGGACTCTGATGAAAGTAAGGAGAGATACTTACACTTCAGTTGGTAGGCGTGAAGAAGTACCTGTGTATTTAGAACTGAGAAGTTGGTGTACGACTTGGAAGCGATCAAAATTTGGATCAGAAAACGAGTCTATTTATGTTTGTTCTACTAGCACTTGTACTGTTAATGTTTGTATCTGTGTGATCTTGCTTGGCGGCACTGCCGTAAAGGGATATTTCTCTTGAGCTGGGGGTGGCCGCCATGTCCAAACTATTCATGAAAGTGGTGAGAGCCTGTCTGACGAGGCTGAGACATTGACTAGGAGGCAGTGTAAAGCCGACCCATCCCGAGCTTGGAAATAGCACAGACCTCCAATTGGAACCAAACAGCGTACGATGATCCTGTCGACAAACTCGATGAGTACTCACAGCGCGAGCCAACAGCACTTTGTTGTTGGGACATGCATATGTAGGTAGCTCCTCAGAAGATATCAGAAACATACAGATAGTAGTCGGTGAACCACATGGAAAGATCGACCAGACATTGAAGATGTCGTAACCAGTGACCTCGACGATCATTTCACTAACCCCGGCAACATAGCTGATCATCCAGCAATGTGTATTACCGGCTGCATTCCTGAGAACAAGAGTGGCCAGTCACTGGTGCAGGCATATTCGGGGGGAAAGAATGAGGACGCAGAACGGCCTCTTCACTGCTAGTTCCAATCTTTTCCTCCTGGACTATAAGTCCCGATGTCTTTTCTGTCATTATAACTTCAACGACCCTCGCACATCGCCTCCACCGTCCACTTTACGAGTCCGCTGGGCTTTGTGTCACGGTTAGTGTTCTGGAACAAACCGTGAATGGTGCCCAATACAAGAAACATGACCAAAGCATCAAGGAACAATCGAGCAGGTTCCCATGCAGATACCACACAGTCAAATCTACATCCGAGTCCTTCCCCCTCGTGGTCTGAAGACAAGAGAACGAGTCCTCGGCCGGATCCACTTTCAACTCAGGGCACCAACACATCCATAGCTTCATATGACTTACCCTGGATATGGGTCGAGATCACGGGAAGGAGGAAAAACAAGTCTATCAGGATATACCAGGCTAGAAAAGAAAGCGGCATGGACTTACATCACAGAGTCCCAGGACATCGGGAGGAGGATATCTGACAGATGATTGCACATGACTGTTTCCTACTTGCGGTCACTTCTAGCCAGATGAATGGGAGTTGACCTTAAATACAATTCACACACTAGCATGGAAGGACGGACTATCTCAGAGCACCCATATCAATACCCATTTCATACGGCACCCATCCCGGCAATCTCGCTATGTGGTTGGTGGTCCCGGTGTCACATGAATTGTCGAGATCAGCTTGATCTTGACCAGAAGTAGCTGCTTGATGATCGTGGCTTCTGCTGTCGTTGTTGAAAGCGAAGGGTCACCTAGGTGGGAGCGTCTCTGACGACTTTCGTATTGGAGCGTCCGCTTGAATAGCCGATGTGGTGTGGTGCCCTATTGATGGCTGTTAAGCTTCACCGATGTTGGAATACACTATGTTGACCGACGTCGCTGCTAGACTAGTCTTGCGTAGCGCAGCGAAGCAAGTCCAATGAGCAATCTTGTCAAGCAAAGCGTTCCGCGTCGCTTTAGTTGGAGTAGGAAACTCAAACAACGGAAATAATGGCGTTGGTAATCCACCGTAGTTTGGGGCCGCTGCCATGGCTGAGATGCAGACGTGCCTGGCAACCTCTCGTAAACGTCGCACCTCTTTCGTCGACATGCGGCGTCTGACTCTGGAGACCGTCCGTGTTTCTGGGAGGATTCACCATGTTCGACGCTTCTTCTCAGCTGGCAGACAGGACGCTCCACAACAAGTACCGAAGACTGACCAGCAAGCCGCAGTCAGAAGTCGGTTCGATCGGTTAATCGAACGAACACCACGTTTCCTCCGGCCTACAGTAGCTGGACTGCGACAAGCACCGGTGACCCATGTTACAGCTTTTATTATCCTCCATGAATTGACCGCGGTTGTCCCACTGCTCGCTCTCGCCGGGGGGTTTCACTATTGGGGGTGGCTGCCACCATACTTTACCGAAGCAGCTTGGGTCTCTGCCGGTGTCGAGAAGTTTGGCCGATATTTCCGCCGGAAGGGTTGGATCAGCGAAAAAGATGAGACAGAGGTCGAAGAGAGGGTTAAACAAGCGAAGGCAGGGAAGTTTGAGGAACAAACGATCTCAATGTGGTCTGACGGAAAGCAAGGTGCTACTAGCTGGGTTGTGGAATTCGCGACTGCCTACGCCATTGTGAAGGTGTTACTCCCGCTTCGCTTGTTTGTGAGTGTCTGGGGTGCTCCTTGGTTTGCCAGGCTCGTCGTCATCCCAGTTGGAAAAGCAACAGGATCCATATTCAGGAGAACGAAATCATGAGGACCAATGCTCCAAACGATACCTTTGGTCTATGGTGCACTGCTTGGGCTGGTGAACGCGAGATTGGATGATTCGAAAAGGAGACGCCGGTCCGCTACGAGTGGTCATCATATGAACGAGGATCAAGTCGTTGTATCCTTCGGGTCTGGCAAGTCTATCTTCTCTGTTCTTGAGTGCTTGGGCCTTTCGACCTGGCGGCGGTGGCCGGTTGGGCGGCAGAGACATCCACACTCCCATCCAAATCATGCGCTATCCAGTGTCCCCTGACTAGCCGCTTATGCCTTCTCATAGATCCAGTCGAACTGGGACGCCTTGTAGCTCTGAACCTCCTCGGGCTTGAACCACAAAGCAATCTCCTTCTTCGCGCTCTCGACCGCATCGGAGCCGTGGCAGACGTTGCGACCGACGTCAATGGCATAGTCACCTCGGATGGTACCTGGAGCAGAGGCAAGAGGGTTGGTGGCACCAAGGATGGCTGAAACACATCAGCTTTCATTTCCAGAAGATTTGAGGATGCTCGACTTACTGCGGCCGGTCTTGACAGCATCACGTCCCTCCCAAACCATGGCGACGATAGGGCCACTCAGCATGTCTGCATTCCGATCAGTTCAGCACACATAGTTGTGTCTGTGTTTTTGCATACATGTGACAAGTCCATTGAAGAAAGGCTTCGATGAGAGATCCTCGTAGTGCTTCTCAAGATGCTCCTTGGATGGGGAAACAAGCTTAAGCGCAACCAATTTGTACCTTCACCGCTCAGCTGTCATTCCATCTCAATCAATGTAGGATGCTCACCCTCTCTTCTCGAATCGAGAAATGATGTCTCCGACAAGTCCACGCTAGACTCGTTGTCAGAACAAGCTGAACGACGCAATAAAGGCTATGCATGGAGGATCATACCTGGACGCCATCGGGCTTGACGGCGATGAAGCTATAACCGCTGTTAAAATCTTGGCTTGTGCTCAATGAGTGCTGGATACTCACGTTTGCTCGTTAGACATTTTGGCTGGAATTTGAGATATGTGAAACGTAGAATGGTTTTATTCAGAAGACTTTGGGCAGAGGAGGAAAGAAAAGACAGTTGCGGTCAACAGTGCAGGACAAATATTTTGCTCCGCCGGGATGCCTGGGCTCGCTTTTTAGTGGGGTTTTACAGAGACGGAGGGGCAGCGAAACTGCGGTGGGTGGTGGTGATGCACGGACCCGCTTAGTGACTATCCAGCCAATGCCTTAATTATGATCCTAGTCTCCGTACGGAGTATCAGACACTCGGGAGAACCGTAAAAGGACACTTTTGTAAACAATCCTGCCTTTGCACAGGCAAAAGACCTCTCAAGGACAGCTCATCATCAAGATGGCACGGTCCTCGAGGCGTCAGCCCCGATGGACGATTTGCTATATTTCGATCCTCCTGCTGCTCTTCTTTGTCTCTCCCGCGGGTAAGGTTACAAGCGATCATTTCGGACACCACTGCTAATACTTTATACTCAGTGATGGTCAAACATCATGACTTTAAACGATGTGACCAGTCGGGCTTCTGCACGAGAAACAGAGCCCTCGCAGATTACATGTCTAAGGGCAACCACGAACCGTCTCCTTACCAATTAGATGCGACTTCCGTCAAGTACAAGGACGGACAACTAGTCGGCTCCATAATAAAGACTCTCGCGAGCGGCGAGGCAGTCAAGCTGCCCTTGACGATATCTTTCTTGGAGCGTGGCAACGTTCGTGTTACTATCGATGAGGAAAAGAGGCGGAAAGGCGAAATTGAACTTCGTCATGGGAGTGTTGCTCGAAAAGAAAGATACAATGAAGCTGGAGCATGGGCGTTGACGGGAGCTGGCCTCCAATCCCAGAAGACAGCTACGTTCAAGAAGGTATCCAAAGATGCCAGTCAGGTTTCATGGGGTCCAGACCACTCTTTTAAAGCCATCATTCATCATGCTCCCTTTGGAATCGAGTTCTGGTCAGGCGAAGAGAAGCAAGTCGTTTTCAACGACCGTGGATTTATGAACATTGAGCACTGGCGCCCAAAGATTGACAAACCCGTAGCGGACGAGAACAAGACTGAAGCGGAGCCCGTCGAATCAGCGGAAGATGAAAGCACCTGGTGGGAAGAGAGCTTTGGCGGAAATACCGACTCCAAACCCAAGGGTCCAGAGAGTGTCGCGATGGATATCACTTTCCCGGGCTACGGGCACATTTATGGTCTTGCGGAACATGCGGGGCCGTTGTCGCTGAAAGAGACTCGTGGTGGAGAAGGAAACTATGATCAGCCATATCGAATGTACAACAGCGACATCTTCGAGTATGAGCTGGACAGCCCTATGACCCTTTACGGTTCAATTCCTTTTATGCAGGCGCATAAGAAGGGTTCCACCGTTGGAGTCTTTTGGCTCAATGCTGCTGAGACATGGGTGGACATTGTCAAGTCGAAACACGGCTCCAATCCGCTGACGCTCGGTCTCAGCGGTGGTGCCCTCGATACACATACACATTGGATGTCTGAAAGTGGTCTCCTGGATGTATTTGTCATGCTCGGCCCTACGCCCAAAGATGTGGCAAAGTCTTATGGGGAACTGACGGGCTATACTCAACTGCCAGCGACTTTTGCAATTGCTTATCACCAGTGCAGGTGGAACTATGTGAGCGACGAAGATGTCAAGGATGTCGATCGCAAATTTGACAAGTTCAATATCCCGTACGATGTCATCTGGCTGGACATTGAGTACACAGACGACAAGCAATATTTTACTTGGGATCCTCTCACTTTCCCCGACCCCATCTCCATGGAAAAGCAGCTTGATGAAACTGAGCGCAAACTTGTGGTGATTATTGATCCTCATATCAAAAATAAGGAAGGATATGCCGTTGGCCAAGAACTCAAGAGCAAGGGTCTCGCTGTCAAGAATAAAGACAACAATATCTTCGAAGGCTGGTGTTGGCCGGGAAGCTCTTACTGGATTGATGCTTTCAATCCTGCTGCGCGGGCTTGGTGGAAGGGACTCTTTTCTTTCGACAAATTCAAAGGGACCATGTCGAACGTCTGGCTCTGGAACGACATGAACGAGCCATCTGTTTTCAACGGTCCAGAGATCACCATGCCTCGAGATAACATCCACTACGGCAATTGGGAACAGCGAGATGTGCACAATATCAATGGGATGACGTTCCATAACGCTACTTACCATGCCCTCCTAGAACGGAAAAAGGGTGAGGTGCGCCGGCCTTTCGTCCTTACCAGGTCGTTTTACGCCGGCTCTCAAAGGACTGCCGCTATGTGGACAGGTGACAACCAAGCCAGTTGGAGCCATCTTGCCGCCTCTCTTCCGATGACCCTCAATCAGGGCGTCAGCGGTTTCCCTTTTGGAGGTGCGGATGTCGGTGGATTCTTTGGGAACCCCAGCAAGGAACTGCAGACCCGATGGTACCAAGCCGGGGCCTTTTATCCATTCTTCCGCGGCCATGCACATATCGACACTCGCAGACGTGAACCATACATGCTGGGAGAGCCGTACACGACAATCATGACCAATGCTTTACGATTGAGATATGCGTTGCTCCCGGCATGGTATACCGCTTTCCAAGAAGCTTCCACGGATGGTTACCCGATCATTCGGTCGCAGTACTTTGTGCACCCCGACGATGAAAAAGGCTACACAATAGATGATCAGCTTTACCTTGGTTCAACAGGCCTGTTAGTCAAACCTGTCACCACCGAAGGAGCCGAGAGCGTGGATATCTATCTGTCTGACGACGAGAACTATTTCGATTACTTTGACTACACCATCTACTCTGGCGGATCAAAGATTCACAAGGTCGATGCGCCTTTGCACAAACTCCCTATATTGATGCAGGGCGGCCACATCATCCCGAGAAAGGATAGGCCGCGCAAGAGCTCGGGTTTGATGAAATGGGACCCATACACTCTTGTCGTGGTACTTGACAAAAAGGGAGAGGCCGAGGGAACCGTTTATGTCGACGATGGTGAGACATTCGACTACCAGCATGGGGCTTACATTCACCGGAGATTCTCTCTGTCCGGCGGAGTCTTGAGGAGCTCTGACATTGGCACCAAGGGGTCTAAGACCGCCAGCTATCTCAAGACGATGAAGGATGTCAAGGTAGAGAAGATCATTGTGGTCAATGCACCCGCCGAGTGGTCGACATATACCGAGGCAACGGTGACAGAAGAAGGGACTAAGGGAACCTCGACAGCAGAGTTGAGTTTCCACTCGGCATCAGGCAACAAGGCTGCGTGGGCCGTGGTACGGAGTCCTGGGATAAGAATTGGAGGGGTTTGGGGCATTGCATTCCCCGGGGCATCGAGTCCAAAGACCGACTTGTAGGATGTACCATAAAAGAAACGGATGGGCCTGATGGTTCATATTTGATATACAAAATAAGCATTATGTCTGGTGGGAACCTGTATTGTACAGTAGCTGGCCGAAGCTTCTTTGACCGAAGCTTCGGGGCCTAGGGGCTTAGGGGCTTAGGGGCCTAGGGAAGCCCGAGCCCCGAAGATGCCGAACTTAGTACGGAGCTAGTGGGGCATATGCGCCTGGGGCATTGCTCGTGTTCAGCAGGCATTTTAGTACGGTAGCTTCCTGCGCCCACCAATGGACTGTTGTATGAAATTTCCCTTCGCGTCCGGCGTGAAGCATCTCGCGGAAATGACGGCCTACGATACATCTGTACACACAGCGGGCCATCTGCTTCTGAAGATCATCAGTGCTGTTGGAGTCTGAGAGGACTGTTCTGGGCCCCCGGCGGTCGACGTGTTCAACTGTTCAATATCCAAATCATGTTCCGCTTCATCTCCGTCGTCATTGACTATTTCGCGCCGATATTGTGAGCTTCCAAGAACCAGCATTGAGGTTGTTCATACTGATCAATGTGTATAGTCTAGTTGCGTCCCCTATTACATCCTATGCCGACCAAATAGCTTCCATACATCGTAGGAAGACGAGCGATGGCTTCTCTCTCGACATCCCCCTGATCATGCTTGTGGCATCTATTCTGAAGTGCGGGCCGCCCTACATTCTGTAGGCTAGAAGACTGAGACTGACAACCCCCAAGGGTGTTCTATTGGTTCGGAGCTTACTACGGCAAGGCGCTTCTCCTGCAAGCTGTACTGATGATTGTGGTACAACTCATCTTGTTGAAGGTGGCATTGGACAACAGGGCCCCAACTGGCGCAAGAGATGGGCTCGAACATACACCGTTCCACGGCTACACTGCTCAAGATGGACTGAGAGACCTGCTGTCAGGTCGGCGGCCATATGACTTCTGGCAATGGAGCAATCCGAAATCGTATGTCGAGGATGGGGGTCGACGTTTTTGGACATCTGCTGACGCTAAAGCCAAGGTACTTTCAGTTTCTGGCATATTTCGCTTCAGTACTCCTCGCCGTCCATGTCCTACTTCCTTTTGTGTCCCGTTCACCAGTGTACATATCCTTTCTCGGATATGTTGGCTTAGCCGTGGAGGCGATCTTGCCAGTGCCTCAGATCATCAAGAATCACCGAGCGCAATCTTGCAAGGGCTTTCGTCTTTCCGTCATTGTCAACTGGTTGGCGGGTGATGCCATGAAGATGAGCTATTTCTTTTTGAGCAGCGACTATATCCCATGGCCATTTCGACTGTGCGGAATGTTCCAGGCCTGCTGTGACAGTTACCTGGGAGTGCAATACTACATGTATGGCGAGGGACAGGCCAGTGCCGACATTTCCATGAGCACCACAAGCAAATCTGGCTTGTTTGGTTGAGAAACGTCGTTTTGAGCCGACAGCAAATTCTTTTCACGCGAACCGCAGCAGGAAGCACTGGCATCCCTCACAACGCAAGTTACACACCACCTCAACCAGTGGCCAAGTTGCAGCTGTACGACGTTTTAGCACTGCACTATCCCAGGCTATGGCACCATACCACCCGGAGTCAGCATCGCAATATGATTGATTGGGGATCGGCTATCAAATACCATGCCATGAAGATGGAACCTTTGGTGAGGTTCAGGTCACCCTCAGCCTTGTCCCAAACGTAAGACCCCCTGAGATATCGGATCTACTCCGTAAGTCACTCATGGAGACTGGCTGTGGGGGCATGCCTCCAAAATCAACCGCTTCATCATTTTCCCGTCCAATCAATCCGGGACCTGTGCCTTCCCTGTCCTTTTGCGTAGAGGCCCGTGTTTTGTCGCTGCGTTGATGACTAGGGATGATATGGACAGTTTGCTCGTCGGCGCTTGTTGCATTCTCTGTGAGATGGTATTGTCCAAGTTCAGTGATCTGAGCTGATCGATGAGGACTGTGCAAGATGGCTTCACACCCTTCTCGCCGAGATTGTGTTGAGCCTTGCAACCCTAGTCCTGCAGACGTAGCTCTGACCTCCAGCAGTTCACATTTAGCTCTCACCAGTAGACAGTCAAGTTTGGTATAGAAGAGAAATGCGACGAGAATGGACACGAAGTGAAGTCATATCTGCAAGTGCTTGTGAGCAAGGCGGTGGTAGCAATGCTAGTCGTTGAAAGCCCACAAAGCCCGAATCACGATGTAACGGCTACCGCAGCGTCTTGGATTTTTCGTTTCAACAGAACCATCGCACCCATCGTGTTGAATTGATTCGGTCGGTAGCTCGGATGGTCAGGGTGACACCGACACCGCATTAACTTGTTGTACCTGCGGACCATGCTTGACTACGACATGAGGAACTGCGCCGATGTGTGCGTGTGCGTGTGCGTCGCATCCAACGACAGGTTGATCTTGACAGTAGCCATCTGATGATAATGTCCCGTGTCACCGCTGGAAATTTGAGGATGTCGATCTTGATCTCGATGTTGCTGTGGTGGTGGTAGTAGTCACTGTACCTGCGCAGCTGCGCAACCTGCGCACCCGGTTCAACGTTGTGCCGGACACAGATTCACTTCGACCTTTCAACTGAACGCCACTTCTGTGATTCCACCATTCCATTCATGTTCTCTCCGTTGCAGTGTCGTACCATTACTACGCACTACTTACAGCATCAGACTCGGCCATCATCCCGGGTTTGAGTCTCATCGACACACGTCACAGATCCATCCTTGCCCTGCTCCCCTTCTTGCTTTCTCATCTACTTTCGTCCTTTGCCGGATCGAGACATCGGCGACCCGGAACCATCACTCACACGCGCGGACCCTGACTCAGCCTGAGCCCGTTCTCATTCTGTACTTCGCCTACTCTCTTGCCAGAGCCGTTTGGCGTTGTATCACACCCCACGCTGCTACACCACGCTCGACCACAAGGGGCCGCCCTTCTTCCCTTCCTCGTCCTTTCAACGTCCTATGACGCAAGGTATCAAGTTGCCGACTCTCTCATACCCTCCACTGAGAGGTTTCTTTCATATCCACTTAGCACCGTGGCTGTCGTAAGCTAGACGGGCTACACACGAGTCTACCCCTAGTGTCAACCATCGCCTGAGATGAACTACTAAATTTGGACCTCTGGTTAATCTGGTGGTTCGATATACTTCACTTTCGTCGATCAGGCTGTCCAAAATTGGTATATATACCAAGACATCCTCGGATTCCTGTCCTCGTGGGCGAAGACAGTCGCACGGGATTGCTTAGAGACACTGCACAAGCTGGTCACTCCAAGCTCAACTCGAGAACGAGGCCGGCTGAACCGACACTACCAGACAGCCAACCGGGGCTCTGCCACTAGCCAAGTCATCTCTTACAGCGTTCAAGCCCGTCGGCTTCGCATACGATCAGAGTCTCCGCACGACCCCAGACAGGTGCATCCGGAGATTGTCCGTTGGGCACTGTACAGATAGACCAGTGCTCAACGACAGCAGAACTCATCACTTCCGGCAATCATCGCTTCAATCAGCGAGCGGTTGCGTTAGCTGGATCAACGTTCGGGTCGTGGGAGTCACACTCGTGAATTCCGTCAACATACCAGTCTTAGCCTCTACAGTCCAATGCACACCTAGTCAGCCACATCCTCTCCAAGACCCGAAACTCCATCTACGATTCGTCCATTACACTTACGCAAATCCACCGTTTCTTACTGTGCTTCACCTTGCGCAACACCAGATTGAAACACGACCTGCCGAACGAGGATCTACCGCAAACCAACATCTCGTCTTGAAAGTCTGCTCTGTTCTTTTTATCTTGTGAGACTCACGACGGACCTGGGCTCCTTCGAATGTCTTCTCGCAGCAAAATGCCGTCGCGGATAAGCGGAGCTTGTAATGGGTGCAGGATCAAGAAACAAAAAGTAAGCCAGTCGCTCCAAGCGTAAAGAAACATGAATTTCCCTCTCCCGGATCCAGTTCAGATTGACATGACCAGTTCAGACATAGGAAGTTTATGCTAATATGAATTCTTCAACAGTGCAGTGGTGATAAGTAAGTATGGACCTGTCTTTCTGCATAGGAAACCACAGGAGCGTGTCCACGGGGGAAGTCCCATCTCTTTATACCCAGTCTCACGGTTACTGGATGATGTTTATCCCAGACTTTCCCCCACTGTTGGCTACCAGCCCATGCATCTTTTGGCTAGATCGTTTTGGCACAACGATTGTATCTGAGGTCGGGGCCAGCTCAGTATCTGTCAGAGCCACCAATGGCTAGCCTCCTCTCGGATGCCTCATCAAGCTTGCATATCGTTCTCCAATTGCGCACAGGAAAAGCAGGAAAAAGACTGACGTTCTGTAACAGGTCAGGTTGTACACAATGCGCCGCCGCGGGTATTCAATGTACATGGCCTGAGCAAAGAAAAAGGCAAGTCTTGGCCCATCTATCAGCCCCCCTTTCCAAGTCCCTCGTTTTTTTGGAGAACGGCTGCTAATACTCCATTTGCGCTTGTCCAGAGGTCCAGCTAAAGGCTACATTGAAGGTCTCGAACACCGTCTACACGAGGCCGAATCCCTTCTTCTTGCTCTTCTTCCCCTGATCTCCCCCGACCAACTCAATTGCGCCGCCGACTCTCTTCTCGTCGAGTCAACAACAAATTCGAATACCAAGGGCCTGAACTCCCGAGATTCTCATTCACCAACCCCTCGTGCCATGCGAAACAGTCCACCGGTCTTGAACAAGAAGACCGGGATAGAATACTGGGAGTCCTTTCCTCTAGACACGGTCGAGAACATTCGAAAATGGCAACAGGATTGTGCCATGCACTCTAGTCAGCTACCGCCGTTGTCGAATCAATCATTGCTCGACAACTCCAGCGACGACCTGCAGTCCCACCCACGCTCCCACTCCCACCACTCCTCAACCGCTCAGCACGCACAGGGAAATGCCCCAGGCAGCCGTTCAAGGCCCAGATCGGTCGATATCAGTCTCCAGAACCACCCAGCTTCCACTTCCGCATCAACCGCTGCCCCATTTCGCTCCGTGAGCAGCGAGTCATCATACCGCAGCGAAACCGGCACTCCTGTCAACGTGTCGCAGCAACACCCGCACTCACATTCCTCGATCCCCGCGACCATCGCGAATCCTTCATCATCCAGTAGTCGACGACAGAACCAAATACAGTCGCAATCGCAGTCTCAACCACGGCCGCATTGGCAATCCCTTTCCTTGTTTCCTCCCTCGAATAACAACAATAACCCGTCAGGCGCCAACATAGGTGCCGAAGCCCTCCTTCTGCAGAGCTTTGCCGACTCGACCTCCTGGGCGCCGCAGTCGCAGTCGCAGTCACAAAACATGTCAGGCATGAACATGAGCATGAGCACAAGCGTCGATCCAGGCATGAGTGCCGACAACGGCTCCGGGCCAATGGAGATTGATACAGGATTCTTCGCCACTGACTTGCAACGACGGCTGTTCTGGTAGTCCACGCCACGACCGTGGAAAAGAGAGGAAGCAGATTGTCGATACGATTGATGTAAATGTAAATAGTTTAATTGAATGAATGACTCGTCAGGGTAGATTTTGTTCTTGATGATATATTTATCATGTCTCTAGACATCTTGAGCTTTTTGTTCGGGATTGCCCATATCCAACCCGGCACCATACCATCGATCGAACGCGTCACCGCCGTTTCCCCCCATTCCTTCTGACTACTAAACTGTAGTATTCCAGGCACTTTTCCAAACCATTGGTCATAATAGCCCAAACAATCGAACCCAAATCCAAGCCCAACCCCGAAACATTTCCAAGGCGTGGGTATTACACACTCGACAAAAAAGCAAGATAAGACAGAATGATCTTTCCAACTGGCAAGCTAGTAAATCGGTCTTGCCAGGACCAAGACCACAGTCGGGCATCCCTCGAAGATGAATCAAAACTCCCACCCGCCAGTGACGCCACCTCCCGGCGCGAAAGGGCCGGTCATGTTTTCCCAGGTCGCAGAGCCAAAAATGTCGGCCACATTGTAATCCATATTTCCCCAGAACATGGGGTCCGAATATTCCTGCAGATTATTGTGGGCATCGGGGTTCCCGTCGCCGGCCAGACCGCCCGGGTTGCTGTTGCCGGTGCTTCCGGGGAGAGTCATATTCATGGTCGATTGGGCAAAAGCCAGATCTTGAGGCGTCGCGTACACGGCGCTGCCTATGCCAGGGTTAAAGTGGGATTGCGTCATCGGTTGGCCGCGGTTCCAGTTAGAGAAATCGAAGCCTGATACAGGTCGCATGGGTTCGGCGAGAGCAGAAGAATTTGTGGGGTCAAATCCAGTGGACGGCGCCCATGAAGGCGTGCTGCCCGAGGTGGAGGGTTGTTTTTGTTGTTTGGTCCAGGAGGGTTGGCTGTTTCCGCCCGTTGTTGTTGGGAGTTGTTGACCCGGCGAACCTGACACCGAGTCTGTAGCGGATGATTTTCGAGGGCTGGCATCCTCGGTACCTCCGGTACGTCGGCGCTTCTTAGAAGGCTGGTTGTCGAGGTCGTTGGCAGGTGGTTGTGGCAATGGATCAGGTTTAGGAACCGTAAGGAAGCCATTGCTGTTGGCCTTTCTTGATTGGATATTTACAAGCAGTAGACTCAGCACTTTGTGACAGTTTTGTACCGTGTACCACCGGATATTCATGCTCTCAAGCATACTTAGACAGGACTGCATATCGCTCAGTGCTCGGGCTTTGGCATATTTTCCAAGCTGGCACGCAAAGGCGATGATGAGGCCCGACATCCACACCGCGGAAAGCAGCCCTGGGAGGAACATTGACTGGCCGTGGGCCCTGTGTGACTTTAAGCCCGAGACGATTCCCCGCGAGGCTCGGATGCAGAGCTGTAGCCCGTGCTGGAACTCGGGAGTGGATTGATCAAGTGACAGACGTGGACGGTTGACAAGGAGAAGGAGGCGGTGGTACAAGACCTTGAAGAAGCTAGCGAGGTGTTGCTGAGGAGGCAACCCTGAGGTAGCGAGGGACATGAACGGTGCACCTTGTGCCGTGGTCGGATTGGCACCCAATGGCTGGCCGTTGGCTTCGGTAGGTTCATGGGCGTGGCTTCGAAGGTCGATTTGATCGGTCTCTCCGGTCAGGAATCCAGGAAGATTGTTCCACCAAGTTTCAATGTCACTGGTCAGACGCAAGATTTGCTCATGCTTTGGAAAGCGATGGTTGATGCTCTTGTGAAAAATCTCGATGATCTGGCCCGTCAGTTTGGCCCAATGCACATACGCTGTCAACGCTGCTTCTCTCAAATGTTTCTCTCGTGCTTCCGGTCCGTCGTCCTCCCCTCCCGCGATTCCAGAAGGTACCGGGGGTGGAGGCATGGGCATTCCCATACTTGGGTCGGCAATTATATCCGGTCCACCAGCTTTGTGTAACTCCGGTCCATAGAGGCAGACATCGATATCATCATCTTGGATGATGTTGGGATCGCCAAGGCTCAGATTACAATGCCGATCTAGAGCGTAGGCGGACCAGAATATTCGTTTGCGGATCTCACATTCTTCCAAGGACAGTTGGGCGTAACGGAGAGGACAGCGGTGGAGACCAGAATGGTAGATCAGCTTGACAAGGATACCAGCGACCAAGCTGGCTTGTCGAATGGCGAGAGTGGCACAAAGATAGAGCTCGGCCGCCAGGATAGCTTGAATGGTTGAGAGGTCATGGGACAGCGCGAGGCAGGCAGCGACGCGGCTGACATCCGCAGTAGATTTAATCCGGGACTCCATCGGAAGATGAATGTCGGTTCGGTCGAGGGAGGCAATATTGATGATCAATTGGAAAGTCACCAGTTTCTTGAGTTCGGTCGGGGCTGGGCTTTCTTTCCTCGCTTTAGACGACCGTCGTTGGTTGGTGTAGATCAGTTCCATGTCCTTCAGGAACGTCGGCCCATGGAGGAAGGGGAACAACGGATGCCATGCTCTGAAAAAAGACATGACCAGTTCGATGGCAATGTCCTTCTCGGGCGGCTCCCCAAGCGCGGACGCGAGCAGATGTGGGAACTGGTCAGTGGTGCTCGGGCCCTCGTGCAAAGGACCATTGTACGAGCGACCTTCAGCATCTTCGCCAGTGAGAATATCTTCACTCGCGGGGACAGCATTGGGGCCGCCAAGGTTGGAAGAGGCAAAGGCGGCGGAAAAGGCGCGACGGACGGTGTTGACAAAGTAAACGCCCGACGAACTCCCCAGCCAGGCAGTGCCCTGATTCGACAGCTTCTTGAGAGTTCCGATCTCCGAGGTGTGAGTTGGGCGTTCCTCCGGAGTGTTGCCATCGTCGGAATCGTTGGTGTTTGCTGTGGTAGTGGCTGTGGCCGACGAAGAGCCCGCGGGAGGAGTGGGCTGTCCGACGCTGGGAGAAGGATTGTTGGAATGGGGTGTCATGATTGACGCGCGGCGTAGCCGTGGCCGTCAGAGGGTAAGCAAGGCTGAAGAGAGTGGTCGGTATCTTATCACGGGTGGCAAATTAACGCCATTGTACGGAGTAGTCAGATTGGCGATGGATAACAATGTGATTGATTCTGAAGACCACAGCAACGAGACTGGCTGGCGGGCGGCCGGGAGTTCTTCATGAATTGCGAGCTCGCATGAGCTTTTCAGTTGGAGTTGGAGTTGGCGGGATTGCGACAGGGAGCGATGTCGGCGGGTGGCTGTGGTGGGGGAGATGTGAGAGCAGGTATGAATGAGGTTTGGGAAACAGGTGCCAGTGGTCGGGATCCCGAGTGAATGAACGATGAGCGGGAAAACAGAAAGGATGCTGGACGCCTGGATGGGCGCAAGGGCGTGATTGAAGATGAGAAAAGCTGAGGTGCACTGTGGTAAATCAGCGGGACGAGGAGGAGGAGGGGAGGAAGTGAAGTGCCTCCGCAGCAAATGCAGGAGAGGGCGCAGCGTACGGAGTAGAGAAGCGTGCTATACGGTATCGATGCCTAAGAATAAAATTGAAACAGCGCCTGATGCCTAATCCTAAGGCCTGTGCCTGAAGGCCTTAGGCTCCTCAGGCCCAATCACGCCTAGAGACCAGCCTAGCCTGGCCTATATATTTTAAGTTCAGGTGCCATCTACTAGGCACCTACTAGGTGCAGAGTAGCACCGCATGCCCAGGCGTCTCAGCCCTAATACAGCAAGATGCTAATTAGAACATTAGTCGTCCTAGCAGGCTGAGTCAGCCTGTCTATACCTTTTCTTTACTAGCGTCGTCTACGGTAGGTCCAAGTTCCAAGTCCGCGCGACCAGCTGAGAGTGAGCTCCTTGCTGTATTTAACAAGGATAGTTCTGTTCTGATGCTGGTTGCGCCAATCAGCAAAGACGCAAGATGTCAGCCACTGACCATTCTGAAGATGACTTGAGACTTGAGACTTGAGGAATGAGCAGAAGAGCACTAAAGCAACGACGAGATCCCACCTTGCTCTTGTGAGTCTAGCCCTTCATCGGATACTGGTATGTGAATTTGATGCCATAATCCTCAACGGATACGGATGCAGATACAGTATTCTGATTGACAGCGACAGCCTCTAGGCAGCCAGCCTGGCAACTCACGACGCCGAGGACTCCGGCAACGCGATCCCTGATCCCTTCTCAAACCAGTTGCTAGCGGATTAGTCTCGTCAGAAGAAATCATGGCCAACAGATCATCCAGCTGGCTATCAAGACTGGTGAAGTCAAACAAGTCCCCTAGTGACAATGGCATCGGCAATGGCAGAACCCCTCCAAGTCAGTCATTCTCCTTGCCGCTCCTCTCCTGGATGTGTGATTGTCTATCTAGTCATCTCCAACCCCAGCCCCGTCGAGAGTTAGCTCACCATGCAGTTGCTCCAACTAAAACTAAACCGAACGCAGGTCCAGATCCTACACCCGCAGACGATGTGGCGGAGACGGATACTCGCGCTCGGCGACGCGAGCAGGTCAGGCGAGCTCAAAGGTCAGGTCGGAGAGAAGGAGTCAACCAGCAACCATAGGAATCCATGTTCGGGTTAGCTAACCCGAATCCGTGCTCACAGAACCCATCGAGATCGAAGAGCAGCATACTTGAAGGCTCTTGAATCTGAAGTGGCCCGATTGCGCGCCCGAGATTCGGCCCATGAGGCTGAGATTCAAACCTACAAGCAAACGATTCAGGAGCTCAAGGACTTGCTATCGCATCATAGCATTCCACTGCCTCTACATTTAGCATCAGATCCTCATGTGACCGGTCGGCAGGCAACCATCGAAGTGGTCGGCTTCCCGGATCATTCGCAAAGCATTCGGGCTTATATACCTGAAGGGCATGATGGTTTCACGTCCCATCTATCACCCACACCCACATTCCCCGCCTCTTCCGAGTCTACGATGTCTTCCAATGAGATGCTGGCGCGCATGAACATCAGTGAAGCCGCGAATATCAACCAAATCTCCAGTTTGAACTCATTCAACACCGTCTCCGTTCCAATGCCCCATGCACACGGACTCGACAGTAGTCAAGTCGGGGTCGAGTTCATTCTGGGACTCGAGCATGTCTGTCTGTATCATGTTGACCTGCACAACGGCAGCCGTGACAGCAACGGCCACACCCTGATGTTATCGAGTCCAATTATGGCTCGGTCGCCACCGTTGACCCAGACAACCCAGCCCGGGCCCGGAACCGGTCTTCCGGATGGCACCAGGTGGTGCGTCCCGGCCGTCGAGCTGGAGAGGCTGCTGGAATTCTCCGATCGGCTTGATCTCAGCGGAGAAATCACGCCAGTCGAGGCGTGGCAGCGCATACGGCAGCATCCCAACTTTTCGAACCTGACAAGAGATGGTCTCGAAGCCCTCAAAGCTAGTCTCACCCCCCATGTTAAGTGCCATGGGTAAGTACTCCGTTCCCTGCCCCCCAACTTGAACAGCTGATCTCAGGTCCGTATGCAGATTCGGCGCCGTCATGGACGAGATAGATTTCGAGCACGCACTCCATCAGGCCCTAGGCCCTGGACAGTGAATAGTGGTCATTGTCTAGTTGCATACCGAACAGCAGTGCAGCGGATCCACGGGTTTGTAGCATATTGCTAGAACGTGGGTTACAATGCTCTGGTCTCAGTTAAAGATAGCATGAAGGGACATTGCCTTTGCATCTTTGGTGGGAATGGGAAATTCGTGGCCGTGTTGCTTTGGAGGACAGACCAAAAGGAGGGAGGAGACGGTACCGGCCCATTTTCAGGCCGGAGTAGAAACATCATGCCACGGCGCAATGCAATTTTGAAGCCTTAATGACGCCGCAGGTTCGTAGAGCGATGTACTGAGTACTATCTGTGGTCAATGATACGGAGGGCACCTGGGAAATCTTACCGACGAAACACTAAACCCAACCCCCAGCCACCCTCATATTCAACTAAGACATTCTTGCATGCCGTCATACATTTTGCGCCCCTCACAAGATCGATGTTCCAATCAATCGAGCAGTCCCTCATCTTCATCTTCCACTAGACGGATATGCCACCTAAGAGACGGTCTGCTCGTGCAGCTGCGAGTGAGAGTGAAGCCTCCAGGAAGAAGGCCAAGACCGGCACAGCAACCTCGCCACCAGAGTCTTCACCTCCTCACAGCCTTAACCCTACTAGCAAGGCTCCCTCCTTGTCCTCCTCGTCCTCCTCCGCGGGAGAAAATGTTAAATCTAGCTCCCACCCTGGGCCTAAGGAGCCGGAGCCACATGCTATCCCGCCTGCGCGGTTTACGTCCTACGAAGTGCCGTCAAAGTCCAAACCGATCCAGTGTGAGCGGAGCCATGCCCCTTCGTCGCCACCGATATCTTTGATCTTCACACATGGTGCAGGGGGAGGACTAACTGCTGCCGCGATGACGAATTTCTCACACGGCTTCGCTTCGGCCGGGGCCGCAATTACTTGTTTTCAGGGGAGCATGAATCTCCAAGGTCGTACGAGCATGTTCGCCAACGTTTTGGACTACGAGAAGCAACAGCTACAGCTCCAGCAGCCGGGCGACGGAGGAGGGCTCGAGGTGGCGAAATTGGCCTTCGGCGGACGCAGCATGGGAGCCCGCGCCGCAGTGATGGCATCCCATGCTGATGATTCCATCCATCTGCTGGTGCTGGTGTCCTATCCTCTCGTCGCACCAAGCGGCGACGTCAGAGACCAAATCTTGCTCGACGTCCGCCCGGAAACAAACGTGTTGTTCATCTCTGGCGATGGCGACTCCATGTGCGACCTTGCGCGGCTGGCCAAGGTACGGGCAAAGATGAAGGCCAAAACGTGGTTGGTGGTCGTCCAAGGCGCGGATCACGGCATGAGCCTCAAGGGTGGCGCGAAGATGAAGAAGGCCACCGAGGAAATCGGGAAGGAGACCGGCAGGATCGCAGCCAGATGGATTCAACAGCGAGACGAGAAGACGACAGAAATGGTGATCAGATGGGACGGAGATCATGGGCGAGTCCTGGGCCAGTGGAACGACGATCAGGCTGTACGAGAGGGCAAAGCTACAACTGAGCCTGGTGGGATCGCAAAGTATTTCGCGAAGGCAGCAGACAAGGACGAGGCGGAGAGGGCGGGTCAGCCGGCGAGGAGGAAGAGGAAGTGAGCAAGACGTACCTACGCATTCCCTACACGCGCGTGTGTGTTATTCGATATTCTGGACCCTTCAGCCCAAAAGACCATACGCAATGTACGAATACAAGCAAGCATACCTAGTCGAGACCGATGTAGCCTTATTCTTGTTGTCGTTGTTATTGCGCCATCACCTGATCGGACTTGAGACCGGCAGCGAGTTGGCAGAATGGCGCAAATGGAGAGGCAAATGTCGCGCGTTTTAGTTTCAATCTGTGCAAAGCAATATTTTTCTTCTCTTGGTTTATAAACCAACAAATACCAACACAAAGCCAGACATGGTTGTTTCTTGTCTGAAACGTCCACATGCTGTAGTCCTATCTCTATCGCCATCTCTGTCTCTATCTATCAATATCTCAGTGGCTAATCAGCGGTGGAGATCCGGATCCGCCCGATCGATAACTAGGCCTCTCCTCTCCAGACGGCTCTCTACTTCATCTATATAAACCGCAATGGGTGACAGTGACCGCGGACATGGACCGCGGCCGCTGGTCTCGAGGATCGCCATCATCGGAGCCGGCCCGGTCGGCGTGGCTAGTGCAAAGTAAGTAGTAAGTACGTCCGTCCGTCCATCCCCTCAGAATCCCGGGGGCTGCGACTGGTCGGATGGTGTGTTCCCAAAGGAGGTTGCTCCCGAACACGAGACGTGCCGTCACTGACCGCGGCGTAGATATCTGCTGGCCGAGAAAGCGTTTGATACGATCGACATCTACGAGCAGCGCGATGGCGTGGGTGGTGTCTGGAACCTGTCTGAACCCACTCGGTCGAAGAAGGTCCCTATTCCACAGCTCGATCCGTTCTATGGCCAGAGGGGAAGTGGGAGTGAAAGCGAGTCTCTGGAGTTGGAGTCGCCGCTGTACGAGGACCTGTTCACAAACGTGCCGAAACAACTCATGGCCTATTCAGACCGGCCCTTCGCCGAGGAAGACTCCCTGTTCCCGAGCCGACAGGCGGTCTTACGGTACCTGAATCAATACGCCGACGACGTCCGCCACTTGATCCGCTTTCACACCGCAGTGAGGGATGTGCGCTTGCACAGCGACCAGAAGTCTGGGCGAGAGCATTGGTCGCTGCTGGCGGAAGACCTGCGAACCAAGCAAACCATCAGCCGAGACTATGATGCCATCGTCGTCGCCAACGGCCACTACACGGTGCCGTACGTGCCAGACATCAAGGGCGTCGCAGCCTGGCATGCGGCGTATCCGCATAGCATCATCCACTCCAAAGCATACCGCCGACCGGATGGTTTCAAGGGCAAGAAAGTGATTGTGATTGGCAATTCAGCCTCGGGCCTGGATATTGCGTCCCAGATCGGGCAGCATTCCAAGGGACCGGTCTTGCTCTCGTCGCGCTCCCCGTCGGCCTTTGGGCCCGTCGCCCCATCGGAGTTGCGGGAAGAGGTCGATGAGCTGGTGGAGTTCTTGCCCAAGAACGTGGCCGACCGAGCGGTGAGATTTAAGAGCGGCAGAATCGAGAAAGACGTCGACGCCGTCGTGTTCGCTACCGGATATCTCTACTCATACCCGTTTCTGTCCACACTGTCACCGCCGCTGGTCACCGACGGCTTGCGGACGCGAGGTGTCTACCAGCACCTCTTCGATATTGAGCATCCTACCCTCGCGTTTCCCGTAATCAACCTCAAGATCATCCCGTTCCCGCTGGCGCAGAACCAGGCGGCCGTGATTGCCCGGGCGTGGAGTGGTCGACTGGATCTGCCCCCTACCGCGGAAATGAGGCAGTGGGAGCTGGACCTGCTCAAAGAAACTGGCGATGGCAGACCCTTCCATACCAAGCGGTTCCCCGGAGACGCCGCCCAGATCAATGAGCTCTACGCCTGGGCAGAGACGGCCAGGAGGAGACGGGGACTGGATAATGACGGGATTGGGAAACCACCCACCAGGTGGGATGAGCGACAGGTCTGGATAAGGGCCAAGCTTCCTGATATCAGAGCCGCTTATGCCAGTAGGGGGGCCGATAGAATCAAGGTCCGGACGGTGGAGGAGCTGGGCTTTGATTTTGACCGGTGGCGGACGAAGGCTAGCGGCGGTGATTTGGATCTGTTTCGACAAACAAAAGCCAAGTTATGACCAGGTACGAGGTATGACTTCAAAGTGTGACGTGGATAGAATGATACAGATATTAGAGATAGAGATAGATAGCTACATCTAGATGTTGGTTTAAGATGTCGTGGGCAAGGATGGGGGGACTGGTCTCTGCCCGCTGGTCTTAGCTATAACGCTGTCGGTTGGATCATGGCCGCCATTTGCAGCGTCGTCCTTTGTGCTCCAGCCATGCGTGATTAGAGAGTAGATGTGAACGTCAGTCATGGGTCATGTATCTGTATACTGTATACAGTATCCGTACTCTGTATTCCCTACACTGTGAAGGTGAGCACGTGGTGGGCACGTGAGGTGAAACTGATATAGGCGCTCGGCTAAGTTACCCGTTCGCATGCTAATCCTGGTCTTTCCCAACCCCGTGCCTCCGTATTCCGTCCAGACCAACACACTCAGTCTAACTCTCACCATTTCGCCCGTTTTGTTTGCTTGGGCTATCACACGATCCTCGCCCGCTCCGCCATGCGTTCCGGACTGGTCATGAAGCTCTCCTTCACCCGCTCAACCCTGGACAGAGTATAATGAAGAAGTCTGAGCGCAGAAACTCTGACACTGTAGAATACAACCCAGCTAAGCGCAGGAAGGCTGCAGACGGCTCTGCGCAGTATTCCGACCGTTGGCCAACTTGGGAAGAGCAGAGGCAATTAGGGAGGAAGTTTCGTGAAGTGGGCGAGGGCAATTGGCCGGTTGCAGCTATCCTGGCCGAAAAGTCCATCGGCAAGAAGAAGGAATACCTGGTGTCGTGGGAGCCGCATCCAAAGACCAAGGAAATCTGGCGACCAACTTGGGTATGCCCAACCGTGACACATTTGACTTGCGTCGTCACTGACAGAAGCCACAGGTGCCCGCTGGTAGCGTCGGCAAGGAACTCAAAGACTCCTGGAAGCAAGAGAACAAGAGCAGGGAAACACCTCCCACCAAACAAGACACCGCCCGGTCTCATGGCGAGGCTGTGAGCAAGTCAACAACACGAACAAGATCTACACGCACAAACGGGCGTTCCCTTGTTGGAACTCGGTCACCGTCAGTTGGCAGACCGACCACAAGAGCATCGTCATTTAGCAGAGTCGCCAACGGTTCGAGCGTACCGCCGCTGCCACCACCATCGCCGCCTCAGCCTCATACTGATCCTCAATTTCAGACTGATCCTCAACCTCAGACTGATCCTCAGCCACAGACTAATCCTCAACCACAGACTGATCCTCAACCTCAGACTGATCCTCAACCTCAGCCGCACTCTTCGACAGACTCCTCCGTCGCTCCGAATTCACCACCTGCATCCTGCACTGAAATAGCAGAGACAGAACCAGAACCAGACCTGTCACGAGCGCCGTCGGTATCCATCAGCATCCCTCCCGCCCTAATCGACAGATCCGAATACGAGGCCATACGTACTTCCCTGATCCACCGAGACGACGATCAGCTAAGCTTTTCGAGACCAGCCACAGGTCTGAGGACGGTACAAGCCACTCCATCTGTGGGAAGTGGATATCGGCCGTCTTCACCCACCAATTCGGTCATTTCTGGAGGCCAGGCCGCTACACTGGCGTCAGACAATCCACTGCCTCTCACCTGGGGCATGCGCAGTGAAACAAATTCTCCGGTATCGAGCCGGGTCAAGAGCCCCGAGTACGTATCTAGCACAGAACGACAGTCCAATCCGCCACGAGAAGTGAGTGAAGAGCTGGGGTCTGTTCTGCGTCGAAAAGTTTTCAGCATCGCGGAGCTTATTGACGAATCACCTCCGGCCCCCCAGGAGTCGCTTCCGCGGAATACATTTGCTCGAGACACAGGTAGCGACTCTTCGCCCTGGCAGTTTGAGACCCAGGCACAGATTCAGCAAAGCTCGAATCGCGCATCGCCGGGGGCAGCACCTCAAAGTGCAAACCGAACGAGACTGTTGTCTGAGGGCTTTCGTTCACCAGGCAATCCATCCGACGCACAAATGACTGATCCTAATATACCGTCGCCGAGGGCGTCGGGGCCGGTCCCTGGAACTGCGTCTCCGCCGCCGCCTTTGTTAGCTCAAGCGCCAGCAGTAGACAATCCAGCGGGAGAGGCAGAAGTTGGCAACCAGGTGGCCGGGATAGACTCATTCATTCCATCTAACCAGTTGGATCGTCCTGCGGATCCCATCACCATCTCGCCAGATGATCTTCAACGTGATGAACCCAGGCTCGTATTGGGTGATGCGTCTCATGTCCAATCATACGACGCGTCGTTTCCATCCGCGCTTCCCATTCAGAGGTCCATTGAAGAGGAATCACACTATCCCAATGACGAGCAATCGTCCAGCGATTCCAAAGCCACATCGAGTCAGCAATCGGTGGATAATGAGCAGGAGATTGAGCATGTCGATGGGTTGGTGCGACCTAGGCGTCCCATCCTCGGACCGGCAGAGTATGCCCTTGCATTGCCTGCCGAGGGAAAAGTCCAGTCTACATACCTCGACACTATCAATGCGAAAAGAAAGGCCATCTTGAAGTTCATCAATCGAGATGAGTCGATCGGCTCGTCCAGCGGGTCTCTCCACCGAACCTATGAAAGGAACGAGATGACGGAGCTGATTCAACGATTGCACGGCACAACCACACACCTTGATCTAGGACTGCCTGGATTCGGCACCCAGTATTCCATTAAATCCGAGCACCATGCCGCCTATGCGAACTATGCCGGCTCCAAATTCTCCTTCCTTGGCCACCTTGTCGACGTTCTCCAACACGTGGAATGTTCCATTATAATCATGGCTCAAGCAGGTCCAATTCAGGACCTTCTTGAACAATATTTGGCCAAGAAGCATGTCCGTGTAAGACGACAAGACCGGATTGCTGCGTCGAAATCGCCGACTCCTGACCGACCAAGCACGGAGTTTCAGGTTCACCTTGTGAGCACCATGTCAACCCATCAAGTTTCGTTTTCCCCGAAGCCCATCTTGATGATCGCATTCGATGCTTCTTTCGACTCGCAAGATCCTCAGGTGATGCGGATTCGTAGCTACTTTGCACCCAAGCCGACGAACCTCCTACCGGTGATCCACCTGCTGATATCCAACTCCTCCGAGCATGTGGACCTGTGCCTCCCGAAGAGTATGCCGTCTCCGGCGAGACTGAAGGCACTTGTTCGTGCGACGTACCAGGCTCGACCCAATCTGGGAGGGAAACCAACGTACGTCCCGGATGTGTCGGATGAGCCTGAAGGAAGACCGATGGATTTTTCGGACCTCCAGCGCGCCCTCAGGAAGAGTCCCGAACGAAAGCTCATGATGCTTGCATCGATCGTGGCTAGGGTGTCTATCTCGCAGAACTTTGACGCGAATTGGTCTTTGGGATCGGTGCCTGACTTGCAACTGACCGAGATCGAAGACACACCATCTAAAGCCAGTGGGCCGTCCACGGTGGCTGAAACGCAAACGCCCAAGGAATCTCTTCCTCGATCCAGGACACCGGTCTCACGCGCGGATACACCTTCCAGCCGGAAGAGGCTGTTGGACGTTGACGGAATACTCCCGCCACTGGTCAAGCGTCAACGGATGACGCCGCTGCAAGACGTGGCAGAATCCAGTAACGCTGCCATCGATGCAAGCGGTCAACCTGGGCGACTTCAAGAGCTTGTCAACAAGTTACAGGCTGACCTCGTGGCCGAGCAAGAAGCCAAACAGAGGGTTGAAACAGAGCGCAACCATATAGATGAACAGTTGAAGCAGTGGAAAAAGGACCATGCAGCTTTACAACGACGTTATGAGAAACGAACACAGAAATGTCACGAACTGGAAAAAGATAATAAGAAACTCCTCCGAACGATTGAGAACAATACAGCCAGACAAGAAAAGGTCACGCAAGACAACAGCAACCTGAAGAAGAAAGCGGCGGAGCTCCGCGAGGAGTTGGCCACGGTGCGCAACGGAATCAGAGCAGCCGGAGGAGATGCCGCGGCACTCGAAGCTGCTAGAGAGGAGGCGCAGAGCCTCGCAGCCAAAAACGCGCAACTGGAGAAGTCGCTTGAGAACACGCGGAGGGACTTTGACTTCACTCGGCAACAATACCAAGAAGCATCGAACCGGGCGGCCGAGCTTGGGAAGGAGAACAGGGACTTGGAAGAGCAGGTTTCTCAATTGACCAAGCAGGCGGGCGATGAAAAACGCCGTCTGAGGGAGACCAACTTTGAGGACAGTATCAAACGACACCTCGCCAAGATATCCGAATTGGAGCTGGAACGCAAGTCCAAGGATATACTGTTGCGCAAACTGGAGGAGGAGAATCGAACTTTGAAGCGCAATCGAGGCGTCCAGACGCGGGGCTCGAGTGTGCAACCTCCAGGAAGTCCGGGACTGGATGGTTATGGAGCAAGAGGACCGCGCAGTCGACCGAGCAGTCCGGCCCCGGGATTGTTTCCCAGCGGAGGACACCATGCGGGAGCCTCGAACCGGGGGAGTTTGCTGAGACACGAGCGATGATTAATGAGGCGAACAGGTAGGAAGGTGGAAGGCAGGCAGTCAGCGGGCAGGTAGGCGAGATGGGAGGTGTTACCGACGGGGGTTGTGGCCATGTAGAAACAGACCGTCGAGGGGACATATGCACACACGCCCATGCACTCACGCCCACGCACACACGCACACACGCACACACGCACACATTTGTTGACTGCCACACTCTGACCCGTAGGAGCAGAACAAGGAGCACAGCAATGTCGAGTCATTTCAAGTTTGTCTAAATTGCCTGTGGGTTTGTGAGCAAGCGGAGCGGAGCGGAGTCGGTTTTAGTTTAGCTTTGTTTGTCTTTAGGTTTATGTCTAGGTATAGGGATCCGCGAACAGAGTTGAGCTTGAACTTGAATGTGACAGACTTGTCAAAGAAGTAAGCAGGCTGAACGGCTGTGACTCTAAAGTTGGAAATAATGCCTTTTTCCCTTTTTGCAAGGGGCTGGGGGAGATCTCGTCTTGACCGCCAACATGACCATCAACATGATCATAACCATGACCATGATCATCACAACTGTAACCACGCGTCCCCGTTCCCGTCGACCAGGGGGCCCTCGAGCACGGCGGCGCCTAGGATCCTGCCTACTTGGCGCAGTTCGGCGCGGAACCAAGTCTGCAGGCGCTTCAGGTCCATGTTCAGGTCTGGGTCTGGGTCTGGCAAGTCGATGGGCTCGGCCTCGGGTTCGGCCTCAAGATCAAGACTCTTCGAATTGCCACTCTTCAAATTGGTGCCACTGTCGCTCCTAGTAGGATCTAGGCCTAAGTGGACGAACGAGGCAATGCTCAAAGGCCACACGGCTAGGATTGCGAGGTAAGGGTTGATGCTCACATGGTCCTGTGGGGCAGCTAGGATGAGTTTTTGGGTGGGTGAGGGTGTTGTTGGTGTTGGTGTTGATGCTGCTGTTGTGGGTGATGTTGATGTTACTGTTGAAGATGAGGGAATATTGGTCTCATTCCCAATGGCCATCACCAGCGGAGAAATCGATGTTGATGTAGACGTAGCTGCGGCTGTTGAAATCAAGGATGGACTTGGACCAGATGCTGGCGATACGGAGGACCCGGGGTAAGACTCTCTTCCCCAGTCACGGGCATCAGCTGCCGTGGCATGGACAGGACTCGGGATCGGAGACAGCTTTCTAGTGTGCAGCTTGACACAGTCCAGACAAGAAGGCAAACTCGCGGCAAGGGCGTCGGCCATGTTTTTCAGCTGCGACAAGCATTTCCTTCGTTCCTGGTCGTAATGCACAGTCAGCGGGGTAAGGTCCAGATCCAAATCCAGATCCTGGTCGATGGTCAGGTCGGGTTGACACGCTTGACTGAGCATGCGAAGGATCCGCAGGCGTGCGCTGGTCAGGAGCATGCGTGTGGAGAAATACTGCAGCCACGCGGCCGCATAGACGGGGCTGGCATACATGTACACGGTCGAAGAGTAGAAGTGGGTGGAGGGTGAAGGCGACGGTCGGTCCGTGGGATCGAACACACACTGCTCATAGGCCCAGTCGGCCGGAAACTGGGTGGTCCAGCGGTGCAGAGCGGCGTCGAGGTCTGCAGCCTGGCGATTTAACTCCTCCAGCTCAAAGTAGTCAGTCATGTGTCTCAGGCGGTACCGCAGGTCGGCGATGTCGACGACGATGCTGTCGTATACGAGGTCGAGGCCGGACTCGCCAAAGAGACTGCCGTCACTCGCCCACTGGGGCATGGCAATGCCTCTCAGCAGCGCCGAGCGAATCAGGCCACGTCGGGTCTGCTGGACGATCTCGGGCACCGGGTAATGACCACTTCCTCCTCCTCCTCCTCCTCCTCCTCCTCCTCCTCCCAGGTGCGACGGTCTCCTCTGGAAATGTACCCAGGTCTTCAAGACCGCCAGAGCCCCGTCGTGGTGCGGAAAGCTGGCGGCCGAGGCAATGCGGATCGGTCGGGACATGGTGTCCTCGTAACGGCCCATGAGACAAATGGCCAACAACCAGGTGTCGATGTTGCCTCTGTCCAAGACTGGGAGCATCGATCGCGCCATTTGTAAGAGGTGGTGGTATTGGACCGATGCCTGCATCGCGGCGGGCGCGTAGTGTTGGGTGCGCGAGTAGACGGCCAGCGCAAGCGACGACACGGCCAGATGCACCAGTTCGCCGGGTGGCCGGGATGAGCCAACCTGCACCGCTACACAGTCATACAGGCTTTTCAACAACCCTGGCACCTCGGCTCTGGTCTGCAGGTGGTGATGAGATAAGTGTAGGAGTGCGCGCATTGGAAGATCGAGCCCAGGCTCGCGAAGAATTGTGCTCGTGGTCATAGTCGTAGTTGTAGTTTTGGTCGCGGTTGCCGCCGTGGTCGTGCTGCCAGACGGCCGTGGTCGTAGCTTCAAGCTCGAACGTGGCCCTCTTGGCCGTTTGGTGTGGCCGCTCGCATACCGGTTCTCTAGGTGGATCGAGAAGGGCGCTTCTTTGGCGTCTCGCCTCAGGCAGATGCGTTTGGATTTCCGGCATCTCTGACATGTCGGCCCGGTTTCGTCGCACTGTAGTGATCCCGGATGCTGTCAGCTTGGCCGGCTTGGTGGTGTAGGTTCAACACCATCACCATCACCGCTCTTGCTACTGCTGCTCACCTTGATGCGCCTCATCTTGCACGTCTGACATCCTCCACTTGGGTATGACATGGCGATGGGGTAAGAACTCAGCAAGGTCTATCAATCTCGATCATGGATTGTCGAAACCATCTTCCGTCTATTTTCCCTCCCTCGCCCTCAGAAGCGCACGTCTACACTTCGAAGTATTACTGACTGAGACAGGCGAGAACAGTTGGTGGTCGACGAGAGGTTTTGCAATACACCCGGCCTTAACTCTAACTCCGGCCTCTCAACCGTGGTTATGTAATCAAAACTTGCCGCTTTATTGGCATCACAAGGCTGTGACCTTTGCAGACATGTCTCGTCAGGCGTTGATACGTATCTGAGATTCCTCTCGTTGCATTTATCTACGGTAGTCTGGGTATATACGGCGCAGAGTGCAACAAAACAACCCCAGCTTAGTCGGCATCTCAAGTCCCGCTCCACTATACGAATCCCTCTCCCATATGTCCGGGTCTGCTCTGCTCTGTTCCTGCTCTGGCTCAGCGCGTCGTCAAACAAACAATGTGAAACTATTAAGTAGGCCTACAATCGTCACATTCACTCCACGTTTCCATTCCCATCCCTTCGATCATGATTTCTGTCGTCGTGCATCTTGAGGTCGTGAGGTATTCGATAATCATTGGTCGTGCCGTACCTTCACGCATCTTGTTCCAATTTGATATCACCGTCACCTGCCTTGTCTGTCTCGCTTGGTTTCTGTCCAGCCGTGTCTGTGTCTCGGTCTCGGTCCGGGTTCTCGCCATTGACAATGGCAACCGTGGAAGCCTTGTCATCACCGTCCCCTTCCTTCTCGGAAGATAAGACCGTCGTCGAGTCCGCTGCCTTGATAGTCTGCCCTGGCGCCTCCGACAGTCTATCAATGTCATCTTCGACTTTCTGCTTCCATGCCTTGATATCGGCGATTTCCGTTTCTTTGGATTGCAGGTCCGCCCGAAGTTTTTCGATATCTTTCGCCCTTTGATCTGAGACGTCCTTGAGTTCCTGCTCCTTAGCCTCGAGGTCCTTTGTGGCCTTGTCGGTCGCAGTTTTGACCGACGATCTGAGATCATCCAGTTCTGCTTGGACAGATTCTAATTTTGCCGTGGTTTCCTTCAGCTGGGCTTCTGCCTCGCCCTTGCTGAGGGTCAGTGCTCGGATCTCCTCATCTTTGAACTCAAGGGCTTCGCCGAGTTTGTTCTTCTCAGCCACTGCGGCTTTCAGGTTCCCCAGTTCCAACTCAAGCTCTTTTGAATGGTTCTGGGAAGCTTCCTGGTCCGCTTGCATTGATTCGAGTTTCGCCCGGGCTTCGTTGAGACCAGAATCGGCGTCTGACTTGGCAGCAATTGCAGCTTCGAGTTCGGTTCGGACATTCTGTATCTCCTCCACGCTCTTCTCGGCTTCCGCTCTCGCGCGTTGGGACTGTTGGAGTTCGGCTCCAAGGTGTGCATGTGCCTCGTCGGCAGCCTCCAACTTCTGTCGCATCGTCTCCACTGCTTCTTCGGCCGACTTTTGCGCGGTCAAGGCCGTGGCCAGGTTGGTTTCCAGTTCGCTGCATGTCTTGAGCTTTTCTGTCGCCGCAGCCAAAGCCTCCTCGGTATGCTGCTGGGCCACCTCGGCGTCGGCAAGCTTTTGCTCAAGCTCGGTCCGGGAAGTATCGGCCGCTGCATGGACGGTGGCCAACGTCTCCTCGGCCAGTTTCTGGGCAGTTTGGGCCTCTGCCAACTTCCCCTCCAACTCGCCTATAGATGCGTTTGACTGGGCTTGAGCCTTTTCCAGTGCCTCTTCCGCAGTATTGTGGAAAACCGTCAGTGCGGCAAGTTTGTCCTCAAGTTCCTTGACAGACACGCGAGACTCTTCGCCAGCCTTCTGTAAGGCGTCAGAAGCAGCCACAAGTTTCAACTCCAGCTCCGATTTGATCGACTCCTGCTGTTGTTGCAACCCCTTGAGAGAAGCTTCAACAGTCGTCTTCTCAGTCTCGGCAGCTTCCAATTTCCTAGTGAGCTCCTCGATGTTTGCCTGGGCCGTTTTGAGCTGTTCTGCAAGTTCTGTGAGTTGCTCCGCTGCTGATAGCTTCGCCTTTTCTGCTTCTTCGAGCTTCTGCTCTGCTTCGGATCTGGCTGATCTCGCGAGCTCAAGTTCTGCTTGGCTCGCCTGTACATCTTGCGTCATCTTCTCGATGTCAGAAGCATATTTGACATTCTCAGCCTCAATTGTCGCAACCTTGTCGTGAAGCTCTCCCCTAGTCAGCTCCGCACTTTCAAGGTCTGCTGCTAGTTTGGTCTTCTCTGCTTCGAGGCTTGTGATTTCACCCGCGAAGTCTGACACTGCTTTCTTCAGGGTCTCGAGCTCGTCGTTAATCTTCGTCTGCTGGGTCTCCAACTCGGTGAATTTCTGCGCTTCGGATGATTTCGCCGTGGCCGCAGCCTCAAGTTCTTCTTTCAGCTTGTCTACCTCGGCTTTGTAGACTCCAAGCTCTTCGGTCAGCTTTGAATTCTCGGCTTGAATGGCGGAGATCTGGCCTCCACTGGACTCGGTTTCCGTTCGAGCCGCTGCCAGAGCTTCTGTGAGTTGTTGCTTATCTGACTCTAGGGCTGCAATCTGTGTATTAGCAGCCTGTGACTCCTCCTGTGCCGCAACGAGTTGACCTATGAGTTTGGCAGTTTCAGCCTCGGACTCACGCTCCGCCAGTTGCTTTGCTTCAAGCTCAGCTTCGAGCTTCTTGACACTATCTTCCAACTCTCTCAATTTCTCATTGGCTCCTTCCAGAGCAGCCTGTGATGATTGATGAGAAGATTCGAGGTCTCTGGTATGCTGCTCGTGCTGTTCGTTCTTTGAGGCTAGAGTCTCCTTCAAAGTTTGGAGCTCGGCGATTATAGCTGCATGCTTTTCTTCAGCAGCGTTGGCGCGCAACTCAGCCTCTTTATGTTTTTCTCCCAACTCTGTGGCGACGGCAGCGTGCGCATCGATGTCCTTTGAGAGATTCGCCGAGCGTTCCTTCTCAGTGTCAAGTTCCGCGCGAAGCTGGGAATGCTCTTCCAGCTGAAGCGATAGTTGAGCAATCTTTGCCTCTGCTTCGTCCAGAGCTTCTTTAGACGCCTTGTTGTCCTCGAGCTCTACAGCTAGTTGGGCAATCTTGTCCCGAGAGCTTTCGAGTTCCTGTTTGCTTGCCTCAAAGGCCCCTAGTTCGATCGTGAGCTGCGCAAGCTTTCCTTCGGTGGCTTCTAGAGCCGCCTTGCTTGTCGAATAATCTTCCAGATCTTTCGTCAGTTCGGCAATCTTGGCCTCCGATGCAGACAAGGCAGCTTGGGTTTCGGCATGGCCTTGCAAGCTGGTGGTGAGTTCCGCAATCTGTCCCCGCGCATGTTCCAACTCTTCTTGAAGGATCTTTTGTGCCGAGGTTTCAGCTTCCCGCTCCTTGGTTGCAGCATCTAAAGCGTCCTTGGCCGCAGTGAGCTCGGACGCTCGGGCTTCGATTTGTGCCTCCAGTTCTCCTCTAAGAGATGCAAGTGACTCATTGGCAGCATCGAGGGCGGCGGAGGAACTCTGTTGCAGGCTTTCATACTGCTTGGTATGGTCTTCGAGGCGCAATTCGGCGTTTTGGTGTCCTGATTGTGCATGCGTCAACTGCTCGGTCAGGGCGGCTATTTGTGCGTCCAGCTCGGTTCGAAGGGCGTTGTTCGATCTCTCGGAATCCTCGAGTGCCCTCGCCGACACCTGTTGAACACTGTTCAGCGCCGCAGTGGTTTCGGAAATGGCCGTCTTTGCAGCTTCGAGGTCGGCAGTGAGAGAGGCGGCTTCTGCTCGAAGATGGCTGAGCTCGTTCTCGTATCCGGCCGTGAGCTGTTCTTTCCCGGCACGGGCATCATGCAACTCCTGTGTGAGGATGGCAACCCTCGATTTGTATTTGTGGTGAATGGTCTCCGTTGCAGCTTCATACTCCCGCTTGTATTCTTCTCGGACTGCCTCTCGTTCCGCTGTCCGTGCATCTTTGATCTGTTGGACGACAACTGCCACCATCTGCTCCTCCAGCGCCACCTTTTGTTGTCTCAATGACTCTTCTTTTTCTCTGTACTGAGCCTCCAGACTTTGTTCGAGATTTGCCATCTCCCTGTCTTGAGTGATGAGCATCTCTCGGGCTTCTTCGAGCTCCTGTCGACATTGTAGCAGCTCCTTGTTCTGGCTGTCTTCCTGGCCAGCGGCCACTTGGTCCGTCTTGGGAGGTTCCGTTGCCCGCTTCTGAGGTAATGGTCTGGACACGGGAGCATCTTGGTGAAAGAGGTAATTGTAAGCCCGACGCAGGCTAGACGATCTTTTGGGACCCATGGAAGGCCGCGGTTTGACTTGGGATATTCGTCGTAAACGTTTCTCGGACGCCATGGTAGCCTGTTCAAGATTAAATGGTGCCAATGTACTCCGTAGAGCTTGGAACTATCAGTGCGAATCGGCGGTGTCTGGCACGGTTTCACTTCGGTGGGGAAAGCGTTAAGCGAGTTTGTTGGTGTACAAAAGAAATTTCACGAAGAGGAGCGGAAACTTATACTGCAACACGTTGAGAACTATACCGGACGACATGGGATGGCAGAAGAGTCATAAGATTCCTTTTTTTCATGGAGCCCATCCATCGGGCAGCAAGAGACCAAGACGCGAAGGGACTGAGTGGTGGTGCATTGAGCGAGGGACACGTCGCGAGGCTTGAACGGGTCGCCAAGCGGAACGTGTGCTCCGATAGGATGCTTCACCTTCACCTGGGAGATGCATGAAGAACATCTGCATGGAGTGATCACCTGCCGGCACAGAGGACAGAGTGGGCTGACTGCTAGACCTAGAGCATAGTAGCTGATCTGGTGGCATTTTGACTGGTAGAGAAGAAGGAGGAGGAGGTGATGTTCGCAGGAGGTTTGGCTGATATGCAGGCACCCGCAATAATACTAGGGAATGGGGAATGGCAGCGGGAGGACGCCTAAGGCCGCATGCCTAAGTCCCGCGAGCTTAATCAGTGTAGTGTAACGGATATGCTATGCCTTAGTACGGGGCGTCGTAGGCTCTCCTTTCGACCTTTCTACGATGCGCGACTTGTCACCTGCTCCGCCGTGCTCTTCCCCAGACAAACTCCCGACTTGAATGACATCAACCGCGACGGCAGTTCACATCTTCGCCTCTTCGCCTCCCATCAACCCGCACTGGGTTCTGATGTATAGATAGTATCACATCTCCCCCGTCTCCTCTCAACGCTTTTACCCTCTTTTCCGTATCTTTCCTCTTTATGTTCCTCAAACACCTCTCCCGCCTTCATCGACCGTTTTCTCCTAATCCCCGAATGAGACTTGCCCAAATGTCCTCCCACATCGGTAATGGCCGTTCAGAAAGCCTCACCCCCGGTGGCTATTCCGAGGGCGATTCAGAGGGCGGCTTTAGCATAGCCAGTATACCGAAATCAAACAATTTCACATCCAATCTTCCTCCAGATATGCAGTATCCTACCCCCGTCGACTCTCATCGAGCCCCTCGAGAAAAACTCGGCCCCCGCCTGGTCCGAGGAGCATTGTACACTTATGTCAGACCCGAACCTACAGAAAATCCCGAGTTGTTGGCGGTCAGTAAAGCTGCTCTACGTGACATTGGCCTCGCCGAGACCGAGGGTTCTTCGGAAGAATTGAAACAGGTGGTCGCAGGTAACAAGTTCTATTGGGATGAAGAAAAAGGGGGCATCTATCCGTGGGCGCAATGCTATGGCGGCTTCCAGTTTGGCCAGTGGGCCGGACAACTCGGCGATGGAAGAGCTATATCCCTGTTCGAGACCACAAACCCAAAAACTAAAGTCCGCTATGAATTACAATTAAAAGGCGCCGGGAAAACACCGTATTCACGGTTTGCAGATGGCAAGGCGGTCTTGCGCTCTAGCATCCGAGAATTCATCGTCTCGGAATATCTCAATGCCATCGGCATACCAACCACACGAGCATTATCGCTGACGTTGTGCCCGAACTCCAAGGTGGTTCGAGAGCGGCTAGAACCGGGGGCAATCGTCTGTCGCTTTGCCCAGTCCTGGTTGCGTCTCGGAACATTTGATCTGATGCGGTCGAGGGGGGACAGGGATCTCATTCGCAAAACTGCCACCTATGTTGCCGAAGAGGTGTTTGGTGGTTGGGAGACCCTTCCCGCTGTTTTGCCCGCCGACACCAAAGATGCGCACCTGGATCCGACACGAGGAGTGCCCAAATATCAAATCCAAGGTAAGGAGGGCGCGGAGGAGAATCGGTTCAGCAGACTTTATCGGGAAATCGTACGGCGGAATGCCAGGGTGGTGGGTATGTGGCAAGCGTACGGGTTCATGAATGGGGTTCTCAACACGGACAACACGTCGATCTATGGCCTGTCGATGGACTACGGGCCGTTTGCGTTCATGGACAATTTTGACCCGACCTACACTCCAAACCACGATGACCACATGCTCCGGTATAGTTATCGCGCTCAGCCGAGTATTATCTGGTGGAACCTCGTCCGTCTGGGCGAGTCGCTGGGCGAGTTGATCGGGGCTGGTGACCGGGTGGATGAGACGGTCTTTGCCGAAAAGGGGGTCGAGGAGGATTTTGCTCCGGTATTGATCAAACGCGCCGAAACCATCATCGACCAAAGTGGGGACGAGTACAAGGCGGTGTTCCTGAGCGAGTATCGTCGGCTGATGACTTTGCGCCTCGGACTGAAAACTCAGAAGGACAGTGACTTTGACGTGCTGTTCTCCGAGCTTCTGGACACGATGGAAGCACTGGAGCTCGACTTCAACCATTTCTTCCGACGGCTCTCGTCGGTGAAGCTGGACGACGTCAGCACCAAGGAGACCCGTGAAAAGACGGCGGAACGCTTCTTTCACCAGGAAGGCGTCACCGGTCTCAACGAAACGAACGAGTCTGGACGAGAGAAGGTCGGTAAGTGGCTCGACTCCTGGCGTGAGCGCGTTGCGGAAGATTGGGGCACTGGAGGGTCGGCGGACGAGGACAGAATCAAGGCCATGAAGGCCGTCAACCCGAATTTCGTGCCTCGCGGCTGGTTGCTCGACGACATCATCGACCGGGTCGAGAACAAAAACGACCGAGACATTCTCCACGGCGTGATCGACATGGCTCTCAGCCCGTTCCAAGACCAGTGGGGATGGAACGAGCGGATTGAAGAGAAATATTGCGGTGACGTGCCAAGGTTCCAGAGGGCCATCCAGTGTAGTTGTTCCTCTTGAGCCGGACCTTTCTGGCGTATCTTGAGGGCATGTACTATAGCTTGCTCCGCTGTGGCTTGTTCTGATCAGTATGTTCCAAGAGCCCTGAGAGAAAGTCTTGTACCTTCTAGCGAGGACCATGATTGTGCGTATAAATCGAAAAGCTCTGTTTATATATAAAGCTTATATCTTGTCAAGCATCATAATAAACGAGATGTCACAGAGCAAGCCTTTGCGATTGTATATGACCATCGTTAAGGAGTTGTTTCCTATATTGACATCTCATCGCCACTCACATATCACATCTGTTTCCATATCCGACTTGCCAACCCTCAAGGTATCGGATTCGTCGACGAGGACGGTGAATAGACAAATAGACGGATATGTAATTAGAACTATCTATTCAATCTATCAAGTGTGAGAGTGACAAATCCAATCAGAATCTAATCAAAAATCAAGCCTTTCCATAAATGTCGGCATCAAAGTCCAACTGGTCAATCTTGTGGCGGCCCTCGGCGTCTTTGTTGGTCCAGACACTGACACTCGTGCCGGGACACATGAACTCGCCGTATCCATCATCGTCGATCTTGACCTCGTCGGGCTGCCAGGCCAGCAAGTCAGACCACAGCTCGCCGGCATGTTCCTTGCCGACAAACATCTTCTTCTGGCCCGGGCCGGCGTTGGACAAGACACAGGCTAAGCCGGCGGAGCGGTCGTGGGTGCCGCGGCGGACGAAGCCTAGACAGTTGGGCTCGTCGAAGTAGTCGTCCTGGTCGCCGTACGCGAACAGCTTGCGGGCCAGGACCAAATGCGCCAACTTGCCGCCACAGGAGGGTGGCTCGGGATTGTCGCCCTGCATGCCGTACAAGTCGCCGTAGAAGACGCACGGGTAGCCCTGGTTGCGAAGCAGGATGAGAGCATAGGCGAGAGGCTTGAAGAAGCCCTCGATGGGCGTGGCGACCGTCTGGCCGGGCTGCGTGTCGTGGTTCATGACCACCGTTACCGCACTGTCGGGCCGGGCTTCGACCAGACTATGGTCAAAGACCTGGCGCAGGTCGGCGCTTTCCGTCCGCGACAGCTGCGAGAAGTTGTTGAGCAGTGGCGAGTCGTACAGGCTGAACTTGTGGTGCATCTGGTCCAGGTACTCGAGCATGGCGCCGACATCGCCCGTCCAGAACTCGCCGACCAGGAACAGCGAGTTCTTGCCGAACTTCTGCTCCAGGTTGTTGACGAACTCGTTGGTCCAACGCTCTGAGAAGTGCTGGCAGGCATCGAACCGGAACCCAGACAGCTTCAGCTCGCTCACCACCCACTCGCCCCAGTGTGTCACGTCCGCAGCCACCTCTGGGTGCGAGTAGTCTAGATCCGCGAACATGAGGAAATCCGCGTTGCCTGACTCATCGCCCACGCTGCCCGACCAGTACTTGTTGTCGCCCAGGATCCGGAAGATGCCCGTGCGCTCGGTGCCGGCGTCGTAGTCGGTCCCCGAGAAATGCTCCCAGTGGTACTTTTGGGTGGAATACTTGTCGCCACGCCCGGCGAAGTCGAAGCCTAGCCATGCATCCATTTCGAACGGCTCACCGATCTCCTTGGTGCGGTCTGCAGACGGTCGATGCGTGTCAGCCAGTCACTGGTCGGGCAATCAATGGATAGACTGCATGGGACAGAACAGTCGAAAAAGGAACTTGAGACAGTATCTAGTCAAGAAAAGAAAGACGGAAATGAGGAACTCACCAGCCTGATCAACTTCGATAACTTGGCATTTTTCCTTTCGATCCGCACCAGCCTTGTGGTTCAGCACAGCATCGAAGTACAGCCCGACCCCGACGTCGTGGGCCTTCTTGACCAGGGTGTCCAACTGCTCCCGGGTGCCCCATTTCGTGGACTTGGACCCTTTTTGGTCGAATTCGCCGACGTCGTACAGATCGTAGATATCGTATCCATTGGCCCCCGAGCCCCCGCTGCCCTTGCATGCGGGCGGCAGCCAAATATTGTCAATGCCGATGTCTTTGAGCTCTTGCGCCGCGTTTGTCAGCCGTACCCAGTGTTTCTGATCTGCGGGCACGTTCCATTCGAAGCCTTGCAGGAGGCAGTAGTTTTCCGGCGTCGGGTCGGCCATCTTGGCTCTAATGATGGGTGAGGGTGAGGACGAGAGCGGTAGTCTAGCCGGCACGCTCAGGATCGCAGTCAGACAATAACAATAGCGCTGTCGACGATAATAATGTCGATAATATCTTGATCCAAGTGTAAAGATAGCAAAAGTTTCCTATTCCTCCAGCAATAGCTCTAGCCTCTATCCAACTCAAGTGCGAATGATAAGTATACAGCGTATAGCAGAGGGATGTAAGTCTAGAATGTAGAACGGAGAACGGGCAAGCGCAGAAATCGCCAAAATGTCCAAAGTGCCGGATAGCCCAAGGCGGAGAAAGCAGGGGCAACGGAGACCGCTTATATACAGCGCATGTACGGATACAATTCAACGCTTCCAACCTGCGCTACAGACGAGAAGATCCAAGTTTTTCCAGATACGATGCGGCCAAGTCCTCATGTATTGTTGGCTGCGGCATGAGGTCATGCATGGGCATCTCCCCACCAATCCCGACCCCGGGATAGCACTATCCGCCAATCACAGCCTGCCGGCGATGTGTGGCTGCAACCTGTTTCCTCTTATCTCTTATCGGCGGAGGATGATGCTGTGGCTGAGGCTTACATTCCATAAGGCTGAGGCTTAAGGCTGCCATTGCAGCTAGAATAATAGGACTTCCTGCTAGTACTCATCGAAGCAACAACGTAGAGCAAAGAGGAATGAAGTTATAACACAGGTGTACGGAGTGCTTCTCGACCTTGGCGTCAATCGATCCCTAAGCCCTCGAGCCAGACACTTTCGCCGATTTCGGGGATGCGGAACGAAGAAGCCCGAAGAACCTGGGGTTGGATTGGGGTTGGATTGGGGTCAGGCGTGCTCCTGAGCAAGTTGACGACATGGACAGGATGGATTGCGGTAGAAATAGTGGCAGAAGTGTTGATGTGATAGATGCGATGGATGTGGTAGTGCCGTGGAGACTGGACTCTGCTTAGAAATCACTCGGCCGGGAGCCTTGGGCTTACAGATACAGACACAGACAGTATATTATGTTTACAATGTTGGTATATCCTTGCGAGTATCTGTACCTACACACTGAAGCAGCACGCTAGTATACGTGAGGGACTGTAAAGTGCCACCGGCTAGCGGCAGCAACACCAACACCAGCACCGGCACCGGACAGACCTAGCCCAGCGACAGTACACCTTGCACTTGCACATCATCATGAGCCAGAAACCGATACTCATCTCGGGTGGCGGGCTGGCATCTCTTCTTCTGGCGCGCTCTCTGCTACTCTCCAAGATTCCGTTCCAAGTATTTGAGCGCGACGCGTCTCTCGCCTTCCGCGGGCAGGGCTACCGACTGCGGCTGTCGTCCGAGGGCCTGGACGCCATCGAATCGGTGCTGGACCCTGCCTCGTTCCAGCGCTTCTACGACCGCTGCGGCAAGACGGGCGGCAATGGCCTGGTGAGTCTGGATGCCATCACGGGCGAAGTGATCGGTGAGCAGCGAGTAGGCGCAGGCGAAAACTTGGGCTCGCGTGATGGCAAGATCGTGGGGATAGCGCGTGGTGACATGCGCCAGCTGTTCATGGAAGGGTGTGAAGAGTTTGTTCATTTCAACAAACACGTTACGGGCTACGAGTTGACGGAGGATCAAGAAGGCGAGGGTAAAGGTGTGCGCGCTGTCTTCGCTGACGGCAGCAAATCCGTCCAAGGGAGTCTACTCGTGGGCGGTGAAGGTCTTAGGTCAACAGTGGCCAAGCAGTTGTCGGGCGGACGACTCAAAGTCTACGATCTAGGGGCGCGCGGCATCCACGGACAGGCGCCGACAACGGCATTTCGGGCGTTAGGCGAAGGCGTGTTCCGTATCGTCGACGAGGGCGAGGGCGAGACAGCGCCGGGCAGTCAAAGTCAAGGCCGGGGTCGAGGTCGGGTCTCAATCATCACCAACGTGCGGCCTAACGACATGCACGACGCGAACGTCGAGTTCGGCTGGACCATGGTGGGCGTACCAGGGGTCATCACGGCGCCCAACGATGACTACTCGATCGTAGGGAAGACGGCCGCCGATCTGGCCAAGTCGCTGACCAAAAACTGGCATCCACGCTTCAAGCCGCTGTTCGACCAGATGAACGAGCGCGAGGCTGCGTTCTGGAAAATCACCTGTTCCACCCCGACGGGCGTGCCGGAGTGGCCCAACGAGCCTCGCGTCACGGTGATTGGCGATGCAGCGCACGCCATGACGCCCGCGGGAGGCATCGGTGCCAATACTGCTGTGAGGGATTCGGCGTTGTTGGGGCGATTGCTTCGTGAGGCACAGGCCCATGCCGGGGGAAACTATGAGGGTGTCACCGCGGCGTACGAGAAGGAGATGAGGCGGTATGCTGGCGAAGCGGTGCGGTCGAGCTATGGCACGGCGACCAAGATGTTTCAGGCCCATATTGACGAATTATCTAAGACGGTGTGAATGTTCAGATGGACATGGACATGACAGAGAGTCTAGACCGCAGGCTGCAGGCTGCAGACTGCGACTGCAACTGCAACTGCGACTGCGACTGCGACTGCGACTGCGGGGGTGCCGGACAGGGAAGACGATCACGCACCACACCACACCACACCACACCTCGCACCTCGCACATCGAGAGATCTCACCCTCCCTCATCCTTATGTACACATAGCCATCAAACACTGCGCTTCTACATCTTCTTCTTCTTCTTCTGGTTCTGCTTCGCACGGGACTCGTGGCTCCCCACCGGTCCTTGTTACTTGGCCTTGCCTAAGGGATAAATCATCCGGGCGGCGACCTCGGCACGAACGAATTGAATTGAATTTTGCAAGGAAGTCATCTCCGGGCAATATATTGAATACATACCCGTACGGAGTACCTGTACCACCACCCAACCTCCGGCCTGATCACCCCTGACGTGCTATGACGTCCGCTGCGGTGGTTCGACATTGTGCGTTTGCGTTTGTATCTGGATGACGATACTGGCCAGATACTGGATACTGGATACTGGATGCAAGATGCTGGAGGCTGGATGCTGGAGGCTGAGACGGCATACGACAAGGATACAAACGCTCAACATTAGACATGGATGAGGATGAGGATGAAGATGCTGGAGATGCTATCCGAACCTGCATTGCATCCAACTCCAAATCGGATGTTGGCAACATCCACATCCATTCTCGTGCTACGCCCCCGAGGATCGACTTGTATCATGTATAAATACCTTGGTCTCCCGGTCGTGGCCACTGCTGGCGCCCCGACCTGATCTGACCTGATTTGACCTAATCGATTCTACTCCATCGTCCTACATCGACAAGGATTCTAAGAAGTCTCTCATCGATCTTACCAATCGCACAATGGACTACACCACCAGCATAGAGAAGACCCTCGGACGCCTCATCACCGCATTTCACATCCTACACCAGCAAGGCATCTTCGACGAGTGCGGCCATGTGTCCGTGCGGCATCCGGACGACGCCACCACCTTCTTCACCAGCAACGTGCCTGCAATTTTGGTTTCGTCGACTCGACATCTGAATCAGTGGAACGTGAGTGATGGGTCTCCCGTGATTGACAACAGACCTGCTACCGACGGACCTGCTGCCGACGGGTTTCGTGGGGCACCGCTGGCGACTTCTCCCGCTGCTACTGCTTCTGCCACGGACGGATTTTCTGGGACTCCTGCTCCTCATACCACCACTACCACCACCACTACCACCACCACCACTACCGCGGCCAATGGATGTCAGCTCATGCACGAAATCCCGCCACACTCGGAGCACTACATCCACAGCTGTCTCTACGATCGGTACCCAGCCATCCAGAGCATCGTACACTCGCACTGCATGAGCGCCGTAGTCTACGGTCTGTGTAACAGCAGCGGAAGCATGTTGCTGCCCAGCTACCAGATGGCCGGCTTTCTGGGCCATCAATCGCCTATTTTCGATGCAGCCGACTATTATTCCCAGCTCCCGGCCACGCACCCGCACAATTTGTCCATCGACCACAAAATCCTAGGCGACGCCTTGGCTCGGATGTTCAGTCGGGGCCGTCAAGATTTGGAACAGGACGATTACGAGGATGACGACGACGGTGTTGATGGTGCTGATGGTTTTGATGGTGTCGATGGTGTCGATGGTGTCGATGGCCATGTTGATGATGGCGTCGACGGTGTTTATGGCAGTGGAACTCGTCATGGTGGTAGAGACTGGGGTGACGGTGATATCGACGGTGCTGCCGACCTCCCTAACCATTGCGTCGTCTTCCAACGTGGCCACGGCTTCGTCACATGGGCAACCAGTCTCGAGGACGCCGTGTACCGAGCCATCCACGTGCAGCGTGACGCCGACATCCAGACCACCGCCATGGGCCAGCGATCACGGAGCGAGATTGAAGTGGTGTATCTGAGTGACAGGGAAGCCCAGGATTGCAAGGAGACCATCAATGCTGCCACCCCGGAGAACTGGTTGGCCTGGACTGTGCAGGCGGAGCGGTCGGGAATGTACCGCAACGAGCTGGGCAAGCCCACAGACACATACTTGCAGGTATGAGATAAATCTTGGGGGATAGAGTATATGAAACGAGCTCGAACTTCTCTGAGCTCGGATTCGGTTACCTGGACCGACACGGATCCTGATATTGAAGCGACTATGCTCCCCAAAGAACCTGTATATAGGCAGTGTGTAGGGTGTGGTGGACCTTGGTGACAGGAGCATTGTCAAATCAGACAGTGAACCCCACTAGGAATTAACTCTGTTCAGACAATTACAAGTACAAATTAGGTATCCGTACAATGAATGACCATTCATATTCCTATAATCATTCCCATTCCCAAGCTATTTATATTCCCATGGCCACTCCCATCCATTTTAGCCATACAAGACTTCGCATACCCCCCCAATAGGTATATCCATGACGGCATCTGTGCCCTCATTCCACACGAGTTTCCAGTTCGGGTATGCGACGTGTTGGCTGTGGGAAGTCGCGCCGGCTGGCGAATCTCGGGAATGGCCGTCTGTGCCGGAGAGGTAGGGAAAGGAAGCTCCCCCAGGCGGATAGCCAGAGGACCGGTGGCGTGAGGAGTGAGTGGTCATGTCTGTCTGTGGGCGCTGGAAGTCTCGCGCCGGGAGATCTGGTGGTTGCGAGCGGACGGGCCCAGGTCTCGCGTGAGACGATCTGCGCCGTGTCTTTTCCTTGATTTTGGACGAATTCCCGGTTCCGCCCCTGGGGTACTTCAACAGAGCTTTTCCGCCCCTGGCATTGGACGCTGATGTTGCAATTTCCATCCTCTCCCGCTCGTCCAACTGCTTGATCAATCTCTTGCTACCACCTTTCCGGACCCGGCCTAATTCGTCGAGGATGGCCACATTGGCCGCCTCGTCCACCATGCATTCTAAGCTGTCGAGCGGGAGAGTCAAGTACTCGACGTTGTAGCTGAGCAATGCGACATAGATGTAGACCAACAGGATCACGATCCAGGCAGGGATGGCCAGAGACCACCATCGATTCGGGTAGTAGGTGATGCCCAGAGCGTGGAGGAAGGGTGACGGAAGGTATGACCACAGAATGTAGAACAAGAAGGCTAGAGAGGATGCCAAATACAGAACGAATCCATAGTACTCGTACGTCGGGACCTTGGGAGAGGTGGGTGGGAGAGGGTGCGCACGGCGGGCAGAATGCGCCACGGCAGCTTCGGTGTCATTCGGCGTCTCGACATCTGAACTGTCAGGGGTCGTCGGTCGTGTGGAGGCGGTAGATCGATTGAGCAAGGAAGGCGGCCGAAGCAGCGACGTGAGGCTCGGCGAGGGCGGAAGCGGGGTGGGTGGCCGGTTGTAGAAGGGTGGGTAGAGCGGTGGCGGCGGAGGAGGTGGGAGCGACGTGGTTGATTGTGAAGTGTGCAGCTCATGGACGGCCTGATTGTGCGCATTCGCATGTGCACCAGACAGCGGAGGACGTGTCGGTAGAGAACGTACCCGCGAGAGCATGTCTGGTCTCGCCGGCGATGATGGGTTGAATCTACTGGGACCTGCATTGTTTTGGGGATCTTGCTCGTCGCCGACTTCCACCTCTTCTTCAGACCCTTCCCCTTCCTCATCCCATTCCGACTCTTCAGACTCTTGCCGTGAGTAGTGGGATTCAAAATCATCGTCGTCAAGCGTCACCCCTGCTACGTCGACCTCGTCCAAGGGTGTACTCTCTTTAGGGCTGGTCGAACCTTCTTCTTCAGTTCGGTCGGGTTCTTCGCCAGCCAGCACGAATGCTGGGGTAACCGCGCGTGGCCTCGTCTGTTGCGGTTGGGGGGTCGTCGGCGTAGGGGTGGTCATATCTCGGTCTGGGATCATCATACGCGGGCCAGTTGGAGTGCGCTGATCCGGGAGTAACAGCGTAGGAGCGGGCAGGTTTTCGAGATACGGTCGGAGAGTAGGAGGGAAGGGAGGAGACTTTGGGGGAGAGTGTTGCCCTGGCTCAGGCGATGCGCCTCTACTTTGAGGCGGCATTCTCTGCTAGGTTGATGGGAGGATATAACAGCCTCTAGAGTAGGTAGGTACAAGTAGATGAACGCGTCCAAGGATCTGTGGAGTGCTATAGTATAATGGAGGGGAGCCGCGCCAAGAAAAAATTACAGCCTTGTGCCTTCAGGACAAGGCTGAGGCGTACGGATTCTCGAGGCTTTCTGCATTGCTAACAGTTCCTCGCAGAAGGATGTCAATAACCATGTGTCGGCGTCTTCAATCTGTTGCTGTGCTAATGCTTGGAGAAAATATCATTATAGACATCCGAGCAGAGGTCCCTCTTCCTCTTGTGCTCTGCTCATGCCTTGGTTCTATATTACAGTTTTGGTACAGTGTTCGCTAAGAGACTGTAAATCGTAACTCGTCAATGGTGGGTGAACTGCTCCAAGTTCTAAGACACCTTTTTGTCCTCTTTCTCCTCCTCTTCTAAATGTGCACCCATGTTCACTTATTTCTTCAACTGTCCGTCCACTCTGTTCAGTCCTAGATCCACATCACCAGCACTGCTCCCGGTCAACGTAGAAGTCAATGATGCTGTACTCCTCTTTTCCAGACGAGCCGAGGGTAGTGGTGGGGTTGGAAACTTGGACAGGTCGAGAGGCTGCTGGTTCGTGGGCGTCATCATGCCTGTCAACATAGGTAGCGGCACATCGTGTTTTGTTGTGGTCTTTCCCAGTCCCTTGATAGCGTGGCCGATGCTTTCACTCCGTCGGCGCAAGGTGGAGAACGACTTTTTCTTTGGCACGTTTAGTTTTGTGCTGAGAGCGTCGGACATGTGGTCCTCTGCTGGGGGCGTGCGGACTGCTGGCAAAGCTGTCATGTTGGCGAAGCTTGTGGTACTCGTAATGCTCATTGCTGTCGTAGGTCGTTGCAAGGTGGCTAGGGCGCTAGAGCTGCTCGACGCAGTCGCGTGTTTTCCCAAAGCCGGCTCGCCGCCTGACAGGCTCGGAGTTGAAGGTGGACTCATGTAGCTTGAAGATCGAGAAAACGGACGTGTATCTGCCACCGAGGAGGGCGTTTTGATGAAATTCCTGATGCTGCTCATGCGTGCGTGGTTGAGAGCCGTGGATAGTCGGGGCAGACTGGATATTCGTTCGGCCCTGGATTTGAGCGTCTTGCCGCGGATAGCCAGCGACTCCTCACTTGCATTGGCATCGGCAATCACCTCGGACGCATTGGCAGGTAGATCTGGGATCTCAAAGAGCGTAGCTTCGGCTGCAGGGAACCCCGAACGACTGCTACTTGTCGATCGACGTTTGGCCGGTCGTCCGGGTAGTTGTGTTATTGTGTCCGAGATGGATCTTTGCACCCATGACGGTCTTCGTCTGCTCTCCTGCGAGCCGCCGACGATGGAGATCAGTGAGGGTCGGGATTTGGGCTGCGAGAAGGAGACAGGTGTGGCAATTTCGATCGGCGAAAACGTCTCGTCGGGCTCGACCTCTGGGCTCATGACCTCTGATATCGGCGGCGATTCCATGAACACAGAGTATCGATCGTATCGGAAGTCTGACAAGGTCGCCAGTGAAGCCTGCAAGACTGGCCTTGGTGACGGGAGGGGGACGACGACACCACTGTCGTCCACCGCCATAGGGGTGGTGTCCTCCTGTTCTGGAAGAACAATCTTCGACGGCGTGACCCCAGTATACCGGGTGAAAGCCGTTCGGTTAGGAAAAGGGTCGTCTGGAGTCAACACGCTTCGTTCGGAGGGCGTCTCGACAGAGGACTCCCGGTCAAACCGTCCAGCATCGACATCGACGTCGGCTTCGACATCCAGATCCATATTATCAGCAGGATTGTCATCGGATCCCTCCATGACCTCTGCTGTCCCTTCATGTGTCATGAGCCGTCTCTTGTGCTCTTGGATCCGCTCCCTCTCCAACGCATTTTGCTGATGTCTTTCTTCAAACTTTCTTCTCCGAGCAGAGGCAGAGCTCATCTTCTGAGATCTCAATGCTTGTTCCATGGTTGTGCGAGCAGGGACACAAGTAGCTCTTTAATAGAGGTTGCAGGAAAGGGTCGACACGGCAGAAGCACAAGCCTTGTGTAGACACATTAATTCGCAAGGACTCCGAAGCGACCTAGAGGCTTCTGTAGGAGGGGTCGGAGACAGCAGTCACCTGGAACTCCAACGGTAGCAGGGACCATCTCGTGGAACAAAGACTGCAAGAGAGTTCAAGAGCGACAGGGTCAGCTTACTAGTAGTAGACAGTAGGTACTAGTACCCATAGGTAGGCAGATCGGTCAGGGCAGACCCATCTCATGCGCGAGCTCGGTGACCCAACCTAAATAAAGTGGGATAGATACAGGCCACCAACGCCACTCCGTTGCTAAAATTGTCGGCGGTGAAGGGAGTTTGCGACAAAAAACAGCAACATGGCCGGGTTGACGAGGGAGAGGGCCGCTGCCAGACTACGTCGTACGTAGTGGCCAGCGCCAGCCAATCTTGCAGCCGAGAGGAGATAAAGGAGAAGCGATGGCGTAGTATTCTCAAACGAGATTGCAGCCAGGCACCTAGCCAGGGAGCCAGGGAGCCAGCAAGGAGGCCCTTTCCTTTTCCGAATCTTTAGATGAAGAAAGAGGGTCAGACTGTTCAAGGATGCTCCGTAGCTTCGAGGGGTGAGTGGAGTCGGCCGAAGCCATAGCCTGAAGCCAATGTTTCATCGCGGAAGGTCTTCCAGATGGACACCTGTCAAGCTGGAAGGACGAAGCTCTTCCCTAGAACGGCTGTTTGACAGCCTGGCCAGGGAAAGTCGGTGCCTGTTTCCGTCGGATTCGAGCAAGGACAAAAACAAACCGGAAATAGCGAGTGCTGTACGGCTACATAGCTTGGCGTCCTTGAACGGAGGATTGTCGACAGAGTAGATGCAAATGGTGGAGAGTGGCAGAGACTGTTGATAGGAGAGAAAAGACACCCGCCAGTCCAGATCGAGATCACAGAGCTTCAAGCTCCTCGCCTAACGTCCCAGTTGTATACTCCGTATTACGCCTTCTGGGGAAGGCTAGGAACCTGGAACACACATCGTCCCGGCGTAGCACAACAAAAGTAGGGATCAAGGTTCCAGCAAGGGGTCTCAAAGGCCAATCAGGGCTGGTAACAACAGGAGATGTCGGATGGCCCTCAACATGACCCAACCATCCATCGGGCTGCGGCCCCAGAAAGACCAGAAAGACCTGCAGGGAGATGGGTGGCCGGGAACGGCCAGACAGGCGAACTAGGGACAGTCGCCGCCAAAAAGTGGCCCTGGTTGATGGATGTGATTACCGGGACCCCTTCTCCGTACTCCGCCGGCGTACGGTGTCGTATCTATCACATGCACCATTGCAACTCGCTGTTAGGTTCGCAATGGATGACTGTATCCGTACTCCGCTAGGTGCTCCGCATAGCATACTCCATACCGTGTACGTACAGATAAAAGTTGTCCTTTACAGCTGTTGAGGAGCCCTCCAGGTGTCGTGCAGAGGTGAGAGTCCCGGGCAGCTTTCGGCAACCCTCCCTGCTGGGCCTCGGGAGGCTTGCAGCAGTCCACGGTTGGCCACATTGCACTCATGGTAAAACACGTGTCCCATGTTGTTGCTCGTCAGTGACTCCACACACAGGAGTACAGTGTGTACTCCGTAAATTGCTGGGCACGGTTGTGATGGGCTGACAGCTTATAAGCTACAGGATGACGGGCAGATGGTCTTAGCGATGATTGCATGTCGCACCGTTATGCGTCAAGAACGTCAGGTGGGCTCTTCCTGAGTATGGACGTTTGGGTGTTGTTAACGGCGTCTAGGCGTCGGTTAACGTTAGGATGATCGCACTGACCGGTCTTGATCAAGAGCTGCTTTCGCTTGAGCAATAACAATATCAGCCATGGCCGTCTCACCCCGAATTGGCCTTGTGTAACCATACCGTCTGACATGTTGAAGACTGTTTGACGTGATTCGTATTCGCACGGATCTGCCCCGAATTTTGGTAAGACGATGGTCTGAGGCGCGACCCACCGCTACCGGTTTCGTCTGCTGTCATGACCGACACTCATCTTCCCACTTATCAAGACAGAATGTAAACATTGCTACTGTTGTGATGGTTCTTTCGTCTAGTTCGCCGTCAAATCTCGTACGGAAAAGTACTTCCTTGCGCTGCTATCGACCATTCCACTCCAACAACCATTCTTGCACTATCTGCGCAAGCTGTTTTTGCGCGTTCGCCACCGAGGCCGGAGGTAAATCCGGCGTCGTCTCGTTCAAAAACACTCCGTTCTCATCCCAGTGATGCACTGCGCCCGGGATGAGGATGACAGGCTCAGCCGCCGTACTTGTATCGTTCAGGCGGTCGGGAACATCCAGCGTCGCCAGCGGGGTTGCTGGGCGCCACGGGTCTGCTTCTCCTCCGATCAAGGCCAGTCGCGGATATGAGATGTTGTAGCCTCCCCATTGATTGATTGTTTCGACATCCGGGGGCGAGGTGATGTTGAAGGCGTACCGACACACCAAGGTGAGATAGTCGAGCGTCAACAGTCGAGAGATCAGGGGAAGACGGTCGCTGGGGACGCCTGAGCCGGTCTGGATGTAGCCCCATTCAGTGCAGTATTGGTAAGCCCACGACAAGGCATTGAAGTTCGAGACGTCCTTGTCGGTGTACATGCTGGCTGACGAATTGTGGGCGCTATAGCATTGATCCAGCGTCTCATCGCAGGATCCGACGTAACTGTCGTTGATCCAGCCCATCAGGTTCAACAGACGGTTGGCCAATACTGCGCTTTCGTTGCCCCAACCGCCCGCTGCAATGAGCGACGAAGCATTCGGGGCCAAGTCGGAGTATCCGGGCCACAGGACACTGTCCGAGGAGAGGTTGCCGCAATAGAAGTCGAATTCCGGACTGCCGACGGCAGGATCCCAATTTCTCGACTGCCACCAGCCCAGCCCACCAGACACCACGTTCGCGAAGTCGTCACTGTAAGTCAAGTTCTCCAGACCAAACCCCCTTTTGAGTTGGGTCACCGTGGTCGAGTCATTCTGGAGGAGGATGTTGTCCACGACATTGATCAGCTTGACCTGGGTGTCGATGCATTCAGGTGGGCCATATTCACGAAGTGGCTCATAATATTCCCAGAAGTCATAGATGGCCTCAGTCACGCCGGACGAGGATATCGCGCCCCAGGTGAGGTCTGGATACAGCACTCTCAAAAAAGCGACGAAGCCGCCGGCATAGGAGCCGCCGTACGCGATATACGGCGTTCCAGGAGCAGTCAGGTTGAGATGTTCAAGACCGGGAAACACGACGTGCGAGGCAAAGTATGCTTGATCAGCCAATGCCTGCTCTGTCGACAGAAAGCGCAGATTCTCGGTGGACAGGTCCGGGGTAGGGAAACTCGTGCCATAGTACCGGTGTTCGAGAACGACACCGATGCCATTGGTGGCCGAGGCCAGCTGAGCAACGATGCCTTTCTGTAGGAAGGGTAACCGTTCTGCTGCATCGGCTTCACCGCTTTGCAGGACGAAGACGGGGCCTCCAGGCTTGTAGTACGTGGCATCGAAGAAATACCTCAAGTTGAAATAGCCACTCGAGTGAGGCTCGTATTTCGAGTCGTTGTGGAAGTGGTCGACTGGGACGGAGATGTTATGGGCGGGATAGAGCTCCTCTGGGTCGACATCCCGTGCCACGAGGCCATGAGGCGCCGGGGCCATGTTTCTCTCTATGTCAGTAAGATCCCATGTACGGAGCAAGTGTTTGCTCCAGGCTGTTCAACATACCTTGCCAATCCCAGGCCGCATAGCGTGCCTGCGCAAAGTAGAAGAGTGCTCTTCATGTTCTCAAACCGACATCGACGAATCTGCCTGAGCAGCGAAAAAAGGCAGACGACAAGGACGAGGAGGGAATAGGCGGTGGCAAGCAGTACATGCGAGACTTCAATATCTCGTAGGAGTAGGACCGAGTCATGGTTGGCCGCTGGCGTCATACTACGTCGTGTCCTGGCTCCCGGAGTCGCTTTTGTCCCTGCTTTTGTGCAGGCGGATGACACCTTGAGGCTTGTAGCTCAGTAGCTATCGGAGAGCTCGGGACGCTGGGACCTGTGACGCTGCCGATGAATGCAACGCTGGTAGTATGGAGTACGGTAGCCAGATCCTACTGACCCAAAAGGAAGGTGGCAAGCACCCAGCAGGGATGCTGGAGAGCAACAACGGGGGCGGATAGGATGATCGGCTCACGGCTCAGGCTCAGTGGCATCAGAAAGGAAGCGTGGGAAAGAAGAATGGAGGCTAATGCAGCGACTATGCCCTTAGGCGGAGTCTGGAGACTGAGGGTCGATGAAGGAGCTGTTTACAGTGCAATAATAGCCACCAGAGGAGCTTAGGAGGCTCCTTAGGCTTAAGTGCTTAGAACCCTTAGGCTCCTTAGGCTGATAACAAGCTTCCCTCATCCCCCACCGCGCCCGGAGCCTGCCCGGTGCCAACTCCACACACAGTATCCGTACTCCGTACTCCATCAGTAGAGTATCTAGGAGCACACTGTTCGCCAACATTAATAGTTCGAATGTGATGACGATTTTTCTGGAAGGCCCGCTCGTTTCAGTCCTTAGAATACTCTATGTACTACCTCATGTACGTGCGTGAACTTCATCTGCTGAAGTGCACACTTACAGTCGAGGACTAGCAGAACCGTACCAAGAGACTGCGCCTAAGCCTAGAGAGCTGCGCTGAGGTCAGAGTCAGCCTTCACTGTCCGTTCGCCAACAGCACTCGGCCACCGTCGACACATAAACATCTTCCATCCACGTAAGCCTGATGAACAACAAAGTCAGTATTCACAGGTGGTCTTGTCTCTGGCCAAACAACTCACTCCTGCTTCACTGCTGAGGTAGAGGATAGCCCCGGCAATGTCTTCCAGCTTTCCTATTCGTGCCGCGGGCATCGCCTTGAACAGCTCGGCGAACTGGTTCTCACCCTCCTCCACGGGATTCATCCTACTGGGCACGACTGTACAGGCGTTTGTTTCAGTGTCTCGCATCATATGGTCGAACGGAGGGTGAACTTACAGCCTGGATTGATGGCGTTGACCCGTACATACCCTGGACGATGCCAACATGAGCAACGTCGCCAACAGCGTGGCCGGACGAAGAAGATGGATGGACTTACATTTGGCAAACTTGCTCGCCAACAGTGCCACCAGGTGGTCAATGGCCGCTTTACTGGCGGCGTAGCTGGTCAAGTCGACGTTGGTACAGTTGTGCATGCTGGCGCAGCTGCTGGTGATGATCATGACACCGCGTCCTTCGTCTCTGCCTCGTCTTCCATTGCCCAGATCAAGCTCACTGGCCGCCACCAGCAACTTCAACAGAGCGACGGACAAGAAGTAATGCGCCGTCACGTTGACCCGGAAGGTGTCGTCCCAATCCGAATGCCTAGAAGACCATAACGACGCCTGCAACTCGTCGAGCGAGGCCGTCTTGACATTGCACATGCGTGGCGGGTCTCGTCGAATGCCTGCATTGGAACAGAGAATGTCGAGGTGGGTTTCGTGCTTCTCGAGCTCAGCTGCCAGGGCTGCAATGCCTTCCTTGGACGACACATCGCTGGCAAACCTGTAACAGCGGTCGGTCTTAGCCAAAAGCCTGGCCCGGGGAGCATTCGGCGTGCAAGTTGTACCCTATAGCGCTGCCCCCAGCACTTTTTCCCAGCTGGTTGAGCTCCGCCACCGGCCCTGAGATGTCGTCTGTGGGCAATGCAGTCACATAGACCTTTGCCCCATTGGAGACCAGGCCCTGAAGTCTCGGTCAGTCGTCCGTTCTGGGTGAGAGGGTTACAGACCAATTCACCTTTGCTATCATCAATCCTATCCCACTGCAGCCGCCTGTCACCAGGGCCACCCGACCCTTGACCCCAAACAAATCAGCGACGGAAAGAGAAGACATTGTTTTTCTCGGTCTCAAGATCCAGAGTCCTAACAAGTCCCGACGCCTCCCCTAAAAGCAGGTCGAGATCACGATCCATGATGCGCGGAGTGGATTCCGCCACCCGGACACTGTGGTGCCTCGTCGTTCTCCGGCCCAGCGGGGGCGAGTCTTCCGCACAAGTCCGTCCACTGAGCCGCAGGGCAGTCGAGGCGATATCAACCGTGTAACCGTATAAAGGGTCGACTGCTCCGGTTCTTCCCTCCTCGTTGACCGGGTCGCTGTTGAAGCTGACGACGTGACTCTCAAGGCAAAGACATTACCACCATCATGACTTTCTCGGTGAGCGGCCTCGGCCAGGCCATCACCCACGACTACTCGATATGGATCATTCCTGCGATCTTACTGGTATACGGGCTCTACGTGGTAAGTGCTGGTGCTAGCGGTCAGGCAGCTGAGCCGACCGTCCCTGACTAACTTCTTGGGCAGTGGTCAACGTCGACGGACATCCCCAAGATCAAAGGTATTCCCGAAATCCCCGGGGCACTGCCCATCTTTGGCCATCTGCTGGCGCTGGGAGAGGATCACGCCACGGTGTGTGAAGGGTGGTGGCGCAAGTACGGTCAATCGGTGTTCCAGATCCGACTGGGCAACACTCGCGCCGTGGTGGTGAATTCGTTCGAGGACGCAAAGGAGATGCTGGTGGGCCATCAGAACGCCGTTATCGACCGACCGACGCTGTACACGTTCCACGGGGTGATTTCGTCCACGCAAGGCTTCACCATCGGGTCGAGCCCCTGGGACACGTCGTGCAAGAACAAGCGCAAGGCTGCGGGCCAGGCGCTGGGCCGGCCGGCGATGCGAGGATACTTCGACATGTTCGATCTGGAGTCGTACTGCATCGTGCGCGACCTGTTCCGCGACAGCAAGAACGGCGAGGTCGAGATCGGCGTGCGGCCGTACATCCAGCGGTACGCGCTCAACACCACGCTGACGCTTTGCTACGGCATCCGCATGGACAACGTGTACGACGAGATGCTGCGGGAGATTCTGCAGGTGGGATCGGCCATCTCGCTGCTGCGCTCGGCCTCGGAGAACTACCAGGACTACATTCCGATGCTGCGGTACTTCCCCAACAACGAGAAGAACCGGCGGTCGAAAGAGCTGCGCGACCGACGCGACCGCTACCTGAACTTCCTGCTCAACAAGGTCCGCGACATGATCAAGAAGGGCACTGACAAGCCGTGCATCAGCGCCGCCATCCTCAAGGACCAAGAGACCAAACTGACCGGCGTCGAGGTCTCGTCCATCTGCCTGTCGCTGGTGTCGGGCGGCTTCGAGACCATCCCGGGCACCTTGACCTCGTGTATTGGGTCGTTGTCCACCAAAGAAGGACAAGTCTTCCAGGAGCGTGCCTACGACGACATCCGCCGCTACTACCCGGACCTGGGCGCCGTCTGGGCCAACAGCTTCCAGGAGGAAAAGGTGCCGTACGTCAACGCCATCATCAAGGAGGCCGCGCGCTACTACACGGTCAGCGCCATGTCTCTGCCACGCAAGACCGTCACCGAGGTCGAGTGGCGCGGCGCAAAGATCCCGGCCAAGACCATGGTGCTGATTAACGCCCAAGCCGCCAACCATGACATCGACCACTTCGGTCCGACCGGCAATGTCTTCAACCCAGAGCGCTGGCTGAACGACGACTTTGTCATGAATGCGGCCTCGGCGTCGTCCACCGTCGGACCGGAGGAGAAGCCCGCCCAAGGTATCCAGCACTTCTCTTTTGGCGCCGGCTCCCGGGCCTGTTCCGGCCAGTTCATCGCCAGCCGCCTGCTGTACACGGCGCTGATTCGCCTGTTGTCGTGCTACAAGATCGTGGCCAGCGACGATGAGCCCCCCAACACCGACTATGTCGACTACAACCAGTTCAAGACCGCCTTGGTAGCCATCCCACGCGACTTCAAGGTCAAGCTGATCCCGAGACATCCTGAGAGCGTGATTCAAGAAGTCATGTCCGACGCCAAGGAACGTACCAAGGACTACTATGTCGAAAGCAACTGAGTGAGGAGTAGCAAGGTTGATGGACATTCGACTAGAAGAGTGTGCCACAGCCACAGCATTTCCGAGGCAATTTCTTGTTCTTGTCGCATTTAAAGAAGATAGCATAGTACCGATGGTGTGATGGGAAAAGTCTACTGGGTACCAGCAGTACAGCAGGACATGGGATATTACAGTATTAGTGATATTGGTAAACGGTAAGACTGCAGGGAACTTGAAGGTGGACGGGGAACCTGATAGCATGGACATTGACCTCGACCTTGAGAGATGACATGAATAAATGAATGAATAGATTCCACACACGGATTCCTTGCCCGTCTACAGTACCAAAACTATACAAATACACGTACAAATAGGTACACATGCACGTAGGCTTAGCCACCCCTGTCCATGAAATCAAGTTACTCCGTAGGCGTATAATGTCCAGTACGGATACCACCCCAGCCCAGACCCAGACGGGCTTTTCCGCCCTCATCTCATCATTCTTGTATGTGTCAGTGTCCTGGTGGCTTTAGGCCGTGTACGTGCCGCTCGCTTATCTTATACGGAGTACTGCTACTGTGTGTTGTGTCTCGCTGCGACTGCGACTGCGGGCGATAAGAACAGATCCGTCCAGTACTCAGTACAGTATCCGTACATAGTAGTGGTTTGTGGCCGACCTGTGACTTATGACTAGTCAGCTCAGGTCCGACGCTTTCCTCTCTTCTTTCCTTTCTTCTCATTTCTCTCCTGGAATTGACCTTCTGTGAGTGAGGAAGAAGATAAGCCTATATGAGCCTGGATAGGGTATAGGGCATACGGAAGGGAAGGGATAGGAATCGATATTGATATTGGCATTGACGTTGGTTACGATACAGAGCAGAGTTCGCTGGTTGAAGGTTCGGTCGTAATCGGTTTCTGACACTGAGGCCTGAACCTGAACCTCAACCTGAACCTGGAAGTTGAGAATCCCGTATTCCCGGCGGCGAGACAGCAAAACCGAACAGAGAACCAAGACTCCTGGCAATCTAGACAACAGTGTATTTGATATCTACCACATTAGGAGCATCGAAGACGGATCTTGAAACTACACTTTCAGCAGCATCAACGAGCAATCTACAAAATCATCATCACGGCCGTTCCCTTCTCCCAAATCCTGGCACGGGTACCATGGCACCAACACCGTCTCAACACCTTCCATCCATCGATGTCGATGTTCTCATTGTCGGCGCGGGCCCGGTCGGCCTCAACTTGGCTTACCAGCTGCGCCGGTACTCGTCAGGTCCATCCCAAAGCTCGAGGGTAACTCCGATATCGATCCATATCATCGAAAAGCACCCCAAGCCAGTGCAAGAACACTTCGGCCGTGCCGTCACGTTCTGGCCGCGGTCCATGGAGATTCTCGCCCAGATGGGGCTGGCAGACCAGATCACGCAGCAGTGTGTCGCAGTGCGCTCGTCCGCAGCCTACGACGCGACGGGGAACGAAGTCTTTGGACGTGGATGGAGTTTCCTCGAAGGCATTGAGGACACGCGGTTCAAGTTCGCGAGTGTCCTTCGACAGAAATTCGTCGAGGACATTGTTCGCGCGAAACTGAACGAGCTCGGGGTCCAAGTCAGCGAGATGCGCAAATTCGTCGGCCTGGAGGTAGATGAGTCCGTGCCGCCGGGAGAGATGGGCAGAGTCAAGGCCACCATCCTCGACATGTCTGGCGGCGAGGGTCACGACAAGGAGTATACGGTCAGGTGTCGATACCTGATCGGCTGCGACGGGTCGAGGACAGTGGTCCGGGGCGCGGCCGGGATCGAATCCGACGGGGACAGGACCGAAGACAAATGGGTGAGAATCGACGGAGTGTTGAAGAGCACCAGCATGCCCAAACCGCGGTCTTATGGAGCCATCGAGAGTCCCATCTACGGAAACGTGCTTTGGATCCCGCTCGACCACGGCGCCACCCGCATCGGATTCGCCCTGAATGAAGACCGCCGCAAGCTGTACAAGGAGCTCAACGAGGCCGTCTTCGTTCAGGAGGCGAAGCTGTCGGTGAAGCCGTTCGAAATCGAGTATGAGCGAGTCGACTGGGCAAGCGTGTACAGTGTCGGCCAGCGCGTGGCGAGGACCTTCTGGGCCAAAGAGTCGGTTTTTGTCGCAGGCGATGCTGCTCACAGCCACAGTTCCGGCGCCGGCCAGGGCATGAACGCCGGAATGCACGATGCCGCCAACCTGGGCTGGAAACTGGCCCTCGTCTTGACTGGCGTCCTCAAACGCGACGTGCTCGCCACCTATGACCTCGAGAGACAGCCGAACGCGAAGAGGCTGATCAAGTACGACGAGGACATCAGCGTCCTGGTCACCGGGAGACTGCCGAAAGGCTGGACGGGAGATCCGAACGAAGATCCGAACGTTGTGCTGGGGAGAATTCTACAGGAAGCGAAAGGGTTCAATACCGGCCTGACCATCGGCTTCGACCCGAACATTGCTGTCCTGGGGGACGATGGTGGCCAGGACGAAGCGGTGTTGGCGAAACGCACTCTCGTCCCGGCCCCGGCCATTCCCGGATATCGAGCGCCAGATGTCCAGGTGCTGACTCCTGCCTTGTGGGAGCCCGTCTGGCTGCAAAGTCTGATGCCCAACCTGGCCAGATTCTACGTCCTGGTCTTCGTGGGCAAGTCGCCAGAGGCGAAAGCTGAGTTCATGGAGCTGAGAGCCGACCTTCAGAAGAATCCTCACTTGAAGCTCGACAAGACCACCCAGCCCGAATCCAATGGCACCGGCACCCACCTAAACGGCTCGTCTTATCGATCGTGGCCTGTTGACTTCCTCACCATACTCCCTGACAAAGTTGGCAATGCATGGTTCGAGCTTGGAACAGACCCTGTGGGAAGAGTGTACTATGACAACGACGGCGTCGCTAACCGCCGGTATGGCGTCAGCGACACCTCAGGGGCAGTGTTTGTTCTGCGGCCAGATGGCTGGATCGGCGCGAAATTTCCTCTGGGATCGAAGGGCCTGGTGGATGCCATTGATGCGTACTTGGGCGGCTTGCTTCTTCGGTAGTTGGTAGTGGGGAGATGAATAACGATGACATTGCAAAAACACATAGTATTAGGAATCGTTCAGTAGGATGCGTATGTAGATCGGCGTTGTGCGTGGGTGGATGTCTGGAGAAGTCCCCGATGGCAATGCCACCCCAGCATCAACGGAGATGCTCGTGCAGACCCGTCAACATGCGCGTTGCTCTTCTCCGTGTGAAGCTTGACCCAATAACGTCCATCCTGTACGGAGTACGGAGTATGTACTAGTATCAGCCCGCGAGGCGCTCAGCGATAAGCCTCCACCAAGGCGGTGGTGGGGAGTTCAAGCCGACATGAGATCACTTCTTGACTCTCGTCGGCCTCGTGGTCATGGGCTGCAGGTCGTGGTGCACGATGGACAGCTTCGACCTCCTCGTCATCAACGGTCTGGTGGTGACGGCGTCAGACACTGCCAACTACGACATCGCCATCAAAAATGGCAAGATCGCGCTGCTGGCTCCTCCAGGAGTCCTGGACGTGAAAAGCGCGAAGAGGGTCATTGACGCTGAGGGCGGATATGTTATGGTACGCACTGAGAGTACTCCGTATTCGGTCGTAGAAATGAGCCTGAGCCTGAGGCTGACCTGCTGCTAGCCCGGTGGCATCGATTGCCATGTCCACCTTGAAGAACCGGCCCTGTTTGGAGGGAAGGGGAGGAGTTCTGACAACTTCGAGACCGGTTGGTGAGGTGCCGAGGGACCTGAATCCCGACTGACAGATGCAACAGGGACAAGGAGCAGCATTTGTGGCGGGACAACAACAATTGTGTTTGTGACATCTCTCTCTCTCTCTCTCTTTTCTGTTCTGGCGCGTACAGTACTCCATACTCACAGGTGTCTCGGCAGAGCCTTTGCTCCTCAGCCCAAAACCGAACCCTCTCTCCTTCAGGTCCTCGAAGACACTCATGCCAGAGCCGAGGGCAATTGCTATACCGACTACTCGTTCCACCTGCTCGTGGGCCATCCGGGCGAGCAAGCACTGTCGGAATTCCCACGCCTTCGCGAACTCGGCATCTCCTCGCTCAAAATCTACATGACCTATGCGGCGTTGCAACTGCGCGATGACCAGATCTTGGATGTGTTGCTGGCCTCGAGAAGAGAAGGAATTACAACCATGATCCATGCCGAGAATGGCGACGTGCTCAACTGGATGACGAAAAAGTTGGAGGAGAGACAATTGTTCGCACCCAAATACCACGCAACTTCGCGCCCGCAGATTGTCGAGACCGAGGCCACAAATCGTGCCATTGCCCTGGCTGAGTTGATCGATGCGCCCATGTGAGTCGCGCAGCGTAGTGCTATCCCTTCTGCAACGCAACGGCTAAACATCACCCTCGCAGCCTTGTTGTCCACGTCTCTTCCCCCAGCGCCGCGGCTCACCTTCGAAACGCCCAGACGCGCGGACTCCCCGTCTATGCTGAGACATGCCCGCAGTACCTCTTCCTGACCCGAGCGGATCTGGACAAACCCGATTTCGAAGGTGCAAAGTGTGTCTGCTCTCCACCTCCTCGCGAGTCAGCCAACGATCATGATGCCATCTGGCTAGGGCTCGCCAATGGAACTTTCACCGTTCTATCCTCGGACCACTGTCCGTTCATGTTTGATGACTATGAGAAGGGCAAGAAATCCATCATCAGCACAGAGTATCCGGAGGGGCGATTTAGCGGCATTCCGAATGGCTGCCCAGGTGTCGAGACCCGACTGGCCCTCACCTTGAGTGCCAACCGGCTCCCTCTGCAGAAATTCGTCGAAGTGACCAGCACAAATGCTGCGCGGTTGTATGGGCTGTATCCTCAGAAGGGTGCCATCTTGCCAGGGGTCAGCGACGCCGACTTGACAATCTGGTATCCTCCTGGGAAATTGGGCACTTTCAACCTCACAAACTCCATGCTCCATCACAATGTCGACTACACTCCATTCGAAGGTATGGAACTAAACCAGTGGCCCAGGTACACCCTTTTGCGAGGCGAGGTGGTTTGGGACAGGGACGGAGGTGGCTTGCTGGGTAAGAAGGGCTGTGGCAAGTTCGTGGCACGGGGGAAGAGCACCCTCCCTGGGCCTACCAGAGAAGGAGAGTGGGACGTTAGTACATTTTGAGAACCCGTTATCAGGATTCAGGACAATTGTACAATTGATTTCATTGAGACTGTAAGGTTCACTGCCCTCCGTACTTAAACCTCATCTTTACAGCCGGACATGAATTCGTTTTGTTAGGCCCTCCGCCGCCAATTCATACAATGTGTGTTCACTTTTCACTTGCTCCATCTTTCTCCCCTGAGATGGAAAAGCAGGCCAAGTACAGTAGCCGAGGCACCAAGTTATCGAACGACAAACTGCCCTACACAACATATCATGTGACAGACAGACGGCGTCGATGCTCAGGTCTATGATCTGTTGGATGGCACTGAAGGAGAGTATTCGACTTGTCCAAAGACGTAGGCTTGACGTTTGTCTCCAATGGTGCCAGCTTGATTGTTTTGCTTGACATGTCCACTCATCTCGGGGCTGTTGCCAGTGACGCCGAACTTGGTGGGAGTTCCAAAATAACCAGAGTCTCCAGCTTTGTTCTGTCCAATGATGCCAGGATGACACGGTGACGAAATGGTAGAAGCCCCATGACTGAAGCCAGTGGCACGAGGAGAAAAGGTGTAGCCTGCCATTGCACCAGCAGCGAGACCAGTGTCACTCGAGATGGAAGCGCGAGTAGACAAACTGTAGCCAGAGCTGAAACTCACACAGGCAGTGGGACCATCTGGACCAGCCGATGGGTGGCATGGATACAGACGAGATCCAGGGCAACTAGCTCTGGCCATGCTAGGAGAGTTGAAGGTGACAACTGCATCGCCTGGATGGCTGGAGTCGCTGTCCGCAATGCTTCCATCGAGGAACTTGTCAAGAGACCCGTGCTTGAGATTGGTACTCTCTTGAACTAGATCGCCCAAGTTGCTGCCTGTGGAATGATTAGATGCTGGCCCAAACATTTGAGGTTCATCTAGTATCTAATCTTACGTTGACCCAAGTCAATTGCACCTCGACGAAGATAGGGATTGCTGGCCGGAGATTGGGGCATTTGATAGCTCTCATAGGATCCTTGCCCATGTTTGCCTTTGCGTGCACCATACACCTGACCATACGCTCTTGCTAGATCACGATCCTTTATGTTGCCCTCTCCACCGGTGTTCTTGAGAATACAGTTGTAACAGGGATCTTCGACTCTGATGTAGTCGACTGGTTGCCCAGGGCATTTGAGACCTTGGACAGGGGCACTGTACGAGCAGCGAGGTTAGCACCGTCATATCGAGTGAACAGAAGCTTTCCTAAAGGTGCCGTGAGAGGATGTTCGGGAATCAACGTACTTATTCATGTTTGCAATCTCATAGTTTGGAGAAGGGCAAGTCTTCTGTGTGGTATGACCACAGTTCCACAAGAAGTGTTGGCACATCTTGACTAGGCAGAGGAGCCTTGAAACTTTTCAGGACGAAGATTTCGGACAAGTGGATGGACGTACACGCAGTCGGTCGTTAAGTGACTGGCTCAAGAATGAAGGGTACAGCTGGCTTCCTCGAGGTAGACCAACATGAGTCTAGCAAGAATACAGTCTGCACTCTGACGTGAGTAGTGAGTAGTCGACACTTGAACAGAGCAAGGAGATCGAACAGGTTGTAGCGACAACTATTTAATGGCTGTTTGAGCGATGGAGGCCAGGAAGGATTGCTTGTGTGGTGAAGGGAGCGTGTGATCATTCCTCTCGATAAACTATCGTCGAAACAACACATGTAAACAAAGTCGCGTCCGACCTTGACTGAGTCACGTTGTCTCGAGCAGTGTTAGTCCTCTCCTGGGTGCATCAACAGCAGAGTTCTCATTCTTCCGAGCTGAGGTGCCAACTATCTGGTAAACAGCACCACCAACAGCAGGGTATTGAATTTGCAGGTTCGGCGAGAAGCACTATGCTCTGCAACCGCAGCCAGCTCTTCATGTCAAGATCGTGTCTCAATGTCACGGTCCTCGATCAGCTTCGAGAGCACCCGGTTTTTGAAAAACAGCATCTTCCCTTGACCAATCGTGATTGCAGAGAGGCCGCCGTTTACCTACCTACCCACTCCCACGCCGACAACACCTACCTACTCAGAAAGAGATCTGCCAAAGAACAGTCATGCAGAACAGACGCACGCAATGTCGCATCCATCCTTAGATCCCTCGCCTTAGATGTTCGACCCTCATGCAAAGGGGCAAAATAAGACGGAAGATTCTATAAAGATGATAAGGGATCAGACGAGAAGACACCTCAAATACCTACAAAGTATCCATCCGCTGTCGGAGCACGGTCACCCAGTACCAACCTGGACCCTGGGGCGGTTGTCCATCGCACAGACAAACTGGTTTGACCATTACCTGGCCTGTCCTTCTTCAAAGAAGGTACTATCTACCAGGCTGGTATGGCTGAATGCTGTCAGGCCTGAGACATCAAACGCCACCCTAGAATGCTTGCCAGGCAACATCTTGATTTTCGCGGGCTGATGTGAGCTGAGTCGTCTTTGATGCAGATGTGGTTTGAACGTGGAGATTAAGAAGCGGCTGCTTTCGCGCGGACTATCGCGTGTATGATTACCCTCAGGCAGAACGAACGGCTGGTGGTTGCTGAGAAAGCTTATAAAAGGACTTTGCGTTGCATCTACAGCAGGGGCGAGAAAAATGGTTCGCAACGGCGAGAGCACAGGGATATTGTTCGTGTTCGGACACTCACTCACCATCCAGACCATCTACAGACTTCTCCGCTGAGGGGCCGCAGCCCTTTGAAGGAGTCAACACTAACCGCATCTATTCGACTCAACAAGACCCGAGTGTTTGACAAGTTCACAATCCTTCCTCGAGTGTTGGCCCATAGCGATTACGTCCTCGACCCGGGATATCTAATGTCGGCATTCATACCATTAGCATGAGAGAAGCCTCAGACGTTACATCACGACGATGGATTTATACAATTACTCGTCCTAGACTGCCATTTGGTGCTGCGATTATGGTGGCCTTGAATGAGTACACGGCCACCAATGGTAAGCCCCCGATGCGATCATGAGGCGGGTGGTTGCTCATTGGTGACAGGTGCCACCAGAATTGTGCCTGGATCTCACAAATGAGATGGTAATCGTTGACCTACGGAAGAAGAGACAGTCCCGCCCCGAGGGCAGAGTTGTGTACCTTGTCAGTACTGTGGCATGGTGGCGGTGCCAATGTGTCGGATGGCCCTCGACAGAGCGCCACCGTACAATATTGCAACCGCTACATTCGCCCCAGTGAGAATCAGATGCTAGCAGTTGATCCATAGAAACTGGACCAAATTCACCCACGAATTGTCGAGATGATGGGTTATAGACATATGGAGCGATTCATTGGATACGCTGATGGCCTGGGGCTAAGGGGCCTCCTAAGCCTCGTCGGGCGGCTACAAGGATGAGTGGATGACAGCGCTCCAACGTTTGCGCACGAAGCCAAAGGTTCGAAACTGTAGGATGCAAAACAATGTATCGGCGCCACCTGGCTTCTATCTCACTAGGTTGCCACGAGACAGTGGGAATCTCGGGAGACACGCCATGTTCATCGCTTCCTTGTATTTGCGAAGGGAGGACGCGTGTGATATCTGATCACTTGTGCCGCTGACGTGGTTGTCAAGAAACCAGAAACCCGTAGCAAACAAAAGGGGCCATGGGCCCAGGCACGCAGGCACAGGGCCGAAATGACGTCTTGTCGAAGCCTCCCATGCTGTCAAATCTCGGCCCAAAAAGTGAAAACGTGGGATGTGTTGTAACAGGTGCATTCGAGTGGCTGCAGTGGCGCGGACAGCTTGAGCTTGACAGATGGTGAGGCGGAGGAGAGTGCGCCTGCAGTGTGCTGAGTGAGGGCGCAGGCTCTGACTCCAAGTTGTCCAGATGTGTATTGCCAGACTGACTCAGGTACTTGTAGACGCTGACTCAGCCCCGCACCACCTACTGATGCTACTGGTGCTAGGGGTGCTAATTGGTGCTACGGGTGCTGCTAGGTGCCTACTACACTGACTAGTACCACCTACGCAATTGTTGCCGCCGCTGATTCGGTGGCAGCTGATGGTCCAAGGCTTGGAGCTCGGGCTTCGGATGCGCAATTCAAGTTCAAGTTTGTTTGGCTCGCGCGCCTCATGCGCTTCTTTCGTTGGCATTCTTCCCTCCTCTTCCTGCGCCCGGCCCTTACTACCATCATACCATCGTACCATCATCCCACTGCTCCTAAACCACTCGAGGTCTGCATGCAACCTCAACCTCAACCTCAACCCCAGCCCCATTTCCTTGGAGTCGCCTGTCGCTGAGGGGGGAAATCCGTCCTGTCGCCTTGGGCCTGTCTACCTGAGCTTTTCGGAAGCCCGTGCATGCAAACATCGGCTTCCCAAGAGTGCGACTTCACACTGAAGCCGGCACTCGCAAACCTCGACTCGAAACCCCCAATTTCGCCCTTCGTTGCTCTACCTATGACCCGTGCCACCTACTATCAAACACCTGCTATCCTCACTGCGGCGTGCAATGGCTTCGTCGCGACCAGATGGTCGCCGTGACAATGGCGGCAGCAGAAGCTCCGATACCGAGCCTTTTCCTGCGATGCCCGACTATTCCGCAGCCGGTCCCAGCACGAACACATTTACGACCACCACAACCACGACGACAACCGTGCCGTCTCGAGGGACGCCTTATACTATCACCTCGACGCAACCTTGGGCTCAGGCTCACAACCAACCCTCAAACCAAGTCCCAGTAACCGTGGTCACCCCACCTGATCAAACAACCTATGCCCCTACAACGAGAACAACCGTGTCCATTCCTCAAGTCCCAAGGAATCGGCCGATTGGCATCAGAAGGCTACCCTCCGCGACTTTCAGTCGTGCCCGCGATGGAGATGTCACTCCGGGTACTGTTAGTGGGGATGTTAGCAGGTCCTCCTCGCTTCGAGGACGTAGCAGTTCGGCACCACAACATGCCAATCTCGATATCGCCGGCCCGAGCGGTGGCTCGACAAGACAAACTCCAAGAAATTCGCTCCTTCCCACCGTAACAGAAAGCAGCGCCGGTGGTCGAGACACGCTAGGTGAACCCTCCCCCAGCGGGACCAGCAGGAGACGCAGTGTCGGCAATGCTGCACGATCTGTCCTTAGTAGGTTCAGCGATCATTCTCGAGAGCGTGCGGAGTATCAAGGGGAGGAATATGGTTCCGATGTGGTAGACCTGTTGGACGTGCTGGGTGAGTGGTGTAACATATCTGTGGCGAAGGACATTGGACTGATTGATCTTAGACCCGGAGGTCTCCACGTTGACCACATTGACCAATGTTCAGAATTCATTGTTCGTTCCAGATCTAGGCAAGTGGCTCAACCGAAGGCCGACATACGAGTTGAGTCGCCCGTCTACGGTGAGAGGACGGCGTGAGACGATGGAAGAAAAGGCCACGCCCGGTCTGTTGCCTATTCCCAGTGAAACGCCACCGGAGGAGGAACTTCCCGGAGAAGTAGGAGAAGAGCCGACAGGTACCGGTACGCCCATGCAACGGACATGGTCATGGCAACGAAAAGCAGCGAATCTGGAGCGCACCCACAGTATCTCGTCCGTCGTGTCAGAATCCCACTATGCCGTTCTACCCCATGGAGTCAGATTGGATGGGTGGACCGACGAGGACAAGGAAGCCCTGGACGACCACGTTCGACATATGTTGCACTCGAAACGGTCCAAATTCAAGCAAAGCATGGTGGCTTTCGGCAAATATATCAGTAAACGTCAGTATTTTCCTGCTTGTATTGGCGATGCTGGTAACTAACACGTGGAGCAGCCCTTGGGTTTTTCGTCACACTCTATGCGACTTTAATTACGCTGTTTGGTCTGGCTTGGGTGCTGTTCTTGATCGGTGAGTTGCCCGTGTCCGGCCTCGGGAATGTGGAGACTAATAATGGTTCCAGGCTGGATCTATGTTGGCCACCGTCAATTCTACATTGAAAATATCATTGATAATGTGCTTGTCGCCCTTTTTGCCGTCATGGGCGATGGGCTTGCACCATTTCGGATGGTCGACACCTACCACATGATCTTCATCGCCCACTATCACCACCTGACGTGGCGGTTACGACGAGAAAAAGGCCTCCCAAAGCTGCACGACCATAACGACCTTCCTCGTCCGCTTGAAAAGGAAGTGGATCCCGAAACTGGCAACCCTGAGGAATCCGAGTTTTCGGTCCTGAACCGCAAGCAGCAGCAAAAGTTGATCCACCACCAGGCCAAATTCTCCAAGTCGCACTCCTTCTACAAGCCACATGAGACGGGCACGCATTATGCATTTCCGCTACGACTACTGGTGGCCATTGTGGTACTGTTGGATTGCCATTCGATGTTCCAAATCGCCCTTGGCACATGCACGTGGGCCATTGACTACCGCACACGGCCTCAGGCATTGACGGCTACAATTCTTTCGTGCTCGATTACCTGCAACATCACCGCAGGTGTACTAATCGCCGTTGGCGACCGCAAAACTCGAAAGAAGGATGTGGCCGAGATGTTGAAACGGCAAGAACTGACCACGGCTGCGATAGAGAAGGTGGAAAAGCATAGAAGGGAGAGAGAGGAACGGCTGCGGCAAGCAGAGAACCAGGAGAATTTCGAGGTAATTGATGAAGAGACAGCGGAGCAGATGAGGTCGGAATCGCGTCCTCCCCATTAGGCGCCCTGCTCTAGCGGCCATTGTGCGACATACCGGGGCAAGGCGCTGGAGGGTGCTGCATATATATTTGACACATACTTGGACTATTTGTCCACCGTGCGGTGGTGCGATCGTTACCCTACAGGCCGGGTCAGGCTTTGATTCTCCATACGGCAGGATTGAGTCAAGTATCTGGATATCTATTCAGAAGTGGTCCCGACTTGTGCATCTGTGATCTGTTATTTCCACGATAGAGTGGCATTGTTCAGATAGAAAAGATCAGAGTGCTGCACAACATGGCCCGATTTCGTAAGATATCAGGCACCGGCCCTTGAATCATGCTCATGCCTTCAAAGTAGTCGATCACAACATCACCGCCGACGGGTCGTCGAGAACTGCTGCATGTCACGTGACCTGTTCCCACCTCAGCCTTGTCTACAATCATCGATCGGCCTGACGTCATCCGGCTCGCGTCCCTGGCCAACATGAGTACAGATGGCCACCAATAACAACGGCTAGGATGGCTAGAGTTCAAAAAGATCCATCATGGTCATGATCATGGTGCTCGTGCTTTTCGTTTGAAGGTTGAAGACTTGTCCAGACTCGCTCCATTTCTTCCTCCTCCTCCTTCTCCTCCTCCTGACCTACCCCCGCATGCTTCTCTCACCTCGCTGGGAAGCTGTCGATACCGTCTATAGTTGTTGTTGTCGACCTGGGATCACTCATCGCAACGGCGACGGGAAACGACATACCTACAAGACGACTCCTCTCCACTTCGGTCTAACAATCTAATATGGCTTCTGAAATACTGCAACCCTTCTTGGGGGCATTGCAGGCCTCTCTGACGGTTCTTCTGGACATTTTCTACGGCGTGCTTGCTGCTCAATTCGGGCTTCTGGACGACGATTCCGCCAACGCCATCTCCCGCGCCGCCATCAAAATGTTCCTACCTGCCTTGATGTTCACGCGAATCGGCTCGGAAGTCCACCTCGAGTCTGCCACCAGGTATCTCCCTATTATCGGTGAGTACGGTCCGATCTGGCGGTGTGCCCAGCCTCAAGGCCACATGGACTGAGTAGCTCTAGTTTGGGCGATTGTGTATCATGTAGCTGCCATCGCCGGAACTCTCGCAATCTCACGCATGTTCAAGCTGCCCGCGTGGACGACCCCGGCAATCTCCTTCAACAATGCCATCTCCATGCCCTTGCTGTTGGTGCGCTCCCTCGAGGTCACCGGTGTGCTTGAGCCGCTGACGGCGAAGAGCGAAAGTCCATCCGCTGCAGTTGACCGAGCAGAGTCGTACTTTTTGGTTTTTGCCATGGTGGCCAATGGAATCGTCTTCGCAGTGGGCGGAAATCTTTTGGGCAAGAATGAGAAAGACCAAGATGATGGGGAGAATGGGCCGGGCGACAGACATGAAGATGGTGAGTCTAGCACAGATGACAGAGAACCCGGGCATATATACTACAACCAAAGAGGTAAATAACTCATGCGCGAGTATAGGTGAAGAACCAACCGAGCATACATCGCTGCTTCCAAACTCTGCAGTCCGAGCCGAAGAGAGGATAGGTGCAAAGGCACACAATAAGGTCAACGAATACAACGACAAGCTTCCGCCTTGGGCGCAGAAGACGCTCCGGTATTCGTCCAAGTTTGTCAACGGACCTTTGCTAGGGGCGGTGCTTGGGTTCGTTGTCGGACTGGTTCCGTGGCTCCACAGGGTCTTCTTCAATGATACCCAGCAAGGCGGATACTTGAACGCGTGGCTCACGTCCAGTCTGAAGAATATTGGCGATCTGTTCGTTGTCTTGCAGGTGGTCGTCGTCGGAGTGCAGCTGGCCACCAGCCTGCGCAAGTTGAAGCAGGGCGAGGAATCGGGGCCCGTGCCGTGGGTGCCGATGGTCTTTATCATCGTTGCAAGGTATTTGATATGGCCAGCGTAAGTAGTACTTCCAGGGGATCTCGTGGCCGTTGTGGAGTGAATCCTGCAAACCATAGCTAGACTAGACTGCTGACCAGACTCTTTGACTTGTGCAGGATCGGGATTGCAATCATCGGGGCCTTTGCAGCCAAAACCAATGTCTTCGGAGACGACAAGATGCTCTGGTTCACCATGATGGTGATGCCAACTGGCCCGCCTGCCATGAAGCTGCTGGCGTTGGCTGATACAAGCGGCATCGATCAAACGGAAATCATGTCCATTTCGAAGCTTTTGACGGTACGTGGTTTTGACGGCTGAATTTAATTGGAGCAAGAGTTGTCTGACATGTTTGGTGTCTGGTTTAGATTGCACATGTCGCCGCACCCCTGAGCTCTATTGCCGTGGTTGGAGCCTTGAAGGCCGTAGAAATGATCGGGGGAAGTTCGTAGATTTTTGAATGTTTCGAGGAAATCGGCCGTCGTGGCCCTAGCCGTGCTTGAAAGGGAGGCCACGAAGGGCTGCTCTAGCGTCAAGTCCAGTTCTGCTTTGCTCTGCTTTACTGGAGTTCATTCTTGTGAAACCTTCGTTTCTCTGTTGTTTTGTCAAATGCCAGTATGCCGTCACCGTCCCTTCGTTTTCTTTGACTGGAGTTTGCGCCGTTCTATATGTCCGCCAATTCGTGCTGTTATTGCGTATGTCTTGCCTGCTCTTTGGCGTAGAGTGGATTTATAATGAAGGTTCCGTTCATAGGCAGTCAGGTACGTTGTACTGGCTGGACTGGTTGGGCTCGATGAAATCTCTGACCTCATTCAACTGCTCGAACCTGGTGTGAAGTCTAGTCCTTCCTTCCCTCAGCCTTGCGTCGCGGCCAGGCTAGAGTCGGCCGAGAGGGTGGGACTGCTTCGTGTCTGGACGCGGCTGGCCACCCTGCAAGGCTGAAGGGCAAAGACTCAGCTTGAGGGTTTCTGTCCTGTCTCTCGCCCAGCGTGATATCTTAGGTGAGATCGATAGACCCATGTAACCACAGTGTAGTGTCGATGTCATGAACTTCGTAGGGTCAACATTGTCCTCTCTTTGTGGAGATAGCATAGACTTCTTGGATAGGACCGAGTCTGCTGCTGTGTATGATGAGCCAGGCTTACCATAGTGGGCGTGACTCGAGCTTAGGTCCACCATCCTGCGTGACGAGGCTGCAGCTGCGGGTGCGCAATATATGGCCATCCAGATCCAACATTCACTGCACTTGCACGATCACATGCCCTCCTCATCTTCACTGCACCATCACATGATCACCCTCACGGCCGAAAACCCATGTTTATATATTCGACATCCAAAATACTGTTCAATTCCGCCGTTACCAAAACTCCAGGCTGTGTACCGGGTCACCCACTTCCACGAGGCATAAACCTCTAGAGTGCTGGCTTTTAGGTGGTCTGGGTGAGTAGTTTCGGTGATGAGGAAGGCCTCTCGTGGTCTTCCCCCTAGTTGCTGGGTCTCAGGTTCAACTGACGTACCGGACAAAAAGCCACGACTTATACAGTGGCTTCACTTCCCTTGCACCACAGCCCGCCGTGCTTCAAGGAAAAAGTTTACCCTTCCAGTTGTAACCACGGAAAAAAATCCCTTAGGGGGTTTTCACTTCCCTCGAACCGCCTTACTTCCGAGTAAGTCGTTTCGAGGAAAAAGTTTTTTGCTGCTGAGTGGAAAGAGGGAGGGTGGGATTTGGATTTGGATTTGGGTTTGGGGTGGACGCCCGTGCCAACAAGATACTAAGCTTATGGTTTAATTTCACAAGTAGAACAAAGTCTTGATCAGATATTGCAAGTTGTTTTCCTAACACGCATTCCCTCATAAGAGTTAAGCCGCCCGATTAGTGTAGTTGTGGAATTTGTTAGGCCCCGGATTTTCGAGCCACTGGTCTGCAAGTTCGAGGGCATCGTCCATGAATTTGTTCACATCAAAAGCCTCGGCCATGCCTCTTTTTTGCAGCGCCTGAATAGCAGCAACGGTCCAAGTCACACAATTCTGCTTCGGCGTCGCATCTTTGATCGGAAGCGGAACTTCGTTGAGAATAGCTTCGATTTCAGAGTCTGTAACATCGCTAGGCACTTTCCCAATCATAATCCTCCCAATCTGATTACCGCTGTGTAAGTCATCGACTTGCACCTTTGTTCGAAACACCCAGTCGTGGTTTGGATTAAGGTCATGGTGAGTCGTTGCATCTGGCATTGGACCACCGATACGTCATAAGCCACTGAATCACGACCTTTGAGTTTCTTGGGCTGGATAAGAATTCCCCAGTGGTAGGCGGCATATCCCAACTGTGTTCTGTTCACTCGAAGAGAAAGTTTGTTACGGTGGTGGATTGTGATGGAGACTCGGGGTTTGTTGCTCATGTTCCTGTAGAGGGGTCAGCATCAATGTGACAAAAACGGAGAAGAGATGTGCATACACCGAATCCGAATCTCAGTCTGATATAATACTCGCTGGGCTATGGCTGTAGCCTGTCTACTCCCAACCTCAAGACAGTATTCGTAGTATAGATATAGGACACTGGACAGCGCAGCCGACGTAGTCTCCGTATACTAGTACACTAGTGCTGCTAGTAGATGACTAGTTGACTAGCATCTGCACTACAACTGTTACGGAAGGGCTGCCGCGGCGGATTGGCGCCAAGTCTACTTACTAGTACTACCACTACGTGACCTACCAACGCGCCTAGACAATTCTGATGGCTCTGAATGCTGAGGGATCAGAGGGCTCTACTGTCATCGCCCTTATCGGCGCAAGTGCCGTACTAATATTGCAGGTGAGCAGCCGTTGGCGACATCTCCTGGTCTGAACCCTTTGCGATAGTCTCGCTTACCTTTCTACAGGCCATGGCTCTTGTCATGCGCTTCCGAAACACTAGAGGATCGCTTCGTCTCAACACCTTAGGCAGAGGCAGCTACTCACCCACGTTCCTATGACCATCCCATCATGCCAACATTTGAGCGAATAATATCTCTTTTTCTTCGCGCTCGGCTTTGGTTGGGCAAGAAACGCTATCCTACATTCTTAGGACCGAGCGTGGTGAGGGTGAGCAAGACCCGACTCATCAAAGGACCGTGTCAATCGCCGGAGCTGGAAGGCTTGAGATATGTCGCGCAACACACCTCCATCCCTGTGCCGAAGGTTCATCGAACCTACCGCGTGGACGGATGCCTCTACATCGAGATGGAATATATCCCAGGGAACACCCTCCAAGCTGCATGGATAGGCAATACTCTGTCACCCGAGGAGAAGCAAGCTATTGTTCAAGAGCTTGCCGCTTACATTGATCAGCTTCGAGCTCTCGAGCCGTCACAGAAAGAGGTGGTCGCTTCAGCGGAACTTGGACCATGCCTTGACTACCGAGTGGGATTCGATGTCTTTGGCCCTTGACACCCATGAAGAATTCCATTCTTTTCTTCGTGGACACATCTCCTTGGAGAACTCTATACAGTCATTCGGTGAAGGGGTCACCCGGTGTCATACTCGTCAATATCGCTCCTGCTTCTCCCATGCAGACCTATGCGCACGTAATGTTATCGTGCGCGACCGCAAGATCGCTGCCATCGTCGATTGGCAATTCGCCGGATGGTACCCGGAATATTGGGAATACACAAAGGCGCACTATGGACTTCTCAATATGCCTGACTGGTACTCGGAGTTTAAGGATGTTGTAACTAGATATGACGATGAGTTGGATGCTGAACATGCTCTGTGGGAGCGGCTCAACCAACCGGGAGAGGCGCTCAGGATGGCATTAGAAGATGGCTAGGATCTGACCGATGGAATATTCAATAGCACGAATGGCTATTGCTATGACTAGGATCAGCCATGCGGCAAGCCAACGTCAACCCAGATACGGGGCGTCCTCGCGTCCTCTTGCGCGGTTAAGGTGTCAGCCTCGTGCCTGATGTGATGCTGCCTCAGCCTTGTGCCTCGGGCCTAAACACTCCGGCTCCGGCTCCAGGGTCCCGATGACGTACATTGGATGGAGCCCGGAGCCTCGGGCGCGCGAGGCTTTTTAGGCTTTTCCTTTTTCATCGACAGTCGCCGTCGCTCATCGCTTGTTGCTTCGGCAGTTGCAAAAAGACACAACTTCCTGGTCACCAGGCCCATGGAAAACTCTTCACCTCGTATCACATCCCCACACTCCTACTAGGCCTCTTAAACCTTGAACCCCTGAACAAGATGATTGACGGACACTTCTTACTACTCTCCTGTAAGTCGGAATTTCCATTGTGATCTCGCGGAGCGGGGATTTCTTTTGTTCCAACGCCGGCAGCACTGTCTCTTCAGTACATTGTGCATTGTGGCCGTCCATTTCCCTATTACTGCCGCTAGCTACTTTTCTCGTCACCACCTCTTGAGCTTCATTTGCGCCCTTCTCCTTTCACGCCGCAAACGCAACTCCAATCCACGCCCACTACCAACACCAACACCAACATGCCGCTTCCCACCGGCGTCTACCGCGCCGACCAGGTCGGATCACTTCTCCGGCCGCGCGAGATTCTAGAGGCGCGCGAGAAGGTGGCGGCAGGAAGCTTGTCTCAGGCGGAACTTCGCCAACTGGAAGACAAGCACATTGCCGACGTGGTGCGCAAACAGCTGCAGGCCGGACTGCGGTCGATCACTGACGGAGAATTCCGGCGGGCGTACTTCCACCTGGATTTCTTGCAACACTTCGACGGGGTCGAGGTGCAAGGCAGCCTGACGTCGACCAACAAATCAAAGGGCGGGTGGATGCCGCCTCGGCTCGTGGTGACGGGCAAACTGGGCCACAGCAAGCCGATCCAGGTCGACGACTTTTTGTTCTTGGAGCAACAGATCGCGGCGGCGCGGGCGGAAAGCAGCAGCAGCATCTCCGGCCCGGTGACGACCAAGGTAGCGATCCCCAGTCCGACCATGGTGCACTTCCGCGGCGGGCGCGACACCATCGACCGCACGGCGTACCCGTCGCTGGACGAGTTCTTCGACGACCTGGCGCGCGTGTACCAGGAGGAGCTGCAGGACCTGTACGACGCCGGGTGCCGGTTCGTGCAGCTGGACGACACCAACCTGGCGTACCTGTGCGACGAGAAGATGCGGAGCGACGCCGAGTCCCGCCACGGCAGCGACGGCCAGGCCCTGGCGCGCCAGTACGCCGACCTGATCAACCGGGCCATCGCCAAGCGGCCGCGCGACATGACGGTCGGCATCCACCTGTGCCGCGGCAACCACCGCAGCCAGTGGTTCGCCCAGGGCGGCTACGAGCCCGTCGCCGAGGTGCTGTTCAAGCAGCTCGACGTCGACGTCTACTTTCTCGAGTACGACGACGCCCGCAGCGGCGACTTCAGCCCGCTCCGCCACCTGCCCGACCACAAGGTCGTCGTCCTCGGCGTCATGTCCAGCAAGACCGGTCTTCTCGACCAGAAGGACGCCATGATCCAGCGCCTGCACGAGGCCGCCAAGTACTGTCCGCGCGGCCTCGACCAGCTGTGTCTGAGCCACCAGTGCGGCTTTAGCAGTACCATGGAAGGCAACGAGTTGACCGACGACCAGCAGTGGGCTAAGATTCGGTTGGAGGTCGAGATTGCAAAGGCTGTTTGGGGGGGTGCACAGTCATAGTCGTAGTCATAGTCAATCATAGTCACAATCCAAGTCACAATCCAAGTCACAATCCAAGTCACAATCCAAGTCACAATCCAAGTCACAATCCAAGTCACAATCCAAGTCACAATCATAGTCACAGTCAAAGTCATGCTGAAATGTTCAAGGTCAGGTCCCACCGGGGGCAATCAACCTATGCCAGCATGACGCGTTCTAGGGATAGGCAGAAGTACATATACGAGAATGAATGCTAGGAATCCCTTAGAGACCTGTGAGTTAGTGAGTGTAGGTGTGGGTGTAGGCTTGTGGGTGTGTGTGGATGTGTGGACTGAATCAGAACCCAAAGCAAACGCTACTGAATGAATGAATGTATTCGTATCGAAAGTCCCTGACACAACAGCAACAGCTACAGCTAATATCTAACAAATCATCCCAAACTAAACCAAACCATGATGAACTTCGGGTTGAAAGCTAAAAGTCGATATTTGAAAGGTGATATTTGATATTTCAAAGTTGATACTTGAAGTTGATATTGGAAAGTTGATATTTAATATTTCAAAGTTGATACTTGAAGTTGATATTTGAACGTTGATATTTGAACGTTGGTATGTGAACGTTGGTATTTGAACGTTGGTATTTGAACGTTGATATTTGAAAGTTGATATTTCAAAGTTGATGATTGATATTCTTTCTTCAATCGCAGAACACTTTTCAATGTCCTTGATGACTTCGGCCGCCAGTACTCGCTTTCGGTTCCATACGAGTCGCGGAACACGAGTTGGGTGGCGTACTCCGAGGGCTTTTTGTCGAACATGATGAAAAAGTTGTCGATCATCGTGGCTCCCTCTACTGTTGAAATAGGTGGAAATCGTCTTTTGGGAAACCTCGGGCGGCGGCGGTCTCTATTTGGTCGACTGTTGCCAACGAAGTTCGGTGCACTATATATATAGGTTGTGGCGAGAGGTGATTCGTATACCTTTATTTTCAGGCAGTGTCCTTGAACCGCCTTTTCGTTCGGGAACTTCCACCCCTCGCATAGTTCCATGTGGTCTTGACTTTCAAACCGCATGGCGAGTTCTCCCGCAAGCGCCATGTTGCGAGAGAAGATGTTGGCTATGCTCATCCCCATCATCCCGTGGTAGGAAGGGTTGTCTTGGGTGCAAAACCAGCAGGTATGCGCTGGAACCTGGGTGGAAGACATTGTCAGGAGGATGAAAATGTGTATGGAGTAAATGTTCTTCCGTTCTGGAGGACAACTTGAAGTGTGAAAGGAGTTCCGTGCCTTGCACATGGCTCCGCCACCGTGTGTCCCTCGTTGGACCCACATGCTGTACACTTTTCAGTGTCTTTCAAGACCTTCGCTGACCAATGGATCCCCTTTGTTGCCTTTGGAATCTCTGAACACCAGCTGAGTGACATACTCACTGGGTTTTTTCTCAAACACGATAAAGAACGTGTCTAGGAGCGTTGTTCCCTCTACCTGTTGGTAGAGGTGAAAGTCGTCCTTCGGGAATCCACGGGCAACTGCACTCTTGATCTTTTCGGATGTTGCGAGTGACGTTCTTTCAACCACGTATGTGGTTGCTAATGGGGACTCGTATCTCTTGAGCCTCAAACAGTGACCTTGTGTGGCTCTCTCGTTGGGAAATTTCCAGCCTTCACAGGCCGATATGTGCTCCGCCGTTTCGAAGCGGACAGCCAACTCTCCACCAAACTGCATGGCCCCGAGTGGGCGTGGCTTCATGCCTTTTTTGTCCCGCCTGGACCAGGCTTTCATAAAGTCGGCCGCCCCAACGCTGGGGTCGCCCTTGTGACATCGTGTCGCCAACATGAAATTTCCCTCGGTTAGCGCCTTCTGTCTTCCCTCAGGTAGATCCGATCGACTCGACTCGTGCCGTCGTCGTTGCTGAACGCAGTGTTGTCGTGCGTGAACATGATTGTCCCAGAGTATCTGCTCCTCCACCCATCCATCATCGTGCTCTCCTTCGCCATGCACTCGATGACTTTGATTTTGCTGTCCAGATCACTCTGTTGGGTGTCCCTCTGGCTGCTGGTGTCCTGTCGATCTCGCACCATGTTCCAGTCGCCACATATGATGTCGCAGGCTGGTCTTGTGGTGCGGTCGTATTCAGCGGCGGGGGCTTTATTCTCCGCTTGTCACGCTTCGCCCATGCTTTTATGAAATCTGCTGCGCCGACACTGGGGTCTCCCTTGGGGCATCTCGTCGCCAGCATGTAGAAACCCTCGCTCATTGCCTTGGCGAAGGTGCTGATAGGGCGGCCGGTGCCCGTTGGCTCATTTTCTTCCCCTGTCAGGTCTGCGATGGCCTGTGCTTTGCCCTTTTCTTTGGTCTGACTGATGTTTTGGGGTTTCGAGCTTTGCAGGGGCATTCGTCACCACCTTTACCTGGTCGACCTGGATTCCCCCTCAACCTGGAGCTGTATATATATATAATCCCACCCATTCCTCTATCATCGATCCAATCAGTCCAGAGGTCTATATAAGGCGCCAGGAAAGCAAGGCGCTCATCACATAAACGTAAACATAAACAGATCCATGTTTGCTAGATGAAGCACCTGATTCAATGCTGAGACTGAGACCGTATGCTGTAACCAGGATCATTCATGCACATGCCACATCAAAACGCCTGGCTTGAACGCATGCAATCACAGAGTCAAAGCCAAACCAAGACTCACTCATTCCCACTTCAAAAAAGTCTTGTTTTGCAACCACCTGGCCGACCGTACCACCAATCTGTCCAGGCGGGTGAAGTAGTCTGCAGCCCAGAGGACGAGGATGGCATCGAGCAGGGCGCCGGGGATGCGGGCGAGATGCGAGTTGCCGAGATGGACGACGCGCCACGGCTCGACGACGGTGCGGTAGAAACCGTAATAAATCGGCCAGTGCATGGCGTAGATGCCGAAGGACAGGTCGCCGAGATACTGGGAAAACCGCCACTCAAAGGGTAGCTGGAGCATACGGCACGAGTCGAGAGACAGCACCAGCAGGAAGGCGCCGATCCCCAGCCAGAAGGTATAGGCGGCATCGCCGTAATAGGACGGAATCAGCCGGATGAGGTAGGGCCAGGGAAAATCGCCATTGGTGGCGCCCAGGTCCGGGGTGTGTTGGCGGTCGGGCTGGCCGAGCAGGACCAAGGAGAGCAGGAGCAGCATGACCCATCCGACGCGCGAGGCGATGGCGGCGGCGGCGGTGGCAGCAGGACTGCGTCGCCAGCGGACAGCGAGCAGTGTCTGGGATTTCTCATCGATCTGGCTCTCAGTTTCAGGTTCAGTTTCAATGTCGCCTTCGGTAGCAGCTGCAGCTTCGCTTTCCGTCGAGGGTACGGGCACGAATCCAGGCACGGGCAAGGGCACTAGTCGAGGGAGAAGAGAGGGAGGAGGGCCCAGTCGCTCCGGGTGGCGAGACAGCGACAGGTCGGCGACGAACATGCCCAACAGGAACTCGGCCACGTAGACGGCCCGCCAGTAATAAGACAGCAGCACGACGATCCAGAGGAAGACCCAGCGGGCCGTCGTCGACAGCTTGCTGGACGCGGTGCTGAAGACAAACAACACGATGCTGCCGCGGTATTCGATGGGGATGGTCCACATCTGGTCGAGGTAATGGGTGTGGAACACGCCTTCGTGTATCCAACCGTCGATGTTGGCGAACGGGTTGCTGCTGGCGGCAAAGTCCAGGAACCAGTCCCACATCTGGGCGAAGAATGTGTCGCGCGGCGTCATCCCGTACGGAATGTACCAGCGCAGCGTCACCATGATGGCAGCGATAAAGGTGGCGACGCCCGTCGACCCGTACAGTCGGATGAAGCGGCGGAATATTGACGACGCTAGCGAGTCGTGCAGCCGCGCCGCTTGTCGGGTGCGGATCATCTTGAGCATACGGTAGCTTAGCACGTAGCCCGAGATGACGAAGAAGATGGCCACCATGCCGGCTCCGCTGTCGAACACGACCCGGATGATGGGCAGCCGCAGCCACCAGATGTTGGGAAGCCCAAAGGTATGATAGATGAAGACCATCACCGACGCATACCCTCGTAGTGCGTCGAGATATGCCGTGGGATGAAGCTCACCCACCGCCCGCTGTTGAGCATGTAGATAGCTCGGTAGGAGGTGTCGGAGCACGCTGAGCGTTTTCGAGCCCGTAGTGCGCCATCTTGACCGCCGCGTCTGGAGGGCCTGGATGGTTAAGGCCTCCTCGTCGTCACCACCACCACGTCCAATGGTTTCGCTCCGGGTGCTCTGGTCGTCGAGAAGCCGGATTGCTTGCTCCATGTCGGGCAGCATGGCTGTTAGTTTATGCAGTCGTCCGATTCGTTTCGGTCAGTGGGCAGATGAGTATTCGGCTGGGGCTGGAGCTGGAGCTGGAGCAGTCCCTGTAGGCACTTGAAGTCACCGAGCAAGCTATTGATCATCAGTCAGTATCAGAACATTCTTCTGCAATCTGTGGCTGCCACAACCTGGATGGTGATGCTGACCTCAAATCTGCCCATGCAAAAGTACCGCACTGGCTGAGTTTGCCCCCCGCTGCGCAACAAACGGGGACTGTGGGCAGATAAACTTTTCGACATCGCAGTCAGTGGTCACAGCACAATACCCCTGACTTTGGTATACGAGTAGACAATCTATCTGAAGGCGTGATTCAACGCAACAGGCCTTGTGTGCCAATCGGTCGCCTTCTGCCATGGTGCAGGCCATGCTCTTTTGAGTTCTCGGAATTTAACTGACGGCACGCCAGACGGGGAAGCGAGCTTGCTTGACAGCCGAAGGTTGATATTATGGGCCACCTCAACATACTTTCGCAGACCCCCAACTTCAGCTTGCCCCGCATCCTTTCTTTTCACCAGCAGGAGTGTGGTGCACACTGCAAACAGATTGCTGGGCTTGCTCGCCTCGGTGGATGATTTGTACAAGTCCAGTGCACAGCCAGACCGTCGCTTGCCTGCCACAAAGGGGTTAAGGGGGTCAAGCGGTTGAGTTGACATGGGCGCAATCATGAGGGTCCGTGCTCAGAATATGACAACGGCCGTGGGGAGATACATGGCAAATTTCACTTTCGGGGGAAGCTGTCAACGGTCAGTTGCGGAAAGGCTCGTGTCCAGAGGTTGTTTTCGCACCTATCTCATCTCGCTACATGCTGTCGCACTTGAATGGTTGCTTACCAACTCAGTTGTGGTTCAGGGCAAAAGTCCCCCTTAGCCTCTCCTGCAGGGCACATGGCACCCGCTCAGCTGTCAGAACGTAGTCGAGACTTTCTGGGCGTTCCGGACCGAACTCCAGTGGCAGTGGCAAGAGTGAGACGCCACTTGAGAACACCATTGCTTGTTGGACTGTAGTTGCATTGTGGCCCGCATAGGAGAGAGAGAGAGAGAGAGAGAAAGAGAGAGTACAGATCTTGTTCAATGTGCGGTGTACGGTGTACTAGTACAGATAGTAATAGTAGTGTTTGGTGTTTGATGTTTGGTGTTTGGTGTTTGGCAATGACTCCATGTCCGAATGCCCCTATTTTCTCAACTTCAAGCTGACAGGACTTGGCGCCCAGACGTTGCGCTACACTCCCGTCTGACATCTGTATGTACGGAGTAGTAGCTGTTTGATAACAGTCTTTACACTTCGATACGACCCTGACACGATGATGATTACGGAGTATGTACCAACTATGATTGCAATGACTTGTGTGACGTTTTGGCTTAACGGCTTTGGCGGCCTGGATTGGCTGACCCGATAAACCTAGCACTGCTACTATACGGATACAAGCGTTCAATGGTACCTAGATAGGTCCGTCTAAGGGGCATCGATCTATCTCTGAATTACGTGCATCGTGCAAAGTGTGTTCCAGACCTGATCTGAATTGAGATTCTAGCTCTGCAAGTCTTCGCTGGCCAACAGTTGTACCACCAAGAGCAACCTACGAGTAGAACAAAGAAAAGACTAGAGGAATTAGGCCTTGAGATAAGGATCAGCGACCTTCCTCTCCATCATTGGTGGAATCATGCTGCCGTTGCCTTCGAAGTCTTCAGGCGTGTCTCACTCAACTCTCACATCGCAGCAGAGAGATTCAGGGCCGGTGCATCTGACGGCCGCTCTGGACCACCTGAGACAGTCACCCTTAGGCTGGGGTCAGATCTAGCGGACTCCTACAGGTGAACGAGTTGACCTGCGGATTCTTGAACGCTTCGATCATGCCTTCGATGGCCGCATATGCACCAAGTCCAGCGGTTACCAGCGCCCCACCAGCGTGGATGAGATGCCAGACGTTGACGTACCAGCGTCGGGCAAAGAATCCTCGGACCAGTCGCATGGGTCCATGCTGACCGCGCACAGTCTGCCCGGTGGTCTCATTGAAGCCCTCGCCTTCCTGCATCGAGTTCTTCTGCATCATATACGCCAGATGAATGATGGGTGGAAACGAGTAGCTGAACTGGACGACGCAGAAAGCGGCAATGACCGAGACAAACCCAAAGTAGTCTGGGATGGCGGCGGCAACGACGAAAGCAATGCTCCAGTAGATCGGTACGATGGTTGCAAAGAAATACTTGCCGGCCTTCGACGTGAGAGGCGGCGCATTGAAGATTTCCTGGAAGACTTGGTTGTACAGGACCTTGATGCCGATATTGCCGTAGAGACCCGCGGCGATGAGACCCGATATGACAACCATCATGTCACACGCGGCTTGGAAGCCGTAGACACTCAGACCCATGTATGAGATGGTAAAAGAGTACTGGCCTTGGTAGTGGTACACATAGCAGCCGTAGATGAGGTAGACGGACCAGATGAAGAATTGCGCAATCCACATAGACTTGATGAAGTCCCAAGGCCGGCGCATCTCGGCCATGATTTCAACAAACAACTGGGCCCCGCCATAGGCGAAAACCCCCGACATGAGGCCATTGATGGCACCGACAAAGTTGCTGGAATCCGGGAGCCCGCCGTAGTGAATAATAGGCGGGTAGTTGCCCTGGGCATCGGGGGTAATGGAGTCTGCGTTGACGGCTGAGCCTGCGGAGCCGAGCACGCTGATCTCGTAGTTAGGTGGCGAATGCGCCATCACCCCCATGGAGATGAAAATCACCAGCAGATTGATGCCCACGGCGATCATGGAGAAGACGCCAAAGTTGCGCAGCGTGCGGACCTGGCCCATGAAAAACCCGGCAATCACGAACAGGACCACACAAACGGCATAGCAGAGCCTAAACTTGGACGTCTGAGAGATACCTTGTCCGTTCTGAATGATAACTTGGCCACAAATGAGGAGCAGCTGGATGGACTGGAGGATGTTGACCACGTATCGGGCAACATTACCCATGGTTCGATAGGCCAGGTCACCATAGTTCCGAAGAGGAAATTCGTACGAGTCGAGCCCGAGGTACACATCCCAAAGAAGATAACCGGAGTAGCCAGCCATAAATGCAAAGACCGTGTAGAGCGCGATGCCGGGACCCCAGCCCAGTGTTCCAAGTGCAAAGCCAACACCGTAAGGGCCGAGGATGTCGGTCGCAATGAGATAGAAGCCAGCGCCCCAACTTGCAGTTCTCATGGCACGGGCAGCATTGCGCCATTCATCGTCTGTGATGATAGCATGGCCAGATCGGCGACGGTCCTGTCCTGCGGCATTGGCATTCCCATTGTCTCTGTCATTCACCACTTTCTCCTTGGTATCAGGACTTTCTTCGGAACTGACGCCATTCTGCGGCGCCGTCTGATGGGCCTCAGGAGCGGCCGATGACCTCCGAAAAACCTGCTGCAGAAGTCCGGCCTGGGGGATGTTCTGCTCCGCCTTTTCCTCTTCTCTTGTGAGTTTTGCGTAATGGAGGTACTCTTCAAAGGTCACTCCGGGGTCATACAGCTTACGCTGCATAGGGCTGATGAACGTTTCGGGTCGTTCGGGGTTGCTCGGCTTGCCGCCATCAAGAGCGTCTGCGAGCGACATGGCTGCAGGGAACAGGGTCACTCGCAACTCGACGTCCGAGTATGGTTTATGGTTAACAGAAGTACGAGTGCCTAAATGAGCAGAAAGAGAGGGTTAGAACAACACGGCGAGAGACCAACCTTGAGACCCGAGAGGAGGATATGGGGAGTAGTAATAAACGAGCTTCTGCCATCCAGTGTGGTAACAACATATTGGTGCATGGTGGTCCGACCTTGCCGACGATCGATGTAACCACAAGCCACATGGAAGGTCTCCTGATCCCAAGTCCGGCGAAGGCTGGCCGGTTGACGACGAACCATCCCAGAGAGGAGGCAAGCTGGCGGATGGGCGAATGCTATAGGACGGGTGACGAAGCTGGAGGCGATAGCCAAATGAAACTACGCCAAGCTTCGTTAAGCTTTGTCCAAAACGCGGCCCCGGGAGCTTATCCCAACCAGCCAAGGCTTGTCATTGGGCATGCCGGGGCTTAGGAGGCATCCGCCCTTCCATTTGTGATGCAGCTTCCGTCACTCTCACCCCCTCACCCATGCCACGTCTGTGAAGGATTCTCTGAGATGCAACCCTACCGATGATGATGGGTGGGAGGCCGAATCAGCGTCGACCCCGTCTTATCGTTTCCCTGTCCATCTGGCTACCGATACGAATTAGTGCGCTTCAGATACCAGACACCTGCGAGCATCGAACCACCGAGGATGCACAAGATAAAGATCCTGGTCCTTGGTGGCTACGGAGCGGGGTGAATTCGGTCCGGGAGGCAGTGCGTGCAAGATATAAGGATATCGTCAATTGAATACACATTATCCATGGCTCGGCCCTATATCCATCATCATCACCCTCACCCCACAGGCCTTCCCAAAAATGTAACGCTGCACACTTCCATTCGAGGAAAATCAACCACTTTGCGAGTTTAACCGTCAAGCTGGAGGGCCCGCAAGATTATAAGGCCCGATGGGTGCTCATTGCCTAGGCTGGAACAGTTCTGGTCACTTGGCCGAGACTAGACCGACTAGATCGGCATTGTCCCTACTCTTCGATGACTTTCACATCAGCCGGCGTTTTGCTGGGTAAAGATCGGTCTGCATCGATTGGGTCGATACCTATGTTGTCATGTCCTTTTCCCCAAGATCCAGCTCTTGTCGGACGTGAATGAGTATCACAACTACATCTTCTGTGCCATAGTTGGTGTCGGCCGCTCAGATTGCAACCAATCCCACTTGCAAGTCTTCTTCATGGATTTCCATTTCGAGTCTCGGAAGCGCAGTGGTTGTGAACTTTCCGTTCTGACTTCAGACCGCGATGTCCAGGCACTAGTAGGAGTCCGTTCATTGTTAGGCCTTAGTAGACAGCTTTGTACTGATTGGTCGAGGTTCAGACACTGGGGATCATATTAGATACGGTTGTTAGCGAGTTTCCAGTGCAGGAACATCCAGTACATCTCTGAGACAGCGCGACTTTGCGTATCGTGTTGATCCCCGCTTTTCGGCTCCAGATTGTAGTTTGATCTCACGAAGACACCACAGCCCGTCCACTTCTCTTTCTCGAGTCTTGCCTTGTTCTGGCTGGTGACCTCCTGGTTTTCCTCACTCCATGGTACTCTGTACTTGTCTTCCATACGCTGGTCGAATGGGAATCGATCGAGAAGGCCTTGATGAGCCGAGGTGGGAGAGGGATGGCATCGACCACGTCTCTGCCTGTGGTCAAGATTCGGAGTACACCATCACATCCTCGCCTAGGTGTGATATTCCAAGCCCTAAGCCTGTCTGGTCCCGTTTAAGGCTGCTCATGATCTTGATGAGTTCTTGTAGGTCTTCGCTTGACGGCTTGGACTGATCAGGCTCCATTCGGCCATCGTCGAGGCTGGGGGACAGTTGAGAGTTGATCACTCATGACAGAACCGATGGTAAGACTTTGACCAACTGAGCATTACGATGATCGTGTACCTACGCAGTTGAGGTTCCTCAATATTTCAGAATTGTACAGTACATACCTGGTAGGGGCCTGGTTAAGGTGCACAATACTCCGTACAGATTCGAGAAGCTCGGTATAGTTGCCTTTCTGCCTAGGAATGTAGCCAACTGAACTGGACGCAGTACGTACAATATGCAATACCAGCAAAACTCAGGTACCTTAGGTATTTACTGATGTTAGGTCTCTGTCAACGGCCACTGTACTCCTCTGCTTGACATGGGCCATTGCTGTTGGAAGGCTTTGGAACAAAGACGGTGCCTGCGGCGAGTGACTGGCAACTGGCAACTGGCAGAGCAAACAAATTCTTTCCTCAGCCTGAGCCCTTTATCACTCCATTAAACCACGAGCCGGGCTTCTGATACTCTGATTCTCTGATTCTATCACTCTTCTTCATCAGAAGTCCCACACCCCTCCTGCAACCGCAATCATGTTCCCTCAGTATCTGGCAAGCAGCTACTTGCAATACAAATCAGACACAGACCATGTCGCAACCTGGCTAGCCACAACTGCCAAACGATGCGGATTTGCTGCCGACCTTTTGACTGCCAGCGAGACTGAACCCTCTCAAAAAGCACCCAAGCTAAAGGGAAGAGCCAGGATGCTAGCCAAACAAGCCGCCAAAGCCAACAAGCCTACTACCCAGCCTGCAGCCGCCTCCAAACCTCCTGTCTACACCATTCCTATCAAGGAGTTCCTTCCCATGGCTCAGTATATCAGCGGTTTCGGTAAACCTCCCATTAAAGTTCCCAATAGCTTTGTCCGAATTCTTGATCGAGCCATAGCTTTACGCAAGAATGTAGGGGATGCCCTGCGCAGTCAACCAGACGGACAAACCCTTCGAAACCAGGACGATCGCATCTCCGATGAACGACACTCTTTCTTCGTTGGCGTGCTGGAAGGTGTAAGAGAGACGCTCAAGCCACGCATGTCTGCAGATGTAAAGGCCAAAGGCTTGGAGACACAGGCTGCCGCATCTGGGCCTGAGCCTGAGCCTCAGTCACATCTGAGCAACGTGTTTTCCAGTCTGACGGTGGAAGATGTAGATGTGCCGGACTCCATGGACGAGACACCTGAAAGTTCTACTCCCAACTCTGCCGCTGGTATTCCTGAGCAAGCTAAACCCACCTACAGAGCTGAAACCATGATGGATCTTGAAGAAGCCTTTGTTGCTCTCACCTGTCTCTTGGCGGACTTTGACTCAGTCCGAACCGTGCTCAAGGAAACGTGGATCGGGTACAGCGAAGGTCGGTTTGACATAGTCAGTGCATCCATCACATCCAACACGGCGCTGGAGCTGGCGCGGCGTTTGGAAGAGGAGCAGCAGCAGATCTTCGCACCTCACGGCGGGTCGCAACATATGCTGGAGCTGTACTACTGCGCACATTCTCTCGGGCAAGGCTATGACCACGATTACAGAGAGCGCCCGGAAGATGACATCAACTTCGGCATATATGATTTCTCATCCACCTTCTACTGGCCAATCTACCTTATTCTCAATAGTTATTTGGATGTCCACCAACCAGGTTCGGTCCCTGTATACAAATCCGGGACGTACGGACTATACGACCCTCGTGCCGACCGCTTGAAAATGTCGAACCGCGAGAAGTGGAAAGAGGATAAGATCATTCTCTCCGAGATTCTTCCGGATTTCAGCATAATTTCTTTCGACCCGACCCGATCGCCAACTGACGACGAATTCACTCGAGGGCTCTGTCTAGCATTCAAAACAGGCAAGCTCACTCTCGCTGTGCTTTTAGCGGCCCAGGTATTCCTAGACATTCACCACATTCTGCGCGACAACGTCAACCGTGGGTTCCGTGACCTTTGCAGAGTCGCCGCCTCGAGTGTAGCTTCCATCACAGAAAACTTCAAATTCCACCAGAATCTCAAGATCGAGAATTGGCCCGCATCCAACGACCAGGTGTTGAGGCAGTTGGCGAACCACATCCGAGGCAATTGTGCTGATGTCGTTCAAGGGGTCCGCCAACGGGTAGGCTTCCCTCCGGACATTACTATTGAGGTAAACCGGCTGCTGAAAAACCACCCCATAAAATGCGGACTTGCCGTCTACGACATCAAGGCCACATTCTACGAGGCTGGAGTTACATTCTGCAATGCCTGGGGGTCTGTCCTTTTCAGCGGCCACTTGTATAACGCCGTGAGGCAAGAGAAGCTGTCGGATCATTACTGGAAAGATATGGAGCTGTTGTTCGGACTCCAAGATGTTCAACACATGTTTACCGGTGACCATCCGACCGCTGCAGACCAATATTTCCGCCGTTTCTGTCTCGCCATGGGATATTCAGCCAGTAATTTCGCTCGGAATCGACGAAGAACCCATAACGGCACTGCTTCGGTCTCGGCTTCGGCGGCGGGACCACGCGGGTTGGTTAAACAAGCACCTGTTTCACGCATGTTCATGCCACGCTACAGTCACGGAGCCGAACGTATGAACATGTCGGCGGAGGATGTCGAGAAGATCCTGGCCAAGAGTAACTGGCTCGAGGTGGATGCTGACAACGATTCAGACGAGGAGCGGAATAGGGAGGAGGAGAGGGTGCCAGTCACACTGGAGCGACAGTCCAAACCAAGTTCCAATTCACACCTGAAGAAGAAGTGGGAGACCAGACACCAGCTTAGTGTCGTACAGCTGCTCCGGACTCTCCGGAGCTCGCTGCAGGTCGAGATCATTGAGTTCTCGTTCGACTATTTCAGCATGCATCGCAACTGTTGGCGATTATTGCGAAATGTCAAAGAAGCCACCAAAGACCGCATGCGGCAAATTTTCGGCTCCGATTACCTCGACAAGGAGAGCCAACTGCCTTCTGTGGTGGGATACATCTTCATGTACATGGCACAGGACGACAAGTTGGCCAAGCAGCTTGGGCTGAAGGCTCCGGGCGGCCGATTCCGCACTGCTTCAAGAGAACTTCTGGAGACGGCGGCCGAGGCCATTGATATCATGATCGCTGCCAAAGCTGGGGGGTTCGTAGCAGCCAGAATGGAGCTTACTTATGGCGTGGAGTTTGAGATGGAAGAAGAATAACAAAGGACCGCCCGAACGTGGATTTTGAGAACACCCGAGTCATGGCCAGGATTTGGAGTTGAAGTTGGACTTGGATTTGGATGTGAATGAGAATTCAAAAGTCGAATCCACTGCCCATGAAAATAGTGCTGTAGCTCAAACCGATGTTGTAAGAAGTCCCCGGTGGTCTTGGAATACAGAACAGACATGTGTCGGAGGTTGAAATGTTCCATCTTGTCTACCTATCAAAGGGGTATGGGAGGCCAGACTATATTGTGCCTATACCGGCCTCAGGCCTTCTGATTAAAGAACAAGGCTGAGGCTGGGAATGCCTAGGTTAGTGCCTTAGGTAAGTTTGATAACTTGACATCGGTCCGGTCCGTCTTCGTCTCTAGGACACGAACGAGAAGGGGCTAATTACTAGGCCTCAGATTGAAAAGACTTCGGGTTCTTTGTCTTTAGTTCGTTGATAAAATGCAATCTACTATCTATGTTCTAGGTTCCAGGTTCCACCCACGCTCGTAAGGTCATGAAGGGCAGGCCGTTCATTGCTTGTATGGTATGTACTATTGATTCTCTTGTAAGGTAAGGAAGTGTCCTTCAGCGGGCTTCGCTTCACGCTTCGATGCTCACTGCTCGCTGGTCACTGGTCACTCTTCAATACTCACTCTTTGATATAATACTCACGATTCAATACTCACGATTAGTCACTGGTCACTACTTACTCTTCACTGCTTATTGCTTACTGCTCACTACTCACTACTCACTACTCACTGCTCCCCAAGGTTCAATTCAAACTTCAAGCCAGCCTAAATTACATCTAAATCTTGAATCTGTAATCCAGAATCTCGGATCGCGCATCTCCAATCCAACACCTCACACCTAACCTAAGCAGGATTGACCTCGTCCCACTCCACCCCCGCCATATAAGCCACGGCGGCCCTGACGATATCCATCACCACCTTGACTTCATGCTCGTCCCGCGGCGCATACAGCAAAACATACGACTTGGGCACGACTTTGCGGCCGAACACGCTGACGCTGACGCCGGCCAAGGAATGCAGCTGGCCCCAGCCGGCGCGCACGACTTTGGCGGCGTCCTTGGGCGAGAGGATCACGTGCACCGACGAGTCGGCCGTGGAGTGGACGTGGGCGGTCTCGCGCGAGAAGGGGTAGCCGAGCAAGTCGGCGGTTTGGACGGTAAGTGTGTCGGCCACCCAGATGGCGCCGTGGTGGCGTTCGTATTTGGATGGTTTGGTCTCAATCAGCGTCGGATTGTGGGCGACTAGGGAGGCGAATGCGGCGAGTAGGGTCTGGAAGAATGATATATAAGTTGTTAGTATAGCAGTAGCAGTAGTAGTAGCAGCAGCAGAACCAGAACCAGAACCAGAACCAGTATTGTAGGTCGATACAATACCACCATCTTGCATCAAGTCTCCGAGTCTTCGTAACGGCAATGTCCACCATTGTTTCTGTTTCTGTTTCTGCTCCTGCTTCTTCTTTGTGGGCAAGGTCCTGCCATCGCCATCACCAACAAGAGCAGCGGTAGCAGTAGCTGCTCCAAGGCATCATGTATTCTTTCAGAATACCCAAACTTAACTTGGAGTTACTTAGGTCTTACCTGCTGAATTTCTTCTGGAGCAAATTGATCAAGCTGCCTCTGCGGAATGCCATGCGGCCCCAAAGTCGGCCGGGGGCCGGCTCGCGGTGCCGTCGGGCCCCGGTCGTCGCGCAGCCAGGTACGCTGATCCGGGTCGGTGTCGAACTTGCGCACGTCCAACATGTCGATGGACAGCGCGCGCAAGGTGTTGGTCAACAGCCAGCCGAAGACGTTGTACGGCATCCCGCCCGGCCCATAGCCGAGGTAGATCTTGTAGTCTGTCCACGCAGCGCGGGCGAGCGCGAACGAGCCGACCGCGACTACACCCGCGCCCGCCAGCACGGCTGGATAGAGCAACGCGGGTTGGTTCTGGCTGATGCGGCCGAAGCGGAGGCGGAATGTGGAGAGCGTGGCGCCGAGGGTGTTGGTGGTGGCCATGGTGTTTCTGTCTCTTTATGCCTTTTGTTCTCAGCAAGCTCATATATACACTGAGAAACAGACGACCGATGATAGAGACGCTAGAGATAGATAGATATGCTGTACTTACTTACTGGGCGGAAGGGTCCGGATACCGAATACGAATACGTCCCACCTACCAGGGACGATCGGGGAAACTCGGCCAACACACACGTACGTGACAGTGGTGTGTAGGTGTGTAGGTGTATAGGTGTTATCGTGGAATCTGGACTGTAGCAAGAGGCGAAACACAGGGATGATTGTATCTTAGGCCGTGACAGCACTAGGATAGGTGGTGTACATACAGGGTAGGTAGGTACCTGAGATATTTGGAGTTGACGTTGGAGGTCTACAGTAACTACCGACCGAGTTGGTTCGTACTAGGACGGATGCAGTAAGTGTAAGGGGGGAATATACCTAAGGTGCCTTCGCCGGGCCGAAAGTGTCCGGTATCCGGGCCGGTCGATCATTGATGCGATGGCGACATGCCATCGAAATAGGACAAGGACAAGCATGCCATCTGAAATAGGACGAACGCCCTGTATTTGTATTTGGGATCCCCGTGAGCCCAAAACACAACGCAACGAAGCTGTCCCTACCTAAGATATTCAAGCAGGAGGCGAGGAGTGTGCTGTGCATTGCATCCGCATCGCAGGTGCTCGTAGTCCAAGGATATTGGCGATCGCTACCAGGGTGGTCAGGAGTCTTCTCGTTGCTCTGCCGAACGTGCATTTGAGGGAAAGAATAAAAGATCAAAAGAACATGCGGCTCACATTCCCGCGGTACGAAATTATCCGTATAAGAGGGAGAGCGGCCAATGGGGCCAGAAGAATCCTACAGTCATATATTTGGAAGAATCCTACAGCGTCATATATTTGTCCTAGTCATCCAGGGCCTGAGGTAAAGATGCAGAGAGTACCATAGGTAGATGTCCTTCACAGTGAGTCGGAGTCGGAGTTGACTCATGCTGCAGGGATACTGGTACTGTGAGATAGTATATAGGCCACGGGTGCCTACCTAAGGTACCTTAGGTCAGGTAGGTGGGCAGTGAGTGGGAGGCGAGATAGGGCGGAGCGACTTATCCCAGGGGCACCTAGAGGGGAGGACAGCTAAGGAGTAGACCTAGGCCAAGATCCGCCTGGGTAGCTATAGGCATGGACGAGCACCTAAACCGGCGAGCGCAGGCGCCATCATCACCAGGGAAACAGCTAAGGAGTAGACCTAGACGAGCCCAGGAAAACATTATTTCGGTTATATATTTTAGTAGCATAATTTCTTCCGCAATCGACCATAGGATGTGGAATACAGGGCTTCCCGTTCGCTCAGCCGTACTTAAGCCACATGCCGGTCAGTTAGTACTGAAGTGGGTGACCATTTGGGAATCCTGACTGTTGATTGTTTTTACCATTTTGACTTATGGCTGCTGTGTTTTTGGTTTTGGGTATAGTAAAATGCTACTGAATTCGGTTCTGGTTTGTTTTTGTGTATGTGTGTGTATGTGTACCTATACGGAGTGCTCCGTACACCAATGCCGAGATCCCTGCACGCTACGTCCATGCGACCATCTCTGCCACCTGCATTAGTTGGAACTTGGCTAAGCCACGCGAGTTCACATGCTTAAGTACGAGGAACTTCCTCTATAAAAACGATCCCGGTACTCAGTTTCTGGGGGTAGTGTCTTCGTGGGCTTGTGTAAATCGGTCTTCGAATTTGCAGGCTGTGTACGTTGGAGATTTAGGTTGAAATATCTTTCAAAATGATCTCGCAGGGAATCGAACTTCAAATGGCCTCTGCTCATCGAAGTCTCTGAGATAAGTACTTGACTACAGTCAAGATGGCCACATTGGAGCGGACTACCAATATGGCAGCCCATCCTGTGCCGCTCGAGATGTGAGGGGACCAGATATGCACAATGTTCACAGCCTTTTTCGGGGCACGGCCAAATGCAGTCCAGATGAACTGTCAAAAAATGGATTACCGCGAAGGCTTTATTCTCCATCGGCAAGAGTTCTGGTCTCATAGGTCTCGAGCGCTTTCTCCACATCCCCAACCCATTTCTCTTTAATGCAACCCATGAAGACGTCGCGTAGACAGTCTGGGATGCAATTCTGTGTCGATTTGGACGTCGTAATAGACTCTTGTATCTCTGTTTCAGTGCCTTGAGGAATACGCTCTCGGTACTCTCCGTCAACAGCCAACTTCTCTGATGTTTCTTCTTGTACTTCGTCAGAATCTTCCCCATCTCCGTCGCAGCAACTCATCCTATCATCTTGATCGGTGTCATGCGGTTCAAGCTCTTCAAGATCCGTCACAGAATGGGATGTATCGGTTAATGGCTGGGCACGTTGGCGGGCAGCGTAGCGGTTGCGTATTTGTGAGCACTCCAGATCGATGATTATCTCATGATTCTCACGCAGATGTTCTATAATGCCGGTTTTCGTGTATGGTGCGATGAGGGTGCCACACTCCGGGCAGGGATTCTCGGCTGACTGAAATGCGCTCTTCCCGCCTCTGGTCCAGAATGCGGCCTGTGGGATGTCACGCGCAGAGGGGTCACTTTCTTGATATCGTGCGCGTGAATAGTGGGCGAATGCCCTGGATGCGCGAGTTGGTTCTTCCTGTCGTCCGTGCTCCCGAAGGATATGAGAGCGGACTTTATTTTTCTCTTCATCAATGTAGCCACAATCCTTGCAGCCGAAGCCTGTTTTCATGTTATGCCGCCTCTCGCAATGTATGGGATGGTGATTTAAAAACACTCTCTCCTGGCAGCCATCCCAGGCGCAAGGCACTAATATCGGAGGCATCGTGGATTGGCCGATTTGATTCGACCTGGGCTTTGAAATTCTCGGTTCATGCAACAATCGAAAAGAGGTCAAATGTTCGCAAGGGTTTGTGCGCGTCCAGCCTCCTACGGTTACTGTACCATTCACTGCCTAGATAGAGATAGAGAGTTCTATAGAGAGTTACGACGAGTGCAACGAGCATATGTGACCACTGGGCTACCGGTACAGTAGTGCGCCAACAAAAAGGAACTGGCAATACTCGTATCTGACGAGTATTGTCACGGTAGTCGCTTAAATGGTTGATAATGCGCTAAGGACGCTTATGCCAAGCCGCCATTATCACACATAAGGCTCTCGTTGTCACGTGGGCATCAAGGCTATGCCAAGCCTTAATGGTCACATGGTATCACGTGACACTAAGGCTTGTCATCATCGGCCATAATAGAGATGGAACTTCAAACAAAAAACAAAAACCAAAAAACAAACTCCCCCGGGTGGGCTCGAACCACCAACCTCCTGATTAACAGTCAGACGCGCTAGCCAATCTAGCTTTTTGTTAGTGAACATCTTCGCACAAGTTGCAAGGAACAACATACTGCGCCACAGGGGAATGCTCCCTTGTGAGGGTTGGTAACAGAAATGCTCCCTTGTCATTGTTGGTGAGAATTCTGAGGCAAATTTATATATCCTTGGCTCTTGAAGTTTACCCTTCCGGGCTTCCGGGCTTCCGTCTTGGCATAGTATTACCTAATGTAATGCCAGCACAACACCAATAATGATCCTTACGCATGTGGATGTTCTCCAATCCAAACTTTCGACCCGCGTAAATGCCTTCGTCGACATACGGAAAAACACATTCTTTGCTTGAGCATATTCCAACAGGCTTCTCTGGTGTAAAAGATCAGGCAATCGGATTACAGAGGATGAGCCAGGCAGTCGTTACCTTGGGTGACGATTGGTTGCTCGCCCGCCCTGAGTCTCTCTAAACTACATAAAGTACTTCCTTGGTGAAATTCCCCCGCCATTGAATATTGTGGCTGTGCTTACTTGACAGTCGAGGCTCGGGCGAAGTGCGTGGCTCAAACGCTCTCATTTCGCCGTCGCGTTGTGGCGTCCGAAAATTGTGCATGGGCGCTTTGGAGTCACCTGCTGCCTAGGAGCGGTATTGAACAATGTGTGACCGAGGCTGCTACGTTTGACGACTTTTCGATGATTTCACCCTGTACCTGTCCTTCGGCCAGTGTTGGCTTGCGTTAACTCCTTGTCATGCCGCCGCAGCCAGAGGATCAAACAAATGAGACACAAGAGGGATGTAAATGGGAAGAATCGATATAAGAGCTCGAGGAAGAAGACGATAATATACGGATATACGGAGTATGTAAAATAGAATTGGCTGAGAAAGGAATCTTTCGAGTATCTGAAAAATGAGATACCTATTATTGAGGTAGTCGTGGCTGATAAGTCAGCGAATAGGTCGTGGGCGTCGACGGTTCGGGGACATTATATATGTGTATATATATATATTATCTCTCTCTCTCTCTCTGACCATAAAACAATCATATACATACCCATACAGGCAAGCCACCATCCATTCAAACACTGTCCACGTTACATTAACCATCCCCTGCCAGAGAACACACAATACTGAATACCTAGTGAGCAGTCAACCCATGCTTGTCGATCATGGTCCAAAAGTCCTTGGCGGCGGCCTTGCGAGACTTCTTGCCCACGGCGATGAACAGGAAACAAAGACCCCAGAAGAACATGCCGATGAAGCCGATGGCAATATAGGTGTTCTGCACGCCCGAGGCCGTGATCCACGGGGTCACGGCGTAGCTGAAGCCAAAGCCCATTGAGTTTCGGATGCAGATCATGGTCACCAGCCCGTCGCCCGAGATTTCGCGGTACGAGTCGATGATGTAGTTGATGGCAATGGCGCTGCCGATGGGAAAGGTGCCGACGATGAAGGCCAGGCCAAACGCCAGCCCCATCCAGTGCACGCCGTGGTGAGCGCCCACGCCGAACAGGATGCAGCCGGCGGGATGCAGGATCACGGGCACCACCGCCATCCACAGACGGTATTCGGGCTCGAAGATGCCGCCTTTCTTGCGTGCCATCCACACGGCGAACCGGTTGGCTGACACCCCGGCAAAGAGGCAGCCCAGGGTGCAACCGATGAAGGGCGCGATGAACATGACCCCGATCATCTCGGTGGAGAAGTTGTAGGGCGGAGCGGCGAGGACGAGGGCGATGGTGGCGTTGACCACGTTGAACCAAGACAGGATGGAGCCGACCAGGACGCCGGCAAACGCCACGACCGGGAAGCGCAACAGCGCAAACGGCATCCAGACCGAGCGGACGAAATGGTTGGGCTGGCCGGGTCGACGGGCGCCCCAGAACTTCAGCTTCTGCAAGTATGTTTTCCGGGTCGTCATCTGTCCGACCTCGGTCTGGGTGGGCAACGGGGCAGTGCGTTTCTCGTCCACGCCCATAGGAGGAGTCTTGGTCGATGCTTGGTCGGTCTCGCTCACGTCTTGGTCGAAATCGATGGCTTCTTCCTGGGCTTGGGGTCGGTAGAACATGCTCTCCTCCAACAAGAAGAACATGGTGACAATACAGCCGGCCGAGATGATGGAAGCAATGAACTGGATCCATTTCCAGCCCAGATTTTCCGCCACGAACCCAGCGGGCACGGCGCCAATGAACGGGATGCCAAACAGCATCCAGCAGTACATGCCCACCCAGAACCCTCGGTCGTGGGCAAAAAAGACGTCGGAGATGCAGACCTCGATGAGCGTCTCGATCGGCCCGTAGAAGAACCCGATCAGGAATCGGTTGGCGTACCACTCGCCGGAAGAGGTGACATATGATGTCCAGACGGAGCAGGCCAGCATGCCCAGAGCACCGAGCAGTAGAACAGGTCGACGGCCAATGTTCAGGCCGAGAGGCTGCCACAGCAGATTACTCCAGCCGAACATGAGATACTGGACCCCCACGCCCTGGTTGAGGGTGGCCAAGGGGATGCCGGTGTCGGTCTCGATGTCGAGCAGCGCGGCCGACAGCAAGGTGGTCATGAGGTCGGCCGAGAAGACGGCGAGAAGGCAGACAAGCGCGCAGAGCAACTTGCGCCTCTTGCTCCAGTTGAGAGGGTCGTCGTATTCGGAAGTGGGTTGAGGCAAGAGGACAATCTCCTTGTCGCCGCCCTCTTGATGTTTGACCCTCAAGTTACCGGCTAGATCGACCAAGTGCACGGTGCCGGGCACCACGTCGGTATGTAAGTGATGCTCCATCGTGAGCAGTCGAGGGAGGTTCGAAAAGTAAGGAGACTTCCAAGGGTGAGTCGCAGGGTGCCGGCCGACTGTTGGGGGGGACCGGGGACAGGAGACAGGCTCATTTATAATGCAAGTGCCTGGCCTGTCTTTCCTTGAGCACCGCAGCACCGCTCCAGCATCGCTTTGCACATCTGACCATCCACGATGTTGGCAGGTAGCAAGAACAGCTGGGGAAAGCCCATAGACCAATGGCCGGTGAGCAGGCCAGGTCGATAACGCTGCTGGCTTCGCTCGGATAGATTTCTGTCCAAGTCCAACAGCAGGCCTCGTTATCAAACTCCTTCAAATCCGGAGCAGGATCGATAAGTCGCGGTTCTAGAGGAGAGTTAGTCACGGCGAGTGGGACATGGGATGATCCCAGCGACAGACCGGCCCTATCCACTGTATCCACCCTTTCATACCCCCTTGCCCTTCTCGCCCCTGTTGGGAAGGCTGACCGTTATGCGCGGAGGCATACTCCGTACACCCCACATCCAATAGTGCGTGGTCCAAACTTTCCCAGGCGTCGTCGCCAGGCTGCAGATAAGGGTCGCCGGGCGTAAACTTGACATGATATCTTTCCGACCCGCAAACCTATCTCACGGCTCGATAAGACTGCTGCCAGGTCGGAGCCATCGCGATAGCACGCATCTCGCGAGACCGAGAGAGCGAATGCTATAAGACAAACATGGCCGGTTGCTGCCCTAGAATGGTGGCAGACCCGGAACGTCAACAGCTCTCCCCCCCAACATCATGGCGACGGTTTACGTGAACGGAAATGTCTACACGGTCGACTCCAGCATTCCCCGGGCTGAGGGATTCGTCGTCCAGCCCGATGGCACCTTTGGCAGGGTCGGCTCGACGGCGGAGCTGTCCAAGTTGGCCTCTTCCACCGGCGCCAAACTCGTCGACCTCAAGGGCCAGTTTGTGATGCCGGGCATGCACGACGCTCACTGCCACCTCCTCGTCGCATCGCAGGAGAAGCTCTTCGAGGCCAAGCTCGGGCTCGAATCGGGCCCGGATGAGACGGTTCGCAAGCTCAGAGACTACGCGTCCTCGTGTCAACACCTCGAAACCGTGGGCAACTGGCTTATCGGCAACTTCTACCACTGGCGCAACTTCAAAGACAAGAAGCCAGACCGCAAGTTCCTCGACGAGGCCTTCGGCGATCAGCCCGTGGTGATCCGAGAATACACCACCCACAACATCTTCGCCAACACGGCGGCACTCAAGGCGGCCGGCTATGAGGAGAACCCGGAAGATCCATGGGACGGCTACTACGTCCGGCGGGACGATGGCACAATCACCGGAGAGTTGATCGAGGGCGCCGCCAAACGGATGTGGTCCTCCATTCCCAAGGGTACCCCTGAATCGCATGTCGAGGCCCTCGCATACGGCGTCAAGATGGCCAACCGGTTCGGCTTCACCGCGGTGCAAGAGGCATCGGCCAACGCCGTCTACCTCGAGGCAGCCAAGAAGCTGGACGAGATGGGCTTGATGACCATCAACCTGGATGCACATGTGGTGTTTTGGGGCGCCGCCTTCAGCCAAGAGCTTCCCGAGACTCTCATCCATAGCATCAACAAGGCCTACCGTTATCAGACCAAGCACTTCAACCCCAACTTTGTCAAGTTCTGGCTGGACGGCGTGCCGTGGGAGCCGCACCTCACCCACTGCCCGCTCGCCGACGACGGGAAGCCGGATTACAAGAAGATCCTGGTGCCTCCGGCCATCTTCGCCGATGCCATCGAGCGGTTCGACAAGGAGGGGCGCACATGCAAGGTGCATGTGTGTGGACAAGGCTCCGCCCGGTTCGCCCTCGACTGCTTCGAAGAGATGCGCAAGCGCCGCCCCGACGGCCCCAAGCATGAGCTCGCCCACAACATGGACGTCCATCCCGATGACTTTGAGAGGTACCAGCGGCTGAACATCACGGCCGAGATGAGCCCGGCCATTTGGCACGAAGCAGACTACCAGCCCGAGCACAACCCGATGTCGGTGTATCCATTCGCGGGACTGAGAAAGGCGGATGCCTTGCTCACCATCGGGAGCGACTGGGTCTTTGCGCCAGAAACGCCCAATATCTTCCCAGGGTTGCAGGCGCTGTTGGAGGGTCGCAAGGGCTGGGAGATGGAGAAGGAGGATGTCCTTCGCATCATCACCATCGATGGCGCGAAGGCCACCAACAGAGACGCCAAAGAAGGCAGCATCACGCCCGGAAAGCTGGCCAACTTCATCATCCTCGACCGAGACCTCAGCACCGCCGCTGACATCAGCACCACGGTCGTGCGCAAGACCTTCTTCGAAGGCAAGGAGGTCTATAACTATGAGACGGACGACCTGAAGCACTTTCAGGGCAGACCAGGCTAGAGGCTAGAGGCTAGATGGTGGCCCGACTCCGATGAATCGTCGAAATAGATTGAGACGTGATCCATCCCACTCGGATGCCCCAAACCTTGAAATAGCACTCGTACCATTTAGGTTTATTGTCCGGGTAAAGCGCCTCCACTTCTGGAGAGCAGATCCATTAATTGCGTATGTATATCCGTAGCCGGACCGCCGGTTCCAAAATGCCCGGTGGACACCACGTCTTATTCATCCAGCCAGTGATGCCTTCTGACATCTGTGTTATGCGGAACGTATCAGCTGCACTGGAGAGGGGAAGATCCGGTCCGGTCGCGTCGAGAAGGTCTTTCCGTGACCGCTCGTCCACGCTCGAGAAGAGCGGCCAAGGATTGATTGCCTTATCTATGCGAGCTGGAAAATGCTTTCGACAACGAGATCACCGTCTGTCCACACCATTCGTGGCGGTTCAGCCAGCCATAGAGTTTCGGCGAGGAGGGGGAGCGGTGGACCCAGGAGCGTCTCAACCCTCGAGGTTCAAGTGATGCCCGGCTATGAAAGGCTCGAGTTGCAGGACTATGCAATGCAAGGTCCCAGGCGCCGAATATGGCGCTATCACTTCGCCTGATGGTTGGCTGGCGTTCGCACAGATAGGCGGGATGTGTCGGTATACGGACCCCGACAGTCCTAGCCTTAGGAGCCTCCTAAGCCCTGACAAACGGCTTCTCCTATCGCCATTGGACAGCCTTATCCGATCCGAATGCTTGATCCGCGCCAGGATTTCCACAGATAAGTTGGCCAGGCCCACATGGCTCAATTTCGTATAGTCGCCAGGGGCGATAAGTGCACGGGGAGGCCTGGTGTCAAAGCTGTGATCTGCTTCGCTGTCCGACCGACCGAGGCGTGTTGCTTCAAGCTCGTCGTCGACTACTGATTGAAGTCTATGGTATCCAAGACCAATCACCGTGCGCGGATAGTTTGGTAGTTGGTGAGAGAACAATGCATCTAAAGGGCGCTCGCTGATGGACAGGCAGCTTAGTCTCGCAGCTCTACCCCATCGTCGTCTCCCAACCCTTCTCGATCATGACGTCCATCCAGTACACATTGGCCAGACCCATGTCCAACTGGTCCCAGGTGTGCTTGACAATCTCCACCATTTGCCGGATTGGTTTTGCTGGGAGCACATGCTCGAAAGTGGACAGGCGGCCGATAACAAACTTTCTCGCTTCGAGCACCTGGATACTAGTGCTCACCGGGCAGGAGAGCTCGTTGGAATCGCAGCCAGCCACGCCTGAACCACCAGGATATTCAAAAGAAGGGGACGTCCGCAGCTCACTAGCCGAGGCAACCAGCAAGAATGGTTGGACGCACCGCGTGCGTGACTCTGTCGGTATCGTTCGTAGCAAGTCTACAATCTCAAGGGCGAGCTCCGTGAGTCTGCTGTAAATGCTTTCTTCAGAGATCTTCCAGGCAGAGTGAGGGTCTGACTGTTCCTCGTCGTCTTCTTCCTGGGTCGCAAGAAGATCCGGAAACACGCGATATAGCTGCAGGAGACCTGTGAGGCGATAGACCTCAGCAATGGTAAGCAGGTGCGTCACGGGTGTTTGAGCGTCACCCGGAGAGACGACTGCTTCCTCTGCCGGAAACTTGAGATTTCGCAATCTGCATGCCAGTGCTGCCGCGGTATCGAGGGCTTTGCGACTGGTATCGATGTCTGACAAGGAGGTGAAAAACGGCCGGTTTCTGATGCGGTGACGTTCTTGTCGGACAAGACGTCCCACCTCAAACACCATCGCCTGCGCCTCTCTGGCAACGCCGGTCCATGGATGGGGAAAACTTGGCTCCAACGCCTGGCTGGGTTTGACTGTGTCGGGAAGGGCTGGTCCCTGGTACTGCGACGGCGGCAATGGCATGGTGATATCGCTGACATAGGACAAAAGCATTTCCCAATATATCATCGCCTCCTGAAAGAATTGCAAGTTCCGCGTATTGTTGTTCTCGAGAACAGAAGGGATTTCGCCCATTTGTATGGCCTGCATAATGGTGCGTGCATATTCGAATTCCTTCTGCCCAAGGTCGTTGGCTCGATGCCAACTGGCTGACAGGCCGAGCATGATCAGAGTCAGCAAGGAGCCAGCGTCGACCTTTGACTCACGTATGTCGGCTTCGATACAGGCGGCTGCCTTGTCACGCATTTGCGCACCGACTGCATGTAGGTTCGGAAAGACGTCCGTGAGACAGGCAGCCGCCATGCTTTGAACCACATAGAAGACGGATGTAGATGACTTCCAAAGCTTCGAAACCGTCGAACGAAATGGGTTCAGCTGACTGTCATAGCACGAGAAAAGGGCCGCTACCTCCTTGAAGTAGAATTCCACCAGCATGGAGCTATAATCGTTCATGATCTTGGTTGGTACCCTCGCTCCCTGATTGATTCGCACTTCTGGCTCTGTCTGTGCCATGTCTGTGGATGATGGCCAGGAGGCCTTTGAGATGGTGCCTGCGAGAGATGGGCCCCAAATGTCGGCTTGCCGTACCAGCCTTGGTACAGACGACAGTTCTGATGAGGCGGAGAACCCAGAGCTGTAGTGGATGACGGAGTTGCTGTAGGTTGCGGCGGGGGATGCGGCCATCCCAAAATCTGCGATGCTGTTCCATGCAGTTTCCACACTCTGTTCTGCCTCTAAGCCCTGGAGAAGAACATTTGCTTCGCCATCCGTGGCGGGCAAGTCATTCTCGACAAGATCAGTGAGAGAAAGCTCCGGGGTCGATTGATGGAGCTGTCTATAATGAAGATCTGGGGCCCTGTGAGAGATGGCTGCTTGAGCCGCTGTTGACTGTCGCCGTCGTAGACCTTCGGCTTCCTCGGATAGATGCTGATCTGGCGTGTGAGTATGTTTGGCGTAGCCGGGGCACATAATGTTCCTCTTTCCACAGCGAAGGCATCTGGGCCTAGTTTCGTCGCATTTCAGCTACATCAAACACGGGAGAGTAAGCATGAGGATAGCAAGATGGCAAGGGCATCCCGATACCTTCTTCTCCTTGCATCGAGCGCAACCGTTGCGTGACCTTTTAATGCCGCCACGCATTGCAACTCCGATTCCAGGACGTAATCCGCAATGATGAGGCAGAAGTCGGGATATTCAGTGGGCTACGGAGAGCCAGAGAGAAGGAGGGGTCTTTCCGTGGGGGACCAGACTTCTCTGTTCGATCAGGGAACACAGGAGATGGATAATAAAGGTTTCGGAAACTGAATAGAATGGCAATAACCCCTCTCCGAGAAGCCCTATTGGTCTGTGTCGAGGGCCTAAGGCTGTTCGGTCGACATCCTGGGTCAAGGCTTTGCCGCTCCAACTACCTCAGGTCGGAAGATAAGGGGGCCCATTTTTGTCCTATTTGTGCTGGTAGTGGCTTATGTAAGGACAGAGTTGTCGGTATGATCGAGTCGCAGTCTGTCGACATCCTATAGCTTCTCAGGACCCTGGGTTTCAGTGACTGAGGTTGACCATTGCACTGAGTGACTGGAGTGAAAATAACAGCTGTGCACTGTGAGATGTCAATCATCTCAGTCAACTCTTTGAACCCTCCGGCACAGCTGCAACAAGGCCACTTTGCGTAGTTGGGACTTACTCGTCCTTCTGTGTCCGGCAATCTTTATCCTCTTCTTAACCCGGCAGAAGGCTATGAGCGAAAAGGACATAAGCCCATTGCCTGAGTCATTTCATGCATGGCCTTTGGGGCTCCTGCGATGTGTCCCCGTACCTGCTCGGGACATATGCGTATGGAAGACTCTTCACCTGCGAATTGAGGCACGACAGCTGCAGGTCTGCCTTGGAGCCTACTCGTGAGGGAGGCGTGGCCAGTCCGTCTCTGTCGCAAAAGAAACAGCCTTCGATCCATCGCTAATTCCCAAACGTTCTTCCAATGAGCCCCGATTTTCTCGGTCCAAAAAAACCCACGCAAGATCTTCTCCAATAATGACCACTGCCGTGCGTCTGAGTAGCTTTCCAAAGCGTAATCCATGACAGTGTGGGAGTCAGGCATGGGACTGGTTCGTAGAGCCAATGCACCAGCCACTGAGACGCTTGTCCAAATGAGACAATGTCGTTCCTCAGGTGTTGAAGGTGTTTGGTGGAAGCGCAAGGTTTGTATGAAGTTTCGCAGTATAGGATCGTAGAAGAGACTGAGTGGATCGAAGCCTCGAAGCTGGAACATGAATGCAAGGAGGCCAGAAGTGAAGTGAGATTCAATCGCCGCAGTGGTTGTAAGGTACATACGTTGCAAAGAAGACCAGAGAGTCTGTATCATAATCTCCCGCCTTTCCTTCTGTGGGCGAGATTCCTCAGCTGATGGAAGGTCGACCATCCCATCTGGTGAAGTCTGCGAGGATGATAGAGCGGTAGCAGCCGAGATCGATGCAAGCAGATTGATCATCTGGGTTGAGATCCGAGACTTCAGACAGAGATCTGAGAGACTGTTGGGAAGGCGGGAGAGGATCGTGCACAACTCTCCCACGTATGGGTGTTCAGGGTAGGACAGCGGCAGGTCGAGACCAAATCCTTCGAAGGCTTCTTTGATATAACCAGGCGAGCATTCGGGAACTTCCGGTGGCTGTCCCTTCACAAAGGAACCCAATGACTTGAGGAGAGTCAACCCAAGCTTGACAAACTTTATCCAATCAGACTCCATGCTCGGGTCGTCCGTCTGAGACAGGGGTCCTCGAAGTTGGAGCATCTTTTCCAGTCCTTCGGAGTGCATGTGGACACCGTGTTGGTTCCCAATTATGTATTCGAGTGTCATAAGCATGCTGACGGTCAAAAGTGCTGCATCATCGGTGCTGTCTTTCGAGCGGAGTTTGATGTTGAGCCCAGCGAGCGCATTTCCTCGATGCCGAATGAAAGCCGCATCTTCCCAGGCCGGCCTGTCCGATGAAAGCAGAATAGATGCTCGACAAAGAGCAATGATGGACTCGAACAAGGTTGAGTGTTTGAGAGCGAAAGGGAGTAGCAATGAGAGGTGGGGGTTCACCGAGACCTCCCTGTTGGTGCCCTTGCATATTGTGACAAAGTAGTCCATAGTCTCCTTGACACATTCTGTCGCATTGATGGGTAGCGATACGAACGGGTCGACTCGCGTTCCATTGGATGGGAGACGCTGAACTGGGGATGGAATTGGGGCTGTGGATTGCGAAGTTTGTCCTCGTCCACCTTTTGCCTCGTAGACGAAATGGTCATGTCCCTCCGGGGGTTCTGACCGACCACGCCCAGAACCGACAGGATGCCAATACACGAACCGGCCGGCATTGGCACCGGGGGATGGTTTGGATGGGCCGTATCTTTTCCATCGAACCCTCTTGTAACCTTGATCTCGCTTTCTTTGGATGTCTGCCTCCGGCATGATTGGCAGGTTCGGCGAGGTTCGGCGACCGCCACGAACATCTAACATCGGTGTCACGATCGACGGATCGGCCGAAGGAAAGAAGGTCATGTAGGTCCGGAGGAGGGACGGTATGTAGACCCTAGGAAGTATCTCGACACAATTTAGGCGGGGATTTGATGGTGGGGGTTTTTTCCGCGTAGAAATGCGAGGTTGTCATTTGACCAAATCGCTTAGGCGTGACAGTCACAAACAACAGGATACGGATACATCCCTACCACGTATGGTCATAAGCCTCGGTCTTTTGATTCGACTTGTTTGTGACACGCCTGCACTTGGTTGCCGCGTGTCATCGGCGTCAACGTCCGACGACTTGAACCATGTTGAATGCCGCCATGCGCAGCGTCCGGTTTGGGGGACGAGGTCTTGATCTAAGGATTCTATTACTCAGGCTTGGTTCCTAAACACTATCCCATCTACCAAGTCCGACGACTTTCATCATGAAGTCACATCGCGAACCAGGCGATTGGTCTTGTTGGTTGAAAGATCGTCCTCAGGATTGTCATCTTCTTCGTGCTCCTGATCGTTCAGCCCATCATCGCCCTCCTCTGGTTCTCCATAACCTTCTGCTGCATCAAGCTCGTCCGTATCACGGGGCTCCTCGGCGTCGATGAAGCTAGGTCTTGTGGATGGCTTGGTCTTGCTAAGTCTCCCCTTTCCGCTGCCACCCGCGGCTGGAAGGGATCCCTGTAGCGTACGGCACAAAGCACGAAACGCGCTGGCCCACTCCAGCTCCTTCTTACTGGCATCGTTTGGCAGATACCCGGCCACTGGATCGCTGGAGGGTTCATTGGTCTTCGTTGCTTCAGATGCATCAAAACGCTCGGGTAGCCTCAAAAATCTCTCCAATGCCGCTTCGTCCACTGGCTCACCGCCAACAAGCGCATCGACCTTGGCTTTCAGAGCGATGCGTAGTTTGGCTATTGTTCCGTTCTGATACCATCCAAAATATCGCCTCTCGCACTCGTGGCGGATATAGATGTCCGGGACGTCTATCAAGCGCTTCAGCTGTGGATCTTGCAAGTCACACAGCTGCCACACCTTGCCATCCGGCGGAATGTTTTGCTTGCCCGTGAACGTATGAGACATCTTATCCTTACTTCGGACCCAAACGCGACTGAAGTCGTCTCGATTCTCGGCCTGCTCTCGGTGACGCGGTACCAGTTGTATGAGAATGCTCTGATACTTGCGATAAGAGCGATCTGTTCGCGGGTCTACCCCTAGTTTACACAGGGTGTCTCGCCAAGGGCCCGACCGTATGGCGAATGCAACGTATGCGAGCAGGTGTCGAGCCAAGAACATTGGTGAGTCATCAGGGAAGTGATTGAGTAGGGCTCGACGAGTCCAAATTGGCCTTTCTTCGAAAAGATCTTTCATGATGTTGTACACCCTCTGGTGTGGTTCTGGTAGCTGTGACAGGGGAACGCAACTTGGATGCGGTGCATCTGGCCACTTCTCATCGTCATAGTGACACTGGATTGTAAACAACCTCTTCGGAGCCTGGATATTGCGCAACGTTGGCTTGCCAGTCACGGGATCTGCCACCATCCTCACGGCCGGGTTTTGACGGTAGGTATAGTTGAGTGGGAGACCATGCGTTGACCATACCGGGGGCGGTATAGTCTCCGGGTCGCTCAGACCATAGGTTCGAGGAAAAGACCATTGTTTGAGTCGCGGATATTTCTGGGGAAGGATTTTCGTTTGCAATTGGCTGAGGAAGGTAGATCCTTTTGAGGAATATACATAATCAGGCATGGTCCGCCAGACGTGTGTCGAGCGGATAACACCCACAACCTCGGCTTCATTTGCGTGAGGGTTGTCTCTGAGTGAGCGGAGAAGATACCTAGAGTCCCTCCTTTGAAAAGGATCTGTAGAGTGGTCCACAAAGGGCTGGTCAGAGCCGCGCTTTCTTTTCCTCTCTGTCCGCTTCGGTACAGTGAATTTAAGCAGGAGGTTGTTAGTCTTCCTGTTGTAAGATATCACTGTCCGGCTGGAAGGGTCGTCAGGTTGGAAACTAAGCCCTAAGGGTTTGTCGGCGTTGGGTTCGAGGCACTGTGAGATCTCATGGGCCCCTCCAAGCATCTGTACAGCCTTGTTGACATTTTGAATGATGCACGGATGCTCGACAGAAAGAATAGGCGTATTTGGGACCTGATACCACGGCGCAACGGATGAATTTCCCACAGGGTGTGACATAATGAGTTCGAGGGTTTAGAGTGCCAAATAAAGTCGAGAATTCGCCAGAATACGATGTCGAGACAGCTTGCACCTGGATACAGGGTCTGCAGTGATTGTCAATCGATGTCGGGAGAGTTTTTGAAGTATGAAGCGGCGCGTTCGACCTGAGATAGAAAGCCTGCCACCAGTACTCCGTAGTGCCTCCCGCCTCCGCTGGCAGACGGGACCGTAGGTTCCCGCGTGGTTTCAGGATGCCTTTCGTGTAGACAAGTAGACAAGTAGACAAGTAGACAAGTAGACAAGTAGACAAGTAGACAAGTAGACAAGTAGACAAGTAGACAAGTAGACAAGTAGACA